AATTTATATCCGATTAAATATCCTATTTATGCTTTAAGTGCTAATCGCTATAAACGGCCGAATTTTTATTATACCGTTAGCGTTATTACGTACGCTTTGCATCCGAATGCTTTAAAATAGGTTTAATTAGGCTTATAGCTTAGATTTAAAACTCCTTTTATTTTCGCAATTGCTTTATAAAATTTTATATATAATATACGCTATCGGAAATTATAATTCGGCGTATAATTATATAAATATACCGCGGTTTTGCCGATTTCGGGCTAAAATTAATAAAAGAGTTTTATGCTAATACGTATTGCTTATTTTTTTTTTAATTATACCTTTTAAGCGTTTAATAGCTTTATTTTAGGCTTATATATATAATATTAAAAGCTCGAATTTAATATATTTATTTTCGAGGTATTTTCCTATTATTTATTTAATTTTTATAATTTTATTATTATATTCGATAATTTTAATTTTAATATTATATTAGGTTTTTATTATATTTAGGAACGATCGGAAAGCGTTAATTAATATAACCGTAATCCTTTCCGTAAAATAATAATCCTATATATATCCCGTTTGCCGATAAATAATTAGCATTTAGAATATATAATTTTCGATCCTTTTAGTATAATTATAAAAATTTATAGCTAGTTATTCGCTATAATTTTCGTTAATTAGCCGTAGCGCTCGCCGTGGTTAACGCGTAATTTTTGCAAATACGCAGGCTTTATATTTTATTATAATTAGTCCTTTAATTTTTACCCTTTAAAATAAATAAATAAGGTATTCGAAAGCTATTAGGCCTAAATATCCTATTTTATAATATTATCGTATAGCTTCCCTAATTAATAATAGCTTTTTTATTTATATTATATATTTTTTTTAGTAAATAATAAATAACGCTAAAGGTAATTTATAAAATTTATATTCGAAAATATATTATCCGTATCGGTTTTAGAGTATATTAATTAAAAATCTATTTTTTTACGTAATATTATAAGGTCGTTTTTATTATTTTAGTAATATCTTTATTTTTATAATTAACGGAATAATATTAATATAATTAATAGCCTAAAATAATAGGCTATATTATTTAATAATAATATTTTAAATCCGAATTATATAATTATTATACCGTATCCGTAAATAAATAATTTCCGGTCGCCTAATTAAATAAAATCGTAATTAAAAGTTTACCTATAATTAATAAGCCTTTTTTTTATATTTATAATTAAAATTATTATTATTAAATTTAAGATAACTAAATAACGCAAAAAGTAATTTTTTATAAATATTATAAAATTATTTTATACGTTTGTTATTAATTATCCGTTTTATTAATTTATATTAATTAAAAGCAATTTTTTTTTAATTATTCGTAATATACTAATTCGGTTGGTTTTAATCCTTTTTATATTACGAACCTATTCCTATAAATTAGGGTTTTTTTTTAAAAAGCTTTATTTATTTATATTTACATTTTATTTTTAAGGACGAAACCTGGATAGGCTTTTTTTAAGAATATATAAAAATATAAATTAAAAGCGTAAAAAAAATGGCAAATAAGGCATTTAATATCCTTTTGCCTTTTATTATAAGTAATTTATTTACCTTTTTTTTTACGTAAATTAGCCGTATTTAATCGGGAAAATATTTAATTTTTAATAAGGTAAGCGTTTTTATTTTATCCGTTTTAAGGCTATTTTTTAGCTTTATTAGCGTAAATTGCGAAAGCGCTTTTTTTAATTTTTAGCCTAATCGGCTATTAAATATTTAAGCTTTTACGGAAGTTATTATTTATTACCCGATATTTTAAATTTTTATTTAAAATGCTTTATTTTTTATAAATTTAATAAAAAGCGGCATATTATAATATAATTAAAATAATTATATTTAGGAAATTTATAGCTTAAACCGAATTATCCTATATTTTAATTATTTGCTTTACCTAGGTTTTCGCTATAATTATTTTTTATTTATTAACTTAATTAATAGCTTTTTTTAATATTTTTAAAGGCTTAAAAGCTTTTAAATATTATTTTTTTGCTTTTTTTTTATTATTTATAGCTAATTTGCTATAGTAAGCCTTTAAATTTTCGTATTATTTATATAAGGGCTTATTAATTAAATAATACGTAAAAAAAAAGTTTAAAAAAATCATAATAATTATTTATTTTATAATTTTTTTAATTACCGTATATTGCTTAGCGTATATAACCTTTTTTATTTTATAATAATTATAATTAAAGTTAAACGATTTTTAACCTTTTTTAATAAAATCCGTTATTATTTATTTTTTATTTTTTTTATTTTAAATGCTTAGATTATTATTTTTGTTTATAATTTCGAGGGTCGCTACCGCGGTTTTTATATATTTAGTTTTTTTTATATCCGGTTTAATTAGGGTTTTAATTAAAATCGTTTTATTTTTAAGGTAATTAGTTAATTTAGTAATTTATGCCTAAATTTAAAACGTATATTTTTAATTATTTTAATCGGAGGTTATTTTTAATAATGCCGTTAGGCCGATTCCGGCTTTTTTCGTAATTATTATTTTCGTAGCTTCGGCGGAGGCACTAAGACTTTTAATTATTAATTAAAGTAATATTTTCTTATTAAAATTTAAATTAATTTAATATAAGTATTAATTATATAATATATTAATTTATATTTTGCGTTTTTTAATTTTAATAAAATATACGCTTATTTAGGGTAGCCCCGGCTAATTCCCGGGAGGTCCCGTATATTTACCTGAACACTATAATATTAATCCGTGTGCTCAAGCACACCCCAGTGTATGGGAACCATAATCCACCATTTGACATATAGTAACGACTTTGACCTAACTAATTGCACCCACTTATGCAATACACCCCCTTTTGCAACGGATTTTTAATAAAGTCCGATATAATATATATAATATAATTAAATATTTTCCTATTATAACACATTTAAATTAATTTTTTTAATTATGGATCTAATTTTTACGTTGTTTTTTAATTATAAAAGGCTATATTTTAAAAAAACTATTAATAGGAACCTATTCTTTTTATAGCATTTTTTACAGCCGCTTATTTAGCTTATTTTAAGCAAATTTAATATATAAAAAACTAATAAATGCCTGGTTCGGATTAAAAGTAATTATTTAACGTTTATCGGGCTTATATTTATTTAGTTTTATATTTAAAAATAAATTATTTTAGCGCGTTATAGCTAATTTTATTATTATTAAATTTAGTGTTTTAGCCGTTTTTGTTACTAATTGCCTTATTTCCCGCTTTAACGCGAAATGTTTTTTTTAAATAAAAAAAAAAGCATTCCGAAGATTTTTATTATTATAAAAAGTTATAATAATAATTTTAGCTGTATTTAAAGGTTCGGATAATATGTGTAAAAGGGGGGTCGGGATTAGAGGAAAGAGTTTAAAATTATTTAGTATTTAATTAAAATCCAGGGGCTATATACCCGTTTTGCGCTAGTTATTTTATATAATTTTTTATATAAAAGCTAATTAATAAACCGTAATATAGGCTATAAGTATTTTTTGTTTTTAAATAAGTTTAATTATTATTATTTTACGCTATTTGCTAAATTATTAATAATAATAATGCTTAAAGGAGGAAAATACATTTTTATTAAATAGTTAAAAGGTTTCGCTAATATATATAGGCAAATATATTAACGCGATTTTTATGCGATAAGCTGTAAATATAAATTTTAGTAGCAAATAGGTATTATAGCTATTTAATATTAATATTTTTTAAAAGCGTAGCCGTTACGCATTTTTATAAGGCCTCGTTTTTAGGCCGAATACCTGCTTAAGCTACGAAAAGGCTATAATAAAATTAAACTATTTTTTATATATAATAATAAATTTAGCTTTTTTTAGATTTTTAGGAAACTATTACGCTTATAGCGTTATTTTTTTTAAAATATAAATTATTATAGTTATTAAACCGAAAGCGTTAATATTATAAATCGTAATTATTTATTTAATCGCTCCCGATTTTTAAATGCGAAAGCGACGTAATTTCGATATGCCTATAATAATCCTTTTTTTAGCTTTACTTTTTTAAACCCTAATTTTATTTATATTATATATATTTTTAGGTTTAATTAAATATAGCTTTAAAACTTTATTTATAAATATATAAAACTTTTAAATAGCCCCGGAATTAATCTTATTAATCCGATCGGTATTAATAACCCGTTTTAGCTTTATAGCTAGGTATAAATAGCGCTATATAAATTTATTTACCTAATTCTTTTTAATATAAGTGGCTTAGTTATTAAATTTAATATTAATAGCGATTTACAAAGCTATATTTTATACGATTCGTTTTAAAAAAACTTATCCGCATCGTTCCTTGTATAAAATCTAATTTTTAAGCTCTTATTTTTATAATTTTAAAAAAATTTGCGTTAATTCGTAGGTATTGCGATAAGGCCGCGTACCTTATAGCCTACGCGATAAAGTAAATATATAAATACCTAAATCGCGTATAATTTTAGTTAATTTTTCACCGTTTTCGACTTTTTTAATTGCTTTTTTTATATCGCGTTTGTTTAATTTAATTATTTTAAAAAAATAGGATCAATTAAATAAATGGCTGTTAAGATATTATAAAAGTGTTATAATTGGGTTATATTATAAAGTGGAAATAATACGTTGCAAAAGGGGGTGCATTGCAAAAGTGGGTTCAACTGGTTAGTCCATTCAACCAGGGCTAAATTTGACTTTTTACGGAGGACCCTCCACCCGAAAACAATACCCCACTTGTTATACACGGTTTGTGCAGGTTATACACTGGTTATGCATTCACGATCCGTCCTATAGCTTTATCTCTACTGTCGATGACCAATTCTCTCTCTTGGCATGGGCCAACTCGTCTCCGAGATGGGAGACTTAAAAACATGGTCAAAGTTTGCTTGTGAAAGTCGACAAGAGATCTACAATGCTCTCAGGCAGTATCTAGACAAACCTTGGTATCTCTACTTTTCATCCCGGCATGCCACAGCGAACCAAAGTTGCTATCGTGGGCGCCTCGGGCGACACGGGTTCATCAGTGGTCCAGGGGCTCTTGAGCCAACCCGATCAATTTGTAAGACAGTTGTCATTCAGTAACTGTAGTCGTGGTTGAATAGTCAAGCTGACATGATACGTTACAGGATCTGGTCGCATTTGCCCGAGTAGAGAGTCTCGAAAAGGATGAATACGCCAGACTTCGAGAACGCGGGGCGTCAGTCCTACCTATTGATCTCAAGGGCCCCATCACGGCTGTTGTGGAGCTTCTCAAGGACTTTGATGTTGTTATTTCGTGCATGACGCTCCTCTCGTACGAAGACGAGAGAAATCTTATTCTGGCGGCCAGCATCGCCAAAGTTGGCCGGTATGTGCCCAGTTTCTTTGGGCCGTGCTGCCCCCCGCGAGGCGTCATGGGCGCCAGGGAGAAGGTATGTCATAACTGGTCCAAAAATACCCTGACGCTTTATGGTTTCGAAATAGCGCTAATATGAATTTTCTTCAAAAGAAAGAGGACTTGCTTGATTTGATCAAACTCCATTATCTTCCGTACACCATCATCGATGTAGGCTGGTGGTACCAGCTATCCTTGCCCGAGTTACCTTCAGGCCGACTCACAGTTCAGGCAGAGATCTCCAACACCGAGATTATCGGTGACGGGAATACTTCCATGGCGCTCATTGATAACCGAGACATTGGCAAGTTTGTGGCTCGCATCATTGTGGATCCCCGTACAAAGAACAAGCATGTCTTCTGCTACGGCGAAGTCATGTGCCAAAATGAGATCTTTGATATCCTTGAAAACCTCAGCGGGGAACGCATTTCTAGACACCAAGTAAGTATCCAAAAGTACGTTTTTTTTTTTTTTTTTTAAAAAATCAAGATACCGATTTTTAATGAGGTATTCTTCCAAAGTTGCCGGCAGAGACTCTCACAAAGCAGATCGGGGAGGCACTAGCCGAATTAGCCAAAAACCCTACTGATCCACAAAACATGCTGGTAGTTGGAATGGGACAATATCGGCAGCTTTTGGGAGTCAGGGGAGACAACACGCCCCAAAAGGCTCGGTACTTGAACTATTTGGACGGAAAAGAGATGTATCCCGACGTTCGCATCACGCCTTTGAAGGAGTACATTGAGGACGCTCTGGCTGGTAAAGCCACTGTGCCGCGTAGCCGGAGGTAGGAACATTTATCGACGTAATCATGGTGGATCTATGGTGAAGCACAGAATGAAATATTGCCTACCTTTACAACTGCTTCTCGTGGACTTTCTTCAAGCGAAATGGTCTTATTGGTGCAGGGGCGCTTGGGCGGCAAATGTGATTTATATCTGAGTATCATACCTAACTACTAGGTAGTCACTGCTAAAAGGGATTATACGTCATTGCATTATAGCTCCGAGCCACAAAAAAGAAGAAGAAGAAAAAGAGCCGAGCTGTTGGAGCCAAAGAAAACCACGTCAGATTTCAAACGCATTTGGCAAGAAGACAAATCGACAGGAATGAGTGAAAAGCTTTCCATTATATCAGTATCTGTGCCGGGATGTAGGCGAGCGCGAGATAAGTCATTGAATAGCCAACAGTCTATCTAAATAATGGTAAAGTCTTCTACTGACCTTTGGTCTAGAAAGTGACGCACCCTACCCTTACCAATCCTTTCAAATACTTTACCAGTGAAACTTGTCTGGTGAGTAGAGGATACATCCTTCAAGACGAGAACCTCGCATAGCTGGTGACGGTCTTCAAGGGTGATTACTGTGCACAAGAGGATCGGGAATATCCACACAGTGAACGGCATCTGGTCAGTTTGCACATCCAAGACGCATGAACCCAGAGACAGTCCTCCTATGTCTAGACTTCTGTCACCCACCCTGCACGCTCGCATCCGTAGCTCGATACCGGGACTGCTCACATCCCCCGTGGGTGCCATCGATCGTTTCTTGCAATCCAACTGGAGAAGGACCCCGCGCGCCTTGATATGCCCACTATTAACAATGCCGTAATCGTCGGCATCGTCCCTATCCACGGTGGCAGAAATATCCGCCAGACGATAGGTATGCCTGGTCTCGTAGCCATTGTCGTCCAGCATTTGCATCCCAGAAAACGCCCTTTGGATGGCCGGGTTCACGACGGGGCCATCAATGCTGACCCAGGACCAGGTCGGGGCGCGGTAGGGCTCCACTCTTCTATGCTCAATGCCACCGCTGTGATCGGCCTGCCAGAGAAGATGTTTTGGGAACTGCTCCTCCCAGAGACCGGCGATGTATCCGCCCAGCTTCTGCTGCTCGCCATATACCCGAGCTACTCCAGCTAATGCGGGAAGCTTATCGCCCGACACGGTTAGTCGTCGTTTGGTATATTCTGCAATCGCAGTCGCCCAGCCGTCGAGCAATCTCACTTTGGTCAGTTCTTGGCCCTCGTAGACTGTATTGAAGAAGGCAAGGCCGTATGGAGAATGGCTAGATTCGACGGCCTGATCTTCATTCATAGATGACTTGCGACATTCCCAATGGGTCAGCTCCGGGCCGAAGTGCAGAAAACGAGCAGATAGTGTACGTTCTTGAAATGTCCAGGCTCGCGAAGATAGCGGGGTGTTGCTGAGGGAATCGTCAGAGTATGCGAAATAAGGCAGCATGTAGAGACGATACGGTTCATCAGAAGCATATGGACCAGTTGTGAAAGGCCATTGAATTGGAACAGCGACATGGTGTCTGTCGGACCGATTGGTCAACAGCGGATCATCCACCGTCGAGGCTGATAGCGAACCAATGGTCAGGGCAGCACGACTGTATACTCTATGCATTAAAGCTGCCTCGCGAGCCCAGTCTTCACGGTCTCCCTGGACGATGCAAAGAGCATCGATCCAGATATACCGTATGCCGAGTCTTCGTGCAATTTTGACGGCATCTACATGAGTTCTCGACATTGAAGAGAGCTGGATTCGTTGCAGATGCTCTTGTAAATTGTCGGATGTGGTGAGCAGTTGGTTGCTAGCTTGGCCCCAGCAATAGCTTAGCGCAATGTAGTCTGATCGGTCATTATCTTGAGTGATACAGAGCCGTATTGTATCGTCGTTGCCTGTGCTGACATCTATCACTCGTGTTGGAAGATGTTTACCATTCGGGTTGCGATTGGCCCAGGCTGAGCATACCGGGTGATTTGCGCGACACGTTTCAATCCAGTGCTGTATGTTGGCCATATTCCTGTCATCATTAGGTGCGGTGGATACCTTGCGGTTGATAAAGACATCCCGTAATATTTCGGGAGCCCTGGCGCGGGACTCTAAGAGTCTACTCTTAGCATGTGCCGACTAGTCTGAGGGATTGAGGTGACAAACCATCGTCGAAAGCTATTCTCAGTGACAGGTTGAGTTGCTTTTCCTTGGAGAATATATCCAGCCAACCTCCACCAGATACTTGCCATCGCAGTCGAGTAGCATCCTCGTCCTGAACTTCTCGAGAGTGAATTCTCAGAGTGCCATACCTGTCTGGCCTCTGCGGACGGTTACCCTCGGCCACAATCAGGCAACATAGTGGACAACCTTGTGAGGCGGCCTGCGAAAGCGATTCCCAGGAGGGCTGATGCCACCAATACAGCGGCTCCGGAACATTCGACTGGTTGAGCCTGATGTTGATCAAGCGTGGAATGAGCCACTCTTGGGTCGAGCGATGGCAGATATTACAAAGTGACATGGTGCTGACGGGTTGAGGTAGACTTATCGTAGGTCAACTCAGCATCGTCAGATGTGTCTGGGCGATTCAGCTTTTATTGTCTCAGCATGCATCTACAGCCGCACGACGTGCCAAGCAACGTGACGGCTGTTACAGCCGCTTCCAGCTAAGCTGCCTTCACACTAAGGAGTTCAGCTCGCCCAATTGGGCCAGACCCATGATCGTTGGTTTGCGAGAACCGTGGCGCAGGTGTCCAGTAAGGCAAGTCAGAGTGCTGGACTCTCCTGCTGGTATGGCAAGTCTGTGTCTCCACCTCTCAAACTTGCAGACACTGTTTATTGCCCAAAGTCCCTTCTGCAGCTCATGTCTCCTTGAAATCACACAACCTGGCCGTGATCCTCGTTTTCGGGGTTCGTGTGGATGTGCAACGGGTGCAGCAAAGATGGTGTGGGGGACGGACTCCAGTATGCAGATGCATAAATAAACCGCTCTCCAGAAAAGGGACACATTCACACGAGGATGGACATCTATTGCATTGCTCATGCCATCGCGCAAGACCCGTTTGTTAATCCATTGCCAAGAGCATTGAAAAGCAATGTCTATGAGTACAGGTTACATAACGACAACACATGGCTCCCCAAATGCATCAACAGATACCCGCTGTACTGGTAACATCTCAACCTATTAGCTCACCCCGCGCGGAGTTCAACTCGTGCCGCCGGAGCGACCCCTCACCCTCTGCCCCTGTCAGTCGAGGTCCGCCAAAGACACTGGTGCGGGTATCTCCCAGCCAGGATTTAGGGCGCCCTAGCCTAACGGTAGGTACTACAACAACCTTCTACAGTGGAACAAAGAGAGCTATACTCTCTGTATTCAACAGAATGACAGCCTCAATCCTACCAAGTCAATTTGACCATCTCGCGTCAACAAGTCGCCTTCCCAAAACAGCAGTCTCATGATCGCAATTGGGGTGATCGCGACTCTTCTTGAAAGTAACTTTTTTCAGGCCCAATTGAAACGGCGTTCCTAGGCGTATAGCCAAGTATATATGTAGTTATGTATGCAGTCGTGCCAATGCCAAGTTTGCTTTTGCACTAACCACCCGACAGCATGGAACAACTAACAAAGTGATCAGACCAGGATGCCATATTTGAATGAACATAACGCAAATCACGTCAGTCCTTGCTGTTAAAGATTCCCTCTCATCCCTCTCTGAAGCGTTTTCTCTCTCCCATCCTAACGACTTACCGTCCAACCCATCTTTATAAGTCTTCACACCAGCAATCAGAAGATCATCCCCCAAAGTCATGGCGCAGCAAGAATTTAAAACAAGTGAGCCGGGCAACTATGGCCCCTCACAGACAGTTCTGCTCTTGCTTCTTGACTATCAAAACGCCGTCGTCAACTACAAATGATTAAGGATGAAAAGGTGCAGCAAAGCCTGATTGATTCAGTCAAGGAGCTTCTGGTCACAGCGCGCAAGCACAGTGTCCCCATCATCGACTGTCTCATCGATACTAGCATCGATCCTCCACCTACGAGCAAGATTTGTGAGCAATTGTTCGTAGTTCGCCAAGTCAGGCTTGGAGCTTCACCCTGCCTTATCCTAGAAGTAACACGGAGCTTGCACTGGTGAGCAATCCGGCCGCAGGCGGCTATGAGAGCGTCTCGTTGAGGCACCTGAGGCCCAGGTCTGCGTTTGTAAATAAAAGTCTTTTGCCTCCCCTACAAAATAAACTAGGCGCCAAGTCCCTGATTCTTGGTGTCATCGCGACTAGTGGCGCCGTAATTAGCACCGCAATGCAGGCCATTGATGAGGGCTTTGTTGTCACGGTCGTAAGGGATGCCATCTGGGATCCCGATGAGCAGGTCAACCGGATTCTCCTGTATGTTCTGCTTCCTGGCTCAGGATATGTAGTATCCACTGCAGACGCTGTTGGGTTCATGCAAAACACGTACAAGTTCTAAATGGATATGGGTGAAAAGTGCATTCTAGATTTGTCGATCACCCCTAGACCAAATAAATCGAGACACACAGTACCTAACCTTAGTGCTGAGCTATTTTATAAAGATTGACCTTATCAACCGGATATTACAAACATGCATCGCATCTCATTCACATGGGTATATCTAATGTAATCTTTGTACTCTTGATTTGTGGCAGAATGGTCTAGACTCCCAACTGACCCTGAACCCTGAAAGAAGCCCTGACAACCCGCCGCGAAGGATGCACTGAGCCCTGACCCACATCGACCCGAAGCCACTTCACCACCTGCGAATATCTTCCCGTTTACATTCTGACCGGACAAAGCTAAGCTTCTACAGCGAATGCAGCCTTTTATGCCTTTTGTATGTTCGCCTATCATAACAGCTGAGAATCCGCACTTTGACTGTATCATGGGAGCGTGTGCAAAGTATTGCATGCAGGGTTCCCTGTAAGCAAGCTGACTGCTCCGCCACTTTCATGTCACGTGGCTTTTTTACGACCTTAATCACCATTGCCAGGCCCATGCATGTCAGCCTGACACATAAGGCAGCAGTCAAACATTGGCTCCCTCCGAGGCCCAAAGGTCAAAGAGCTCACCAGCACAAAGCCATTTGAGTCGGGTACTGTTTTACCACACGCCAGAGTGGTGATGTTCGAATGAGAGATTCACCCCGCGAAACATGGATAGAGCTCTTGTACATCTGCCCCCGGCCCCGCCAAATCCAGCGAGAATTGCCTTGGCATCGGCTGCAGCTAGCGAAATATTGGAACCTGCCAAGAATGCTGTGGCAGAAGATCTCTTCTATCGGTACAATGCAATAGACAAGGCAAAGGGTGCGATCCGGTTGTTGATCCTAAAAGGAGGCAGCGGGAATGACATCAAGTGCGAATTAGTTCATACAACGATTGACCGAAACATCATCCCCTACGAAGCAGTCTCATATACATGGGGCCCAGAATTTGCTGCTGAGTCAATTAACGTTTGCGGCAGAAGACTACCGGTCACCTTCCATCTGAGTCGGATATTGCGAGATCTACGCCATGCAGATGAAGATCGTGTTCTTTGGGTTGACGCCGTCTGCATCAACCAGCAAGATGCTACGGAAAAGGGACTACAAGTTGCACAGATGAAGGATATATTCAGGTCCGCAAAATGCGTCTTGCTTTGCATATGTCGATCAACAGACTACACTGATTTGCTCATGGACTCCTTGGCCAAATTGGAAAGCAACCTTTGCGATACCCAATCCTACGACAGCCAAGATTTGAATACTTCTTGGCGTGATGTACAAAAAGCCATAGCATCTCAACATGTGGAGCCTCTTTCAAGGCATTCTGAAGCATCACTGGAGAGACAGTTGAAGGCGTTGGCATCTTTACAACGTCAGGGTCTCGAATATATTCTCAACTCACCTTGGTTTCTCAGGGTGTGGATTTTGCAAGAAGTTGCAAATGGGTCCAGCGCATCCGTATATTGTGGTAGGAAATATGTTTCTGCGGCCACGTTCGCAGTCAGCCCCCGGCTTCTCAACGCTGAAATCCCACTTGGACAGGATGGCATCGTTGCTGAAGTTCTCAGCATTATGCCAGGACCATTGAGAAGAGATCCCTTCCAGGAGCTGTACCCCTTGCTACAGAGATTTCGCGGTTCTCATGCCACGGTGGAATGCGACAGGATATTTGCGCTTTTTGGTATTTGTCAAGACGTGCACATCGACACACGTCTGCTGCCAGATTATCAGAAATCAGAAAAGGATGTCATTCGTGACACGATATCATATATATGTCGTGTCGAGGTCGCAAATAGTCCTTTTGACTCGATATCTGATTTCCTGGAGAAATTAGATCATCTCGACAACCTTGTACTTTCAGAATTATTGTTCTCGACAGATCATATAAATGCCTCATCTCTTCTACGTCATCGCAAAGGATTCGTAACAGCCACACAAGAATTATTAGATCTGGCGAGTACCAATACTATGATTGGAGAAGGTGTAATGGCACTCCTCCTTCAGCAGCACAATGCGGACACGGTTCTTTCAGGTTGGGAGGCATGGGATTCATTACGCTTCGCTGCAAAGAACGGACATGATGCCCTTGCCGAATTCATGGTGGAAAGGATTACAGATATCGACAGCCTCAATGACAGTCTATCCGTAATGAAAACTCGTTTATTCCTGGCTGCGGAAAATGGCGAAACCACTCTGGTCAACTTGCTACTGGCCAAAGGGGCAAATATAGAAGGCAATGGACACTACGAAGGCTGGAATCACCGGTGCGCTTCACCAATCACAGGTGCCGCGCGGTTCGGCCATACCACCGTCGTCCAGATTCTTATTGACAATGGTGCCGATACGAACTCTGTAGGGTTAAACGGAGTCACACCGTTATTGAACGCTACGACGGGCGGACATGAAGACATTGTCAGCCTCCTTTTGAACAAGGGGGTGAATCTGTTAGCTACAGGACACATTGGGAAACATACGCCACTTCAAATAGCAGCCAAAACTGGACAAGAAGCTATCGTTCGGCTTCTCCTCGCACACGGCGCTCCTGCCGACGGGCGCAGCGACAATACACTTTCAAGGTCCAACGAAGCGCCGTTGATGATCGCAGCCCGTTACTGTCGTCCGTCCATTCTAAGGATGCTCTTCGAGGCAGGAGCCTATGCAACCCAAAGTGATCTCTATGATATGATGGATGCGGCAGCAAATTATTTCAGGCGTAGCGATTTCAGTTCACTTGGATGCGACCGAATTAAACGGCACGATCAAGAAGTTGTTGTTCAGATTCTATTGGAGAAGGGTGCAAAACCTAACTATACTTTGATCCACAGACTCTCATCCACCCCTGGGACTATTGCTCAGCTTCTCGTTAAGCATATTGCGATCAACGGGGAATCTCCTTACACGATTGAGTGTCATGGTCGCGTACAACAACGTTGTTCTACCACCACGCCATTGATATACGCAACACGAGCCGGAAGTACGCACATGGTGAAGCTCTTAATAGAGAATGGAGCCAACCTCGAAACTGGAAATTCTGAAGGCCGAACACCACTTTCATTGGCAGCAGGAAAGGGAGATAGGGATATTGTTGAGATATTACTCGATGCGGGTGCCGATGCTGAAGCTGTAGATGACAACGGACAGACGCCTCTGTCCAGAGCTCGCTCTACGAGTGTATATGGCTTTTTGGTGGAAAGATGTGCTCGTAGAAAGGGGCACATGCTGGTTGATCAAAAGGTTTGCAGCGGGCATAAGGCTTGAAATGTATCAAGTAGGTAACATGTCGTACTGACGTAGTCAGTACCCACCGCAGATCACCTGCTTGGGTATATAGTCGCTCTTCAGCACCTCTCTTTTGTAGACTAGAGATCAACTCAGACAACTTTCAATGCTTCCTCGATCATCCCGTCTTCAGTTCTCCCTTCACACATCGGCTCAGGTGAGAGTTTGATATCTCCGCAGACCGTCCTGTGCAATGCCGAAATTGCTGCTGGGTCTTTGGCTTTCAGCACGCCTGCTGCCCAGAAGTCGATACTATTGCTGACCCAACAGGCCAGAGGTTCCCTGGACCGGTTTTTACATTCCGCCAGAAGTACTGACTGGGGGACAATAATTGGCACGAACGGGAGTTTGGATTCGCAATTTGGGACTTTTAGGTCCTTGTTCTCAAGAAAGAAGTCGGGATCGAACTTTTACGACCCAGTCGGTGAGGGCAATGACTTACCCCTGGCGAAGTTCAGTATCTCGAAAGATTCGATTGTGAGCGCACAGCAGGTTTTGGTACCCTCCGTGGCGTGACTCATACATGTAAGGATTCTGCTTGAAATCGTTGAAGTTCTATTGAGGTCGAACCGTGATGGAATAGCGGGTTATGTATTCTGAAGTACCGTAGACTATGTTACTTGTCGTACTGACGTACTCAGACATCTTTCAATGCTCCCTCGATCATCTCGTCTTCAGTTCCCCCTTCACATATCGGCAGAGGTGAGATTACCACTTAGATCTATGTATACACAACAAGAGTAGCGTGATAAACAATCCTGGTATCTTTAGATATTGAACATGGATCAGAATTAGACCTTATCCACTGAATGCACCTCTTTACTTTCTGTACCTTGAACCATGCGTAACTGGCAATAAGTGATAACCGCAAGGATGACTTACGATTTTGAAATATTTGAAACATGATTATGTCATATCTAGGTCATTATGTGAGGATAATTGGTCCCTGGTCGCGCCCTCTGTCTGAAGGCAAGGCTATGGCTCAGAAACATCTGCATCCGTAGTGTGGATGATCTCTGATCAGCGAAGCCTCGCGGCTTTCTCTTGGCACCAGAGGGCGTGACCAGGGACCCCATAGGGAAGAAAGCGTGCATGCGATGCCCACAGGAAGATGGGGGAGGACGCGCATTATTGTATGTAGTGCGACCGTTATGCTGCGACCTTTGTGATCTGCCAGTTCAATAAGGATGATGTTCTGGACAAAGGATCTAGTATTAAGCTGCCTAAGAATAACCAGCCATGCATTGTCAGGATTGGGTGACATTCCAGAATCCTCCTTTGCGATGTGCTGTTTGTGGCAATCAATTACAGGCCGCGTGCGTCGAAGGCGGGATGTTCGGAGTGGCGCAGATCAGACCGACAGTGCACGATTCACCGAAAACATTGGGCTTGCCTCTTCACCTCATACATCGAGAATTTCGACATTGTTGTCCGCACGAACGAGTTCAGTAAGGAGTTTGATCTACAATGCACTCTGGTAGGTGGTCTTATAGATTAGGAAAATCTCTCAAAAGGCACATTACGGTCGGGCTAAGGGTCACAGTTGTCAATACAGCGCTTTCGCCTGAGTGATTGGGGAGAAAGCCTGGGCTTGGCAGGGTCAAGCCGTTTGCAACGGTGACACAAAAAGAATCTCGCGCGACAAGATGTCCAATCTGTGCTGACATTGACTCTCAATCACCTGCGTTTGCTGTTCAGCCAAGCCGACGTTGTCAGCGGCCACTATGCTTTACAAGATGGAGTCGACAACAATGTCGATACAGACTTGATCGCATCCTCACACGGCATGACTGTCTTTCGTGGATCTTTCGAAAAGTTCCGCAGGCGGCTCAAGAGTAACCAGAAACAAAAGTCGGTATGGATGGTGACCAGATGGTCCATCTACGATCAAGCAAAGTTCGAAACACTGGTGACTAACATCACCAAGCTGCGGGTTTAAACAAACATTTCAAACATTGACCTCGAATACACTACTCTAGTGCATCTGGAGCGTCATATTGACTCCCGGAGCCACAGCCTTGGTTATGCGCACCCACTAAAGCGCGGTCGCAATTTCTTCCATTTCTGCCCGACAGGAGAATGTTGAGAGAGATTTGGTCACCGCCTGCGCTGAGAACAAATACTACTATCCCTGGGTAGGCGCTTTGTGACCTGGTCTAGTTTTCCGCGACGAGCGCTCAGGGTTGTTTTACCAGGCAGATCTGAGACCTCGTGGTGGCACGCAGCAGCAATTGGGAAAGTGATGACGAATGGGTAGGAGGGAGACAGCACGGACTAAAAAGACGAAAACAGAAACATACAGCACAAAGAATTTCTGCTGTATCGGTGGTTAGATCGGTGACCACGAACGAATCTCCGGGTATTACATGTTTCTATTACTTTGCCCTCTGAACACACTCTTGTATTGATCCCTTCTAGATAAAAATCTCAGACGCTTTTCACCGCAAGGCTTTTTGAATCCTGTATTCTTACGACTAGTGTTGAGGGTGCGCAATGGCAACTAGCCGATGAAAGGAGATGCAAACAGATGGGAAACCCCCAACACTGCCGAATCGCTCACTAAACTGGGCAGTTTGACTAACTGTCCTACAAAGCAGGCAAAGGTTCACCTGAGTAACCACAGAGAAGACGATCAACCACTCTTGGCAGGCATCCATCTACGCGTTCTTGACAACGATTGACGGACAGGATAACAAAGATAATAGAAATGAATACTCCTCCAAGCACAGATTGGAGCCGCTGATAAAAACTCGTCCATCTCATCTTTCTTATACTAATTCGGATCGATCACTCGATCGATTGCTCGATTTATTGCTCATACTATAGGCTTGTGTTGTCCCATCGAACGGCATGTCGTCCTGCTCCCGAAGGGCCGACCAGCCGGCATCCTGTCCATCTGTTCGATTCATCACCTTTGAGCTGTAGAATGTCGTCTTGACAATGGCAGGCGTCACTTGTGACGGGCTCTTTTGGCTGAAGCGATTCTCCAATAGACGAGGGACGTATGGGGCACCAGCGACGATGAAGCCCATCATGAACTCGATGGTTCTGTCAGAGCTTGGTTAGCCAGTCTGACGAGACCATGCGCGCAAACAGATATGACGCATCTATACGAGCACTTACGTCCAATTCCCAATGTCCATAAAAACCCAGGTCGTGTCTTCGGTCGTCAGTAGCTGAAGACCGTAGTAAAATCGAACAATGGCTGCGGCGGTGGCACTAAACAGGTTTGTTAGTAGTGCTCAATTGAGGTGAGGATCCTTTATTGACTAACAAGACACCAATCGCGAACACGGAGCTAGCCAAAAGCTTTTTCTTCAATGGCAATTGAAGCTTGGAGATGCCGAACAAAGGTATGATCAGAACCGAGGCATCGGAAGCGATATTAAGCGCACCGCCTGCAGACATGCAGGTGACCACTGAAATACAGCGACCCTCAATCATAGGGTGCCATATCTTCTCGCGTGGGGTACAACCAAAGATGAAAGCCAATCCCAAGGCGACATAGAGCAAAAGGTTGGCCCAGATCAGAACGACGATGATCCGGTGAAATGGACTTCTACGATCATGCGCGAAGAATATCGACTTGACCTGGTGCAACATGACATATTTGATCGGAAACATGGTCGTGCAATACATGATCTCGGCGATATTTTCGTACTGAAGTCACCGTATTTTTAGCTCTATGTCAAAACAAATAGTTTGGGTAAAGATTGATAAGCTTACGTAGAGCGTGTCGAAGAGACGCGACAATGAAATATCCCACTGCAGAATAAACTATCAGTACCATGCTTTTTTTCTCTTTTTTTCTCTGCCAGGCTATCATGGCTGGTCAAGCTCATGCTCCACAGGCTAAAACCAAACAAAGCCGGCTGGGTAGCGTGGTCGCTTACCAGATGCGTACCGTCACCACCATACAAGGAAACAATCATTAACATTGATTCCAGTACTATGAATGCTGCCTGTACACTGTTGTTAGGACAAGGATACACTTTGCAAGCCAAATCAGAGTGCGTTTGGCGTACAGTGGCAAACAGAAGAACCCCTTTGGAAAGTCAGTTTTAATTAACCTAAAAGTCCAAGATAAACTCACAATCTTCTGAGTTGAAGTATCCTATCTTGTATCGAACGAATACACGTATCGGAACAAATATTGCAACAATCGCTAATGCGACGGAGGATACTACGACTCGAGTGGTTGCGCGCGAATCCGGGTTCACGAGGTTGGACTCAAAACCCGGAGGCGCCTCCATGGCAGGTGTATTGTCGAAGTCCATACTGAATGCCTCACGAAATCTCGTAGAATGATACCGTATTGTCAAGGTAATGTGAGAGGGTTACGATACGCCCCCGCGTCCTAGACGATTAAAGGACTTGAGCACTATTGAAGAGGACGTTGTGCGACGAACCAGAGAAACTACAATATAAGAAACATCGATGGTGGGAAGGAACGAGTGGTGAGACGTGAGAGGTGTGCTCACCAAGATCGAACATCCCATGGCCCCGGAAATGAGCAGGTGCATCGTTGGAGGGGCAAAGGGGGCAGGCAGGACGGATATATCTGCAGAGGCACAGGCGGCCCAGCCTCATGCAAATGCGGACATTGTAAACCGGTCAGCAATTTAATAGCGCAGTAAAACGCACCAATGAAGCAAGATATGCAGTTACACAGGAATGCAGGAGGTTATATTGGATTATGAAATAGGTAGGCAGCGTTGTGAGGCAAATCCCAAATGCATGGATCCCGATCCTTGCCGTGTCATAGTAACTTGGTTGGATATGCATGCCTGAAAGCAGCTTTGGCAGGGCTTGCATCCTTGTTGTGTAGCTTGAACATGCCGACCGGAAGCAATGAACTTTCGGCTGTCTCAGCCTTACGCGTGACAAATTGAAAAAAGCAAAATGATAGCCCCCAGTCATATTTGGTTATCTAGGCGGACTTTTGTTGCCGGTCGTAAGTCACATTACCAGTATGACGAATCTGATACATTCGTTATGGCTGCAGTTGGTCTACGGGACAACTAATACCGTCAACAACTTGGCGGTGGCAGCAAAGATGTTGGCCTCAAGGGTCACAGATCAGGATGCAGATTGGCAAATTGCGTGTGTCGATGGGATCCAACGGCCTAGTGGCTGCAAGTTGATCCATGACTGTAACCTTGAAGCATATGAAGTAAGCACTAAGCATGCAACTGGCGTACGGAAGGATCCCGGCTTGCTCGGCCCGCCCGGCTGTCCACTCTGTACGGATCGTATGCAGCCGAGAACGACTGAAAGCTTAGTACGTACGTGGGTAACCTTGCACGACGATGGGTCGTTAGGTAGTTGGGGGCGGCGGCAGTTTCGTTGCAGACCACAATCAGACATAACGATGCGATACTTTGGAGGTACTTCTGTCAAGAGCTGTCGAGTATTACTTGAACGGCGACCAACGGTCTCCAAGGATTAAGCACCGCGTTCCACTTCTTGCACCAATCGAGATACGATCTCAAGCGCCGAGGGCTGCTAATGTGTGCGGGTCGGTTGTGTGTATGCACCTTCTTAGGTATGCATTATAGATGTTGGTTTGCAGAGTTCGGTACGCGCCCTAGTCTTGGATCCGGCGCGATTTACCTTGTGCTCTTCCTTATTCTGTGCTATGTGCAAGTAGACACCGGCCCGTATTCCTATCCTGGAATGCTGTAAAGGTTCTGGTTAATGTAGCAGCTGGTTTTGCTGGTATGGCAAAAGATCCTCCATGCCCGCCGGGGGGGGGGAAGGTACTTTGCATTGTGGGTGCGCCAAACGCAAAAAGCAATGTGTTGATGATGCATTCGAAATTACCTAGGTAATTAGCTTGTTGTGGGGGCCACGGCGGTAGGTAGGTATGTTTTTGGCACCGTTTTGCGCGATTACAAGGATGCCTACCTTGCATTGTAGCTATTTGGGAACCAAGGCCGGATTGCGCTGGCGAGTGTTCGGTACGCTACAGCCAAGAGCTGCCGGCACGGGCCGTACATAGGATCCGTAACGATTGCAGATTACTTACTTACGCTGATCTAGTCATTTTGAAGAAAGCGCTCGCATCCGGTGTGAGGGGCTACAGCATAGGGCTCGGGGAACATGTCATTTTCGGATCTGACCTCTGTCGTTCGATTTCATCACACCAACTCCGCACATGCATACCTATTTCTGAGAGATATGCCCATTTCTAGCAAATATAATGCCGGGTCACGTAGCCGATGAAAGATCACATGCAGATCACCTCTCGGTACGTCAGCGTATATGTTGGGACTAACAAAGTGAGGCTGCATCATACATGTAGTAAAAGTGTTGGATAAAATCAATTACGACGATGACGATCTGTTGTGCCTAAAGAGTAGACTATAACGCTACATACAATCTGATGTACCTAAGACCCGGTAGGCATGTCTTCATACGAAGTTAGCGGTATCAGACCCCCCAAGACTTTAACCAGGATTCTAGCAATTCTTTCTCCAGAGATTTGAGCTCCACCCCGGAGACCGCTTGGGTGTGTTCAGTGGCAAGTTGAAGAGAATCTGTGCCACTACCAAGTAGCTCGTAGAATCCCAACAGCCGAAGAGCAGGCAATCGTGTCACGTCAGGACTGCCGGAGTTGGAGATCTTTCGGAGCCTATCAACCCATTCCGGCAGCGGTACAACTTCCTTGACGTCTGTAGAGTGGCGAATTAAGTCAACCAGCAAGCTCCAGGATTGCGGCTCAGAGGCAATATTGTAGACTTGTGGCTCGTCCACAGCGGCGCGGAGGGCGATGGACTGCAAGATTGTGGCGACAATATCGACCGGTACCCAATCTATTGGTGCTACGGGGCTGGGAAAGCACCCAAGTGTCTTCGAAGTCTGAACAATGGCGGATATCCAGGGCTGATCGGCCCAGGTTGTGGCATCAGGTTTGGATGAGCCGCCAACCTGCCCAATGCGAACGACAGATACGGGAGTGCCAGTCTTGCGATTGGCTGCGACCAGTATCTGTTCGGCAGCCAATTTAGACTGGCCGTAGCCCGTGTTCATTGCAGCTAGGGGGTCCGCTACTGGCTTTTCAGGAACTACGGATGTGAGGGCCATGTTTTCTACAGAAGACGTTGAGCTGACGAAGATGATTCTGATCCTGTTGTTACTAGAAGTAGACAACTCGACCAGATCTCTCGTGGCTTGCAAGAATGGCTCGAAGGAGCGAATTCCGATCTCAAAATCAAGACGCCAGGAGTTGTAAACAATGGAATCGATGGTGTTTGCAATCAGCTCCCATTGGTCTTGACCAAGGCCGAGGCGCGGTGCACCAAGCTCGACCTTAAGAAAAGTAACCTTGCTCGAAAGTGCCTCATAGTCAAGACCGAACCCGCTCAGGGACTTCTCCTGTCTTACTTGTGCATCATCGTTTCGGTTGAGGCAGTAAACTCGAGATACCTCGGGGTTCTTCATCAAGGTCGACAGAAGATACGAGCCTACATAACCAGTTGAGCCGATTATGGCCACACTTGAGCCTTGCACAGTCTTGGGATCAATGGCAGATGTTGGTCTTTGAGGAAGCTTCTCCACATGTCGTGCCACTGTCTCGCTCACAGCTAGCGCGCGGGCGGTCTCTGAGTTGGTCTCGGGGACGGTACCGTTGTTCAGAAAGTCTAACAGTACATCCGAGAGAGCTACAAGTGTTGAGTTTTGAAAGATTGTGCGCGGTGATATCCAATCGATGGAGGAGGAAGTCAGCTTCGCCAGGTTGTGCTTTAGGTTGCCCGTGATCTCAAGTGTCTGTATGGAATCGAGCCCGTGGGCGAAGAAATCCTCATCTTCCCCGAAAGACAATGCTGCAGCAAAGGAAGACGCAAAGATTTGTCGCAAGAAGCCAATGATTTTGTATCTTTCGTAGACAGTCTTTGTCACGTTTGTTCCACTCAAATCCACCGAGACGAAGTTCTGCTCGAGCGACGAGGTAGAATACAAATGCTCGATCTCCTGCTCGTAAGCAGTCTCAGTCAATTTGCGGACGATGGTTCCTTTGCCAGTCCTGGCAAACGGCTTATCGGATACGGCACAGAAAACCATGCCTTTACCAACACGGCCCTGACCGGGGACGAGCTTGTTGGCTTCTTCGATACGCGGACGAAGTGATTCAATCAACTTCTTGCGCCCAGCTTCATCTAGGGCATCACGAGGCTCTACAAGAAGAGCTGACTGAGTACGTTTATTGCCAACGAGGAGAACCCCTTTGAGCAGACGGTCTCCTTGAACATGCTGCTCCAAGGGAATCGGATTGACTTTCTCTCCATTGGCGAATACCAAAATGTCGTCCCGACGACCGTAATACTTGAATAGATCTGGCTTCGTCGGATGCCGTGTAAATAGATCTTTTGTGAAGAAAGGACTTTCGCCGGGAATATTGTGGTAGACAGGGCACGAATCCTTTGTGGTCTCATCGGCAAGAATGACTAATTCAAACGTGTCGTCACCGTAGGGTCGCATTTCGTGCTTGAGGTTTGGGTTGAATTCATGGTACTGCCAATCCTCGGGACCCTTCTTTAGCTCAGGGAGAGGGAAGGTCTCGGTGGATCCGATGAAGATGAACATCTTGACAGCTATGGCAACCTGATCACCGACTGGGCCCGGCAGTGGAGCTCCAGCACAGGCCACGAACTCGAAGCTCTTCAGCAAGTCAAGGCCTTTCGGATCATGCAAGAGCTGTTCCAGAATAGCAGGCACAACCATGATTCCTCTGAGCTTCTGTTGTTGCGCAATCTGCGTGAGCAGCCCTGCATCCGGAGCCACATGCGCTGGTCCGAGCACAAGCGTCAAGTTGTTGAGGAGGGCATGATCTAACATTATTAGTCACAACAAGAAAAGATGCAAGTTCGTCATCGAACGTACCCATAAAGAAGACGAAGCCTCCGAGCTGTTCATTGTTAGCATTGGTCTCTATTGTGAGAATAGCACAACAAAACGTACATGGAAAAATGGCAATATGACATATAGGCGCCGATCATCTCCATCGAGAGTGAACACTGTTGAGTCTGATCTCTCTCGTCCATCTGGAACTGGGAGGTTATGATCATTGTCATGGGCGCCGATAGAACCATGGGTGATGGTGATTGGCTTGGGCAACCCTGAAAGTTGTCAGTCGCAATCGATTGACCAGTAGACAGCAGTCCTACCAGTTGATCCAGAAGAATGCAAGACCACAATCGGCTCATCTCTAGCTTGCTCAAAGCTCTTTTCGTAGGGATATCTAGCTGGATGACTATCGAGCATGGTTTGGAATGAAGGCACAGCATCAAAAACGAATGACGGTGCCAGATCCTGGAGGGGCTTGATCAAGGGAGCAAGCTCTGCAGCATACAACACTTTGGTGCTGCCAGTGCGCTCCATCAGATGCAAGGTAACCGAAGGCGGGTTTCTCGGTGAAGGAACCAGGAGCTGTCATCATCAGCAAACGCCATTGACAATTTCTTTTTTCTTTCTTTTTTTTTTGGTCTTTGGTGGGTTTTTTGCCTACCTTGTATCCAACTTTGATGGAGCCAAGTAGAGTTGTCGGGCCGCGAAGATCAGAGAGTCCAATGTATGTAATGGTCTCAAAGCTCTCACTTCGGCCGAACTTTTCGTCAAGCCAACTGGCCATGAAATCGACGCAGCGCGAAAGATCTGCCACAGTCACATCTTGAAACCCGTCCTTGACATCAGCCGATTTGGGTATGGCAGCGTAGACTCTCTTGGGATCCGTCTCAGCCAATTCGTCCAGGACTTGAGGAACGAGCCGGCGTCCGTAAGCTGTTGCTTTTTGAGCCATGTTTACGGGAATCCCGGAATCTTCAGTGTTTTGAAATTTGGAACGAGAGATCAACAAGACCTTTGACTCAATCGGTAAGGGAAGCTGGAGAGTGTGGACAAGAACTGAATAACACGTGCGACAGATCGTCTCGGTAGTCAGTGTGTTGTTATACGATTCCAAGTCCTTGTGAAACTCAGAGCCAAGAAGAGATGCGTTGACCCTGTCAAGTCCTGGCTGTATCACTATATGTGGGCGTCCGCGTTCCGGGTTGTTTTCTGTTCCAGATGAGAGGGGCTGCACTGGTACGTACATAGTAAACCTCCACCGGACTCGAGACTACGTAGATACGGCTGAGCCTGATGCTTTTGGGAGATACTTGTGCCACCATGTAGGACAGTGGCACAGATACCATCATCCCTTTTTAGACACTCCGCGGCAGGCTGAGCGGTACTTGGTGAATGAGAGAGTCCTTGCATGGTGTGGGCCAAGTGGAAAGGTGTGCAGGCGTACGGTTGCAACGTGCACAGAGAATGCACCAGGTAGAATAAGTGGACAGGTTCTGACCAAGATGTGACACATGTGAGTAAACGCAACAACTTTCTTTTTTTATTTCTGGTACTTGCGTACTGTGTATCTGGCGCGTTAAGCGACTAAACGGAGAGGTACACTTCCCAAGCACCAGGCACAAGGCTCGGGGTATCTTGAAGGCCTAGGTCGGCTTTGGTCGGCTGTTTAGTAGCCGCCAGCCCCACTAGAGGCATCTAGGCTAGGTAGCTGATGCTTTATGTTCATTTTGGCCCTGTTCAGGACCCCTAACACGTAGTACCGCATATGCGTAGCCCCAGTTCAACTGTTCATTACTGCATTCGCACTTCTCTCCTTTTTCGGACCAACATAAACGATGCTTGCCTTGTGGGGGGCGGGGGCGGGAGCTGGGGGCGGATCATAGGTGGACAACGATACCAGCATGCTCTAGTGTAGGCTTACGCAGCAGGTACCGAGTATGTACCTCTCTGTCAGTGGCTGGAGGCTTTTCGCCTATCTTTCCCTCTCCCCAATTGAATGTCTTGATTGGAGGTCAGGTTTACAGGCATCCAAGCATATCCATGACGAAAAGTAATGCCATATTCTGGACCGGTTCAGCATCCCTCATAGCATCATGAAATTGTCAAAGTCGTAAGACCATGAGGTTTGAAGAGACACGGAAGTTGTAAGCATGAGACTGAACTCATGATGCACCTCGGTACCGTTGTGAGTCGGGATTGGACGCCATGTTCTCGTAGTCCACGAAACTCGCACATCTTCTTTTTGTACCTGTCTAATCATATCATTCAGGTTCGGTGTGTGCCGCATAGAGACTCTCCAAGAGGGACAAGTGCTATGGGCAATAGCATAATACACTAACTTAGGTATTTCGGAAAAGTGCGTCATAAATTCGCTGAGATAGGAGCTGAGCCGCACGTACATAACTGTCAGATGGTGGGTTATGGTTCCCATACACTGGGGTGTGCTTGAGCACACGGATCAACCCCATGATGTTCAGATAGATGTACGGGACCTCACGGGGATTAGCGGAGGCCACCCAAATAAGTGCGCAACTCGTCAAAGCTAAGAGTCGCAGAACATAGATCAATACATCACACAATTGACACCCATATCAGACCAGTTTAAACTCCAATAGGAAAGCACCACCTTGATCAACAATAACATTTCGGTCCTTATGCCCCACTAAGGACCTACAATAATACACGCGCGCACACACACAGACACACGTGTATATATATATCACACAGACTTGTGTGTATTTCTGGTGTGATTTCACAATAAACAATCGATCACCTGGTTATTCCATCGCTTCTCGGCTCTTCAGATCTAGGAGATTTCACCGTGAACACTTCGAAATTTTGCCGGTGATGGAATCCATCGCTATCTGTGGTATTGGCTTGCGCCTGCCTGGAGGTATATGCAACACGAATGATTACTGGGAACTTCTCATTAATGGTCGTGATGCAAAAAGCCTGGTCGACAAACCTCGTTTCAATTCTGAGGGGTTCAGTGATTCTCTTGGTGGCAAGTTGAGCATTCGCGACCAGAACGGCTATTTTCTCCATCAGGACCTTGGCCATTTTGATCCATCCTCCTTCTCCCTTTCGCGCCAAGAAGCTGAAAGGTGTGATCCGCAGCAGAGGCTTCTATTAGAAGTGACAAGAGAGTGCATTGAGGATGCCGGGGAGACACGATATCGAGGGCGGCCAGTTGGTTGCTACATAGGCTCATTTGGCTCGACTTGGCTCAGATTGCAGAATGTAGATCCTCAATTTCCCACAAACTATCAAATGACAGGAGTAGAGGATTACATGTTGTCAAATCGTATCTCTTTCGAATTCGACTTGACAGGCCCCAGGTGTGTTTGATATCTGCCCTTGATTTCTTATTTGAACGCCAACGACAACTTCACGGAACTCTGTTAACTTGTTTTTTAGTATGACAATTAATACTGCCTGCTCGGCATCCTTGGTAGCCCTCCACGAGGCATGTAATGCACTACAAAACGGAACAATTGAGGGTGCTATAGTTGGCGGTGGCTGCCTGCAATTAAGTCCCGTGTTGACCGAAATGATGGCTGCCGAGGGCACCTTGTCTTCCGACGGGAGCTGTAAAAGCTTTGATTCGGGAGCTAATGGATTCGCCCGGGCGGAGGGAATCACAGCGATTTACATTAAACGACTGAGCGATGCCATTCGAGATGGTAATCCCATTCGATCCATTATTCGAGCATCCGGGAGTAACAGCGACGGCAGCCGGGCGGGTTTGATGCAGCCACAAGCCCGAACCCAGGAGGCGCTCATTCGCCAGGTGTATAAGAGAGCGCGTCTAGATCCAGGCGATACAGCATTCGTAGAGGTATGTCCATTTGCTTCACCAAACATCCATCTACTGAACCGAGGGGAAAAAAACAGTGTCACGGGACCGGTACGGCAACGGGTGATCCCATCGAGACGAGAGCGATCGATAATGTATTCGGCGAGCACGGTGTCTATATTGGTGTTAGTAACATGCTCAATTTCCACTTTTTGGATGGTCCGTCTAACAAAATATCTGTTACCAGAGTGTCAAACCAAATATCGGACACACGGAAGGTTCTGCTGGCTTGGCCAGTCTAATCAAGGCTGTGTTAGCCCTTGAAAATGCCATCATACCGCCTAACATCAAATTCCAAGTTAGAAATCCAAAGAGTACGTCGCAATTAGCTTCAATAAGGTCTTAGCGAGTCTAACAAGTATCCCCTTCTGATAGTGCCTGGGGCCGACCGCCTTCTCATACCTGTTGCGCCTACACCATTCCCACCTCGCAAACAACACCGCATCAGTGTCAATTCCTTTGGAATAGGAGGTTCCAACTCACATGTAAGTATCACTGCGCGTGCATGAAATTAGCGAATAGTGGTGTGGTATTGATGCGCATGAAAGGTAATCCTAGATTCATATGCCCCAGCCACGAATGGAATGCCTAATGGTCACGTTTGTGGGCACGAGGCCGGAAGCACAGCTCACATCGGCAATCACAACACGCTAGCCACAAAAACGAACCCTGCAAGTTTTCGTGATACAGAGTTGCCCTCTCTCATGCCGTTCTCGGCATATACAGAACACTCCTTGCGACGACAAATTGAGCTGTATACTGCTCATATTCGCCAGAACCCAACACAAGTCCACGATATCGCTTACACACGTTCCATGCGCCGTGAGAACTTACCTCACCGTGCTTTTGCCATTGTGGAATCGAAAGGCCGTACACTTAAGATCTCTAACCTACTCAAGACATCTAATCAACCTTGGGGGCCGAAAGTTGTGATGGTGTTTAGTGGCCAGGGCAGCCAATGGGCTGGCATGGGCAGAGAGTTATTATTCTCATCGTCTGATTTCCGTGCAGACATCTCTGCAATGGACACCGTGCTGAAGGTTTTGCCGAAACCCCCGCATTGGTCCCTGAGTGAAGTCTTGTCTGATCACGCCGACATTGAGAAATTCAACTCGGCAGAGCTCTCCCAGCCACTGTGCACAGCTCTCCAAATCGCGATCGTCCACCACTTGCGACGTGTAGGTGTTTTACCTGCAATCGTCGTCGGCCACTCGAGTGGAGAGATTGCAGCCGCTTATGCTGCAGGCCATATTTCACTACAGATGGCAATCCGAGCAGCATTCTATCGTGGCCTAGTTACCAGAGAGGCGGATCGCAAAGGTGCTATGGCTGCAGTCAGCTTAGGGAGTCAAGAAACCTCTCGATATCTGGCCGAGGGGGTTGTAATTGCTTGTGAAAACAGCCCCTCGAGCTCGACAATCTCTGGCGATCGTGCTCTTATTGAGCAATCGCTGGCTTCAATCAGGAAAGATAGACCGAATGTGTTTACGCGTCTCTTGAAGGTCGACATGGCTTATCACTCTTCTCACATGGCTATCCTCGGAGATATGTATTTGCATCACCTGGAGGCGGAGCGACCGTCCTGCAATGATACTTTCTTCGATCAGGGGGCTATTTTCATCTCAAGTGTTACAGGCAGCCAAGCCAGTGCTCAAGATGTAAGCTCTCCGAATTATTGGGTTCGGAATCTTGTACAGCGTGTAAGGTTTTCGACAGCTATCCAAATGGCACAAACCATCATTAGCGATCACGTCTTGCTGGAAGTTGGTCCTCATGCAACACTAGGGGGGCCTTTGCGGCAAATCGGCCAACCTCAAGGGGCTTTCAAATATGTTGCGACACAAAAGAGAGGAGAGGACTGCGATCAGGCGATGCTAGAAGCCTTCGGACAGCTATACCAATACGGTGTACCTGTCGATTTCCGGCCCCTCTTTCAGAAGGGGAAGACTCTCCCAGGCCTACCAACATACCCATGGGACCATACGGGACCATCGTTTTGGTATGAAAATCGAATCTCTAGGGCGTCTCGATTACGGCAATACCCACGACACTGTCTCCTTGGCCTCAAGACTCTGGATTCTTCGGATTCGCAACCTGTTTGGCGCAATATCATGGATCTTGATGACTTACCTTGGCTCACTGATCACAAAGTTGGCGGCAATATAGTCTTCCCGTTCGCCGGGTACGTCTCTCTAGCTAGCGAAGCGATCAGGCAAGTCAAACGGCTGTCTCTCACTTCAGGGCTCTCGCTTCGATACGTCGTTGCCAAAAAGGCTTTGGTTTTGAAACAGTCGCAATCTGTGGAAATTATCACATCTCTACGCCCCGGTCGGCTTACTGACACGACCAACTCCGACTGGTTTCACTTCCAGATACAGTCTCACGATGGTGAGAACTGGACCGAACATTGCGTAGGCGAAATCACAACCGTATTCACGCCTCATATTGAGCGTGCCAATGATTTCCATGTCCTTCCACGTCAAGTTTCAAAGCAGACATTCTATAGTGCCATGTCTCGCACTGGTCTGAGCTACGGTCCTGAATTTGCCCTCCTGCAGGACATTACTGCATCGGCAACAGATCATGTTGCCCAAGCACATATCGTTGATACAGGAAATCATTCCAACAATGCCTTCATACTTCACCCTGCAGAACTTGACAGCTGCCTGCAACTGGTCTTCGTAGCAGCTTCTCAAGGCCTTTGTCGAAATATCAACAGATTGTACGTGCCGACCATGGTCGAAAATCTAGAGATATACGGTCCGAGGAGTGATTTCATGAACGTTCAGTCCACTTGGAATAAGAAGGATCATGGTAGTTGTCAAATTGACTGCGTGGGATCTTCTGGAGAGTCCATATTTTCCCTCAAGGGTGTACAGTTGGCGCCTCTTGAGGATTCCACAGAGCTCAACCAAGTGTCCCACAGACACGGACTGGCGCGATTGGAATGGTTTCCAGCTTTCGATTTCTCTGAAGCCCTCCAGATGCTCCAACCACCGCCGCTAAACCGCGAGCATCTCGCAATAGAACACCAGCTCACTTTGCTATGCATCATGGAAGAGCTTGAGAAAGTGCGCAACATCACTGCCTCCAATGCACACCTTTCGAAATTGCAAGAGTGGATGAGCGATGAGATGTCCAAAGCACTCGAGACAGGAACATTTCCTCTGATCCGCGACACCAAATGGTTAACAGAGCTGGATGAAACTGCGCGCCGGTGTCTGATTGACGAGCATGTGACATTTCTCAGTACTGGCCCTCACGCGCCGTTCGCTCAGGCTTGTAAGCGTGTCTGCGAACATGGACCGTCCATATTCTCAGGTGTCACTGACACCATTGACGTTCTCACGCGAGATAACTTGCTCACCGAAGTCTACAATGTCAACAGCTACAATTACGGCCAATTCGTGAGCTCTTTCTCTAAATCGCGGCCAAACCTGCGAATTCTTGAGGTCGGAGCTGGCACTGGCGGCACCACCGAACTCGTATTGCGCGAATTAGTCGGTGATGCTACAGATATGCCCTCGTTTTCCCTCTACACATTCACAGACGTGTCCGCTGGCTTTTTCGCCAAGGCGAAAGAGAGATTCTCACATGTTCCAAACATGGAGTACCGTACTCTTGATGCCTCAAAGCCGCCCTTGGAGCAGGGTTTTGAAAATGCTCAAAACTCATACGATCTTGTCATTGCAGCAAATGTTATCCATGCCACCCCATTCATCGGAGAAACGCTTGCGAATGTTCGTTCATTGTTGAAGAATGACGGGATCCTCCTCTTGACGGAGCCTCTGCCCACACTCAAGACCGTCAGTTACATATTCGGGCACTTTTCTGGCTGGTGGCTCGGTGAAGCTGACGGCAGATTTGGCGGACCACTTGTGGGTATTGAACGCTGGGATCGTGAGCTCAAATCGTCTGGTTTCTCTGGAGCAGAGACCGTCTCATTTGGAGCGGAAGAACCGTACCGCCAGATCATGACTATCGTCGCCCGTGCCGAGTCAGCTCAAGCCACTATCAACGGACGTTCGCGTGGCAATGTTACTCTTCTATGCGAGAAGGCGACATCAAACATTGCCGTCGCCTTGAAGACACAGCTCAATGACCGCGGTTGGAATGTGGACACCCACGAACTCAGCAAAGGTCCCCCGACACCTTCACAGGTCTCGATCTCATGCGTCAACTTGGAAGAAGCTTCTTTGAATGGCAAGCTTTACGATCAATCAAAGTTCGAACTTCTCAGAGAAGTCATGAACTCTCTTGCCGAGAAGACTCTATGGCTAATGCCTACGGTGCAAACAGAAGCCAGCGAGAACTACCATGCCGCACAGTTTCTTGGGTTTTCGCGTTCGCTGCGGTCGGAACTCGGCTTGCAGATATATACGCTTGAGATCTCTGAGATAGACTCTCTCACCCAACCTCAGCTCGTTATGGATGTATTCGAGAAGATCTTGGAAGAAGTTGACGCAGGCGCTTTAGCCCCAGACATGGAATATGCCAGTCGCGATTCCCAAATATTGATTTCGCGTTTCCGCCATGTTACCCTGGAAGACGAGATTAGAAGGCTGAGTAGCGAGTCGACCGCGCATGGGGACTCGGCTGAGTTGCGAATTGGAAAGAAGGGATTCATGAATACACTCTACTGGCAAAGAAAAGAACTGATGCCGTATGTTCCGGACGGCCACGTCGAGGTAGAGATCCGTGCTGTCGGTCTAAACGCTTTCGACATTTTTACCGGCAAGGGCATAATCCACAGTCATATTGAAACAGAGGATCTGCGCTTCGGATGTGAAGCAGCTGGTATTATCCGCAGAATCGGATCAGGAGTGACAGGCTTTCAATCGGGCGACAGGGTGATGCTGTTCAGCGACGGTGGCAGCTTTGCTACACATGCGGTGATCCCTGCCGACCTCGCGTTGAAGATTCCCGATTCAATGGCATATGAGCAAGCTGCAACAATTCCGGTTTGCTTTGGGACTGTACTATACAGTCTGATCCACGTTGCGCGGATTGAGAAAGGTCAAACTGTGCTTATTCATTCAGCCTGTGGCGGAGTTGGTCTGGCAGCCATCCAAGTCTGCCAGATGCTAGGTGCCGAGATATTCCTGACAGTGGGAAGCAAGAAAAAGGTGCAGTACTTGATGGAAAACTTCGCGGTCCCACCTGAGCGGATCTTTCACTCTCGTGATGCAACGTTCGTGAGCGGCATCATGCGAGAAACCCATGATGCTGGCGTCGACGTGGTTCTGAACTCTCTGACTGGAGAGCTCCTTCACGAATCCTGGAAGTGCGTTGCTGAGTTTGGCTGCATGATTGACCTTAGTCGTCGGGATGCTGATGGATTGGGTCAACTGAACATGATGCCCTTTGGTCATAACCGATCGTACCACGGTGTTGAGGCGATCCAATTCACACGCAGGCCCGCGTTGTTTCGGAGGTGAGTGCTAGATCCAAGGGTGCGCACAGCGTTGCGCAAATGGTATCTTGACGAGGTCCTGGGCTACCACTAACGTATTGCTATAAAGATTTTGCCACGAATTTCTCCGTCATGCCGAGCAGGGTACTCTTCGCCCAATTCAACCTCTGACTGTGGTTGCTGCTCACCTCATAGAGAGGGCTTTCAGGACTCTCGATGACTCTGCGCACATCGGAAAGATAGCTGTTACCATGACACCAGAGACCACTTTGAGCGCTGCGCCCTACGTGAGGTGTATCAAATTTGACCCTAAAGGCACTTATCTCCTCACTGGTGGCGTAGGAGGTCTTGGAAGAGCCATTTCCACGTGGATGGTTGATCGCGGGGCGCGTCATCTGACTTTTCTTTCTAGAAGCTCCGGTATCAGCGAGTCTAGCAATATGTTGTTCAAAGAGCTGGAGCTTATGGGATGCTCAGTGGTCTCGGTGGCGGGCTCCGCTGACAAAGAAGAGGATGTTGAAGTTGCCATGGCGCAGTCGACACTCCCTATCAAAGGAGTGTTGCATCTTGCAATGGTGCTGCGGGTGAGTTTTTATGCCATGGCCCAAGTATGCACTTCTGCTGATGTTCTCAGGATATCTCTCTTATGGACATGACGTGGTCTCAATGGCGCGAGGTCATCAGTCCAAAGGTCACTGGGGCTTGGAATCTCCATGCTTCTCTCTTGCAACATAAACAGACGCCGGATTTCTTCTTCTTGGCCAGTTCAATCATCTCTGTTCTGGACGCCAGTGGCCAGGCCAATTACGTGGCAGCCAATGCGGTCAACGATGCGTTCTGCAAGTTCAGGCACAGTCTTGGCTTGCCCGCTTGCGTTCTGAATATCTGCCCCATCATTGATGCTGGTTTTGTTTCCGAGAATGAGTCTGCAGCACAGAGTTTGCAGGCGCAAGGTCTCCATGGAGTTCACGAAAGTGAGTTCCTGGACTGTCTAGAGCTCATCTTGCTGCAAGGCCAGAAGCCCGCCGGAGAGGCCATGGAAGGTATATCTTCTGCTTCTCGGTCAAATCAACACCAGATTGTGATGGGATTGCACGTAGGCCAGGATTTGGACAACAGCAGATCTATATGGCGTCGGGATAGGCGTATGGGCACCTACCACAACATGCCTAAACAGGCTTCCACTGCTGCAAATAACAAGCAGGATGCATTGCGGAGCTTCCTTGCATCACTAGACAAGAGCAATGCCGCAGAGCAGCTACGGAACAAAGCCACAATTCAGTTCTTCGCCACTGAAATTGGCAAGAAAATCTTTGAGTACCGTCTCCGTCCTGACGAAGAAGTCGACACAAAATCGACAGTGGCGCGTATGGGTTTGGACTCCTTGCTCTCTGTCGAACTTGCTCGATGGTTCAAGAGCGCTTTTGGTGTCAGAATGGGCGTCCTAGAGATTGTTGGAGGTGGGACTTTGGAGCAGCTCGCCACCATGACTGCGGGGAAGATTTGCAAACAATACACGCAAACTGTTTAGCTACAGCGAGGGTTTCTTATGTACATGGATAGACAATCAATACAGCGCCATAGATTTCCAGCCATTGAACGCAGCTTATAATCTTAACACTCCGCTGTACCTCACAATTTTGTCCAATGCTTGATCATACACTGCGAAGGCTTCGGCTAGGTCCTCCCCTACCACAGCCACATTCTTGCTGTGTTATGCAGGAGTACCCAGCAAGCCTTGTGCCATTGGATGCGACCATACCCAAGTGCCTGCAAAAGCAGAAAGGATTCCAACTTAGAATTGTAGTCTGCATCACTATTCTTACATTTTTAACAGCTTAGCCACCGACTTAGAAACCTTGGCTGGTCAAACTACTGTGCTAGTGTCAACTTCCCTCCAGTAACACTGCCACGTTTCTCCCAAATCGTAGAACGCTCTCCGAGGGAGTGCCGCCACTCTTTAAAGCCATCTTCAACATATCTGGACTTTGGTGCGCTCTCAAATTCTTTAAGCAGGTTGTTTTGATTTATGCGCTTCAAGTCCCAGAACACGTAGCTGCGCAGTCGTCGCCCGATTTTGGAAACGGCCAAGACCCACATTATGTTACTCTGGTGCATATGAGCATTATACCATGCTTCATATGGCCCGATGTCCGTATCATGATCATCAAAGCGTGACGCAAAGGTCCTTCGTTCCTCAGGGCTGTACTCATACAGAAGCTTGTTGCTTGCGCCATCGCCATGCGCTTGACGGAGATGGTAATAGATTCTGATCTCCGGTGACAAAATTGTTGACTTTAGTTTCATCTTCTTTGCGTCATTTGAGGTTTCATTTATCAAGGCGTGAGTGAACAGCAGACCCTTGCATTCCTTGCATCCAAGTTAGCCACATCCACGCCCAATAACCGAAACAACAAGATCTTGTGACCATGTCTTTTGAGTAGATGTAGAGAAGTATAAACGGACCCATCTTCGTCTACAGTATTCATTGATCCTATCTCTGATGCTGCTGAATAATATTGCTCCAAATCCAAAATCTTCGCGGAGAACTTGAAATGTAGCTATAGTCGCGTTGGGGATTCATTGAGCAATAAGACGACTTAGCAATAGTATTCAAAGTGTTAAGCAAGTACGTACCAAATGAAAACTTCTCCTCAATGAAGTTATAGATGCATCCAAGCTGTTCGTTCTCCCACGGCGAGTGCTTTCTCAGAAGCTGCTCTGTAGGATAATATCGTTTCTCAATTTCACTTTCGATAGTACTTGGATGTCGGTGACACAGATTGCAAAGAAGTTCAAACCGGTAAAAGGCCCGCTTGACTCGGAAGGACTCTACTGGGGAGAGTATAAGGTGATCTTGGCCAAGAAGCGACCAGGCCTGGCGCATGAAGTCCGTTGACATGGTATGCATAATGTCGTGTACGTGGCCAAGGTGTACGAGGTCCCGAAGATGCATCGTTCTCATGCGGGCCACCAACTGCTCAGGCTCATGGCAGAGAAGATTGATCAACTCCTCGATTGAAGCATTTGTATGTGTCTGGGGCGGGCGGGACGACTCAAACACTGCAATCGAGTACGGCAAAAGATTCGAAGTGATCTGCCGTGTCAGAATGTTGCGTGCGACTTTTGAATTTTCGGCGGCAGAGTTGTAGAAGTGTTTGCGTGTGAGAAGTGTGGCTGAAAGGAATCGAATATCATCAAGCTCGCTCAGCACACAGGCCATCACCTCGATTGGGAGATCCGTTATGCGAGCCATGTTGACATGCGAGTTTACCTCGAGTTTAGGCCGTGATTGACGAGGGACACTGGACAGAATGAGTTGAGAAAGACCAATCTGCCATCGAGAGACTGTGAGTAGACTTGGAATGACTCTTCAAAGGGGTTGCATCACAGTCGAAGATTGTTGAAATGTCAATGTCCAGGTGTGATGGTGTTTTGACGCAGTGTTTGAAATCCCGAGCCGTCCTGAATTTGCTTACATTGTCGAGGTATGCACGAGTAGGCAAGCACTTGATCGCACTTGCCGTACCCGAAACAAACTCCGAATGCTGAACACGAACAAATGGAAGTAGCAGTGGAGCTAGAGTTGGCCTTCAATTCTCCATGGGCATCTTGAGTAATTACGTACGAACACTGAGCCTTGAGTCTAGAGTGAAGACGTCCTGAATTGTATTGATAGTGGAGTTGGTGCCTGGTCTCAGCTTCACATCTACCTATTAGGTAGGTAATGATGTCTCCCACCTACATTTTCAAGGCATTCCCCGATATTAAAAAGTTGAATATTAATAAAAAAAAACTCTATTTTATTATTTTTGTTATGGTGCATATTGTCCCCATCGTTCCGTGGGCATATAGGTCCCAGTTCGTGATTGTTCCCCAACAATTGCGAGCATGCTCTTTGGCCATTCTCGTACAGTGGTAGCAGCATGCCCTGACAATTTTAAATGCTAGCCAGGTTGCGTGAAAAGCTTTGAAATAAGGATTTTAGGGGATAAAAGCACTTCTTCCGATGCAATAGCCCAAGGGACAGGCCTTATCTTAACTAAAATACCGTCAGCAAAACATAAGCTTAAATTTAATCGTGTAGCAATGTGCCGCTTCCAGGGCATTAGAGTCACAGACCTAAAGCTTTTGACTCTAAAGAGCGGGGCTGGCACTAATATCTGGTTGACTCAGAAGTGTTCGATTGCCGCAGTCTGTCCACTCAATTTTGGGGTTGGCCATCATGTGTTGCATCACTGGGAACACTCATAGACTTACTATTTCAATGTAGATTTCACTTGGGAAAACTCCTCTTGCATGCGATCATACGTGCTAGAAGGCTCGCCAAGTCGCCCGCTTTGTGCCGCTTGAGGTCCTCACATCGGTGATGGCTGAGGAATCCCCGGTGTTATATACTTTTGCCATTCTTCTCCTATTGCCGCTAATCTATCATCACAGCATAGGCTAAAACAGAGACGAACAGTCTGTGGTCATTTTCTAGCAGCAAATCAAATTAGAATATGATTTTATACAAGCATCTCTTTTCCCAATTTGTCTTTATATATCAGTATGAGTTAGGCTCGAAATCGTTCTCCCAAGAATAGTTCTTTTTACTTTGGCTGTAAAGTAAGCTGCACGCTTAGTGACACTTATTTGGAGTCAATTTCTCAGCGATCTTAGGGTTTCTACCAAACATTTCACGAGTTCAAATGATAAGGATTGATCTAATTTTGAAGTACGAATTGTGACTAGAGGAAATGGCATGGTGGTTACGAAGTGTGAGTAAACATGCTTGCTTGTTGGTCGTTAGGACCATCCTTGTTTGACACTGATCCTCAGCTTCCCACTTTCTTCTCATCAGCTTTATGGGTATTGTTCTGGTTGCGTTTTGAGGACCATCCAACACCCGTCCAGTGGCTGTCTTTTTGGGACTCTCCAGCCCATCGCCTCATTTGATATCCTTGAGTTTCCGTACTTATATGGTATGACGATGTGGCGAACATCTGCTGATCAATCGTGACATGGCCATTCATTGTATCTCTTGGGCTGTCTTGGGAGTCTCCGTATCTCGTACTCTTGTTAAATTAATATCAATTACAGGATAGAGCTTTGTGTTCATGATTGACATACCTCTAACTCGCACTTCGCATCGTTTGTCCAGGAGCCGACTTGCATAAGCATGATCTCCGTATTAGAATTGAAGTTTGCTGAATGAGGTGCATCTTCACCGGACTCGGCCATTGCACAAAGAGCGCCTATTGATTGCTTCCAAAATTATTTGAAGCGGGATCGACACAGTCAAGACGAATAAAGTGCCACAAAAAGAAAGACAAAGCACAACCAGTTGGGGCGCTGAAAATTGTCAGCGTATTTCTTAAATCTTTCGTTGGAATAAATGATCTCAAGGCGGATTGCTACACTTGCAAGAATAAGATTCGGCGTATACGTGTATTTATTAACACTGCATCTCGAAACAAGCTTTATATCTTCTCCAGCCGCTTGTATGGTAAGTGTTCCCTTCTGCCTGCAGTTTGTCTGTTTTGTTGTTCTTATGACTGAATGATGCATATATTCTGAACCTTAGATCAAGTTGGTTCGCTAATATTTCCATTACAATCGCCGTATTTGTGTAAGTGTATTCGTATATATCTTGCAAGAGCTGAATTCGGATAGGTGCGAAATCTTATTCTGCGTGGCACGCATTTTTGCGCACTGACAAGATCTGCATTAAGCTTAGCTTCGATAAACTCGGTGCTCCCGGGCATCGACATCTACGTCAAATGCAGAAGCAAATAAGCAAATATCTCGGTGAGCTAATCAATTGGGTTAGAAACAGACCCCTGCCAAGAGGCTTGGTCAACGTGGCAGTGCCCTAGTCCTGTTATGGTCATTGTAAGGCACTCTCCCATGCAGGGGTTGTGGCGGCGAGCTCACCAAACTGCCGTCACCAGCTTGCAGCCGCAATACAACCATTGATCACCAAACATATGGAAAAAAGGAAACCCATCACCCAACATTGATCTACGTCCTGATCAGCATAGCTTTGAAAATTCTTTTTAGAGGGCTTTACCAATAATCGTACTCTCAAAATACATCATTCAGGCGCCGCCTGGGGGAAGAAAAAAAAAGTTCAAAACTACTGACTCGCGCTGCCACAAGCTTGTAGTCAAGGTCGTACATTTCTTCTTGTCCGGACGGAGGTTCGAGGCAACAATATCCTTGTCAGCTGGCGTCTCAGCAAACTTCTGCAAGGCGTCGCGCTCACTCAGCAATGGCGATGAATTTGCCTCTTAGATGGAATGATGGGGGAAAGCAACGACGCGCAGCTCAGATTCCCATGGAAAGTTGGAAGTTGCACAGATCTACGATTGAGGAGTTGTACAAGAATGAGACTTTGGCCGATTTGGTGGAGACCATGAAGACCAATCATAGTTTTGATGCAACGTACGTGAGAACTTTTCAACTGCGAGAAGACGCCACTGATTATGCTCTAGAGAACGGCAGTACACACATAGGCTGAGACAATGGGGAATATACAAAAGGGAGAAACAGAAAGAACAAGACATCGACTTTGTTCTAGAATCAGCATCTGGTCTTGGTCAGGAGAAATGCGACGAATCAATCCCAATCTCCTGCGATAAGAAATCAGAGAGCCTAAAGCGACCAAACAGCAGACAGAATACTGGTAGCCGGAGCAGTCAGTACTCACTTGACTCCACACCAGCAAGCAAGAGGCTTAAGACGCTGTCAGAAGAGCACAGTGACAGCGTCAGCTCTTCTAGTAACGAAGAGAATTTCTTGGAACCCAGCTACATAACATCTTATGAAGAATCGCGAAGTATCGTCTCAAGCATAGCTTCTCATGAGGTCATGCTTGCAGAAGGTAGCTCCCAAAATGTATCAGGCAGCCAAAATATCAGTTCATCACAATCCTCCAGTATTACGGAAAACGAAGAGGAAAGCAAACCAGCAGGAGAGATCGAAAGTTCTGCAAGACGCCATTCCCAGTTCGAGGATCCTTGGTCAGCTCGACGACTTCGATCGTACGTGGCTCAGCTGACGGGACGACAACCAATGTCCTTGGCCCTAGAGCAGCTAAACAGATTACGACATGGATATTCTGTCCAGTACTCGAATCTTGCATTCTGCTTGGACTTGGCCCAAAACTTAGAAGGCTTCGATACTCTTTCCGACAGTTTTTACCTACCGAGTCAGGCTGAAGAAGGGCTCAAGGTGGTTGCCGATTACCTGTTTGTTGTTGACCAATTCGAAGCTGCCAGTAACATTTATTCAGTTCTTCTCGTAGCGGAGGAATCTGAAACTCATTCAAGAACCAGGTCACATACCGAAGTACTGTTGCTAACGCCGCGAGTGGTAGCGGCTTTTCGATCTGCAAGAACTGTACCGCAATGCCAATTGGTACAGGACGTTCTATTGAAGCGAATAAAGTCGAATGAGAATCGAGATGTCTCAATATCTGAGCTTTTCATCGTGCATTCATTTCTAGCAGACTGTTTTCGGAAGCAAGGGCAGTTTTCGGATAGATTGAATCATTTGGTACAGTCTTGGACCATCGCACATCGACTCAACGAAGAAGGAGATTCTCGGCTGGCGCCAGATCATTCACTTCTATTATACCTGTACTACAAGAGCGCCTTCCCAGAGCTACCGTCGTCAAACTTCCTCAACGTTGCCGATCTCACGGATATCCCATCACGGCCTCAACGTCTGGGAGCTTATGGTGCGACTTCAATTGGTTACGATGATTTCATGGCGTTTTGCGCACTGGTAAAGAATCTTGGTCAAGAGGAAGAAGCAATTCGTCGAGACAATGGAGCCGCGGATCGCCGTATACTGAGGTGTGTGAGGGATTGTGTCGTATGGTGTGGATCAATTGAAAGGGGTACCCGCAAGGAAACGTCACTCTCGAAGAGGTTTGAAAACGTCTTGGATGCCTGGAAAGGAGATACAACTGTCTCGTCCGATCAACCATACGGAGGAACGGTCCCAGAGATTGAATTCGGCATATCTACTGCTGAGAATCTGCACGTATGTGATCAGATCTCCTCCTGTATTGGCGACATGAAGGGTCTGTCCGCCATATCGTACCAGAAACTCGTGGATCTCCACTTCGAATTCCTCTTTAAAAGAGTCTCAACCAACTTAGGGCGACAACATAGTCAAGTCATAAGCAACAGTTCCTCGCGACTCAGTATTGCATCAGCTATTGCACCTTCGATCGGCTCTTCCAATGCGTCTTTCAGAAACTTCAGGGATGTGTCTCATTCGATGAAGAAACGCGTGACTGGTGCGCCTTCGACAAGATCTCGGGAATCGTCTAGCAACATGAGTCATCTGAGCAAGATGAGCCACGTGACTGATCTGTTTGGAGCAAGCAGCATTCATGAACAAGATGAAACAGGGACCGCAATCTTACACATAAAGCAAGTAACATGGTTGGAGCCTAATGCAGAGGAGTGTCGTGGACTTTGACGATTACCACAATGACGGAGACTTTCGGAATCTTTATCCGAATTCATAACCTAAAAGATAGGTACCTTAACCGAGCAAAAGTTTGCGCACCGACATTAAATTGCTTTTACATATCTGTTGTTTCTCTGGTGTTATATAACTTTTTTTTCCTTTTGAAAATAATTTAAGTCAAAAAGAAATAATATTAAAGTTAAAGGGAAAGGAGTTTATATGAAATTAAATTCATTTTATTTCATTTTTATTTTATCTCATTTTAGCAATTATGCATAAAGCTCTTTTGATTTTATGTAAATATTAATATAAATGTGCTAAGACAGGATTCAAGACGGTATAATTAGCGACGACTCATTTATTTACTTTATTTTATTATTTCAACACCCGCGATTTTAAATATTAAAACTACCATGCATTTGCCGTTATAATCAACGCTTTACGCGTCGCCGATAATAAGAGCTACGTTTGAAAGGCTGCAGACGAAGCGATTAAATTCACCGCTAATGATATTTCTTAAATCCTAATTAAAACCGTGTCGAGAACGCGATGGCATTATGGACGCCGGAGCTATCATTACTGCCATTCGAAATCACGGTCTGGCCTTTACAAAAAGCCTTAAGCTTTTGAACTTCTCTTTTAAAAAAAACTTAAACAAAGAAAATTATAGTCATAATCATGACAAAGGCAATACTAAATTTCTGCATTATTTGTAGCGTTAAGAATGTATGGTTCGTGCTATAGTGCTACGCTAGAGACTGATGGGTGTGGCTACCAAGAATAGTTTTGCTGTTATTCACAACCGAAGGACGTTTTATGTTCCGTTTCGTTGGTCAATCATTGGAACCAGTATTGCAAGCGCTACTTTAGTTTCCTCCTTAACAGTCACAAGTGACAAATGTGATTGCCAAGTCAATGAGCCGGATGATGTTGGTGGCACAATATGGCTGCACCGTGGCAGACTTTATGTGTACGGCGGCGCTCCGGACCCGAGAGTGACCTATCACCATTCCTCATCGTCATCGCTACCATCTTCCTCATCATCGGACATTAGAAAGTCATCCGGGTGGGCTCCGTCCTCTACCTCTTGACGGTATCGTTCTGCGTCCGCACGATGCCCATCAATTTGATTGAGAATCTCCTCGCAGTCCTTCCAGATCCGCCGTCGGTTACGCAACCCGAGCAGGGTGGAGTGATTGCGAGCAAGTTCACAGCGCAAATGGTACCAGTCCGTCTTTTCGTGCAATTGTAAGGGCGCAGGACTCTCAGGGTAATTTTTGAGCGCCTCTTCTTCTTTAGCATTCTCTTCTCGGAGGGCAGAGATGGCGGCATGATACGGTTCCGGGTCTTGCACAGCGCGTGCCTCCTCTGCAAGTACAGTCTCGGCTCGACTTAGGAATTCGTCGCGGATCTCTCTTCTTTCGTAAGTTGGAAGCAGCTCTGACGGTTTGTGGTAGGCCCATTTTGAGTATTCCATGGATGACCATGCCTCCCAGAGCCAGGGCAGCTCTCGCAGAGTCAGGGTGCGAAACACTGACTGCGGAAGCTGGTGAAAGGAACGTGATGCTAGGCGTAGATTCGCAATGTCTTTTGACCCAAGTGGATCCAGGATGATAAGCAACAGCTCGCGTGGTAGACTGGCGAACATGTCGCCGGCAGCCTTCCGCGCTGCACGAAACACTGTAGTGTTGTGGCCAAAGCTTGGTTCGTCAGAACGGTCTGATGAGGCCACAATTGATGCCAGTTTGGTCATGAAGCACGGATTTGCTACCACGAATTCGTCGCCAGGTTTGTCTTGGTAGGATCGTGCACGAATGGCGGCCGGATCTCTTGGGAAGTTGTCGTAAACCTCTCCTGACGCTATAAACCACCAAGCAAACAACCCTTCATAGTCGATCGCTCCGGATCGCTGAGTGGATACGCGTTTGAATACCTCGAGGCACGTGGGATGAAATGGCAAACAAGGCACCCCGGGGCCTTCCGACATGTGAAAGTTGTTGATGGCTTTTACATCTTCGATGTCATGCCTGGGAGGGCAGACTGATGCTCTCCAATTTCCTTGCCTAGCCCATTGATAACCAAGACCACTGAGAAAGAATCTTCCGCTAATCTCGAACTTCTGATCATCCGGCTCAGGGACCCAGTTGTCTGACTTTGCAACAAAACACTGGACCGTGTTACATCCGCGCATCTCGTCGGCGGAAATAAAATGGCCATTAAAGACCAAGCGTCGGTCGACCCTCCACTGGCAATTGGGGCCTCCAGAGATGTGTTCGTAATTGAAATCTTCGTATTCATAATTTACCATTACCTTGTCGCGCACCGGTATCAAGGCCTGGGAATGGACTGTGGCTGGGGAGTCACTACGAATAGGTGACGCAGAGCTTTTCGTATTTGCCAACACAGATGGTGTGTCTGCGTCGCTCTGATATGTGACGCTGCTCTCGGAGTCGCTCTCATAGTTTGAGTCGTACTCATATGGATCGTCCTCTTCCGAAGACTCGGAAACCTTCCCAGATCAGGATATATTAGTTTTCTACTCTACCCTGTTGACAATAGGAGCTTTCCACCATAGTCGTTTTGTCTCGCTGGTAAATATTACGTGCGCCATAGACCAAGACTTACATAAGCATCATAGTAGTCACCTTGGGGACCAGGTTCCACTTCTCTGTCAAAAAAGTTATCCACGAGTCCTGGGGCATCTAAAAGTTCAGTGCCCTTCTTCCACCGTTTGTCCACCATGCACCCAGCCGATGGCGGACAGAGACGATCTCTTCCGTCTGCCATGTGGCTCAGGGTGGGACTGCCAAAATCTCCATCACCTTGGAGAAAACCTCTCAAGTCTCCCAGGCTTGCAGGGCCCCGCGAGTGCCAGCCTGCACCGCGAGGCTCTGCCGGCGTTCGTATCCGGCCCGTCTCGAAGCCGATGCCACAGAGCTGGCAAGTGGGCATGGGATGTTTAAACATGGCGCTAGGCTTGTTGTGTTTGGGCAACCTGATCTCTGCACAAGTGTTGGATGAAGTTACCCAGCGACCGCCGCGAAAGAAAATTGGTTCCCTTATCGATGTACCTAATGATTAGAATCGTCAAATAATATCACGCCCTAATTTTGGCGGTGGGGCGGCGGGAGGCGCTGATCGTCTCCAGACGTTGCAAAAGACGATGCTCAACATGGGAGACGAGGCAAACGAGAACATTTGAATGTTCACACCTGCATGAACGGAATATTGCAAACATCAAATGGATATTGTCAGGAAATCGATCCTGCGATTGCGACATACTCGCAATATCCATATCAGTTCATGTATCTACCTAAACTAACCCCCTTAGGTCTGGAAACATGATCCACACCGGCAAGCGTGTGCATATGATATAGCAGTCAAAGAAGAAAAGACTACTAATTTACATGATAGGTTGAAACAGGAAAATCCAACGAGTGCATATACGGGGACTAAATGATTCTCGCGTGGTTTTAAAAATCGTCATAGAAGATGCGTACAAATAACCACATTCTTTGAGCCACAAAGTGGCGCAACTGCATTCCACTAAGAGGCATACCAATTGCCTGCCGCACCAATTCCCTGCAAGTCCCACCAATCTCAATCACGGCGCAATAGCGTCGACCAAGCGAGCAGTTCAGTCTCTAGAGCTAAGAATTTTCTGTGTCTTGCACCATGCTTGCGCTCTCCTTGCGCGTCACCGTTTGTCGCAAAACCTTCACGGCAGGTGTGAGTGACATTTCCTTGATCGCCTAGGTAGTCTTTGATTGCTCATTGATTATTGCGCAAAAGATGTCAGAGTATGTACTATTCCCACATTCTGGCAGGCTACCCATGCCGACCTAGATCATCGTGAACATCTAAACAACCACGATCCATTAAGTTCCAAGTCCTGCCTGCCGCAAGCATCATCTGCCAAGAATTGGCATGCGAATGGTTTTCCCAACAACGGTATTAAACCATCAGCGATACCAAAGATCTAGGGGCGTTCATTCGTCAATGCTAAGTACCTACAATTATGACAGGTGCTTCTGTCCTTCGCTAGCTACCCGGACAGCCGTTGAAGACCGAATCCGACATTTTGGATGGAATTTATTGACGGGTCGAAAGGCTCCCGCTCCCAATTGGGGTCGTTAGCATAGATCTTAGGACCCCTATCTGTACTAGTCAGGGCCGTCGGTATGCCGTAGGACAAGAGATCGGCAAGGCTAAGGGGGAAAGCTAGCTAGAGAGTCAGCGCCGGACTCGCGACGGGCTTGATCGATCTCGCGCTTTAAAGAATCTAGGTTAGGTTTCATCGGAGATGCGACTTGCCGTGATGCAGTCAAATTGGCATTCCAATCGTCGTTTTTCGATTAGTGATTAGTGACTGGCAAAACTGGGCGCCCCCTACGCAATGGCAAACATATAACCGTGGGTGACTGACTCAAAGATTTCAGGAACGAACCCCGAGTTCAACTTTCGTTAAATTTACTAGACCAGTTGTGTTTCATGCGAACTATTTCATTCGTTTCTCACGTTCCTTTTATATCCCTTATACGTAATCAGCTTGGAGTCGTCACAATGCGGAGTGCTCTAGGCTGGCTTTTTATGGTGGCTCTCCCAATTGAGGCACACCTTCACAATCGAGCCAATGAGTGGCAAGCGCCTCAATCTGGAGACAGTGCGTTGACTTGCCAAGAGCGAATCTGGGAACTGATACTAACAATACTCTTGGCAGGTCGTTCACCATGCCCGATGCTCAACTCATTGGCAAACCACGGCTTTCTACCACGAAATGGACTAAACGTAGATGCACCAACGCTGCGAAATGCTCTCCAGTCCAATAGCTTTGACCCCGACGCCCTTTCCGATGTCATAACCCAGGCTTTGAGCACTTCCACGACGGGCAACAGCTCGACTTTTAATCTCGCCGATACAGTCAAGCACAATGTTATCGAACATGATGGGTCATTATCCAGAGACGATTACGCCCACGCCCAAAACGACTTGCACTTTGATGCGGAAATCTGGTCACAAGTCGTCTCTCATTTCACTAGTGATACCATTAGTATAGAGACTGCGGCGAAGGCGAGACTTGACCGCATCGCCAATGCACAATCAACAAACTCGGAGTATTCGCAGCCCAACGGTGACACGGCAAGTCTGGCCGAGACCGCATTCTATCTGATGCTGCTCGGAGATCGGGTAGATGGAAACCCCCCTACTGCGTGGGTCAAGATCTTTTTCGGTGAGTGCAAATTTGTCGTACAAATAGCAGACTCTAGTACTGATCTCGAGCAGAGCAAGAAAGACTACCATTTGCGGAAGGGTTCGTGAACAAGGACCCAGTCATGACTCTAGACGAAATTGAGACTATGATGAGCAAGATCTCGGCAGTGCAATAGACTTAATACCATGGATAAATAAGGGATTGAAATACCATGGACTGTGCACATCCTGACATTGGCGCAAACTCGACACGCGGAATGTCTTCGAAATGCTGGCGTATTTGTGATTCTTTAAAATCTGCGCCGCTCGCAGTCATATCTGTAGCGCAACATCGCAATTGCACCGCGAGCTGCTTCCTGGCCAGATTCTCCGGTTCGTTTGAATTGGAAGTTCTTTTAAAGCCTCAGGACGCACCGTATAGCCAACACTTGGGATCAAGCGCAGGACTCTCACGAAACTGATCCTGTTGTTGAAATACCATTTTTTACTGAATAAGGTGACGGTATCGAGACTGAGCTGGCTGTCTTCTCTTTAGCGATTTATTAGGGGTGAAGAGCAAGCTTTGCGGCGGTGGAACTTTTCTATTCAGCATTCACCCTCTTCTTTCTCTTGTTGCACCTACAAGGTGTAATGCCCGTGGAAGTTGCCGGCAGATCGCTGTCGCTACTGGCAGACGGACGGATAGAGACGGTCATACTTGGAGCTGAGTTGGACGATGAGAGAGATGGGCTCCCATAGACGGCACTTGTGTCAACAGAAACCGCAATTGAACCAGATGTGACAGCGGCACCAGAGCTGAGCGAGTTGTTTATGACAGTGCTCGAGATAGTCTCCACGCTGGAGGTAGTTTCCTGATAAAACGAAGTTAAGTCAATGAATGGCGTGTTCGCTCGTTGAATTGTCTCGTTACTCTACACTGTAGTAGCTTGAGCTTAAACTTTGGCTCATCCACGTGCAACGTCAAGGATTGCGCGGGCGGTTTGGCGGACAAGGTTCTCTTCGTACAGCGCTAACACAGGATCATCAACGACAAATTTTGGCGAGTTTCGATGTTACCCTGTAATTTGCATAATTCTTGAATCTCAGTCCCGAGTTCTTCTTGAGGCCGCAAATTTCCTCCCTCAACGGTGAACTCCCGCTGTAGCACACTTGTCGAAAATAGTGAGAAAACCCATCACCCGATGAACTTGTCAAGCGAAGGGCGCGCATCGGACCAGCCAGCCAATACCAGAGCGCCCTCGGGCGACACTCCGGAACAAACCCTCAGATAAAATGACGGCTTTCAAACTGCATTCCTAAAACAGCTGATTGCGATTGAGACCCCTTCACTGATACAATCGAAAAATTACTTGAAACGGACGAGATGGTTATCCATGACACAAGCACGCGACCTTATCGACTGCGGTCTTTACTGCCCGGTGACATTGGCCATATTGTGTCCCGACACGGTTCCATTGTAAGTTCTAGCATCATATGCTCGACTCGCCCTTTCTTTTTCGGTCAATTTATTCTATCCTTGAGTAGTAATGTTGTGAATAATACGCAAATGAATTCGGCTGGGACATTACTTTCGAGGCTACCGTAGCTCGCTTGGGCGCCGACATGATCGATTGCTTTGATCCCTCACGAGAGTGCTGCTGGGTCGCCGAATCAGTGTCGGACTCGAATTTCCTAGGCTGTGTGGCAGTTCTGCAAGATCGTCAAGATGAGAGCGCTGCACAATTGCGACTGCTTCTTGTAGAAGAAACTGCTCGAGGCATGGGACTAGGTTCCCATCTCATCAAAGAGTGTGTTGACTTTGCCCGGGCCAAAGGTTATGGGAAAGTGATACTATGGACGTGCAGCATATTAGTGGGAGCCAGGCGATTGTATGATCGGGCTGGGTTTGAACTGGTGCAGTCGGACCCGGAAAAGCATAAATGGGGAAACAAATTGGTAAATGAAGTTTGGGAACTCCGACTTGCTCAATAATCGAGGTACATCGGTAAATGAGCAACAATGTAGAATGTATCAAAACATTGTGGATATCAGATGCATGGGCGCCCTCTACACTACAACACACCCTGGATTTCGCGGGCGACTGCGAGCGGCAGTTGACTGCAGGGCTCGTCGCACTGGGGAAAGTCTGCAAAGAAGCTAAAAAGAGCCCCAGTCACAACGTTGTCATGCAGGAATCTTCATCTTCAGCATCCACCAAGGTGCAAATGTAATTAACATACGCCTCCATTGCAAAGACAAGAGATGAATATGAGACTAATAACTATTATGTCAGTTTAACTATTCCGGGGAGAAGCTGTGTGAAATATCTCCCTTTTGTCGAAGCATTTGCAAATCCATTGTTTATAACGACGTTCCCCAGTGGAATGATGGCATGAGTTATTCCATAGAAGGCCAGAAGTTTTGTATGCAGTCTTTCGGCGTTGATTTGAATGCCCACTAAATCAAAGCAATTTTAGGTGCCCTTGGGCAGAGGAAGCTTGGGGGCGTTCGGGATGCGAGGTGGGGGACTTGTGGCTCGTGGAGGGGTATATGTTACCTGAGCAGCCTATCCCGGGGCTGTCTTATGATGGCTCGATACATTAGCTGAGGCCACTGAATCCACTAACTCCATGAAAAAATCCGATCTCCAGTTCCTCCCCGCCAGCAGACGGAGATGCTGCTGTTCCTACTGCAGAAGAAAGGGGGAAGAAAACCATAGAGAATGGAGCTGCTCGTTATCTCCGACTCATGATAGCCGATCCTGGACCCTCAAACCAGCCGAGCTCGAAGCTCGAGAGCCGTGCTAATACCAAGTCGAGTACAACTTGCCAACTTTCAACTAGGTTAGTGTAGACGGCATGCATCAGCTGCGCCGTCGGGACTACTGCCATAGCTCGGAGGAAACTACAAGGAGCCGAAGTATACAGCACCGCGAGCCAGCGCAACCACGATGAAATCCGTGAATATGGTGCAACTTCGCCGACGGGCCACTACTCAAAATATGCAGTGTCATTCATTTCATTATTTATTTACCGTGTGGGTGACTCGTTGCAAAGGAACGAAAAGCTCACATTTTCTTTTTCCTTATCGCACACGTACAATTACAAAATGCAAGAAATAGATAGTAAATATGCAATTTTGAGCCCCCCTTGGCTTTGAGAGCTTTGATAGAAGCTGTTGATCTTTGGTCGAACCGGCATGCTCGTAGATTACCACAACAATGAAAACTCACTCGGACATGGAACCGCACGGAATCCGATACTTCCGATATGGAAAGTCTTTGCACGGAACTTGAATTTCATAACAAGTCGGCGAATAATATTCTTCGGCTTCTCCCGAGATTCGGCAACGTATGTTGTCCGACACGGTGACTTTGCTTGACAAGGTCAAAAAGGGTACAGTCACGAAGCCCATCAAGAACATTGGGAAACTAGAAGGCATCCTGCGGCGCATCAGCATCTGTATCGGCATCGGTATCGATGTCGGTTTCTGTGTCGGTGTCGGTGTCGGTGTCGGCACCGGCATTGACTGCCCTTTGATTAGAATCGCCATAGACTAGGATAGTTTCTCAAGACTACTTTGCAGCGAAATGCTGAACGAGTTCGCCGGGCATATCGACTTTGGTTTTCTTTCGTTTTCCAGTTTCCGGCAGGAGCCTAATTACGGCCTCGCAGTCGTATTCATCTCCAAGTGACAGCGGCGTAGCGTCCCTCTTGTTCTCCAATTTGATGCCGACATTCTCCGATTCTGGCAATCCCCGCATTATAGACAATTCGCTTTTCTCGGCAGCATAATATACAATGCAGTCTGGTTCCGATGATCTGCCTGTCACCGGTGGCGCGAGTCCGGGTCCTCGGGTTCTTGAAGCTCCTTTGATAGTTGCAGCTTGTCAAGACGATGCTTAATGACAAGTTTGACTTCCTTGCTAATGTCCTGGGAGGGTTTCTCTCAAACGGCGTCGGTGACATTGAACCGGGCGAGTTGCTTCCCTGGCACGCCGACAAACCCGCGGTATGGAAAGGTCCGGAGAGGTACAGGCTCCCCGCTTGTCGTGTCGGTGTTTATGGACAAATTCCTAGCCTCGATGGTCATGGCGCTGCGGGGCCGTTCTTGTATAGGTTATTAAGGACGTTGAAGACGGCGACCAGCCGTTCGCTGCGCCAGACATTGTTGTGCCAGTGCCAGTATGGCCGTCCGAGGGAGGCGGTGTTCAACTCGTAGCTTGTGACGATGCCAAAGTGATGACAAGCGTGTTTCATGTCCTCTTACTGGCCACTGTTGCTCCTCTTGTCAAGAACTATGGCTCAGCCAAATTGATAATGATTGGTAGCATATTGTCTTCAGACATTCTACGAAGACCTTCGCCATGACCTTTGCCAGCACTAAGACCGATACCTAGAATGCCGACGTAATCGCAGCCGCCGCAGTGGACATCAGGTTCGGAATTTTCGGTCCCCTGAGAGGCAACATGGGCAACTCTAGGATTATCGGGCCCATATATCAAGACACTTGAGGATTCCCAACCGGCAAGCTCTTGCTGCACCTGTTCCGTTCGGGATGCCGATAGTGGAATACTAGTCTTACGAGATATCTGGAAATATTGGCACCATCTACAATGTACTAGGATGAACAAATAATAAGAGCCTCCAAGATGTCTATTAGTGAAAATGTCGTATCTGGTCACTACGCCAGCAGACTAAAATGTGAAGCAACACACCAGGAGCCAGGCTACTAGTGTAGATATAGCACATGCAGCGCAATAGAAAATATATCAAAATGAATTGATTTCCTTTAGCATTACTCTTGCTGGGCAAGTGTAATTGTCCATCATAAACGTGTCTCGGAGATCTCATATACAAAACTCAAAAATGGCCAACCCGAACTATTTGATCACGAGGAATCTAGCTCACACAATTGCATGTCGTTGTGCCCCTTCGACCTGAAAAGGTTCATCCTAGGCTTACTTAGAGAATTAAGTTCTGGTGTGAAATATTAGTCTCTCATCTCATGTTGCATTAACTGGGATCAAATTCATGAAGTGAACAAGGTATTCAAAAGTCTTGTCAATGTCAGTCTTGCACGTTGCCTAGTGGACGAGAGAACAGACACGAATGACAAGACGGAAGAGAATGGATTTGTAATAATCAATAAGGAAATAATAAGTGCTCGTTCTAATATATCTATGTCTGCTATCTGTTATAGCTCCTCCAATTCTAGATTCCCTGTTCATATATGAGTGTCGCGTCGAAGCTCTATCTACAGTCTTTCTAGTCCTTTCCGACTCCCTCGAAAATGTCCGAAACAACAGTGTGCAGGCGTCCAGATCTGATGGACTCGTAGACGCGCGTATTAAAGAGACCCATGCTTGGTGTCACGCCGTTTTCCTTTCCAGCCTCCTTCGAGTTCAGTTGGGACTCGTCAAGGAATGGAATGTTCAGCTCGTTGCGGATGAAGCGGTAGATGCGCTGCGAAGCGTAGCCAATGTGAGGCAGGGCATTAGGGGCCTCGGCCTTGCGGCCTTCAATCTCGATCGTTCGCAGGTCGAGAGCCTGGCAGACAGCCAAGAGGTGTGCCGATGTGATCTGGGTCAAGACGTCGACGGCCTCGAGCGTGTAGCGTGCAGACACAAGCGCCAGCGAGTTGAGAGCCTGGTTGCCCATCTCGGCAGTCTGAACGTGCGAGCCGACGGGGTTGGCAAGGAAGCCCAGCTCCGAGGTCAGGGCGGCAATGACGACGTCGAGGCCCTTGAACAGGAACGACTCGTTGGGGTCGTCGGAGCACAGGTTTGGTGGCAGGCCCCAACTGGTGGCCGGGTTGATCATCTCGGTGCACTGAGTGAAGAGCATGCGGCCGATGCTCTGCAGGCCCTGGCGCAGCTTCTCGACTGCCGAGGTGACGGCACGCGCCTGGAAGTTGCCGCCGTGGAACACGCGCTCCGTCTCGACATCGATCAACGGGTTGTCCGTGACAGAGTTGAGCTCGATAGTGAGCTGGTCGTAGGCGAGGCAGAAGTCCTCGAGGACCGGGCCAATCCACTGGCTGGATGTGCGAAGCGAGTAGCGATCCTGGCGCAGCGTTGCCTTGGAACGGCTGTCGTGGCGGTTCAGCAACTGTGATCCGGACAAGAAGGCCTTGATGTTGCGTGCGCTGTCGACTTGTCCCGGGTGCGGGCGAATACGGGCAATGAAGGGCTCAAAGCTCTCATCGCTACCTCTCAGAGCTTCTACGCTCATGGCTGTCAACACCTGTGCCAGAGCTGCGAGCGAGACTGACTCGTGAGCAGCGAGAGCAGCAACGGCTGCAGATACAGCAGTACCATTCACAATGGCAAGACCTTCCTTGGCGTGGAGGCTGATGGGAGCAATGTCGGCTTCCGCCAGAGCGACGTCTGCCCGTGTCACCTTTCGGCCACCCTCAACGTCTCTGGGGCCGGTAAATGCTGTGGCAGATGTCTTGCCCTGCATCAAGGCACAGATCCAGGCGAGAGAGCTCAAGTCTCCGGACGCCGAGATACTTCCACGCACGGGGATGGTTGGCACGACATCTTTGTTCAGGAGGCTCTTGAGACTTTCTGCGATATCAACCCGGATACCGGAGGCTCCACCGGCCAATGAGTTAAGACGGATGAGCATAGACGCCCTCGCCCACGATTCCGGCATGCAGGTAACGGCAAACGGGTCGTTGAGCGGGAGAGAAGTCTTGGGGGATGTTTGCTTGTGCCCATTTGTGTGGCCGTTTGTGTGGCCGTTGGTTCCGTTGGTCTTGGGTGCCTGCTGGGACTTGCCGTCGGCAACGATTCCACAAGTCAAGTGGTTGATCAGACTCTGCTGAACCAACTCGACGTCGTTGGACCTGGCATCAGCACTGCCACCGAATCCGGTGTTGACTCCGTAGATGACCTCGCCCTGAGAGATCTTCTTTGGGATAATCTTGCTGCATACTTCAATGGCTTCGATGGACGAGGAGGAGAGCTCGACGGATGCAAGGTGCCTCGAAACTGCCACGACGTCGGCAATGGTCAGGTCTGCTCCAGTGATGGACCGTACTTCATCTGCGCGTGACGCATCATATTTCTGAGATAGGACCAAGTCCGTAAACCTCGAGCTAGGGGACGACATGATGATCAAGAAAAGGATGCGCCGTGTCTCGAAGCTGGATGATAAGAATGGCTCGAGAAGGATGTGTTTTCCCTCAAACTCTTGACGGGTTCGACACGGTGATATATATCTAGATCGAAGGAGGTTTCAGACAGGCACAGATTGCTTGTAAGAGTTATCAATGGATAGATATGCTGCGCTTGTATCGATGAGCAGAGGAAGGTTACATTGATGATTGCTTCATTCCGTTATATATTCATATCATCGACACCCTACAACTACAATACATCCATACTGCACGTCCTTATTCTCCGGATCCTTGCCCATCCATGCTCAAGCCTTCGACAGACGCCTTTGAAACATCGGCTCTTAGTCACAAACTGCATCACAGCAGGCTGGAAAAGTGATCTCCGTCTGATTGAAAAATTTCCGATACACCGTGACATGTCGCCATCTCGGGAAGCCGATAGAGTGTAAAGATCAGCATCTAGGCGTAAGCCATGCCGTTGAGTGGTGTATGCAGCGGAAACTTGGATTAGGTGAGACTCAACCTCGCTACCGGTACTGGCCACGCGTTTTTACAGTGTTCACAGTTACCTACCTAGCTAGGAAGGACGAGAGTCGGCCATGGACCAGCACTATGAAAACCCGAATCTCACTCTACAAACAACTACACCATTCGGATTGACTGCTATCATCTATCTAACACACAGTCGCAATGGTTCTGACAAAGCCCGTCAGCTCCCTCGAGGCCCGGAAAATTTCCCATACCTCGGAGTTGTCTGAACCGACTTTTTCCGGCACACCGCCATGGCGGAGATGCAGTAAGCTTATTCCTTAAGATCCTTTGTATAAAGAAGTGCAAAGGTAGGAATTGGCAATCAAACGCTGGTAACCTATGTGTTGATGATTTGTGCAATATGGTAATAGCAATAGGCATAGCTCTGGTGAGATTCGATTTGACCATATTAGAAGACGGCGCAGCCTAGAATGCCCACTCATGCGGGTGAGATGCAATAAAGCATTGTAAGCCAACTAGCCGGTTCCAAGGGTCCCTGTCTCCCCTGTTATGATCCAATCTTGAGGATTGTGACCCCCGCGCGGCCCACGGAGGGCTTAGTGTGGCGGTCGGCGAATCGGCGTTACGCCGAATGCAGAAGATCGGAAGCCCTACAGGTTCTGCCTACGTAAGTACACCGCGCGGCCCATATATCGTCTTGATACTCGGGTTTTCGGCGCATGCCAGAACCATCCTAAGCCGAATGCCCAGGTGGCCCGGTGTGGCTTGCAGAAGGTCGGCGCTATCGATGACAAAGATACGGTGATTGCTAACCAGGCTCAGCTAAGATGCATCAACTCCTCGTGCGCAGAAAGTACCCCCCCTCTAATTGGTTGTGATACCACAGGGTCATGTTCAAAGGTGCCGCTCCTGAGGTAAGCGAGTGGCGTTTGAGGTAGCATCTGGATCTCGACATTGATGTGTCAGAATCCTGAGTGAGCAAGGGCGAATGTGTCACCTGTGATAAAGTGAGAGGTAGTACTTCGCACCTCAAACACCGTTACGATGTGCCCGACTTGAGCAAGGCCGAGCCACTGAGATGGCAGTCCGCAACTCGAACGGTGAAGGCTGACCTGACCGTGAGGTGTCTGTGTCCGGCATGGCGATAACCATGGTACTCGGTCTCATTGATGACTTTCTTCGAACCCGAAGTAAAGCGCCGAATGTTCAAAAGATTGGCGATGGGGAAGAGTCAGGGCCGAGTACCGACTGTTGCGGAGGCGCGTATATATCTCTACACTAGCTCGAGCTTGGTGTGGAGCTCCCACTTTTACAGATATGGCCGGTAGAGAGTATATCCCGCACCACACCAACATCAAGCGATCTGCATTTAGGGTTGAAGGATGGCCCGAAGGATTGAATTCGAAACGTTGTACTATACCAAAAAAGATTGATAAGATAATGTGCCTCCTGGGTAGGAGCAGAACGTCGATTGCAGATGAATAATCTCCAAAGCATGTGGAATTTGTGAGACTCACGGGTGGCACATTGCATAATCTTGACATAATAGTATCTATGCAATCCTGGCCGTGTCGCTTGGAATGCCAACAACGTCTGTGTAAATTTCCTAGACGGGCTGATTGCAGCTCCTATCCTATCCAACGCAATGCTACAAGGGAAACCTTGTCGTGTACTAATACTGCCAAGCCTGCTGTGGCCAGAAGGATGCGTACGGCCGTTAGTGTGCTCGGTATGTGAAGAGTAAATCGGGTATTGCACCAGCAAATATTTCGGGTCTCGCCCAGTGAGTATCAGTCAGCCTACCGCAGTGGAGGTAGGGCCCTGAAGTCCACACAGATTTAGTGACCTAGTGGGTGTTCTGATGTGGTCTGATGCAGGCTAATGGGTCGCTGCTCCGCCAATCGCGAGGTTCCGCGATGATACCTAGTATATAACGGTGTACGCAGCACGGCAGTGTAGGTGGAGCAGGGACAGCAGATAAACAGAATTGCGCTACATCTGAACAGTGTGCGAACACATTACACGGTAAATATGCAGTTAGACAAAGCCGTTCCTGGTCCTGGTGCTGGTGCTATGGGACGATCCGCACTGCACTAAAGGTCCCGGAGCCAGTCCCGAGACGATATCCCCCCGGCGATCGCCACAACGGGAGATCCAAGCCCACTCGGACTTGTACCCTGGTTTCCCTTGAAGTCTAACTTGGCGCTTATTCCAAGGAAGCTTGTCTCGATCCAAAATATTCCGTTGTCTGAGGTATTCCTACAAGAATCGCCATGTACCAAGTATATACGTATATTGTTTCGCGCCTCGACTCTAGGCAATGATCGCTGGGATATCGACCATCAAGCATTAAACCCCGACCAGGTCTATACACCCTGGGCCCGAACCTGATACCGAGAAGCTCGTGAATACGTAATAGCGTTGTGATTATGATAGCGGCCAGCCAGGGCTTGAAGGTACCTAGGTTAGTAGGCTATAGACCAGCGTCCTGGTGGCCCGTGCCTCAACAACAACGCTCGCAAGCTACCAGCATAGATAGAGCTTCTTCTAGCATTGTGTAATTATCTTGCTGCGGTCGCAGGCCAAAGCTTTTGCATCCATGTCAAGTACCGACGGGGAACTCCCAAAAGCGCGATCATACACAGTACAATTTGACAGCACCAAATGTGCACAACTTGCGTGCGCACGAACCAAGAACTCACGGTCCACAAGCTAAAGCATGCCCATAAAACCACAGTAGTACATTAAACCAAACCCAACATTAAAACATGGTCGCTGACTACGCGGGGGAGCCACACCCCCCCGCACATGATTAAATACTTTTTTCCCCTTTTCTAATTATAGTCTCCAAGCACTAGTCCATGATTAACAGCCCGATAATGCTTTTTGGGATAAGGTATCATTGTTATTCTCAAGTATAATCTAGCTAATTCATCATAGTCTCAGGACTTCTTGCGATGACACTATATACAAGTGTTAAGATATACTAATTGCTCATATCAGTCCGTATTACTGATTACAGCCACTGCCTGTTGCCCAGGTGAGAGATGAATGCGCCGCCATCGCCCTTTTCAAGGCTGGCATTCTCCCAGACCTCAACCGCCTGCTTGACGGCCACTTCCGTGGGGACGGGACCCGCAAAGTTGGGTGCGTACTTGGCGAAACCTCCAAACATGGTCTGCAGTCGCTGAAGCTGCTCAGGGGTCACTGTGTGGGAGAAGAGGTTCCGTGGTCAGTCCAACATGTTTTTCAATTATCGAAATAGAGTGAAAAGAGGAGATGCACATACAGGTTGAGGCGTCAAAGTTGCCCGTGTCGACAACTCCTGGGCTGTAGGAAAGAAAGAGGACGCCCTGCTTCTTGTACTGTACGTTGTACTTGGCGATAATGACGTTCAAGGCCGCCTTGGAGGCGGCGTACATTGCTGAAATCTCAATATCGTACCCATTGATCAAGTCAATGTCGGCCATTCCTGTGCTCAGGGAAATGATCTTCTTGACCTTGCCCTTGAGAATGAGAGGGAGGAAGGCACTGATGAAGTACATGTTGCCAATCACATTGACTTCAACTGAGTTGCGGAGGCTCTCGGCGGCCGTCAAAACAGGCCTGCTCAACCCTATCAGTTTCCTCTATTCTAAGTGCACAGGGAAAAGGCAAGACTCACAAGTCTCCAAGTGGATTGTACTCTTCATTTGATGAGACGGAAGCGGCGTTTGCAACCAGGTAGTCGACGGCACCACCAGTGACGGCTGAGGTCTGCTCGGCAGCAGTCTGAGGTTTTGCGAAACGTGTGAGTAAAACCGTATGAAGCGATATCCAGTGGCATTGATGCGGCTTACCTTGAAATCTTCATAGTTGGTGAGATCGGCGGCAAAGACGTGAATGTTGGATCGGCCAGGCAGTTCCGATGCAACCTTCTCCTTGAGGGCGGATGCATTTCGGGCAAGACCAATGACGGTGTTGTTGGGGTTGCTAGAGAACTCCTTGAGGAAGGCAAACTATTGATGCGCGCATCTGTCAGGCCATTGACACCCAAAAAGAAATGTTCTGCATTTGGCGGCACTTACTCCCAGGCCCCTCGAAGCTCCAGTGATAACGTATGACGACATGGTGAAATTGCTAGGTGATGAGATTTTTCTTTTGTTTTGTGAGTGAATGTTGAGTTATCTCACGTTCAATTCACGTATGATCGTGGCATTGATATAGTTGCCAGCAATGTAAGGCGAGCTTGGATTACAAATTGCATGATGCTAGGTGCCATGAATTCTAGCGTATTCTCCTTGTCCGCTGCTTACAAATGCCCGAGTCGTTTGCTGCATGCAGGCTGCAACTGATGATGTGTTGGGCTAGGCGGGAAAACCATGAGACAATCAGCTGTCCAAACAGTCTATTGTGCCGCATCTAGTAAATCCACTCTGTGAGCGTACTGTAGCTACCAGTGTGGAGCTTCATATTGTAGTCTGCTGGCGTTGTGGTTAGATGCGATATAGTTTCTACAGGGTACCATGGATGTGCTGTAGCTTACTGCGTACTCTCTAGGTTAGGTAGGTTGGATCCAAGTGGAATCGATTGGCTGTGCCGCTCGGAGAAACCTTTTGTGTAACCATGCAGGCAGAGCGGGTCGGTCCTTGCGCCACTCGTCTCACAGATCTACCCGCAATAATCCTGGAGGATGAGTGCTGAGGTAGTCTTGCAACAGAAAATCACTTTTTGATGATGAATTCATCGCGGAAAACGTATAGTCCTCATACAGCTGCGTAGCACGCAGATACCCCGAATGCTAGAGCTGAACCGCCCCGAACCCCGCATTGTAAGCAAGCCATGGCGTATACGGTAGCGTGTTGGATGGAGCTAAAGAGATCTGCCAGCCATTGCATGCTCAAAAATAGGTCCGGTCGGGGGAATATGCAATCACGGCACATCTTCAAATGTACGTCACCTTCCGGCACTGCCTGAGAGAAAGGACCGGAGAGAAAGTACCGGAGGCCAGGGCACCTTTTGGAGCAGACGCCAGACTCCTTCGGGCCCGAACATCTCAAAGCGACTTGAGAAGCTATCGTCAAAGGTTCTTTGTAAGCGAAGCTGGTGTTGCGTTAGGATCATCGCTTCCCGGCGTTATGGTTCATGGAACGCCAAGACAGGGGGGGTTTACGACATTGTCGCATGGCAAAGCAACTGAGGGACGCTATAGTCGCCGCTATAGTCACTAAATCGTAGTTTCTTCGCACAGACGGTCAAGTATAGCCGTAATGCCGCACGGGCGGGTTCCCAAAATACCTACATATATTGGTAGGCAATTAACTGGCCCTTACGGCATACCCCTGCATGGTTGTGACACCATCACCCGTTGAGACCTAAACGTTCTAACGGTCTCGAGGGAATAAGGATTGGCTTTGTCCACCGGCACACTGGTATTCGGTTCCAAAAGTGCTGACTACGCCAATGCGACCTCGGGATAGGTTCGGTTCGTACAGCCAGATATTGGGGTGATTGTAGAAGAAACAGTGGAAGTTTCAGATATTACGAAGATTATAAGCAAATTCGATGTCCTTGGTCTTCGTAGAATCGAACTGACTGATGACGGCAGGTCAAATATCGCAAAGCAACAGCATCCGGTTCCTCGAGAGGTCGTGGCCATGGAATGCAACGACGTTGAATATGTACTTTTGTGCGTTTGCAAATTAGCATGCACAAGCTCTAGGGAGGTTGGAGATTGCGGATAACGAAGAGGCTTTCTTCATCCAGGGTGGATGATACGCTGGTCCTACTATTCGAATCTTCCGGGACGTGGTGTCACGTGCTAGCACCCACGACCCCTGGCCAGACGGGCTTGTCCGCCGTTTTACTTCCACAAGCCACTTTCGTAGCCATAGTTGTCAACCTAGATTAACAGATCTCTTGATACGATCATCGCTCTTTGTGGCTGCATAGCTCGATAGATTCACTTGTTCATTTTCCGTTGCAGTTTATCCATCGTTTTCCTGCGTCGCGCGTAGTAAGCAACGTCGCGTATGGTAGTGCGGGGAGAGTAGGAAGTGCCACCCAAAATTCCCTGACTTGCCGGGTATTTAATTTGTATCATTTGAACCTTTCGTGGGGTAAGCTGTGCCAAGACTAGACTCGGCTTCAAGACAAATCAATGGGAATATTATACCTATGTGCGTTCAAATGTAAAGGCATCCATTATGAAACCTGGCTGGTCCAAAAAAAAAATGGGAGATGGTATTTTGGAAGTATTTTGCAACTCATCAAAACTCGCTATCAAATTTATCGTCATATCTCCTGTAGTCATGCCTCCAATCAAAACTGTCATCATTCCTTGCGTAAACAACGGGCTTATGATCAGAAACTTTGACATGGGTCTGTCCGATTTTACCATGAGCTCTGGCAATCAACGGACCATCCACGTGATTATCTTGGATCCCTTGCACGATAAATAGTATCTGCCCCGAGTCTTGTCCATTGTTAGACATGTTGATCCACCTACGTACGTTGGCCCGTTGAACTGCTGCATCGCCGCAGTTGATCATGCGCTCTTCGCCCGACTCAAGGATAATCTTGAACGAGCCCTTGACCACGACGGCCAAGTCAACGTTGTTGGCGGCTTGTAAAGATGTTGCCGCCGCTGGGGCGAAATCAACTAGGCGAAATAATGTCCCTTTTGTAACGGCGACGCCAGACTGTATTCGTGGTCAACACATGCCTCGCTTATTGCAACCAAGTCATGTTTGAAAGCACAAAAGGCAATTCACGTACCTCATTTTCTTGGGACAGTTTTACCTCCATTATATCACCAGGATCAGCGACGGGCTCTCGAGTTGGGTAGAGATCATTGACAAGTATTGACTTTCTGATGGGAATTTCATAGTCGTTTTCTGTCGAACGGAATACCGATTCGTCCTTTATGCTGCGAGCAGCAACATTTCCAACAGCACCAACACGGCCAAAATCTTCAATGGTCACCATATTTGTGACTGATTGATATGAAATAGTATGGGGGAATATCTTTCAAGCTTGAGCGCAAGGTTTTGAATCAAGAGATAAGTAGCCGCGAAGAGAAAGTAGCGGTGAGAGTCAGAAACGATTACAAAAGACAAGAAAAACAAAGAGTAAAGCCGTGCGGCAATGTATTTCTCAGCTTTATGCTTGCCGCCACAATCAATGTGGCTAACATTTACCTAGTAATCAGTGGAGGGAGAACACAATTCAGTTGGATCGATCATGAAACTTTGAAGCAACAGCACCGTTGAAGGAGTGAGAAGTGAGACGAAAACCCAAGCCACTCAGCGGGGATGGGAACGTGCCGAACCACAGTCTTTGAATCCATGGATCCTGCGTGTTTCTCACTCGGGTCCTCGAAACCGCTCAAGCAGACAAGTTATCCGGACCCATAAGCACTAGTCAGCCATGTTGCATTTCAATGTGCAGTTGACAGCCAACATTGCCGTACATTTGGCATACAGAACGGCGTGCAGATTCACTAACCAGAAAGAGAGACCCCTGCTCTGCATCTGGTACCCGGCCCGCAAACATGCTTATGGATCATATTCATTCGGCTTTAGCTTTCGCCGGTGGGCCTAGACCCGTGTTGCTTCAACACGCCGACTCGGAGAAATTATGACCAAAAAACCGCATAAGAAATCCGACCCACTGTGTTTTCTCGGGCTTGATTCCAGCCCGTAAAGCACGTGTGATAAGTAGTCCAAAGAAATGGGTACAAATCTCATTTTGACGGATAAAAGCATCGGACCCCGGAGCTTACCTCAGAGCCTCCGGCTTAATGGTTGTTTTCAATGGGCTACGAGAGTTGATGACTCCGCAGGACTCATGCATTTTATTTAACTAAACCCATGTATCCCGATCCGTTATTGTTTGTTAAATACCTACTCTGGGTACTAGGACCCTTCAATTCTTTTCCACAAACTGAGCAAAAACGATATTACTAGGATACCCCGCTGCATAACGGCCAAGCCTTATGCACAAGTCGATGATTTCTTAGCATATTCTCATCTTTTCCAATATGTAAAATGGGAGATGTGCATATCTAACAATATTCATCATTATAACTAGCTTGCTTTATTGATCGATAGTTACTAATCATGGTAAATATAGAAATTCCTCAAATATGATTTCGGCGCGTGGTAGTCGTAACCGGCAGCCGCCGCGTTATGGGCCTCTTGGTGACCAACAACCAACCCACTGTGGGCACCTGCGAGCCAGTATTCCTGGGGCGGACATTTAGGAAAAGACCGATGGAGTGTTTACACAATGCACAAAGGCATCAACCAGCACATGTAATATGCATCTGACCGTCCTACAGCTTTCTACATCACAAATGAGCCTGTGTGACATGGAATGTGCCCGTAGAAAAGTTCTCCGAGTTCGGCTGTCGCACCATGCATCGTTACAACCATTCCATCCTGGTGGTGATTATGCATGCTCCTGTTGATCTCATTCGCGTCTCCCACATGGTGTATCTCCTCAGCACGTCTTGGATTAACTATGTTTGCTATCTGTCATACTCTGGTCACAATCCCGTAGGCAAGATAGATTATTCCACGTCGATGTGACAAGGGTGGTCACGACTGGCACAAGCTTCGATAAGGAGCTGCCTATACTCATTCATATGCATCATATATAAATTCTTTTGCCAGGAACTCGCCTAGTATCTAAACTCTAAAACTACTTGCGATGCTAAATCAACTCTACAGATCCCTGCATGGACCCTTTGTACCCCCACTCCTACATACTCCCTCCATACCAATGCTACCTACCTAGGTAGGTAATTGAAGTAGTAGTATGCTCGTCAGTTCTAATTGTGTTGTGACCCGCAGTACGGGGGGACACTGTGCTGTTTCCTTCTCCCGTCGACCACGTGGCTCACCTCGCATGCGCGGTACGACTGGGGACCCGAAGGAATCCATCAGAATACGTACTTTCTGGCGCAGAACTCGGCCAAAAGCCCGACCGAGATCGCGGCACCGGGGTAGGCACTTCCACGGCCAAATGCCCAAGCGCAACTGGCACCATCTTCCAGATCAGTGACCCAGATCATCCATGCCAGAGTGAGAGCCGTTCCACCACATGAAATAGCATAGTAGACTTCTCCAAATTCTGCCAGCTGACCCGCCAGAACCAGGCAGTAAATCTGCACGGCACCCATGATATAGCAGGCAGGCTTTGTTCCTTTCCTGCCAAGGAGCACGGCAAGTCCCTTGACTCCAGCCTTCAAGTCATCCAAATAATCCTGGTGAGCATAGATGGTGTCGAAGATGACAGTCCAGAGAATACCAGCCACGTAGAGACACGCAGCGGACTGGGCCAGGGGGGACTGGATGACCTTGGAGACTCGGGATGAGAAATCCAACGACGAATCCAACAGAGGCTGCAGTGGATCCTTTCCGATCGACGCAGCAACCAAAAAGATGGCATAAGACAAGCCAAATCCGAGTTCGACCTGGGGATAGTGCGTATAACGCTTCAAGAGAGGGTAGATGAACAAGAGCACGCTGTCCACTCCAGCATGGTATAGTGTCGATTCACCATAAGGGAAAAGGAGACAGGCTCCAGCAGCAGACAGAGCAGCAGTAAAGAAGTGTGCCTGCAAGGTGGATACGGCACCACGGGGGATTGGTCGCACTCGGCAGCGAGCGACTTGTCGATCAAAGTCCTGGTCTAGATTGTCGTTCCACGTACAGGTGATACCGCGAAAGATGACAGTCCATAGACCCATATACGCGGCGAGAAAGGCAATGGAACCGAGATCAAGGTCGTTGGAGAAAGGCTTGATGTTGACAGCGAAACCAAGACCGATCAAGTAGTGCCAGTAAAAAGCCCAGAATCCAGCTTGTCGGTCAAGACGCATCAGTTCAGCGTATGGAACCCACGCATCTGGGAGGACGCGGAAAATGCCATGGTTTGGCTTTTTGTAGTCAACGACGACACCCATGGCGCTAAGACAATTGTTTTGATGCTCTCTCTTTGGGTTGTGATAGCATATGCCTGATCAATTTGTAAATAGAGGAAACTGATCTTGAAATGGACAATATATGCTGTGGCCCGACCAAGGGAGGAAAGTATCAAACGTAGAGGGCTATGGTCGCTGCACCAGGATAGATTGAGATTATTGCAACCTTTATTCTAGGATGATATATATACAATTCTCCAAGTAGGATCAAAACCAATTGCAAAACATAACATGCAACAATAGATGCGAGCTTGATTGGCCGCCCGCCTACTACTGCCTAACCGATAAACTCCGGTCTGACATGCCTTGTGTGAATGCTTGACAATGGTTGGATGAGTCAGCCAGCTCGGCTTTGTCCATCGCGCAATCCTGTGGATCCAGAAACTATAAGCTCCGGGGTTTGTTGAGATTCAGAATAAGCGTTGGTACCCACAGAATCCATCTAGGTCATAATATTGCACCAGTGTCTAAGCACCCACCTAACTTTTCTTTTTCCCGAGCTCCTCACCAATCTGCATGGTTTCAATAACAAAAACATATTATGATTTGCCTTGTTCAAACAGCATCCTAAAGCAGGGGCTATCTGAAAATACCATGCAAGAATTGATTGGTCCAAGGTTATTGTTAGAGAAAGCTATAGGCTCAAAATTCCGGGCTTTTGTAACTCCACTTTCGGCGTTACTTTACTATAGTTTTGTGCATATCTTATGTATAGAGGGGACTCTTATTATCTTGATAATCAACGCCACCTAGGACTTGTGCTTGCCACCCTTTGCCATTTATGATCTCCAATCTTACAGCTGCCATCATGACTAAACTCTAACTTTTCCCTCCTTGAAGCATGTTGCTGAAGAAATCCAGGCCCCAGCCACAATAAAGCCGTAAGCTTCTGGTGGGGTGCCATTGGCCAATCGCTAGCCACAATGCTTCAGACTAGCCAGTTCTCACCTAAGCCAATATTAAAGGGAATATGTGATCGAAGGGGCAATGAAACATGTCTGAGATGATCCTACGATCTACAACAGAAAGGTGATGAACATCTATCTAATATACCCGAGCAGGTAATCTGCGGTGGGTACCGATTATGCCAGTGCAACATCAGTATAGTGACGAGCAACAGCTGAAGTATGTCCCAATGGTAACAGCAACGTGTTGCGAACTGGTTTGGGTCAGCTCCTGTAAACGGCAAACGCCACTACAATTCAACCTTCACATATTATGGGTCGCCTCTCTAGTTCAGCCTCAACTGGAAGAAGAAGAGGGACGGTGAGATTATCCGCTTTGCGACCGAGCTCAGCTCGTTTGCATCCGGCACTGCTTACGATAGTCTCAACCAATTGGCCGCGAGGGCCAAGGATGTTCCGGGCATCGATTCGGCAAAGCCCAACCTGTAGCCTATCGTATTTCAGTGCTTCGAGCAAGAATTTCGAAGAAATCCTGCAAAACTTCCTCCACCAATCTCAAAACTTCTCGTAGTGACTGCATTTGACCCAACTCTCTTCCGCTGTTTTCCAGTAATTGGTGGATTCCATGTTTTTCTTCAGGTATTTAGGCTACAGAAAGAGTTACTCTGCTAGCTCAACCTTGAATCTTAGTATTTACTAACCATGGGTTGATATAGGAGCCAAAGCATATTTCAATCTGGTTTCCACTTGGAAAGGTCATTCACACGGGTGAATCTACCGGTTCCGTTATCTTCGATGCCACTCACGAGTTCCGCCGACTTCCTCGAAAACTACTCCAAAACATTCGAGGCAGAAGACATCCCATCGGTCTTTTTGCTGATCCCCGAGTCTCTATCATCTAGGGTCAAGATATAGGTCAACACGCTAGCCAACACTTTCGCGAAAGTCAAATATGCATTCAACCTTGAGGCTCAATCTCTGGACCCGCCGTAGAATCGGATCTCGAGGCGCTCGAGGATTTGTGGTACGGGCCGTTGTGGTGCCACGCATTAAGCCTTAACAGCTCTGATCCAGAACTGGAGACACAGGATGTTCTGGACTCGGGAGCCAAAGCTGCTTCCGTGTACGAGCTGAGGCCTCTCGCACATGCCGAATGCAACACGGATGTCGAGGTCAAGCTGCGCATATGCAGGCATCGTGGCTCCGTTACATGGATGCGGAAAACTCCAAGGTGTTGTCCACATGGTTCCAAAAGTACGGCCATTTTCACCTCGCTGGACGATATGAGCGGGACCTGAATGCAACGGTTTGAGTATTCAGATCGCCCCAGGTTGTGCTTCTCCGCATCAATGGCCAGGTATTGACTGAAACACGGTCCCAAGCACGGCTTTGACTCGCCCAATGGCGTTGGACATACTCGGGTCTCGCTGACTCATATGCCGAAGACGAGCCTTTACATGATCGTGTACTCTGCGCCGAATATCTCCGAGGCAGGTAATAGCGGAAGCTTCATATACTATCTCTGATGGTAATGCCGAAATTGGGGGTCTTGTTGCACTCCTTTTATGGGGCAAATAAATGATAAAGCGTATCGTGGGGTTGAAGATTCAAACTATAAACTATGCATGCATGATACACAGTATCTCTTGAGTCAAGGCCGAACGTGCACACAAAGGAGTGGAGTGGAAAACCCACATTGCAGTGCAGATTACGTGTAACGCCCTCTTTGACGATGCTGCAAGATAGCAACATGCATCAGCGACTTGCGGCGATATCCTTAAGGTAAGGACAAGTTTGTGCACTGATACTCTCCGCTGCACAAACCTAGGCTAGAGGATTTGTGTCAAGCATTGGCGGGGTTTTGCGGGTACAAGTCGAATCGTGACTACTAGTGCATGCAACCCCCCATGGCCTTTCATCCCAGCCATGAGAAATGGTCGATTTGGGCCATAAAGACAAGGCCCCCCCCCCTCTCTCCCCTCTCCCCCGCGGGCGAGCCGCGGAGCCTGGTCATGTTCAAGGTCAACGGTGATCGCAGGGCCTATGTTTTAGACTCCCTGCCTACCACGCATCGACGGGGGATCTCTTAAAAACGTGATTATAGTATGTAGTCTCTATGTACGTATACAGCTTAGCAGCACCAAAATTGCACAACTTGCACCCGTACCCGTACAAGCCAAGGATACCTACCCGACCCAATCAGGCAGCCTAGGTATCTAAAAGTTACCCATATAACCACGAAAGTTGCGTGGTGCAGGCTTGGCAGGGTCTTCTTTGACCACGTTGCCGCCGACGCCAATCAGATCAGATTACCTAGCCTTGTGCATTTCAAGGGGTCTGGTCTCTCCCTCTCCCTTTCTCTTCTTCGACACCATCGGCACGCCGGTGATGAGTGAGGCCCCCCCCCATAACTTCACCCTTGGGTTGTTGCATTGCGATATAGGTCCGCTTTAGTTCTACGCCAAGTGTGGAGCCCTCACTTTTGCCGCATTATGGTAACAGTAAAAAGAGTCGAGATGGTACAGGGCGGGTATGTATAGTATCGCCATCCGGCCGGCCGGGTGTTTGATGGTTGCTGCTTTTTTTTTCCCCTGCCACGCCTCCACCTAGTATGTATCTATGTATAAATCGCCGCCCTGTCAAAGCCTGTCGCGAGCCCACCCTAACCCATGATTGTGGTTGTTTAGTCGACGATCCTTCTATTACGTAGGCAAGTGGCACGGGTACTTCCGACAACATACCATGACCCAAGGTACCCTGCAAACGACTTGCCGAATCTCTTGCCGCAGATTCCCAATCACTCGGCAACAGAGAGAGTAAGGCTAGGATTGAAAGATGCCTGTCAGCTTACACGGTATGGTCTTACGCCAAGACATGCATTCTTTCTTCAGGATCGTGACAGCGTCGGCGCCACAGCATGCTTGCTTACAACATCAAGCCAAGGCTGCCATCCACTGCAGCCCCAGCCCTGGTTGTGAGAAGAAGGGTCTATAAAGATATCACACGCTATAACGATTGGAACATGTGCAAAACACACACACGTGTATGGCTATTGCGATGGCAAACAGCCTGTCCTCGCATCGTGTCTTTGCAATGTGTGTGCAGCTTCTTCAGGGCAGCGAGGGGCAGCCGGCGCCCCACCATATATGACATCCCTGGAGGCGGCCGAGATTGGTCCTTGGGCCAATGATGTAACATAAGCTGCAGTCGCCGGCCGGAATCAAAGATGTAGAAACAAAGAATGTACAGATTCACATTGATATACACGACAGTACAGAATATCTTCTTTAGACACTCCCTTGCGCTCCTTGATTCTTCCGGTTGTGGAAAACAATTGTCCTTTTGTTTGCCATTCTCAGATGGAAATGACACAGGTCAAGCAACGACAGCAGCAGGGTTCCGCAGTAAGTAGATTCTACTTTCTTCCACTTTACTCAGCAACGCATTGCTTGCGCGTAATCCATCGCCATTCCCCCTTCACCTTCAAAGCATCAATCATTAAGAACTTGTCAACCCTAGTGCGAAGAGTGTCGAAGGAAAAAACTCCGATGCGATCGAAATAAACCACAGTGCCTCGCTTGCACCATCTCGGGGGCCACATGTATCACGAATGGAGAGGTCTCGGCGCGAGGCCCAAAGAAAGGGCATGTCAATGCTCTTAAAAACAAAATAGGTGCGTCTATCATTAAAGAAGAGGATCGTGCCCGGAGGATACGGGCAATCAGTTGATGCGTACCCCTGCGACTGACAGTTCTCGTCAACATGAAGCCACTCTTGAAGCTCGCTTAAGTGAATATGAAAAGAGTCAAACGGACAAACTTGGGCAGGGTCAAGTCGTCGAAATCAGTGAAAACCGCAGCAATGAGGATCATATTCAGCAGATAATGCCTCCAGTCTCGGCGGAGCCAATGCCAGACACGGGCCATACCATCACCACGAGCGAGGGCTTGCTATCACCAATCGACAGTCATCTTCTGCCGGTACTGGCAAACTTTACTGGGTGCCCCGAAGACCCTTACTCGAATTTCATATATCCAACAGCCGAGTCTCTGCTAAGGCCAGCATTCCTAACTCCCTTGGTATGCAGCGATTTGTGAGTAAACAAAATTGCCTTTTGCTTCATCGCATATAGTAAGGCACCTTGGCGCTGATTCTGATTTTTTCAATCCCGTTAGAGATCAGCTCTATTTTGATCGCGTCCATGTATTTGCTCCGTTCCTGCACAAGGTCCGCTACTTTTCTTGGTCTAAAGAGGTGGACAAACCAAAGGCGAGACTTGGCCTGCAATATGCCATGTGGACCTTGACTGCATGCTTCTCCAGCCAGTTCCATATGATTCAGCACAGCCTGTATACAAGCACGCGACGGCTGCTGGACTCGATTGAGATTGAAAGCCATGACAATTCCGTAATGGGTCTCGAGCAGGCTCAAGCCTGGCTGCTCTTGTCGATATATGAAATGATCAGCGAGCAGTTCAGGCGTGCCATGATCTCTGCAGGCAGAGCTTTCCGATTGGTCCACCTGATGAGGTTATTTGAAGTCGACCGACAGCTGCCACTAGGCTTTCAAGGAGATTGGGTCGATAAAGAGTCATTGCGCCGGACCTTCTGGGTCGCTTACATCATTGATCGTTTTACGAGTATAGCCGATGGGTTGCCAATGACTTTTGATGAAAAAGAAGTTTGTTTACCCAACCTTTCATCTTCTCAGCGTGCATATACTTACCTTCCTTCTTCTGAAAGATAGGTACCCTGTTGCCCGCTCCAGAATCTCATTTCATGAGTGGACAGCCCATTGACATGTGCTATCCTTCTGATATCATTGGCGGAATCGACGCGATAAAACCTTTGATGGGAGTCGAGATTGGCCCCTTTGCGGAGTCAGCCATCATGGCTACCGTTTGTGGCAGGGTAGTGAACCTTAGGCGGCAGCTTATGAATGAATACGGCGGCCAAAGCCTTCCTCCGAGTTTCTACCGACAGCACCAGTCAGTAAATTCGATCCTCTCGAACCGATTACAGATCATTTCGAGACAAGTCGATTCCAGCCAGGAGCACCCTAATCCCATCTTGATTTTCCTCGCTCTGAGTGCATACATGTCAATATTTCTGCTCTGCGAGACCATCGAAGCCAAACAAATGAGCCCCGAAACCCCAGAATCGGCCTTTGACAGTAGCGAACAACGATCACTCGACAGCACAGACAAGTTGGGCAGGCTCATCACATTGCTGCCCCAACTCAATGATTTTGAGGTAAATCCCCACCTGATTCGTTTCGGCTCCTTCTCTTCTTGCTCATAGATAATTGACCCGCGACTTGAACAGGTACATCCTTTCACGCCGATTCCACTGGTTCTCAGTTACAAGTTCTGCATATCACATGCTGGAATGGAGGAATCCTACGCTGGCTTGTTGCCATTAATCACATCAGCGCTGCAAGGCTTGACGCACGTTAACGGCCTGGCGAGATATTTTCTCAAGATATTAGATGATTGATTAGCGAGGAATTGTTGAGCTCATGATACAGCGGAGTCAGACTATAAATGATATACACTATAGACTAGTCTTGGCGTTTGGGGTACGATACTTTTAGACATTGATATAAAATGCGCAAGAATACAGTCCAATTCCCTGGCAATCATCAGCTTTCTAATGTACAATCGAACCTCTGCCCATTCCTCTGGCAGTTTGCCCGTATAATTTCTCTAGATATGGCCCCAAGCCCATCCTTTCTCCGGCAGCAAATTCTCCGGTCGGGCATCAGATTTCCCCACATAAGCGCGATACATCCCCAGGTATTTTCCGCCGGCACTTTGCCCGGCCATTTCTTGGATACATGCCTCCAAGGCCATCTTTTCTCCGGCTGCAGAATTCCCCGATTGGCTTTTGCGTATCCTCTGAACCATCAAATCCTCAAGTCGTTCTAGCATCTTACCTCAGCTTCGGGTAGTGTGGATATTTGAAGTTGTTGCCTATTTTCATGTCGTTTGTAGAGTGTTATTTTGACTCGCACAGAAACATGGTCTTACTGATGGTAGCAGCATAATAAGGATCAGTGATCTTTATAGATTGTATTATGGATGATAAATCCACAACTGGCTTTGGCCGGATCTTTTTGAGGGTGACCTGTCCATCGTAGAATATACTACACACTAGTGTCCATAGAAGTACGGCGGGATCAAGAATATTCAGTGACAAGAATAACAACGTAACTATGTATCCAATCTACTTCAAGGGGCTTTCATTCATCCTATCTCGGGAATCATCCCGTCCTAGCTGCTTGCTTGTCTATTTCGTGTTCTTGTGCCCGGCGTGCCCGACGTGCCCGACCTTCATTGCTGGATGCGCTGAGGAAGCTTATTTGGCTCCAAAGGTAGAGAACGAGGTCTCGTACTTGGCAGCTTCCGATTCAATGAGAGCGGCGTGCTCGGCACTGCGAACGGTTGCCTTGACGGGGAATGGCTCACCAACAACCTGGTGATTGAGTATCGTGTCGTCAATGGGTCCATTCTAAATATTTTCAAGAGTTAGCACATTATAATACAGCACCAGAGTAAAGAGGTTCGGGATATAACAGGTGAACTGACCGAAGTGAATTCGAAACAATAAATCAAACGGGCAAATGCAATGAACAGAGCTTGCTCTGCCACTTTCCAGCCAACGCATATGCGGCGGCCACCTCCAAAACCCCAGAAGTTGGCCGATGTGCGGCTCTCTGAACCATCGATCCATCTTTCAGGCAGGAAGTCGTTGGCATGGTCAAACTCCTTGGACAAGCCAATCGAGTTGATCAGGAAGACTGTGCCGGCGGGCATTAAGTGTCCATCGATCTCAACGTCCTCTGTCAGTTGGTGTGGCGGGACAATGGGGACAGTAGGTCTCCACCGGAGAGCCTCCTTGATCATGGCGGCGATGTAGGGCATTTCCGTCAGGTCAGACATTCGGGGCAGTCTGAGCGAGTCGCCCTCTGTGCAGACTCGATCAACCTCTTGGCGCGCCTTCTTCTGGGCGTCGGGGTGCGACAGCATAGCCATGATAAACGTGTTGATGGTCATGCGGGTATTGTCGCCTCCAGCAGCCATGACAGACGTGGCCAGGTACATTGCTTCTTCATCGTCTCCGGCGTATCTCAGATCCGGGTGGAGAAGAACATCGCGAACAAACGAGGGCGGCGCGGCGCCCTGCTTCACTGCGGCCTTGACGGGTGTCCACCAATCATGAAAGACCTGGCGATGGAATGCGCCCATTTTAGTCCAGAACTCTCTCCAAGGTTGCAGAGCATGGGGAAGCTTGCTAAAGGCAGGGAAGAAATCGATGTAGCTCCGGTTGATGGACGCAACAAACTCAATGGTGACCCTCTGGTAGTCGTCGAGCTCCTTGGTAGTCTTGTTCAGGGGGTAACCCATCACGAGCCTGTAAAGAACGGATGTGGCATATCGAAAGTTGTGGGCATACCACTGCTTTGGCTCTCGCAGATACTTGCGCAGCATATCTATACTCTCGAGCTCCTGCATGCCCGCATAGACCTTGAGATTCGAGCCGCTGAGTAGATGGTGCATGACGCGACGTCCCTCTCTCCATTCCTCCTCTTGCCTAATCACTGTGCGTTTGCCGTTGCTTACAAGGTCACTCGCAATTGGCATGTGAGGTCTTTCGTTGGTGATTCTGCCGCGCTTGGCAATGACTTCGGATACTGCTCGGTCCGTGTTGAGCAGAACCCATGTTTGGGATCCCATGTGTAGTGTTACCATGTCACCATAGGGTATCATGGAGGCAAGCTGCTGAATGTTAGCATCAAGGCACATTGGTTTGCAACAGTTCTCAAAGAAAAAAAAAAAAAAAAAAAAACTCACCCAGTTAGTGAATGCATTGGGATCACGACGGGCTTGCATCATCTCCCACAGGTTCCCCAGGACTGGGATGCCTGCTGGCCCCGGCGGCATTGACCATTTCTTGCTGCCACCCGATGATTTCAAGTCTTTAGGCTTGAGGAACTGGACCAGCGCTGCCAGAAAGCCACCAAAGATCAGAACAATACCCCAATAAGGGGAATACGAGCTTTCGATCAGAAACATGGTGGCAAGTGATGGGTGAAACACAAGACAATGTTGTAGTTTGGAAAAGTTTCTCTGCTTTTAGAAATTCTGAGAAGGGGAGCCCAGTTATAGTGATGAATTAGGACTGGTCATGCAGTTGGAAAAGCTTACGGGCTGATTGGTGGTACCCTTGTCGAGGTCTATCGGAGTAAATCATTGCGCCCGGGAAAAGTCCTATATCGGGGTTTTTGCTGACCTGCGTGTAATGTTTCTCAAATATCATGCCATATTCTCTTAGCTTGAAAATATGGAAATGGTGATACAGTGGATCTCATCCTCGTAGGATTTCGGGCTTACAATGTGCACTCGGAATATAGCGATATCTTATATCCAACCCCCCTCCCAGTACTCCCAAGCTGTCCGAAATCCGTAAGAATTTGAGAGAAACCATTACTTCCGTGCGACACAGGGAAACTCACAACCAATCACTTCCGATGATTTCTGTCCTTATTGTAGGCTGCGGCCTCAGTGGACTGGCTTCCGCACTGGCTCTTGCTCAAGCTGGTCATCATGTGACAGTCTTCGAACGCAATGCTGAGCTACAAGAAGTAATTAAGTGTTTTTTTCCAAAACTATATCTGAATTCTGTCTAATCCGGTATGATAGCTTGGTGCTGGAATACAGTTGTCACCAAACGCTACGCGTTTGCTCCAGAACTGGGGAGTCCTGGACGAGGTCCTCAAGTACGCTGACCGTCCAGTGTCTGGGACCTTTCGCTCATCTCAAGGAGAGATCCGGTCGTACTCCCCGCCCGTATCTGACCAGAGACTGGTCAGCCAGGCTCCGTACATCATGATTCACCGAGCAGATCTCTTAAGAGCCTTGCTGTCTGGGAAAGACAAGCACGGCATTGAGATCAAACTAGGCAGTGAAGTCGCAGAGATAGATTTCAACAAGCCATCCCTACGCCTGGCCACTGGGGAAGTCTACGAAGCAGACATGATCTTGGCGGCAGACGGGGAGAGGTCTCGTTGCAGAGGTAGCATGTTGGGACGTCCAGATCCACCTTACAGTCCCGGAGACGTCGTTTACCGGGTCTCTGTGCCTACCAACGGCATCACCGAAAAGCATCGAGCTTGGGAGTTGACAAGACAATCCAGTGTCAACTTTTGGATGGGACCAGGCGGACACGTGGTCTCGTATCCCATCAAGCACGATATGCTCAACATGGTTCTCATTTACCATGAGGGGCCAGGCACCAAAGTTATGTACGGGCCACAACGAGCAGATCTGGAAGAGTTTAGGAGCAAAATCCATGATTGGGACCCTATACTACATGAGTACATTGATGTGGAAGGATCTGTTTGCACCAAATGGACTTTGTTCCAGATTCATGAGCCGACCCAGTGGTGCCACGATAATGGACGATTCGCACTGATTGGCGACGCCGCTCACGCGATATTACCGTGTCTGTAAGTGAGATGACGGCCCCGTTCCCTACTAGGAAACTTGCTAAAGGCGATTTAGAGCACAAGGTGCCGCGCAGGCATTCGAGGATGCTGGAGTCCTTGGCGGCATCTTCTCCCAGGTCGTGGAGCCTGAACAAATCCCGGATGCCCTGAGAGTGTTTGAGCAGGTTCGAAAACCACGCGCTTCAGAAGTCAGGCGTCGTACATTGGACCAGAAGGCCATGTTTGCTCTCCGCGATAAGCACGAGCAGGATTTGCGTGATGCCAAACTCGGTGCGGGCGAGGACTGGAAGCTATTCCAATGGCTATGGGAGTACAACGCGGCAGAAGACGGGTCAAAGGCATGGCAGCAGTTCCTAGAGGCCCGTAATGGAATCTAAATGTCGATCCTCCGAATTTATTTCATATTCATATATCCAATAGTCTGCAGTTAAACAAAGATACTATGATCGTCGAGAAATATACCTAGTACAGCATCCTTTTGAAGTAGATGCATTATGAACCAATCATGAACACACATGGAATCGTGCGAAAGACGTTGTTGCTAGGGTCATAATCCTTGCTCTGAGCACCTAAGCTAGGCTCGTGTACGACACTTACAGCGGTCCGAGTAGCGCTAACCCTGCTCTGGGGAGCGCTATAGAACCAATGCGTCACGACCTGGATCTCGCACCACTGGATCCCTCCTAGCAACAATTCGAAATGTATAATGCAAGCTTATCTCCAGTAAATCAACAACCGGTCCAGGTTTCAACTGAAGGGCGCAAATGCAATTGCAAAAATTGGCTTTCTTGCATGCATTTAGACACGTGGTTTATTCCGGACTTACTTCTTCTCATTTTCTTAGGGGTGGTTAGATGTGGGTGCCAAGGTGGCGATTGTCCTGCTTACCATCTGCATCGGAGGGCGATCCTACATGGGCAGATACCCCCTTAGGCTGGTAGGTACCGTGTGCTACAAAGGTCCCTAAAGCCCATTTTTTCCACCGGACTTTTAGGCCTTTACAGAGTGCACCCGCCCGCATGGCCGCGACGAAATCATTCCAATAGTACATGCACGCAACGCTTTTCACAAAGCTTACCCGTAGAACGTATCCCGGAGCCACCCACTTTGCATGACTAACAGTCTCGTAGCAAAGAATCCGGAGAAAATCCCTGCCGAATAGTTCATTGTAACAAGTCGTTCACATGTACCCGAGTGATTGTAACCTGAACCGGGCTCTGGTGTACTGAAGGAAACTCGTAGCGATGCAAAAATTCTGTCCCTTACATAACGTTAAGTTGCTGTATCTTTGAGGATTCTTCCAGCAGCTCCTTCGTGGCGATCCTGTTGAGCACGCTGTGCTTCTGCAAAGACTTTTTGGGCTTCTCTTGTTCAAAGAGGCCGGCCAGCATCGCCTAGATTTTGGTGAAGAGCAAACTTGCCCTGAAGTGCGTTGACAAGGGCAGCCGCATCTTCCTTCCATGGCAGCGGCGCCTTCATTGCCGCTGATTGGGTGAATCTGGTTTAAGCCTTACGGCCACTATAAGCCTTCTATAACACAAATAGCTTATGAACTCCACTATGACTAGGTAGGCTGGTAGCGCTTATACGGACTACAAGGCATGCAAGTCCCTACAATCTCTCACTCTAGGTATCTTGTATCGCCAACATTGGAGGATACAAAGTCCTTTAACGTTGTCTGCCTAGTATTACAATGGCGTTTGACGGAAATATAAGCTAAACAATACTGGCACGACATACGAAAAGTCTTGGAAAGTTGTTTGTGTCGACCGTTGTGACTGGTGCTCATGTCCGGGTTAACCATTTTCTAATACCTTCAGTCCGGAGAAAAGATCCCCGGAACACGCCCTGCACCGTGCCGCCGGGCAATTGTGGGACGCTCTAACGCCCCTCGGGCCCCTCGGGATTATAAATTTCGGATTTGCTGCTTTTTGGCTGTTTATATTGACTTCATGTTGCTGTGCAAATTTCGTGCTTGAGAAGGCTATGGGGAAACACGCCGAAGGATGAAGCATCGGCCATGTTTAGGTATCGATAAAGCAGGGCATTCAAAGCTGAAAGTGGTGCGACGACAGTGAATCGTAGCGGATTGATTATGGAGAAAGTTTGGCTCTAATGTACATCTTTACTGGCATCCTTGGTATACCTCATCAACAAGCTGAGGACTTTCATAATGCTCCAGAACTCTATTTCACCGTGAAACATGACAGAGCTGGGCTGGCCGGGCCGTAGGTAGTAGCGTGGGACGTACATACTCTCTGTATTGTAACGAACGCACAAAGGTCTCCACAGGTAATGGTGGGAACTTACTGCATCGTAACGATCAAAACGTGAAGCATGGGCATTCATAGAGATAAGACCCGGCTCTCGATTATTTCGATTATCATGGTGGACATCGAGGCAATGTTCTAGTCCGAAAGCAGTTGTTCAAAGTTGTGGAGGGTCGTGTCAAGATGATTTATTAGATGCAAGTAAAACAATTATCAGACAGGCATCATATCATTATCATTTATGACAACCAAGGATGGCCGCATGGTGTGCCAGTCTGAGTAAATATTTTCGATCAAGACTACATACTTGCCACAGACACCACCAGGAAAGGAAAAGAAAAGTGAAAGAAAAAAAAAAAAAAAAGGTAGGGTCCCTTTGATCAGATCCCAAAAAGTTACTATGTACTCTGTAGAAGCTGTTATACCGAAGGAAAGCCCCGTTTCGGCTATCCATGGCTCCAGGCCTCGCACGCTACTATCCTTGAACCCGCCACGCCCTCCCTAGTTAGCTGCATGCATGCAGGCTGCTGCCAAACTGTTGATGGAGTTGCGCCAGCATAAGCCGCAATGAGGTATCTTTGGTATAAGCAGCAACCAGCAAGGATCTCGCTCCTCTCGAACCCTGAACCATCGACAGTCCAATGATTGGAAAGATGACGGTAGTCGGAACAGGCCACGCTGCAGCCGCCCAACTGAGACAATAGTCTGGATGACTGCATCAGAGCCACTAGATAACAAGATACGCATTATACGCATAATTCTGGATGTCGGGCTCAAATAAGCTCGCCTGTCTTCGAGGTCCTATTGCGGTTATTGCATTGATGATGATTACCAGGTGCAAGCAATTCCTTACTCCCGAGAGAGAAAGTCATCACCGCCAGGTCTTTCTTCGTGTGCATCGTAACAATCATCCATCTTCAACGTGCCGCCTCACACCTCCCCCGCTAGGTATACTAGCCATCACTACCACCACCAGCTCTGCCTAGCGCGCGCGAAAGCCCAGACGAGAAAGACATGAACGATCCGTCCATGACAGCTGCATCACAACAATTCGACGGCGACTGGACGTCTAATCAGGTTTCCCGACAAACCTCTGGTCGAAATTTGCGGAAATCGTGCGATCGCTGCCACCAGCAAAAGCTGCGATGCGTCAGGAGTAATACCTCTCTAGAACCCTGCACGCGATGCCAACGGGTCGGTGTCGAGTGCGTCTACAGTGCACGGTCCAGTAAGCAGGCCAACAAGAACAAAAGCAGACACCAGAATGGTGCTCAGACCGAGCCGGTAACACCAGTGATGAGCCATCAGCACAGCAACTCTGGGAGTTACGAGCCGGAGGACTTGCAGCTGGGCAGCTTCTTCCCATCCGCCTTGGACACAACCAACGTTTGGTCTTTGAATGACCTCGGCTTGGCGACACATACTCATAGAGGGCCCGTCTTCTCGAGCAAGTCGGGGATCGATGAAAGTGTCATAGCGCCGCCAGACGTGTGCAAGTCCGGCAGCGACTCGTCCAGTCGATTTACGAGTATATGTCAGACGTTGGAAACTCTTTTCAAGACGGTGACAAGTGAGCGCACATGTCAAGGCGAACAATGTAAACATCATATGCCACACATCAGTATAACATGACAAAATAATAGCTGACCAAGGGCATAAGCAGATCCTGTCCGGGAGGTGTTCAATGCGTTTGATAGTCTCGTGAGGGCCATGGCGCTCGAATGGGGGAGAGGCCGGACGCCACCACGAGACGCCCATACAACCTTCGACAAATATATTGACAGCAAGCAGGCGTCCATGGCAGCGCAATGCTACATGCTCTGTATAAGGCTATTTGTCTCGCTCTCGGAGAAACTTCTAAATAACCTTTTAGCATCGCCTATGCCAGTGCAACCTGCAACTTTTGGATTGAACACGCCCGACTCAACTCAGTTCAGTGGTGGCGGCGGGCTGGGGACGCTAGATATGAACTTCTCCCTCGGAAACGACAATGTAATGGATAATTTTGGCCTCGACGACCTAAGTGTTAGCCCTACAGACTCATATGAGCAGGCTGTTGACTCGGCCGTCAATGTGCTCCGTGTCGGCACCAGACTTATAGGTAGAATGGAACAGATGCTGGGCATTCCTCCGGACATGGCAGTGGGCACATTATCGTCGGCAGAGCAGCCGAGCCTTGAGCATCAGCGAAAAAAGCGGTCCCTACCGGCGCGCCTCGTCGCCACGACGTGGGAGTACGAGACAAGCATCGGCAACAAATGCGCTATAACATATTTCAAGCGCTATCGCGCGGCCATCCTGGGGCTTGCCCATGGCCACATGTGAAAGGCTTCATATCCTTTTCCAAACGCACGTGCTTGCCAATACCACGGCATGGCCGACTGGTTCTCGAGTCGTATCCGCCCTCTAGCCTTCAACCCTCGCCGAAGACAAGGGAAAGTCACCTGGTAGGTGTTGAGCGTATACCTGGCACATATTCCGACCACAACATGGTGCCCGCGGCTTCAGTCTCATGTAAATTAGATGATAGAAATTTAAACAAACCGAAGAAATTATTAGCTAGAGCGGGCTGCTTTGCTTCGGCAGCGGCTCAATGCTATGGAGAAGTACCACTCCATAGGAAGTAACTGCAATGAATAGAGAGAAGAGATCAAATGTGTAGTTCGAATCTGATAGACATGGTTTGCATACAGTAAATGTGAGCTGCGATGGAAAGAGATTAAGTATTCCGTGTCAGGCGAGTCACTTTGAGAAAAAGAAAAAAGGGCACGCAGGTCAATCTTTCAGGAGCCCTAACCATGTAAGCGACTCGATTGAGAACGATAATAGTCAGCCGGTCCAATAATGCACTGCTGCTGGAGACGATAATTTTAGACGGTTCAAAAAAACACCGAACGCATGATTCCTGCGCATCGCGGCACTCAGCAACGGCATCTGACACCGGCAATCAGCAACGGCATCTGACACCGGCATTCAACAACGGCAAACCTACACGATAGAAACATAGCAATGCAGTTTTTATTGCAAATCTTTTCGACAGTAATATATGAAAATAAAAATAGAGCAAGATAAAAAAATAGAAAAGTGTACCTACACAATACCGACGATAAAACTTGAGTCTTTTGCAATAAAACATCAATGCTATTCCATCCCTCAAGTTTCTTCGTGTCTAATCACGAGAGCTTATTTCTAGTGGTTTTCGCAGCGTTGTAAGAGTTTACAGCATAATCTTGCCCAGAGCAACTCGATTGCTGTGTCGAGGATGATACAGAGTCTATCCCAAGCGACAAGTCTACAAAAGGTCTAGTGCTCTCCATTTGCTTCCGTCCCTTGTGTTACAGTACCAACCATAACGGCTTGAACTCGTTGTGGACCATGATTGAGAGGATTTGTGGACATTGAACCCTGGACAAATACTGTCGTTAAGAACGAGTCCAAAGAATCATACTCTCTACTGGACATGCCTAATCTCAGACTGACACGAACACACGAGCCTACCGATCCACTCTCATGCTTCAAGCAACGTTGATGATGATCCCGCATGGAGGATTCATATGCGGGGGCCCATTCACCAAAACGCGAAAAGATGCATCAGCGTTCATAAAAGACGAGAGCTACAATACATTGACCAGCAGGCGTGAGGACCTTTGACATGATCGAGACCCGCAGGCATCTCTATAAACACGCCTTTCACGTCCATCAAATGCCCTGCGTAAGAAGGCGAGGACTATCAAATGCCAGAATGGGGTGCAAGTGCTGGCAATCGAGGTCGTAGAGGTCCGACATATCGAGGGCTCGAAAGGGACGAAATCGTATGCTTGATTCACTTTGACTGAGACACGTCGTCGACACATTCCGCATTCTAGACTATGCACTAGACTGCAGCGTTGCCGAACATTTCTACTGCATGGAATGTGTAGTACAAACTTTGGAATAAAACAAACGATTCAAAAATAAATATGTCAATATTCAAACAAATTTCTGTTAAATCAATATCATGTGAGCGTGTCTTCTCAAGCTTCTGCGCAGATCAAGTGACCTAATATTTTTTCTACTGATCGCGAAACGAATTATCAGATTGGCAATAGTGTTACTCTTTGTACGAATTTCTCAACAGGCAAACTGCCATGTATATTTGACCATCAACTCAATATCCCGTGATCAGTAATAAGTAGCGCCAAGTCTTTTACATCTCAATCGACTTGACATTCTCCTGCACATATGAAGTCCTCGTCTACTTTTGCAGCAATGGCGGCGGTAATGGCTGGAGTTGAGGCCATAGCCATTCTCTCCGACACGACATCAAGCTTGCTCAAGTCCACCAGTAGGCGCAGAGGCTGTGGCCGTCTGCCTTCTTCCAGTGCATCTGAGCTAGTCTCTGTAAATGGTTCTTTCACGACTTTTGTAATCACCCTACCGGAATCTTCGCCGACCACTGCCACGACTATTCCCGAAACGACGGCAGAGACTACTACTTCAACCTCACTTTATACTGCTGGTACAACCGCTTCATCGACCGAGTCGAGCGCCGAGGTATCTTCAACGTTCTTTGCTATTATGTCTTCGACTGATTCCACTACTATCGAACCCACTTTGGCATTCTCTCCTACTCTCATTGGGACTGAATCCACCATTGGAGCTTCTACCACGGCGGTCTCTACTTTCTCTGTCACGGAACCCGCACTGAGACTTCTACAGTAGTCTCTTCCACGGTTGAGTCCACCCAGTCCACTACTGAAAGCACCTCTGAGACTTCTATGGTATTCTCTTCCACGGTTGAGTCCACCGTCCGGCCCACCACTGAAAGCACCACTGAAGTCACTATCAAGGCCACTATCAAGGCCACTATTGAGCCCACTGTCGTGCCAACTACGGAGATTTCAACGACAGTTTCTTCAGAATCCTCTGTCACTGAATCCACTCCTTCTGAAACAACAGCCACCTCGAGCACAACGTCCCCAACTTGTGTAAGTTTGAACTGTTCACCGAATTGGACGATATTTCCACACTAAACTCTTAATCAGTCGCCCATAGTCGTCAATGGTGATTTTGAAAGTGGCGATGAACCATGGCTGCGGACTGGCACTGTTGATATCCGTGATAACAGCCAGGGCTTCTATAGTACTCCCTACGGCGACTCTTTCGCGTAAGTGCATTCTACATCTCCCTTACATATGCCAATTGAGCGCACGACTTGCTAACTCTACGTGTTGTTTTTTTCCCCTGCTCGAAACAGCCTAGTACCTTCCGCATACAGAGTAATATCGACCATCTCTCAGACTGTCTCCAACGTACCCATGGGTGGTGCCCTCTTGTCACTCAACTATAGACTGTATGGCGGGTTGGGTCCATGGTCCTCGTGCACGCTGACCGCAAACTATGCCGGTACCTGGCTGGGAGCGGTGAGTGTGGCAGCCAACAGTGCTGCGGGAACAAGTTGGCAAGCCGTGTCGTGGCCCGCGGCCAATGTAGGAGGGGCGACAACCGGCATCTTACAATTGGCCTGGGGGGGGGGGGGGGGGAGTGCAACGACGTCAGTAACATGATTATTGCACTCTACAACATTTCCCTTGGTGATTGTGGCAAACCCACACCCACACCGACGCCATGAGGAGAGTTTATTTTGGGGGGGTTCTGTAGATGAGTGTGATTCTTTTCGCTTACTCTTCTTCTCTAATCCGTGTATTAAATTCATGATGATCTCGTCTTTATATACTCGATCCCATCAATAATGATGGAATCAAACATCATGAAAGAAGTCGCACTGTGACCTACATTCAAGTCAACGGGTGATGAGCAATATCTTTATATTCAGTGGCAATGGTAACCATCAAGGATCATGTTCTGTACATCAACGTTCTTGACTGCGGACCCAAGGCGGTCCTCGGGGACCTTCAAACATGTTCCTTGTGCTCCACCGTCTCTGCTTCAACACGCTTGTCCATGGCCAAGGACGTCTCGGCCTGTGGCCCGTCAAAGATAAAGGCAATCTCCTCGAGCGAGTGGCCCTTGGTCTCGGGGAACAAGAGGTACACGACGATCAACATGATGAGCAACAAGACGCAAAAGACGATGTAATAGTGCCAGCCGATATTCTCCATGCCGATCGGATTGACAAATTGCCCAATAACGAGGCCACCAGAGTTGAAGTAGAATTCGAGGGCCAAACCTTTGGCTCGAAGGGAATAGGGGAAGATCTCGGTCGGATACTGTATTTATTCAGTCTGTTAGAAACGCCAGGTAGAACATGAGAGATTAGGAAGACAGTTGAGACTTACAGCAATCAACAATGGTGTATAAGCAATGTCGTAATGGAAGTAGTAGAAGAACATGCAGACAACAACCATGATTCCAGCCGCTGAATTGCCCGTCTCGGCATTCACCGCCGAGCACGCGGTCCAGACGATATAGGTCACCAGCATACCAGCCGTGGACCACAGGAACAACAGGCGGCGACCGAGTCTGTCGACAAGGAAAGCTCCAATCAACGCGGCGCCAAAGTTGAAGATTTGCAGCATGCCATTGATGAGAGTCTGGTCAAAGGTGCTAGTGATACCCACAGAAGTAAGGACTTTGCTGAGGTAGTAGGAGACGACGGCGACACCGTTCCACTGCGCAAAGAGACCGACGCAGATGGCAACGGCCACGCGCTTCCTGTTTCCGGGGGTCGCAACCAAGGAGCGCCAGGTCGTCAAGGCGGCTTCCTTCTCCATGTGGATCGACTCGACCATCTCGGACAGCTCGCGCGCAACGAGTTGACTCTCGGGCGTCGGGTCGTGGATCCTGGAGAGAAGAACGGAAGCATCCTGGACCCGGTCGTTTGCCACGAGCCAACGCGGCGACTGAGGTACAAACCAGATGCAGCAGACCTGAACCAACGGTAGGACCGCCTGAAAGATGGTAGGGACCTTCCATGCCAAGGATCCATGAAGATCTTGAGCCGCAAACGTGATCCAGGAAGCAATGATGCCGCCAAAGTAGTACATGGTGAAGAAAGCCGCCGTGTACTTTCCTCGGTGCGTCGGGTACGCCAGCTCAGCTATGAGCAAGGCACTTGGTTGGATCATGAAGGAACCGCAGAAGCCCAGGATGGCACGGGAAAACACAAACATGCCGTAGTTGACGGAAAATAACTGGATGAGGCTGGCAACAATGACTCCTGCACCGCCAATCAAGATGGGAACCTTTCTACCGAAACGGTCACTAATCATGGGAAGTATCGGTAGGGCCAAAAACATGGCAATCGGCATAATGGCATTAACGAGGCCGAGGGTGTAACCGGTCGGATATCCAAAATCGCTGTTCCATTGAGGCAGAGCCTGTAACCCGTTCATCAACGAGCCTACAATCTGTTAGTCTGCGAGGAGGAGCAAAGTCGGGGAGGGACGGGGATGTCTAACCATCGTATCCAGCGACAGAGCTGGACAAAAGGGGCACCAACAACAAGAGATTCAGTCGGGCCAGATGAGGCTGCCGGAACCACCATGTTTCTGATTGTGGTATCACCTCAGCGAGTGCCGCGCCGACAATCTTTGCATTCTTCTCCTTGATGCTGAGCTTCGGCATCTTGATGATGGGGGATTAGTGAAATTGAACAGAATATGAATTTAAAGTGTAGCCGGTGCATGAGCTCGTTCCCAGCTGCGAACTGAGGAGATGAAAGTTGCGTGGCAAGTCATTGCAAAGGTGGACCGAGGGCTTATATTCTGTTGTTATCCGGCCGTGTCCTCGGTTTCCAGGATTTGTTCAGCTACATGAGTCGGAAAGCCACGCGTGATGTTGCTTTGGCTGGCCAAGGCGTGTCCAGTCGGCAGTTGCCGCAAGGTCGTCTTCAACATCTCCCGATCGAGACCATCAATCCCGGTGAGGTCGGACTAGGGGGCTACTGTTCCTTCTTGTCAGGGCTTCCCCAGGCCATTATCCCCGGATGGATCCTCCAAGCTATAACCTCAGCATATAACATTGATCGATGCTCATTGTTCATTGGGTTGCGGTAGAACACCGGCGCTGCAGTCGCGTCTATACCCCGGATCATGCCATTTGCGGAGACCGCGTGGTATTCTGCGGGGCTTCATTATGCCCAACCTTGGAAATCTGGGGTAATAGCCAAGCAGTCGTCGACACGAGAAATGGCGCACTACTCCGCAACAGGCGAAGACAAGGCGTGGTAAATGGTCAGTGCGCCGACTCTGGTCTTGACGAGCGTGTCGACTATCGAGCAGGGATCACATGGCATTGCCCGGTATCCTCGGCGAAGTTACCGTCAGGGCACCTCCGAAGAATTACCATTTATCCAGGTATAACCCGCAGCTATGAGGGGCTGCAAGAGTCCGGTGTCGTCCAACTTGATGGCTCACGAGATCAAAGATTTGTGGTGGCGATAAGATAGTAGCAGTAGTATTTATTAAGCCCCAATAGAGCTTCAGTCCGCTCTTCGCGTCATTCTGACATCAATTTGAAACCACTCTGTGTTGACCTCTGAAGCTCATCAAGACTGAGCATCAAACAACTTTGCAAGCTTAATCGTCATTCGTACAACCTAGGCTTCATACACAACATGTCCCCAACTCAGCTGAGATGGGGTATTGTGGGAACCGGCTGGATTGCCAGCATGTTTGTGACTGATCTCCTTGCGCCTCGGGAGGATGGACCGGCAGAACACATCATCACGGTCGTGGGATCATCCAGCAATGTCGAGAAGGGGCAGCAATTCGTCAACAAAGTTTGGAAAGATTCGAGCGCGCCCCGGCCCAAGGTCTTTGCCAGCTACCAGGAAGTTTACGACTCACCCGACGTTGATGTCGTATATATCGCGACGCCTCACTCACTCCATGACCAGAACTGCTTGGATGCCATTAAGGCAGGCAAACATGTGCTCAACGAGAAGCCATTCACCATCAACAGCAAACAAGCTGAACAAGTCATTGCAGCGGCCAAGGCGAAAGGCGTTTATCTCATGGAAGGTAAGCTCATTGATGATTTCTTTATAGATTTCTTTTTCTGTCTCAAATAGCTTGTCACTGACTATTGTAGGCATGTGGACAAGGTTCTTCCCTCTCGTTATCGAGTTGCAAAAGAAGATTCAAGCTGGCGCCATTGGTCGAGTAAGGCGATGTATCGTTGAGATCGGCCTGACGTTGGACTTCGATTCACTGCCCAAGGAATCTCGGTTGAAGGACCCGGCCCTCGGCGCGGGTGCGCTCCTGGATATCGGGATATATCCCCTGACTTATGCGTCTGTCATACTTGGCAATGGGGCGCTAGGCACGAATCATCCTAAAGTCGCTGTGACACCATCTCTGACCATTGAGGACGGGGTAGACGGCAGCGGAGTCGTCATTCTTCAGTACAATAAAGGGACAGCTGAGGAGGCGACTGCCATTACGATGTCGTCGCTTCACAACCCCAACCCGCCGGACTTTGGGCGCATCGAGGGCACCAAGGGCACAATCACTGTATACACTGACAAAGGTCCAAGCTGCCCCAGCGGCTTTAGGATAAAGGATTCTGAGGGCAAAGTGGAAGATTACCCTTTTGCTCAGCCAACTGGCACGATTGGCTTCATCTATGAGGCCGATGCAGTCGCGCTCGATATTGCGGCCGGAAGAACCGAGAATGCGATTATGCCACTGGACGAGACAATGAGAATGATGCGCCTGATGGATGGAGTCAGAAAGGAGTGTGGGCTAGTCTATCCTCAGGATAAGGAATGATTCGATTGAGTTGAATGGCAGGTTTGTGCCCTTAGCCGCTAGATACACTCTGTGATAGACTCTCTTGGCACATTCGCTGGATGATCTCGCTGATCACTTTAATGTCGACGCTCTCCTCTTGCCAGAATTTCAAGTGAGCAATGTATAGATGTATGAACTGTTCGCTCTGTGCTTCTAGACCCATGGCAGTGAGGACTCCGGTCGATTGAGCGGCCAGCAGTATAAGAGCAGAAAGTGCAGACTCTCTACAGCCGAACCATGTCCCATGATGTCGGTGACGAAGGCCAATGTAGGTTGCCGGCTGAACGCACGCCAAGACGCACTTTTCGGCGTAGGGCTGAACGAGCTGATGCAAGACACCGTCTTGATGGTCTGCATGGGCTAATCGATATAGAAAAGGACGGTAGAGCAACCTTTTGATCTTGACATAACGTCTCCACGTCATGTGTTGTAACTCACTGTGCTCACCTGGGTTTGGGTCCGTTTCGTCGAATCGTATCGAATGCGGTAACGACTCAACCCTGTAACCAATCTGCAAGTCAGTCATGTCCATTTGGGCCGGAGATGGTTGTTGGGTTGCGGAATACTAACCACTGTTGCAATTGCCGCTCACAAGCATGAGCTTCATTACACATGTCAATGACATTCATTCTGGTCCATGTCGTACTGTCCGCGGAGTAGAATGCCCGTATGATTCGATTGTTTAGGCGTAGAAGAGATATTTCCGTCAGGTAATAAAACCAAGATTGATGATGGAGAGACACCAAGTCTCTCGGGGTACTTGGACTCGGTGGGTGGTGTGACGGGTACAAGGAGTTCAACGCTGGACTACGGGTAGGGGGTCTACCATCAAGTTCAGGCCCCTTTATGGCCGCTTCTATGGTCTCCTGTGGGGGCGGCGATGGAAACATACCCGGGGATTCAATGGTATAAAGACTCGATTGTGGCAATGGTAGCTCAAGAAGCATCTCGCTGGAGTGAAAAGTGAGCTTCAAAACAACCATCAAGTTTGCATTTCCACTTACCATTCGGATTTGAGGCAGCTCCAAAACAACCGTTGCTCAAGGCTCTTCTGGGCATCACTGAACTCGGCCAGGTTTCCACCGCAGTGTGAGCTTCCCCGAAGTTTGAGGTGCACCAGACAGAGTGTGGATGCTTGATAAAACGAATGCCATGCTTCTATAGGTCGAAGTGTGTACATGCAATATATTCCCGAGAGCAAGTGGCATTGACTTGCTCTCAGACCTCGAGTCAACAGCCCCAAGCGCCTCTGCGCTGACTGGTAGTATGACTCAGCTTCTACTCGTGACTGACTGTCGAAGTCGCTTCGAGAACGAAGGATTCCATCTGTCGTTGCTGGACCTGGCTCGAATGCAGTCGAGATCGCCCCCAGTGCACACGCTATAAGCTATACTCAAGGATCAGCTTGTAGTTTGTGATAGAAGTTCGATGATGGCGACATTGGGTGAGTCTCACTACCAAGCATGACCTTGCATCCCACGACAATCCGGTCTCGGTCAGTAGCATGGCATCTTTTAAAAGTGTATGTCGGTCAAGAATCGGGTTCTTGATATTCACGTTGGCCAAAAACTGATTGACACGGAGAAGGATCCTGGTGTTATCAAGAACATGCCATGCATTTTTCCGGTATGCATCACTTGAATCCCCGACGCCGGATTCTTCGTCAGCCATTAGCAAGCCGGACAGTTGCGGCGTTGCTGTGGTAGCATTGCTCGAGAACACGGGCCATCGGAGAACCTCCTCTAAGGATGTGTTTCTCGACACATCGTTCGGTAGCGAAAGAAAACTCTCCTCTGCTGTCGAGTTGCTAAGCTCCGTTTCGTGCGATGATCCAGAACCTGTTGGTATGGCGAGTCTTGCCTCAGGGTGCGGAGCGTTGTAAAGAGCACTAGGAAATGGAACTGATCTTGTCAAATCGGGGAGCCGGGCCAATATTTCTTCGAGAGCGCCCAATATCCGGGGCAAAGGCTCTTCTCCCAGAGACCGATTGGCGTCTTCGGGGTAAAGACAATCACATTGCAGCCGTACACAGCTTAGACACTTTGGCCTATCATTGGAGCACTTGATTTTGCGGTTCTTGCACATGCGACAGGCAACCGGAGCGCGCTTCTTGCGCTCCGGTTGCGGTTGTTGCCGCTGATCGAAATTCCCATTCCCATTCCCCTCGGATCTTGCACGCTTCCGGGCAGTTGGTGGTGTCGTTCCGGGCAGCTGGAGATTGGGTGAGGCGGTCACTGACCTCACGTGGCTCGAAGGGCTTGGTTCTGTCATCCGTGCTTTCGAGCCGGCCTTGACAGTCGAGACGGTCGAGTTTCAATATGCGGGGTCGACTACACAACCCCATCTACTCGCAAGCAGAGTCATCGTAAAGGACGAGAGGACCTGAGGCCGTTCTTATGCAAGACGGCAAGACGGCGAAGATGCCGTCGAAACCCAGCACCCACGTCTCGGAAACGAACATGATTGGCAATGAAGGTGGGCTCTGCCGATTTGGGGGAAGTCACGAGCTAGCACCACCTGGGTTGACTATTCCAAGAGTAATCAACCCATTTCAACTTTCCCCGCGCGATCCACTTGAGCTATACAGGTCTGGCTACAGATCCCGGCATGATTTTGCCCTATTATACAATGTGCAACCAGTTGATGGGAACGGGCATTGATTGTGCTTTATAGCAATTGAGTATTTCACCGTTGTTATCCCACGAGGCTGTTTGTTGTTCTGCAGCTTTGTAAGCTTGGATCTTATGAAAATCCGAATGTCATAGTGCAGGATATAAAATGGGTCACTCGTCACCACGTGTATATATTTCTCGCTCTGTACCCAGTGTAATGGATCGGATCAACTCAAGAATTACAACAAAGAACAACGTTCGACTTGAATACTAGCGTCTGACATACACGTTCTGAGATCTTTAATTAATTCCAAGAACTTCGAGTAAACCCCGATATCCAATCTCTTTCATATGGCTTCGACCCAAAAGCTCGTCCGCGTCGGTCTGATCGGCTGCGGCGAGATCGCACAGGTAGTTCACATCCCGACTTTGGGATTCCTCTCAGACTACTTTCGCATCACATACCTCTGCGACGCCTCGGCTTCAGCCCTGGACCACTGCAAGAGCAGGGTCATGGGCGGCGTCACCCCGAGCACCACAACGACGCCCGCCGAGCTGTGTGCGTCGGCCGACGTGGACGTGGTCTTGGTGGCGAGCAGTGATGCGCACCATGCCGAACACGCCGTCCTGGCATTGCAGCACCACAAACACGTCTTTCTCGAGAAGCCCGCGGCGCTCAACGTGCGCGATCTCCATCGGATTCGGGACGCTGAGGCCGGATCCCGCGGCAAGGTCATGGTTGGCTACATGCGCAGATATGCTGCTGCCTTTCAAAAAGCTGTCGAGCTTATTGGTGGCATGGACAAGATTCTTTACGCCCGCGTGAGAGGTGAGGTATAACCCTTGATCTCGTACTAACACGTTGCTTACCTATTTTAGATATCATCGGTCCAAACTCTACGTTTGTCGACCAGTCTGGCACTTTTCCCAAGAAGTTTACAGATTTCTCCCAGCAAGATTCTCGGGACCTTTCTGACAAAACTGCGGAAACGGTCACCACGGGCTTGGCAGAATGCGGTGCCAGTGACTCAGAGTCAAACCGGCGGCTTTGGCGGTTGTTAGGAGGCTTAGGATCTCATGATCTTTCGGCTATGCGTGAAGCGCTCGGGATGCCCAAGTCGGTTCGTGGTGCATGCTCAGCTGGACTTTTCTGGAAGTAGGTGGCTAAGTTCAAATGAAAAATCGAGTGGCCTGTTAGCTGACATTCCTCTCAGTGCTATCTTCGAGTACGAGGGCTTCCATGTGGCCTACGAGTCTGGCATTGACAATGTACCTCGTTTCGACGCGCATATTGAGGTCTACAGCCAAGAAAAGACTGTGCGAATCCAGTATGATACGCCCTACGTCAAGGGGCTACCCATCTACGTCAAAGTTGCCGAGAATGATGGTGGCGTGTACAAGGAGACACAATTCAGAATCACGTATGAAGACGCATATACGCAAGAGTTTAGGGAGATGTACGAATGGTACACCACAGGCAAGCCTGTAAAGACGACTATTGAAGACGCCGAGAACGATTCCAAGATCTTCGGTATGATAATGAAAGCCGCCCAGCGGTAGAGGGTCTCCCATCGGCATGCGTTTAGTCTTTAGCTACTTGACAATCATACTGTATGAACAAACTGAGGTGGCTGAGAAAGTATCTTGTCGTCACGAATCCCAGCCTCAGCGCATAGCGGACCAATGTAGCCTGATCGCGCAAAAGGTTATTACAGTAAGATGACCAGAGTCCACAACAGAACGAGTTGGCTCTTTTTGCCGCCGGCAACGATTGTGCTTACACCTGCACTAAAGCATATGATAGGGGAACAATGACGTCGGAAATTATAAGCAAACGAATCATAACAGTCATTCTATATCGATTTGGTCTCGACCTTGCCATAGCTCCCGACAGCACACGCGGGAGCTGCCGACAATAACACACGCCGTCGCGTCGGCAAGAATGGGGCTGGCGTCAGGAACGTCCCATTTTGCTCCTATTGGAATTGGGAAATCAGCTACGTAGCTGTATGAAGCACAAGATGGAGCTTATCAAAATTTTGGTGTTGCTTAGCTCTTTCCAGAACATGCAATAGCCAGGGAGCTGAGGCCGAATCAGAGCTCAGAGATGCGGTTCTGAATGTTGATTCGCCCGCGGCGTTGCTGCTGGGATAGGCTTGGCGGAACTAACTCTATGATCATTGAATTATGTCTTTTCACACGGTATACTCTTGCTTCGGTGAGATCATCTTTGATATCATAGGTCCTTTTATTTATCTTTGTTATTTATCTGTGGTATTTATATCAACTCTAACCAATAGTTACAACCGAGAACGACCATTAGCATAGGTAGGTGCATAAGTCCACATGCAAGATGGTCTATGATTTTAATCGATGTGTCAGCAATGCTGACGGTCCTTTGGATGAAGTTACGGAACAATTATTACAGTTCAGCATAGCAGGACCCAGGCCAGCGTCACATTGTGTATCGATAATCGGCAAAACCATGCGCATGCATAGAACGTTTCGGGAACTGTCGAGTTCGGTACTTGCAGCCTGGCGCGTCGAACCTGGTCGATGCATTCACATACGTATCAGATCGCTGATAGGCAGCAATGCAAAGACCCTTGCTTCGGGAATGGAGCGAAAAATTGGGACCAGCCAGTGTGCGCGGAAAATGAAGAAATATCGAACCACTCACAAAAATTCATATGGGTCGAATTTGCGACCACTCAGAAGCGATATCAACAAGTCTCTAGGGGAAGAAAAAAAAAACATCAAACATGATTCTTTTTGAGAGCAATGCCTGATGCTTCATCACGAAGGGAAGAAACAGGTATCGGCTAGAGACAGCCCCCGACATGCAGTGACGCCGCAGCCTGTGTCCAATTCTGTCATCACGCTCTGCAGGTTCTGGTTACACCGACTTTTTGGCAACCTACAGTCGTCATGGTCCCGGGGCGCCTGTTGTTTTGGAGAGACAAGTTCGGTCATACTACGTACTTGGCTGCTCTTCAGCGGCTATGGTGGACAAAGTGCTTGCATTCTCCTCCAGCATGGAAATTGAGCCGGCTCGTTACGGTTGCCTTCTCCGTGCTGGGTTCACCCATTCTGGACAGTGCATAGCACAGCTGATATATAAAAATGATGTCACATGACCCCTTCGTGAGTGAAAGCTGACGACTATTGCCACCGAGGTAGGAAGGAAAAGGTGTAGCGGTGTGTTCCGTCTTGTCTTTTACCTTGGGCACTAAACCGGCAATGGGTGCTGGGCATCGACCGTTATGACACACGGCCGAGCTGAACACGGGCGCGCAACGAGTGCGCAGTGAGATCAAGGATCCCAACCTCCTCTCTCCCCCAGCACACACCGCGTCGTATACTTGTTAGTGAGGCACGTAGATCCCGCTGGGCGAGAGCCAGGTCTACGGATGGTCTAAATTTAGCGTGTAGATTTTGGTGCTAAAAAGTCTTTCCAACAAGCTTGCTGGGCTCGCTGAGCTGCGCTGCTCTTCTGCTATTAGTGCTCTCCGTTGCGTTTTGCGCCCCCGAGTTGTGGCGGCGCTTGCTGCTGGGACGAGAGCTGGACGGACGGACGGACGGACTGACTTACTAACACGATGGCTGGGGTACGGGAGAAAATGGTCCTTGTGACAGAGATGCCGAAGAACTCCTGGGCGACGGTGTGTCGCATATCATCAAACTCGGAATTATTAATAAAAACGGCAAACGCTCGGTCGACAGTAGATCCTTGGAGAATATATCGAACACGCGCAGGAAGTCTGGATATTGCAAAGTGTGAATTGTGACCACATCCAAAATATGCCTTCCCGGACCCTGGTCCTGCCGTTCACTCACCCAAGATGCGGAGTTCCCAAGGCAAGGTGAAGAAGGACCACGGAACCACCTGAGCAAATGTGAAGAATTTCCAATGTTGCATTTCCCGGCTGGAAACCAGCACCAGGCTGCGAGAACCAAGCCATAGTTAGCGAGAAAACCCCGCCCGTCGAAAACCCCCCGGGGCACCCTTCTCAAGGAAGAAGCTGAGCGGCGCCAAAAGTACTGGTGAGCCAGCCGAGCTGTGGCCTGTAAATAGGTACCGTGTCGCGCATAGATGGGTGGAAAGATACAACTTGAATAACTTGACCCTTGTCAAGCACATCCTGTCTCTGCATGCCGCTTCAAAAGCTGCTGGGTTTCAGCGTTGGCTTGCATTAACAGTACACAGAACACAACTGCACACTTGTGCTCTCCAAGTGTCTGTCTGTGTGTCTGTCTGCCTGCTTGCCTGGGCTACATTGGGCAGTATCAGACCTTGAATGTCATGAGATGGCCAGAGCTACTTTGTACACGTGGAACGAAGCGAGCGTCGAGGAAGGACTTTCATTGTCAAGTGGAAGGATAATAGTTGGAACGCATTACGAAATAGTCGGTCCAGCGCTGAGCTGGGCAGGGTCGCGCGCCGCGGGGAACGGAATTGTGAGAAAAGCGAAGGATGCCTGCCTGTACAGTGTACACTACCATAGTAGTACATTCTCGGTTGGGATGCTGCACGACAAAGGTGGTGCCCCCTCCGCATCCCTCCTTTCGGAACGTGGGCGGTCATCCTGTTGCTGTTGCTGCTTCATCAGAGTCAAGGTTGTGCCTGTCGTCTAGAGTTCATTACGCCAATGCTTCCATGTAGGTAAGAAGGGTGAAAAAGACAACTTGATGGAAAAAGCAAAAAATAAAAGGCACATACTTATTACAGTGCTGACTGCCCACCTCCTCTATTCTGCCCAGCCCAATTTCCCGTGGCGCCAGACGTGAGCTTCTTGCTGCCGGGTATTCTACTAACAACAACATTGAATGGGTGCATCGGTAGCTACCATCCGTACGTACACTCGACTACCTGAAAAAGTTCTCTCTCAATCTTCATTCTCCCACCCACATAGCATTGTGTATTCCCAAACGTACTCTGTAGGCTGTAGGCTGTACTTCAGCGGCAAGGCTGGGGATGGGTACACGCAGCGAGCATCCCGGTCGCCGAGGATCAGCAAACCATCCACTTCTGTACAGTCATCATTTGCAAAACAGAGGTTGTGTGGAGTAGCACGAAAAAAAAGACGATGATTGAGAGGGAAAAATCCGACCAGTTTTCCAATCTGGGGCAATTTGTTGAATTGACTCATTGAATTTGTGTATGCCTTTGTTAATCCTCTCGGTTCTTATATCAATACACGTCGACAGGAAATAGGTTGCATCAGTTTCTATCCGTACCAAAGCAGTGTCATCATATATCTTGCTGGCTCATTCATGTAGGTACCCATGGTAGTTTTGGGGACCTGTCAATCACTACTGTGCACTATGGATGAAGCTTCACACCCTCCCAGACATTCAGGCCTAGTGCCCATTACAGCGGCAAGCTGTCGCTCGGTATGTGATAGTAGTTGTTAATTATGCACACTTTGATATGATACCATGGTGCAATGCATCTATCAATAGCCACTCCTGGTCCATTGACTTTCTCTTTACCGCTACCTGCAGCCGCCACGGCGTTCACGTATTGTTCAGTGACAGAAAGAAAGGGAAAAAAAAGGCTCTAGACTTTTGCAATGCCCCCAACCCAAGTACTAAACCTGCTGCTAGCACTTTGATAAACCACACCAAGGAAGAGCCGGGCCCGGTATCGTAGGTCCCTTCTACACTAGGACCATCAGGACCCGGAACCCTGAAAAGAAAAAAAGAATTGGGAAAGAGTCGACCCACCCAACGCCCACATCTTTTGTCGGGGCCCGAGTCTCTGATTAGTCACTGGCGTTGCCCCATTAAAAGCTCTCTCCTCCTTCGTCGCCTTTGACTCGCTTCTACCGTTTTTTCACCAATCATTCTTCATTTCCCCCTCTCGGTCCACCTGTCGACCCAGGAGCCCTCGAATCAATTGTCGTTTTTCCCAAAGAAAAAAAAAAGCTGCCCGCCTCCTTGCGCTTGTCCCTAGGAACTGGCAAATCACACTCGTCCTCTCGCGCGAGGCACTTCCCCAATTGAAAGTCGAAGAGAGTTTAAACAAATCATATTCCATCGCGACTCTGAAACAAGCTCCCTCTTACCACTATCTTGACTCTGCCCTTGACCCGTCAAATCAGACGTCGAGAAAGCTCCCTCACTGGTCGCTCTCCCGTCCGTCCGTTCAACTAAAAAATTAAATCTCCCTACCGATTATCTCTGTGTGTTTGGCAGGTTTTTTGTTATCTACCCGCTCCGCACGCACGCACGCACGCTGCTTACTGGGACGCGCCTCCGACTATTCCAGCCCTTCGTTCTGCATCCTGATTCGACTCCCACGTCTTGGGATCAGGCACGCGCGAAGGTACCGGCCAGCCAGCCAGTCAACCTTAATCTGTCGACCTTTCAACTGTAATAGACTCCTACTACTACCTCAGGGTCAAGGGATTCGCTTTGAACCCTGACAAAAGCTTGTTGGGCAGTCCGTCCTATCCTCAAAGAGAGAGAGGTCGTTGCCAAACTTGTAAGCAGAGATCTATAATCGCGTCGCTTTTTTTTTGGCCTACGCGTATTACTGCTGTTCCCGCGACACCCAGTGCATCGCAGCACAATTCCTTTGCAAACTCTGTCATTGCGACACGGTGCACAACATTGCGCTCAATTGCCCGCCTTTGTCTCTTTGGCCCTTCACTGGTGTAGCAGAAGAAAGCTCTACCCCGGACGTTTCTGCTGAGGGTCCTCCCGAGACAATCCAGCCACTCAGACAAAGATCGCAAAACGGACAGACCAGCAGCAAAGCACGATCCTCCCCCCAATAGCAAATCAGCGCCCACCTACGCCCTTTCAATATCCGACAATATCGTCAATAGACTTCGAAAGGCCTATCACTGTTGCCAATACGTATTTCATAGTCGCCATTGGCTCCAAATGCTCGTCAGGTGACAAGATCTACCTGCGGACATCTAGTAAACAACATTCCTGCTTGCGCAATTGAGCTTTGATATATTTTGTAAGTTGCAAAAGTTTCCACGATTCTCGTCACTTGCCCCGACTGCCTCATCCTTCCAAGACTGCCACCACTCGGTCGCATTTCTATAAAGACCGCCTTCACACTTGACCTATGCGTGCTACTGTCTCAGCGACACTGGTACTCCATGTGCTTCACACTGCATGGCACCGCCGAGGCAATTTGCAACTCGTCGTGTGCCGCCACGCACTTTTCGTCTCCTCACCAAGAGACTAGTAAGACGCTCTTTGCTGACACGTGCGAACCCCAGATATCATTATTCCGCCAGTCTGGCTAGGTGTGCACACTTTCTGAACATCACTTCAACCCAAGAGCTTGGGTCTTTGACAAGGTATGCATTCCTCTTTCTTTTGCTGCTCTTTTTGCAAGATACCGGCTACCCCGTTCTCCCATCTGCAACGATACATTCGCCCTCCATCGGCATTTTCCCTCCATATGTATTCCGATTGCCTCTTATACCCTAGGGCGGCTGTGACAATCGGATGTACCCTCGCATAGTTTGCAAACATTTGTCTGCTGGCAACACCATCTTGGCGGTGCCGTCTGTCCTCGGCCCTTCCCCATTGCTACAGCTGTCTAGCACACACATTTTCGCTTTCGTGGTGGCATAGTTTCCACACTAGTCGTCCCAAGTAATAGTACCCCCATGCGTCGGTCCATCAAGTCGCATGCGCGACCGAGTCGTCCGCTGGGCGAGGCTCTGCGCAACAACGGCGCAAACCCAGGCTGTCAGGACAGTCTTTTGGGCTCTACGTATGCACCAAAGATGATGATCGCATCCAGGGCCTCTGGGCGCAATCGCAGTGAGCGTCACTCACTCAACCACTAAAGATGGTCTCGATGCGCTGGGCATACCTGCCTTGCCTTTGCCTTGCCTTGCCTGTCCTATCCTGTCTTGCGCCGCCACCGGCTGGCTTCGAAGTTGGATGACTTGACGCTGTGAGCTGGTCGGCCAGGTGGGGCCTTGCTCGTGCATATTCCGTCATGCATGCCAGCGCATCAAGTGGTGGCTCAAGGACGCGAGCATGGACCGTTGCCCACTCCCGTCTCACCCCCCCTCCCAGCAATCCCCGAGCCTTTATTTTATTTTATTTTTCTTTATACTTAATCCAGAGGTTCTAATGTCTTTGGTTGGATAGATCTCCACATTCACACAGCCCGTTAAAACAATTCCTTGGGGAGCAATCGAACCAAGCTGTTCCGCCAGATTATTCGTCTCGCGTCAAAAATCTCCATCTAAACGGCGCGTCTGCAAGCTGAGAGAAGCTTCGTCGTCGCGTTTCGTTCACGTGGTACTTTGCAGATTCAACCGTTTCTCGAACGCCCAGTCCAGCAAAGACTGAGCCACATTGAGCTCCCTTGGGCTTATAATTACATCTGCTCGCATATGCCGTTGTGCGACCGCTTGCGCTGTGCACCTACCACCAGAACAACTGCCAGCTCATCCACGCATATCCAATAGATTGGCTGCACATCCAGCCTACTTGACTTCGCCGCTACCTAAGTGACGAAACCTCGTCCCAACGCGTGTGCCCAACCGCGATCAGCCTCTGGGCCATTTATCATCCTGTTCTAACGACGTCAAAGAAACGAGCGGGTTTCAACAAGACAATTCCTGTTTGTTCCAATTTTTTTTCTCCATCGTCGCCGAAACTGCAACCCGTCCCCGCTCAGCGCCTCTAGCTTGTACTACAAGACAAGAGACATAGAGCTTGGGTACTACTACACTGAACCCCGCCTCCCCGCCGTAGCCTGTCCCCGATATGATGGACTACGCCCAATACCAGCAACCACCACAATCGGCGCACTCGCAGGGACACATCCAATCAGGTTACACGAATTCGAATACTGGCAATACCATCACATCGCCCACAAGCCACAGCATACATCAGCACGGTGTCCAGACCTCTCCCATTCTAGCTTCTTCTCACCAACCAGCTTCAGCAAACCAAGGACACAACATGTACTCCACGCAGTACAGCGTCCCCCAGCAGGGCATGCACTATGGCGTCCCTGGAATCCAGGCCGCCGCCATGGCCGCAACTGCTGCTGCCGCCGGTGGCACGCCGTATGGCAACTACATGTCTTCGGATCCTAGCCTCACGCAGAGCTCGCCGCGACTCGGCACCGGTGTCAATGCGAAGAAGGATGCACACGGCCCACGATCCCCGCAACAAATGAACCAGATGCCAGCCCGCCGGCTGAGCCAAGTCACGAGTCCCGGTGTACCAAATGCCTCGATGTTGAATCATGGTCGACCTTCAGCAGTACCACCGCCAATGCCCGCGGCGCAATCTCTCCCGCAGCCACAATCACCAGAGATGCCCGCCGGTGCCGAGGAGTCGCCCCTCTACGTCAACGCGAAACAATTCCACCGCATCTTGAAGCGCAGAGTTGCTCGTCAACGTCTGGAAGAAGCATTGCGCCTGACTAGCAAGGGTCGGAAGCCATACCTACACGAATCGCGACACAACCATGCTATGCGCCGGCCGCGCGGTCCTGGTGGTCGTTTCCTGACCGCTGACGAGGTCGCTGAGATTGAGAAGAACAAGGGCTCCGATGAGAAGGAAGAGGATTCGTCTTCGCCGCCTGCCAAGACTGGTACCAAGCGGAAATCAGAATCAGGATCAACTGCTTCAAGCAAGAAAGCGAGACTAGAGGAAACTCCCGACGACGACGACGATGAAGATGCCGAAGGCGACAACTAAAGTGCCTTTGGCATGGCTATGACCATTCTTCTCATTTGTCCGATGCTACGAGTTACGAAGATTCACTTACTATACCTTTTTTTCGCAATCTGGACTTTGCGCATTCTGTTTATAACCGCAGGTGCCAACGAACGACCAGTGGTGGCATGAGCGAAGCGTTGTTTTTATTGCCTTTCTTCTTCTTTAGCGTCAACAATGTCAGGAGCACAATGTCATGTTCTCGATATATGTTGTAGCATCACAAACATCATTTGGGGGGCACCAGGTCACTCGTTTTTCTTTTCACGACTTCCCTAAAGTTTGCAACATCGCCCACGCGATACTTGTCTCATTCTCTGTAATTGCGGCTGCATTTTACGGCATAGCTCTTGATAGGTGGAATTGGTCCTGGGGGAGCTTACATATCGGACAGGAAAGACTGCATGGAATGAACGAGACAATGGAAGGATACCCCACCCATTTGCCATTTCTCTCTGGCAATTGTTTGCTTTCTATTCGTGTTGACTATGTTGAGGAGGACAGAAGGAGGATTTGAATGGCCATGTTTTTCCGTTGCGCGCAGGTCCGGTCACCAGTTGCGTTGCGCATGAAAGTCAAAGAGTTTATGATATCCCCCACGAAAACACACAAAAAAGAACAGTACAGAAAACCTCAAAAAAACAGTCTATAGCCTCAGATTGGAAAAGAAATATGAAGGAGATCAGCTTCATTCGGTTGGATTAGTATTGGAAGAGAAGAGAAAAGGACTCTTCTGCTGGTGGCCGACGCCGGATGGGATTTAAGCAGTAGTCGCCACAGAATACATACACTCCTCTACTCTTTATTTTACCAAGAAGCATATTATGATTGACATTGCCCCGTGACAAGTAGTGGCCTTGACTGTGAGGGTGCTTACGTAAATATAGAATTTAGAAGTTGATGTAGAGGCTCTCTCTGCGGTTAGTGACATTCACAAGTCTTTGATTTTTGATGCATGAAGGGCTTGTAATCTCTTCAATTCTGTACTATCTACCTCACTACGCCATTTGACAAAGGCAGACATCTTGTCGATTGGAAGCAACAAATGACAGCTCTCAGACCAGTCAAGTATCGACCTTGGGGGTTAAAGCCAGCCATTGTACTTTGGTCACGTGACCCACTCAGGCGCGGACCACACCCAAATAATCCAGTGCGCCCCATCATGTACCAGCTCTTACCCAATTACTAGCAGCACCTTTGAAGTCACGTCAAATTTCCCGACACTTCTTAAACCGCCAGAAAAAGACAAGATGCTTTTCTTCAGGTATGTAATTACTCTCATTACACATTTGGGGGAGGTTTCGAGCAGATCTGCACAAGAGAAACGTAATGGGGCAAAGTCCTGGGTCTTTTCGAGGAGGCTCTGCGTGGCTGGACAGATAGTCTGGTGGAGTTGCCGAGTTCAGTACGCCACCGAGCTCCCGTCGCGCATCATGAAGACGCCCAAGCAGCTACGGACCTTTTGCCGGGGCGGCCAGAGGGGGGTCAAGAAAGGAATTCAGTGATGATGGGTATGGGGATTGGCGTTTGAGCAGAGCCTAATCCGAGGTGACGAATCGACCTCCCCGCTGTGCGCAAACGGGGGGGAAGAAGGCCGTACGGAACTTGCCATGATCAGCCATCTTCCTTCTCTGCATGGGCTGAACGTCTGCATAGGCATCACGGATGCACTATGGACGGCTTATAGCGTTCTGTTATCCACGGCCGTATGCGAAAAGCCGTATTGCACGTGCGGGTCGTGGGTTGGAAAGAGCACATGGTGTCCTTGTGACCGCCCAAGTGAGATGGACTATCGTTGGACCGAGAGGCATGACGAATTTAGGGGCATGGAAAGCGGAGGGGGGGAAATCTAACAATGGAGAGGAAACTGCCCTGCCAAACCTTGAGATGCAGAATGAAATACAGAGAAAAGACATGCGACTTTGGGGGAAGAGGCTGACATGAAGAGATAAACAGCTTCTTCAAGACCCTCATTGACAATGAGGTGACGGTCGAACTCAAGAACGATATTCAGATCCGCGGAACCCTCAAGAGCGTCGATCAGTACCTCAACATTAAGCTCGACGAGATTAGTGTCGTGGATGAGATCAAGTATCCTCACCTGGTATGTGCCCCCTTTTTCTCTCTCTCTCTTCTCTTTCTCTCTCTCTCTTTCTTTTGCACCACCGCATCTCCTCTTGCTCTACGTCTCTTGCGAGGAAGAAAAATTGAAACTAACCCATCGTTCCTTTTCCTCCGTCTCTAGAGCTCCGTCAAGAATGTCTTTATCCGCGGCTCCGTCGTCAGATATGTGCACCTCCCCCATAACGCTGTGGATGTAACGTTACTGGAGGATGCCACGAGGAGAGGTAAGTCTTGACTTTTTTACTTGTCCCCTTTCCTTCTTTTGGCAATGGAAATACAAAGGTCTCATCATGAATGGAGATTGCTGACTATCACGATTGCAGAAGCAGCAAACCAGGCACAAAAGGCCAAGTGAGGAAGTGTTTTTGGCTTTGGAAAGACTGCGGGCTTTGGGTTCATGAGAAAAAGACGAGTGCTATTGATTCCGGCTAAAGAGATCATACTTATGCGATGATGAGACTGTTGCCGAAACGAACAAAGTGAACGTCAGTAGGGATCTAGACATTGGAATCAAGGCTGACCAGGCCCTGGACCGTTATATGGACGTCTGCCGACTAAGATCCGGATCAGGAAGCATTGAGCTGCTTCATACCCAGCATGAACAAAGTGATAATATGGAAATATACCCAATTGTGAGCAAGGTGGTTTGTATCATTTCTTCGTGACTCAATAATTTTACATCGTGATACAGTCGTTATATATCCATCACCAATAGACCCCGCCACCGCGTCCATCTTTTCCCTCCCAGAGAGCAACTTCCTTGCCCTTCTTACCAACTGCGGCCTTTTCCATGCCATGAGCATCTTGAGCCGGCTCATTCTCTTCGTCCAAAAGTAGTCCCACAACACCGCCGCGCCGCCTCTCGCTCATCCAGCGATCCAGCCAGGCCTTCATCCGCTTGCGGCTCTGCTCGCTGCCCACATTGACAGTCGGGACAACCTTTTCGATGCGCAGCGACATGGTGAAGAGGGCCAACTCGCGGAAACTGCTGTGCTCCGAGTACGGCACACCAAAGCACATGGCCTCGCGGGTGCTGCCCCGCTGCGCCACAAAGTCGCGGGGACCAAACCTCGTCCGCCACGCCGGCCCGTGCAAGATCTGCGTCGTGGGCACCGAGCTCGGGCTCAGGTTGGCGTTGACGCTCTTGGCCGTGCTGGACGGGTTCCGAAAGTTCCATCCCGAGGGCCGGAAACCAATGATGCGGCTAAAGTGCGGCTTGTACGTGTTGAGGTACTCTTGCAATGTCTCGGCGCGTATCTCCATGAGCATCTGCATGTGGACTTGGCCCTCGCGTGGGTCACTCGTCATGAGTGCCGAGAGCTCTGGATCGCCGAGCTGTTTGCACAGCCGGATCTTGGAAGGTGACGCAAAAATTTTCGTGTTCAAAGCCTGGGCAATGGCTTTGCAAATGCGCTCCTTTCCAATGGAGTAAGTGCCACAGATGATCAACAGGCGATGCTTTTGTCTTGGAGAATTGGTGGTACTCTCCTCGGACTCGTCCTTTGACGGCTCCTTGGTGAAAAATTTGCTTACTGACTCTGTGCCCTTCTCTCGCTTCAGCGCATCGTAAGCGTCGTCGACGGCGTTTGGATCGCCAGAAATAGTTTTGCAAAACTCAGCGCAAGCGTTGATGACGTCTTCCTGGGGCGGAAAAGAGTACCTTGGGTTGAGATATGTCGTGTCGAGATAGCAAATGTCTATCTTTTGCTGTTTCGCTTTGCCAGATATTGAGTCTATGGTATCTGGCTTCAGTAGGGGATGGGCAACTTGAGCTGGGCAGGCACGAAAATCACCACAATGGAGTATACGTTGTTTCCGGGCAGAAGGACCTTTCCCCATGGGCTTTTGAAACAGAAACAGTGAACTTCCAGGACAATGGTTTGCCGGCAGCATTGTGACTGTCACCCCTTCTGTGCCGGGAATCTCGACAGTCTCCTCAAACTCAATCTCTTTCACCCAACGGGCAGCTGTCCCAAGTTGCGATTTCACCAAGCTTCCCGTCACTTTACTGCAGTATATCGGCCCGTGGGACCAGTTTCGGGTCAATCCCACGTAATGATCACTGTGAAAATGACTCAGAAAGTAGGCATTGCAGCCTTTGACAGCGCCATAGCGAAAGGCGTCGACACATATAAAGAAACCAGGCATGATTTTATAGAAGGGACAGGTTCGTTCGTACGCGGGCTTTCCTCTAGAAGCATTTTCAGCAGCAGCAGCCGACGCCCATGCCGAATCTTCAGCATGACCCGACATTAGCTTGCTAAAAGCAGAGCCTGTCTTTGCTGTACTCGAGCTTTCGCCTCCACCGAGGCTGATTGGGTTGGATTGCCCAGGTCTCGGCACAGCGGCTTTTGCAAAACGTTTGCTTATCTCGGGCGCGTCCACTGTGTTTGGTATATCTTCAGAGGGTTGCTTCTTCAAATGCGCAGGTGCTGGCGCCGGTACCGGCATAGGGTTGCCATCTAAACAAGCGTTGACATGTGTCGTTGCTTGGTCCGGGGTTATTCCAAATAAGCTCGCGTTGCAAATAGGGCAGCTCTCTACCATGCCATCATTGGGGGCTGGATCATCGAGTTCGTCATCGGGAGCAAGTCCTGCTTCCTCAGCCTCGAGCCGAGCTTGTTCTCGCATATAGCGCATGTAGCGAAACTCCTCTCCCTCCTCTGCATTGTCGAATTCCTCATCAAAGCCATCGTCCATCTCTTCTATAGTTTTAAAGTCTTCGTACGTCGAGTCTTCCTGTTGGAGGCCGGGAGTCAAGGGTCGGACTGAGCAGCTTTCATCTCTGAGAAGTTCAGGGCGCACCGGGGGCAGGTCTGCTTTCGTGGCTCCGTTTAGTACAACGTCATCAGGGGGTTCTCCTTTCGTGTCTTGCCTTGAAGGAGAACTGGGCATCGGGACATTGTCTTCGTCATCCGAGTCGTCCAGAAACGGGCCTTTTCGTGATTTCTTGCTTGGTTTTGATTTGGTTGGTTCGGGCAGTGTTTCTATTTTAACCACCTCTCGCTCCTCTTCCAAATGGCCATTATGAAGTTCGCCGTTTCCATTGACGCCATTGTGGCTCAGTTTCCGCCTCTTGGATGAACCCGGATCTTCATTGAACCTTGACGGAGAATCGCCATCCTCTTCCGCTGCCTCTTCAAAGAGTTCGTCAATGTCGTCCTCCTCCTTCACTTTGGTTTTTGACTCGACGATCGAGAGGGCATTCGTGTAAGCGGGGCCTTGTTCCATAAACAACTGCTCCTCTACCTCGATCTTCTTGAAGAAGTTGAGTATGTTGCCATTGCTCTTGACAGCCTTCTTGGTCGAAGACTTGGAATCGGACCCGATGGTAGCTGCGCCAAAGTTGAGTTTCGTCTGCCGGGGGGTCTTGGGCTTGGAGGTCTTTGGGGGCATTTTGGCGAATGCAGCGGGTGGCGTTGGATGGGCGCTTTGCTTTATCCGACACTCGTCAACGACAGCATCGCTCGGGCGATTTACGAATCGGGCGTAAGTATCAAGAAATGATATGGTCTAATGGGAAAATACATGAACAAGGACATTTGAAAATTCCAAGTCTTGTTGCGCAAGGTCAAAGAACTTTTTTTTTTTGGCCTCCATGCTGATCAGTCGTTGACGAGTGCGAGACGCGCTAAAAAAGAGAGCGCCCGCCACGCGAAGACATGTGACCTGCCGCTCGTGTTTAATGGCCCATCGATTCAATTATACTACTCATCTGGCCGGTTGTATCACAAAATCATCGTTTGAATCCTATTTTACAAATTGAATGAAGAAACCATTCCCTCTTTCAATACTATATTGACTCGTCTCGCAAAACAGACATCATAAAAGGTCCTGGCTGCTCTCGTTTCGTTTCGAGCTTCCAGCCTTTAGTGATCTTTAGACACTATGATATCATCAAGAATTCATGTGTTGGGGTTTGTCTGGTGCAAGTTCTCTATGGTTTCCAGAGGTCGCTTCAAGTTCCTCATTATAATTGAGATTGTTTCGTGTTTCTAAACTTCACGGTAAAATTCTAGGATATATGCTGAGCGATATAGGAAATCGGTTGCAGTGCTCCTTAGTCATCGCATCACTGTATTGTCTCGAGAGTAGTTGATGCGACAGCCCATCGTTAGACACTCCTTTGATGCTATTTGCAAGCTGCTACAAGATCACATGTACTTAAAACCTCGCATGATGACCTGAGTGCTTCTGGCAGCCGTGGGCTTTGCTCGGGGTCTACCGGGAATCTTTACAGAGGAAGCGTCATGGAGATAATTGCCCCGAGGGGCTTCAGACTAACTGCCAAGATAACCTCAAAGCTTTCAACGAGATGCCCTTGAGTCATATTAGGAGCCTGAATGAATATTTCCTGCCGACATTTTGTGAACTCGACAGGGTAATAATGACTTGCACCAGTCACATAGTAGAGCCTTGATGTTGCGAAACGACGAGGTATATGATCAGCGGGCATCGGGTTTACCCACAATCGTCTCACGAAGTGATTACCACGCAGATTATTCTGGGATTACCGGACTATCTTTTCGATATGTACTTGATATCCCTTATAGTAAATGCAGGCAGACGACACAGCCAAGGATGGCGGGCACGTTTCGAATCAGGAAGGACCATAGGTTTGTATGGAGACCTGGGTTGATAAATCCAAAGATGCATCGGATAGTATGGCTGATGATTAACTACACGCCACAAACCGTTTGACCCATTTTTGCAATTTTCAAATACATCGTCACAGACTTGTGCACTTTGTGAGTTATAGCAGGGCACGATGTTTTTGACTTTCCAACGTTGAACTGACAAAACTCAATTCATCATAGCAATGTCCTGTTCGTCCGTTGATCGGACACAATAAATAAGCCATGGCTTCGGGAACCACCCTGATGGCAAAAACGGTCCGATGACAAGAAAGGAGATGCGCATTGGCAACGCGAGACAGGACCAATGAGAAGGGTCAGATCTGCCCCATGGAGGAACTGGGACACACCAAGGAGACTGTTTTCTCAGGCCAGATCTGAACACGATACGGCTCGAATGTTTGGGCAGCGTCCCATTCTGCCTGCCGCCTCCCAATTGCCCAGACGTCAAGGCGTGTGACAGAGTAGAGGGGCTTTTGGAGGGACCCTCTTATTATTTTTTTTTCAGTTTTCTGTTGGCCATCGCCGGCGGCCGTGGCCCGAGCGCGGAGCTCAGTGGGTGGTGGGGGGAGATCAATGGGGCGGGGCGCCAAAAACCCTTGAGAGCTCCAGACAGCTCAAGTCCGAGACTCCAGGCCAAAAGTGAAGTGACTTTATCGGGCCAGCAGATTTTGGTGGCGGGGTCAAGTACCCGAGCTTAACCCCTCCTACCCTTTGGTCAAATCTTGCACAGAGCTGGATCCAAGACTGTTGACCCAGATTTGGACCCCGCCATCCAGCATTTGCATTGAATTGGATTGGACTAATTCATAACTGCCCGCAGCAGTGTTGTGCGTGTGTGTGAGGACTTCGACACCTACCTGCTACCGTACATTATTATTACATAGTACCGTCCAATCCGGCCGCCATCCCATAAGCTTTTCGTCCCTTCTCTGTTGACAAACTGCAAACCTTTCTTTCTTCCTTCTTTCAGGTCCAAAGAAACCCGCAGTCAAGCACAACACATTGTGAGTAAACGTCTATATTCCCCTACAACATAAGCACATCATTGTATTGCATCACAGCCATCCATGTACATACCCAACAGTAGCACTTGACTTGATTTTACCTTGCCTTTCATCGGAGGAGCTACGAGTTGCGTCAAACAGCTACCCCACCTTCCTCACTGTCTGCTACCTGCTGCTTTGCCCAATGCTTCAATTTTCGCAAGTGCCTTCCTTGAGCCCGTTGCTGAGGCATATTTCTGGTTGTCACTTCCAAGCACATACATTACCTACCTAACAAACACGCAGCCTTAGACCAATTATCTGGCTCCTGTATATCAAAGGTCATCTTCCCTCCCACCTCTTTACTTTCTCTTCATCTTCCAATCGTCACCACCTTCAGCAAAGACATATTGCACTAACGCTGCAATCCACAAACAGACCAAATCTAAGATACCTACACATCAAGACACGATGGCGATCAAGAAGATTCACGCTCGTTCCGTCTACGACTCCCGTGGCAACCCCACTGTCGAGGTCGACGTCGTCACTGAGACTGGCCTCCACCGTGCCATCGTCCCCTCGGGTGCCTCCACCGGTACGTCACCGCAATACGCCGCCATTTATTTTAAAACAAAATATCTCTGCAGTGCAATATCATGGACTAACACGCGGGCATCAAATAGGTCAGCACGAGGCTTGCGAGCTCCGTGACGGTGACAAGTCCAAGTGGGCCGGTAAGGGTGTCACCAAGGCCGTTGAGAACGTCAACTCGGTCATTGCCCCCGCCATCATCAAGGAGGACATCGACGTCAAGGACCAGAGCAAGGTTGACAAGTTCCTCATTGACCTCGATGGAACCCCCAACAAGACCAAGCTTGGTGCCAACGCCATCCTGGGTGTCTCCCTGGCCATTGCCAAGGCTGGTGCCGCTGAGAAGGTGAGTTTCACTCTCTGTTTCATTCACTTACCATGTCACAAAAGATTGTGTTGCTGATGACAAAATCAGGGTGTCCCTCTGTACGCCCACATCTCCGACCTGGCTGGTACCAAGAAGCCCTACGTCCTGCCCGTTCCCTTCATGAACGTCCTGAACGGTGGTTCCCACGCTGGTGGCCGCTTGGCCTTCCAGGAGTTCATGATCGTCCCTTCGGCTGCTCCTACCTTCACCGAGGCCATGCGCCAGGGTGCCGAGGTCTACCAGACCCTCAAGTCTCTTGCCAAGAAGAAGTACGGCCAGTCTGCTGGCAACGTCGGTGACGAGGGTGGTGTTGCCCCCGATATCCAGACTGCCGATGAGGCTCTCGAGCTCATCACCGACGCCATCGAGAAGGCTGGCTACACTGGCCAGATCAAGATCGCCATGGATGTTGCCTCCAGCGAGTTCTACAAGGTTGAGGAGAAGAAGTACGACCTGGACTTCAAGAACCCCGAGAGCGACCCCACCAAGTGGCTCACCTACGAGCAGCTGGCCGACCAGTACAAGCAGCTCGCCTCCAAGTACCCCATTGTCTCCATTGAGGACCCCTTCGCTGAGGATGACTGGGAGGCCTGGAGCTACTTCTACAAGACCTCTGACTTCCAGATTGTTGGTGATGACCTGACTGTCACCAACCCCATCCGCATCAAGCGCGCCATTGAGCAGAAGGCCGCCAACTCCCTCTTGCTCAAGGTCAACCAGATCGGTACTCTGACCGAGTCGATCCAGGCCGCCAAGGACTCGTACGCCGGTGGCTGGGGCGTCATGGTGTCCCACCGCTCTGGTGAGACCGAGGATGTCACCATTGCCGACATCGTGGTTGGTATCCGAGCTGGCCAGATCAAGACTGGTGCCCCGGCCCGTTCCGAGCGTCTGGCCAAGCTCAACCAGATCCTGCGCATTGAGGAGGAGCTGGGCGACAACGCCGTCTATGCCGGTGACAACTTCCGCACCGCTGTGAACCTGTAAAGGGTGTGAGACAACCTCGGAAGAAAGAACGATTGATGAGGGTTATGATCGGGAATGCAAGGAATAATTCGGACTCATCCGGTTGAGCGGCTGAAAATAGTGTCATAGACAAAAGTGCAAATACTTGTAAACCCTGATTCGTGGCCGGGACATTTCCGTGAAATGGTATAAAGAGTGATCAGTGCCCAATATTGTGCAATAGATGCCCTAGGCAAGCCGCACTCGCGAAATCATTCCGGGCATCTTGCATGTGTGAGAAGAAGGAAAAGTAGAGGTAAAGGGAAGAAAGTAAAGAGGAGTAAGAGACAGTTGGTAACCGAGAACTTCCGGTTCTTCGGTTCAAACTGGAGCGATGGGCAGTTACCGAGAATGCCCGTCAATTCTCCGTACGTACCAACGTTAAACTTGTACACACGAAATAGTGTATGTATAAGCATGTGGCTTGAAGTCTGCCGGCTGTCGGGGCTGGTGGCAGCTGTGGCTTGATCATCCCAAAGAGGCTAGTCGGCGTTGTCAGGACAACCTCTCAGTTAGTGGGTCATTAAGGGTATCTGCCAAAACAGTCAACAAGGTTTATTATCAGCGGCAAGTGATGGATACTTTATTTGCCGACATTTTGAACTCCACAGCGCTTGATTGACTCTTTCTTTGCATCTTCAAACACGCGACTAACCCAGCAGGTATCTATTTCTTTCCGTCGTTGCCTTTTGGCTTTTGCTCTCGCTTTGGACACAGGTTCTGGAAACATCATTCAGCGACTTTGCAGTCGAGGCAGTCCAAGATGGCGCCTTCAGACGACCCCGTCAACTTTGATGTGATCGAGGGCCAAAAAGAAAACATCCAGTCGCTGCCCGGTGGCCGCTCCGCCAAGAAACTCGCACAGCTTTACTCGCCAACACCACTACAGCAGATTCCTACGCCCACAGATATCAAAGACGCCAACGAGCACACAAGAGCAAAGTATGAGGCCGAGATCACAACTCTCGCCGACTCGGACGATCCTCTCGATGTCTTCGACCGATATGTCAAGTGGACATTTGATGCCTATCCCTCGGCGCAGGCCACTCCCCAGTCACAACTCCACACATTGCTGGAGCGCGCCACAAAGAGCTTCATTGGCTCAACGCAATACAAGAACGACCCAAGATACCTGAAGCTTTGGCTTCACTACATCCACTTCTTCTCTGATACTCCACGTGAGACCTTCATATTCTTGTCTCGTCACGGCATTGGCGAGGGCCTTGCTCTATTCTATGAAGAATATGCTGCATGGTTAGAAGGTGCTGGCCGCTGGAGTCAGGCAGAAGAAGTCTACAAGCTCGGTATCGAGCGAGAGGCCCGGCCAACGGCACGTCTCTTGCGCAAGTTCAACGAGTTTGAGCAGAGACTAGCCGCACAACCCGATGCAGGCGATGCGCCTTCCTCTCCAGCGCTTCCAGCCATGCGTCCTGCACTGGCTGCTAAAGTCGATCCTTTTGCCTCTGCTCGCGCGGCTGACCCTCAAGCACCGAGAACAACTGCAGGTGTCGGCGGCAGCACCTCGAAGCCGTCCAAGTCCAAGCTGGCCATCTTCTCGGATGCTGACGCCGCACCGCCAGCTCCTTCTCCCATGGGCTCGGGTTCTAAAGGGTGGGACACAATCGGATCATTAGCAGACCGCAAGAAGGAAAACAAAATGGAGCCCAAGCCATGGGCGGGCGAGACATTGAAGGCGGGCGGGAAGAAGAGCAGTGCCCCCAAGATGGCGATTTTCAGGGATGCGGTAAGTTTTCAAATTTCCCTTCTCCGCCTCAAGTCAATTGTTGATGATCATAGGACTAATGGTTGGCGGTCTCTACGCACTTGTGTAATTCAGTCCCTAGCAAGAATAGCAGAGTCCCATATTGTCATTGCACCATCCAAGCACCAAGTGATAATCAACCCTGCCAACGGAAGGCGAGAACGTGTTTATATTAATCTAGAAGCGATATATCCGACTCCCGAGGAACCTGGTACCGAGCTGAGTTTCGAAGAAATCTGGGCCAGCAAACGAGGCTGGTTGGATTGTTCTTGGGAAGAATATGAAACCGAGGACAATGACTTTGAAAACGAACAGGAATCGATTGTCGAAAATGCTCAAACCAATGCGCTTAACCAAAGACTTGCTACCAAGCTGGTTGTTCACCACGACGTTGTGGAACTCGACGAGAATGGTGCTTTAAAGCAGCAGCAAAAGCCCAGCAAGCCCAAGAAGAAAAAGATGATGGAAGTCAATGAGACTCAAATCAGTAAGTTGGCATAGCTTACTCTATGAAGACAGCAGTTACTGACTATATACCAACAGTTAAAGCTAAGTTGGACTCGCCGCCAAAGCCAAAGATGCGTAAGAACAAGTCATCGGAACCGACCATGACACTGCACACAAGAGCAGCCACGGACGAGATTTATGACCTGTTCAACGCACCTTTGCAGCCTGCAGACGGGGAGGACCAGAGCGAGGATGACGACGAGTATGTGAGCGACGGCGACTATACCAGCGGAGGCGAGAGTACATGCACCACTCGTCAAATCGCCACGAGCGAGGCTGGTGACGATGATGAGGCTGATGATGTGAACATGGAGGACAGGGACGGTGAAGATACCGTATCTGATCTCCTTGGCCCCGATGACGATGATCATACTCAGGAACGCCGCAACTTGTCCACTCCTACGGATGATGACGATGATGATGACCCCAGGACCATGACTCGATTCGTTCCCATTCCGCCAGAGGATTATGTGCCCAACTCTCGGCCATATAGGGATGCGTCCGAGGTGGCTAATAACCGCTTGCCCTTCATGACCCCCATAACAGAACGCACAGAATCTTCCCTTGGTTTCACTACTGCTGCTATTGCTAAATATGCTACCACTCCCGCCTCTCACAACATCCTAGAGGAAGATGAAGAGGACGAGGAGGATGATGAAGATTTTGGCCCTCTCAGCAGCCCTCTTCGCGAGATTCTAGGTGGCAACCGCTCTCCAGTCAAGATTGCTCAACCAAAGCTACACAGACCCGCCGGCAAACATTCGGCGCCATCTGTAGCAAAGGGGCCTCTCATCGCTGAACTACAATGCAACCCTGTCGACGAGGCTATACGACAGGAGATTCTGCGCGTCATGCACCCGCCACTGGCCTCGTACTCTGGTTTCTTTGACCACCGTGACGCTCGCTGCAACCGCGGTGGAGAGATCCGCCGATTCTCCAAGGCCTGTGCCAAGGCCAACAAGCCAGGCAATAGTGATCGAAACAGCATCAGCAACCCCATTGTGCTCGAGTTTCCAGAAGTCAAGTCAACTTACACACTCAAACGTGAATTGGGGGCTGGCGCTTACGCCCCTGTCTACCTTGTGGAGAATTCCTGCCCTGGACAGGACCATGACGATGAAGCTGCCCCCGTCGAGATGGGCAAAGGTGCCTTTGCTACCTCGCAGCGGTCTGCACAGGAAGCTCTCAAGATGGAGGTCCCGCCCACCGCTTGGGAGTTCCATATGATGCGGCTCGCTGCCACACGACTTGGCCCCCAACACAGGGCCACGGCCAGCATCAGCGCTGCGCATGAGCTACACCTGTATCAAGATGAGGGCTTCTTGTTCCTTCAGTACCACCCATACGGCACCCTGCTCGACGTGGTCAACTTCTTCCGTGAGCAGCCCTCGGGCATTATGGATGAGCCTTTGGCCATGTTCTTCACCATTGAATTGCTTCGTACAGTCGAGGCCATGCACTCGAAGCAGATTCTCCACGGAGATCTCAAGGCCGACAATTGCCTTTTACGTCTCGACGCACTCTCTAGCGAGCATAATCTGAGCAGCCAATGGCAGGCCGATGGCAGCGGTGGCTGGGATGCTCGTGGTGTCGTGCTCATTGACTTTGGACGCGGCATTGACATGCGTGCTTTTGACCCGGACGTGCAGTTCATCGCTGACTGGAAGACGACCACCACTGACTGCGCCGAGATGCGCGAAGGACGGCCCTGGACCTGGCAGATTGACTACCACGGTCTCGCCGGCATCATCCACTGTCTGCTCTTTGGTCGCTACATTGAGACGGTCCGGTGCGACCAAGGCGGCCTTGGTACGACAGCCGGACGGCGGTACAAGATCCGCGAAAGTCTAAAGCGATACTGGCAGACAGACCTGTGGGCCGGCTGTTTCGACCTACTGCTTAATCCGGGCAGCTACGTGGAGCACGAGGACGGCGCCCGCATGCCCGTCAACAAGAGCCTGCGCAGTGTCCGCGAGCAGATGGAGGCCTGGCTCACGGCCAACTGCGAAAAGGGTCTCGGACTCAAGGCCCTCATGGTCCGTGTCGAGGGCTTTGCGAGCGCGCGGTCGAGGAAGTAGGAAAATCGACGACCTCGCTGTTCCAAGGGCCGTTGAGAGCCTTGTTTCGGCTCGTCCTTCTTGTCGACGACATACTGGGCTGCTTTTCTCCTCCTTCAATTTCACCTTTTTTTTTCGCGGGCAAGCATTGGTCTCATTTGTTGTTATACAGGGTTATTTTCCACGATCGGAGGACGCAGGACATGGAAAGAAACGACACAAAACAAGAATGACTCATGGGAAGGAAAAAATCATATATGCGTATGAGGCGTTTCATTTGTTTTAATCATCAGAGCTGCTGCTGCATTCGGCTCCCTTTCTCCCTAGGAATAGGGGTTTCAAGGCTCTTCTCTGTCTCTTTTTCTGGCCAAGATCATCATAGCCCCTCCCAGGGTGTATATAGGGGACGCTGCCATTTTTTGCCCTCTCCTTCTCTCTTTTACATAAATATCGTACAATCGGCGTTGGGGGTTGGTGTGGAGGTTTGCCCAATGTTTGGCTCTGCTTTTTTACATACCCCCATTTTCACAGCGATGCCAATATATCTTCTATACAAAGACAAGGCTATTACTCGGGTGACTGTTTCGTGACTCGTGGTGCTTCTTCTTCCTCAGCCTGGACATTACTCTGACTCGCTGTCCTCCTCTGCCTTCTTCTTCGTCTTGCCACCGAAATACTTGTCGATAGTCTTCTTCCCCTTGGTACCCTTCTTGGCGTCCTTGTCAGCTTTGCGATCGACCTGGTCCTGAATCTTTTTGCGCTCTGCCTCGCCCTCCTTTTGTAGCCTCTTGTCGAGGGCCTTGAACTCGTCACTCTCAGGATCCATACCAATCAGGGACTCGAGCAATTTGATCTCGTCGGCCCATACCTGCTTGTCCTCGACCGACTTGCCATCGGGGCCCTTGCGGTCAATGGGCGTCTCGAGCACCATGGGCAGACCCGCAAAGCCATCCGTGTTGACGAGGCTGTGAAAGGCGCGCAGGCCGAGAAAGCCGGTACCAATATTGGCGTGCAGGTCGCGGTGCGAGTCAAAGGGGGCCTTGCTGTCATTGACGTGAAAAGCACGCAGGTAGCTCCGGCCGACAATGGCATCAAAGGCCGCGACGGTCTCGGCAAAGACCTCGGGGGTCCGCAAGTCGTAGCCGGCGGCAAAGGCGTGGCACGTGTCGATGCAGACGCCGACGCGGCTCTTGTCGTCGACCAGGGCAATAATGTCGCGCAGGTCCTCCCACGTGGTGCCCACGACGTTGCCCTGACCGGCCATGTTCTCGAGCAGAGTAATGACGTCCTTTGTCGCGGCGTGCGCCTTGTTGAGCTGCGCGGCGATTCGCGCCAGTGCCGCGGGCCGTGGCTCCCCGTTGGTGTTGCCCGGGTGGAAGTTGTACAGCCGGATGCCGAGCTGCTCGCACCGCTTCAGGTCGTCGAGAAAGGCAGTGTACGCCTGGTCTGCCTTGGCGCGCTCGGCGGCGGCCAGATTGACGAGGTACGAACCGTGGGGGACGCAGTGCTTGGCGGCATCCCAGGCCGCCTCACCACTGCCCTCTTCGCTCTTCTCCTCCTTGATCCGGTTGCTGCTGCCGTGCTTGCAGGCGTGGTGAAAGCCCGAGATGGCCTCGGGCGCCATGGGCGGGTTATCCCATTTGCGCTGGGACTTGAGGAACAGGGCAAAGGCATTGGCACCAATGTGCGTGGCGTTGGACACGGCGTTTTGTACACCTCCCGCGGCCGACACGTGCGCGCCCACGTACATGGCCTTTTTGAGAGAGGCAACGGCCGTCCTGGGCGCCAACGGCGGCATATCTTCTGCTTTTGATTTCTTGCTTCCCGCCGACGAGGCGGCAGTCGTCTTGCGCTTCTTGGCGGCCGGCGCCGGTTTCTTTTGATCTGCTGCTTTCGTTTCCGTCTTGACCTTGGCCTTCTTGTTGTCTTGTTCTTCTTCTTCTTCCTCGTCCTCGTCTTCTTCCGATGCAACGACCTCTACTTTGCGCTTCGTTGTCGTCCTCTTGGCTGATGTTGTAGCTGTGCCTCTGCGAGTAGAGGGAGCGGGCTCCTCTGTCTTGACTTGGGGTTTCGTCGTCGCGATGGTCGTTCGCTTGCGCGGCGACTGGCGTAGAGGCATTGTCGTAGCTTGCCGGGTATGTATTGACGTTATGTCTGCTTACCTTTACTGAAGCAATCGAAAACAAAAAAAGTCATACAGGCCAAGTCACTCTAATGTATTGCGGGTTCAACAGAAAGAGAAACCGAAAGCGTGCTGCGAATGGACAAATGGTATTACGGCTGCTGTGAGCTATCCCAGGTTTTTGGAGAGCTAATGATGTAAATGATGCCGGATTAATAGTGAGCTACGTACTGCTAAGACGCGCCAAGCTACGCGTTGGCGTCGCGTTTTTTTTAATTGGCTACTGCTACCGGCTACCGCATTAGGCATTTTGACATTCTTGCATGCAGCAAAATGATTCGTGCCATTTTTAAAGGAAAAAGAAAAGACAAAGAAAGGAATGATACAGAAAATGAATAAAACCTGTATCGCAGTTATTTTGTTGTAGTTGGAACTTTAGGGTATCTTTCGAGCGAACTTGAGATAAAATTCGTCTGTAAAGCACGAATTTAGAAATTAATATTGGGTTGCTATCCCATGGAGTATATTCGCTTCGTGGTCAAGGATACATTCAATACTTTAAGGATGTTGTAGAAACGGGCAAGCCTGTCCTTTTATTCCATTGACAGATGTAGACATTGATCTAGTTACTGCATCACCAGGAAATAGTCAAAACTATATTTCAAAATAGATATACTTGTGCCACATGGTGAGCATCACCCATCTCCTCAGTGAAATGGTTCACAAGGCCAAAGCTACGGGACAACTTGCAACCGTGAGAGGCTGGGTGTGTAATGCGATATTGGTTCTAGAGTTGTTGGTTGGAATGACAATATTCATAATCCTCTATGCGAGATAATGCAACGTGTTGATCATTGCTGTCTTGTCACATGGATTTCTTTCGGAAGCGGCTGGGCTGGGCCGTCCGTGGACCGTTGTTCCTCCTATCTTTTTCCCATTTTTATTTATTCATTACAGAATTCGTGGGTTGCTCAATGAATGCTGCTCCTCCTTCTCTTTCGGCCACGACTTGAGACAAGAAGAAAAAGAAGAGGGCCTCGGCTAGGCGAGGCAAGCGCGGAGAGCCGGGGGACTGGCCACCATGCTTTGCCATGTATGCAATAATGGGCCCAGATTGGCGGTGCTCGACTCCGTTTTTACCTGTGTTTCGGTACCATGAAGGAAAGATGGCCGCGAGACGGCTGCAGGTTTGGATCGCAAAACCACTATTTCTTGTGGGGGTTACAATGGAGTCGAGTCTCCATGGATTATTACTGTGTATTGAGAGTGCTCGCCCGTTGCTCGGTGTCTGAATTCGTATCCCAGCCGCGCCGCTCGCAGGTTGCAGGTCGGGATCGAGCCGGGTCCTACCTAGCAATACATTGATTACATCTGGATAGGTAACCAGAGCAAACCAGGACCCTAACACTTGACTGGATGACTGGTTCAGGGATGGATGGACGGACATGTCAGCTCATCTGGTGTCAGTGTTATTAGGAATTGTCGGATCACGCAACGGATCAACGGTCCCTGCATGGACGTACTGTGTAACATGTCGGTCACCAAGCAAAAGAGAGAGGGAGGCTTTCGAGAGGAGAGGGCACAATCCACTAATTGGCCGAGCCCTTGATCAATCGTGCACCTCCGCGCCGGCTAGCAGAAGCGGTTTTGTCGAATGGGGACGGAGAAGAGATGCCCATGCGCAGCGAGACCCTATTTTTCCGGCTTTGTCTTTACTCAATAGTGTGTAATTGCAACTATGGAGTACTGGAGTAGAATATTCCATCACCGTTGTTGCGGGTTGTGTGTATATGTGTGTGTTATTTTTTGCGGAGTATACACCTACACGTGCACAAATTGCGATGATGTGTTGGTCTTGTCGGCTTTTGTTGGTGACTTGCCGTGTTATCCTCGACACACACGACACTCGAGAATTTTTTCAACATTTGCTCACGCGACCACTTTCCTGAATGAACAAAAAGTGTGAGTGGATTGGCTTGGCTGCACAAAACAAGCTCCATTGCCAAGGTCGGCTGGGCTGCAGACGAGGCAGAAGAAGGAAAAGACTCGAGATGTGGCTTGCGGTCGGGTTCCATCTGCGAGTGTCTACGGAATGCGTACGACGACGACAACTCGGCGGGGAGCGGGCGCTGGCTTCGTGATGTCACCCTGGCACTGCCTGCTAGCGTTGTATTGCCTCTCCCGCAGTTTGGACCTTGTCCAGCGTTGTGATGCTCCAGTCAGTCAGTCAGGGGGGGAAAAAAGAGTCCAGCCATCTGTAGCTGCAAGCATTGCGCAGTACTACCTTAGCCATGTCGCCCTAGCCGTGGGCTCTGGAAGCCAATTGTCGACTACACGTGGGAGTTTTGAGCTCTCTGATTGGTCAAAATGTCTTAAGCTTCTCTGCGCATCTTGGACGAATCGCATGCGGCTCGTCATCTCCAGGGGAATCCTGATGCCCACAGAGATGCGCGCAACTCCCCACTCAACTGTATCGCCCTTCTCAGATCATGATGTCTTTTTTGTCCCTATCCTTGGGAGTTGGGGTCCTGCCAATGCCCATCTGGTGGCCTTTGCCTCCCATGTTAGAGTTCATGGACAGATCACCGATGAGCCTCTACCAACTGCTGGCTTTTGAGCAGGAAAAAAGAAAAAAAGAAAAAAACCTTCGGGCCTTTGGCTGACCCCTCCCTCCACCCTCTCCAAAGGCTCCCACGAGGATGAGGGAACCCTCGCGAGTGGTCAGTCTCAACGTGAATCGCCTTTTATTCCGTCAGCCAGAGGACATCCAGCATAAATCAGCAGCACCTCTATGAATCTGAGTTTTGCCGGGTACGATGCCTGGCTCCATTCGCCAAGATCCTATCGGTATTGGCCGTTTTTGGGGCGTGGGGGGGAGACAGCGTCTTGATTCGGCTGATCATGGCTTTTTGGTCATGGAAGTCTACGTACCGCCCGCTGCCATGGGGAGGGATACTCTTGATCATGAGAGACAGCTTGAGAGAAGGGAACGTATCCGCAGTGTCCGTCCGATGCGTATGAATGTAAAAAGTCAAAAGGTTGGCGTGAAAACGATATATCTGCCGCTGCCAGATAGATGTACATGCGGTAAGTACTTTTTTTGGTTGTGTGTATGCAGCCTCGATCCCTGCCATGTCGGGGATATGCGCCGGGCCCTGGCACGTTGAGCTACACTTTTAGCTACCGAACATGGCCAAAAAGAGATTTTTCTACACCATAGTAGTCGCCGCTGGCCGCGCTATACTCTGGGTAACTGGGACTTTATTGCGGACCCTTTTGTCCACACTAGGTACATGGCAGCAGCAGTTTCCAAACCCACGAGCTCGGCCCTTCCATGAAGCCCGCCTCGTTCTTCGGAATTGTCTAGGTTAGGAACCTGGTGGGATGACTTTTTTTTTTTTTTAATTCCTGACTGACCTGTTTGGCTAACCTTCATATTTGACGGCATCTGCCCTTTGCTACTTCCCTCCTCCGCTCTCCCTCTTCTTCTCTTCCCTTCATCCTTCAAACACACCTTCATCTCCAAAGAAGTTGTTCGAGGTTCGACGTCTGGGTTCCCCAACCAGCGTCTCGCACATTATCCAACTACACTTTGCTCATACCATTCCCTACCTAGAAAACAACATATATTCTGGGAAGAGAGGGGAGACAGAAGAGAGTATAGCAGAACAACAACGACAACTCCAGATGCTGTAAGACTGTGACTTATTCAATTAAATTTCACAGCAACATCTTTACAACAGAAATACCTGTATACAACAAACATTAACTCACCACCATCCATCCATCTACAACAACAACGGAAAACTCAACAAAACCCCCCTCCAAAAAAAGAAATCGACACAAGTCGCCCGTCATGGCTGGCCTCCTGCGTCGTCACGAGCACGAACCGCCCATTGGTGAGCTTCCTGTGCCTCACGGACCTGCCTTTGGCAACGAGTACGAGGAATACCCCCAAGATACACATGTTCCCCCTGCCACGGACTACGAGAAGGACATCTTCAAGCACATCACTCAGCCCGATGATTCGTATACTTCCGAAGGCGTTTACTGGGCCGACCTGCCCTTCTGGAAGCGATGGAGCTTTGTCAATTCGGTCGACAAGGCCGAGGCCAAGGACGAGCTCAGCACCATCTGGTCCATGATGAAGAAGGACCCTCTGAGCCCTATCGGCTGGTACTGGAGGCACGCCATTCTGCCCGGTGCTGGTCTCGGTCTCGAGGGTTACGTCCTGTTCTCCATTGGTAACCTTGAGCCGCTGTTCAAGTCTGTCTGGCCTCAGTGCTGGGGTAGCAGCCCCACTGAGTGCAGTCACAACTGGGTGTCTTCCATTACTTATCTCGAGGTTATCGGTATCATGGTTGGTCAAGTCGGCGTCGGTGTAAGTCAACTCTCGCAATTCACTCATCTGAACTGTGAGGCTAATCATTTACACAATAGATTATCGGTGATTGGGTCGGACGACGATGGGGTCTTATTCAAGATGCCTTCATCATGTTCCTTGGCCTGTGCATCCTGACTGGTTCCTGGGGTGTCACCCTCAATGGCTGGATTATTTGCTACGCCTGGGCTTTGTTCTTCTACGGATTTGGTGTCGGTGGAGAATACCCCATTACCGCCACATCCTCAATGGAAAATGCCGTCTCTGCTGGAAAACTCTCGACTCGCGACGATCGTCTGCACCGTGGCCGCAAGGTCACCATGGCCTTCATGATGCAGGGTTGGGGTCAGTTTGTCAACCAGGTCATCCTCATTGTCCTCATGTTCATCTTCAACCGCGGCTACGGCAACCCGCCCTACAGCGAGACTGCCACTCAGTGGGTCTTCCGTCTGTCCTTTGCCTTTCCCGCCTTGGGAACACTGTGGCTTGTCTATTACCGTACCTGGAAGATGCCTTCTGCCGGCAAGAAGCTTGATCAGGCCAAGAAGAAGGCCAATGTTACCGGCTACGATGTCAAGTCGATGAAGCTGACCTTCAAGAACTTTGGCGGTCGCATCTTTGCTACTGCTCTGGGCTGGTTCTGCAACGACGTTTTCTTCTACGGCAACAAGTTGTTCCAGGGACAATTCATCAACATTGTCTCCAACAACCCTTCTTCGGTCATGACTACTTGGACCTGGAACTTGGTCAACTGCGTTGTTTCGCTCTGTGGTTACTACGCCGCATCTCTTCTGATTGACAACAAGATGTACGGACGCAAGATGATGCAGCAGGTCGGATTCTTCATGTGCTTCATCATGTTTGTGATTCCTGCTTTCAAGTACGAGTACTACACCAGCTCCGCTGGAGTCCACTCTTTCCAGGCCATGTACTTTTTGTCGTCCTTCTTCAACCAATTCGGTCCCAACGCCGTCACTTTCCTGGTTGCCGGTGAGGTCTTCCCCACCCAGATCCGCGCCAGTGCCCACGGTTTCTCTGCCTGTATCGGAAAGTCTGGAGCTCTGCTCGCCTCTGTCCTGTACAACTACATCGACAACCAGACCAAGTTCTACGTTGTTCCCTGGTTTGGTCTCGCCGGTATGCTCGTCACCTGGATCTGGCTTCCTGACACTACTGGCCTCGACCTGAAGGAGCAGGAGCGCCGCTGGCAATACATTCTCAACGACCGCTCTGACGAATACCACGGCATCGCCATCCACCCCCAGCACTTGTCCATGTGGGAGCGTTGGTTGGGCGTCGGCAAGCCCTACCACCCCGACACCGACCTCAAGGCCAAGATTCGTGACATCAAGTCCGACTGGGAGGAGAAGCAGGCTGCCAAGGAGGATCCCGAGCAGGCTCACATGGTCGACGAGGATGAGGATTACACCGATGAGATTCACAGTTACTTCCGTGGCGAGACCCCGCCAGCCAACCGCGGCCTGAAGAACTTTAACAAGGAAAAGGGAGAAGGAAAGCCTGAGCCTCCCACGAAAACAATTCCCGACTCGCACGAGATCTCGGAAAAGACGGCAGACTCTGGGGCTTCGTCGACTTCCTAGTCTGTACTCTCGGAGCAACCCAGATACCGTTTGTCGGCGTCAGGTCAAATACATTTGGATGAATTATCTTTGCAGTTGGATTTGTTGAGCGCAAGAAGGGAATGACCAGGATAATTGGAATGAAATCAGCTGTTTTTGGCATAAGCGCATTGCCATGATTTGGCACGCAAAAAGCATGAAAGCCTAATAAATGGCCGGCGTTTACAGGCGTTGATGATACCTTACGAACGATATAGTAGGCCGAAACGAGCCAGCGGCCATGGCGTGTACTGTACATAGAGAGGCGCCCGCCTAATGAGGTTCGTTGCACACGACCAGAGCATATATATAAAAACATCATGAACGAAATATTCCCTATCAAACAAGAACTTGAAATTACTGTCGAGTTGAATGATAGATCGCTGCTATACACGGAAATTTTCAATGCGTTCGAGGCTTGCAAGACAAGTCATGCTGCATGTGGTATAGACAGAACGCCACCTGATTCACGGCTTGCCCACAAGTTGCCTAGAATGCGGCGCCCTTTGAAGCTTCCGCAAGCCACAGCCGAAAGATGTCCCGGACCTGCGTATTCCCGAGGTCTTGACTACTCCGTCGGGTCCATCAGAGGACCTGAGCCCAGGCATCCACTCACATCTGCAACCGTGAGGGCCGGGGAGGGCCGTTGTCTTCCCCAATCAAGCATCTCCAATCCGACCAAACAGACCCGTGAGCGTGGCAATCTTGACGCAAAACATAAGCAGGGGCCCGAGCATGAGCATGCGGGCATTTTCGTCGTGATACCACTTTGACGGGTGGAGATGGGACCACAAACCCGCGGGATCTTGACCGGTGGCGGCAGCCTCGGCCTCGGACAAGGTCGACAGGATAACCAGCCAATGCACCACGTCGGCGAGCGTCAAGAGGGCGATGTGCCGCTTGAGCAGCGCCGGATTCGGCGGGCTGGACAGGAGAATCAAGAGGCCGTAGACGAGCATGCACAAGAGGTACGTGGCCGAGAGGCCCGGGCCCGAGAGCACCGCCACGTCGTACGGCGGCCCCGCGGCGAGCGCGGGCAGCCGCGTCGAGTAGGCCATGACCATGCCGCAGGGGATGATGACGGGCTCCAGGTAGAGGAAGAAGATGCGCGGTAGGAGCGGTAGGAGGGAGGCTGTTGGTTTCCTCGTGTTTGCCATTTTTTTTTTTTCTTTGCCGTGGACTTTTGCTTTCTGTTTCTGAGGATTGGTGGTCTAATGGGTTGATTGATTGATCGATTGACTGTTTAGGTGGGTGATATATGACTTGCTGAGCGGATTGAGGCTCTCCCAGAACAGGATGAGTGCACACTGGTTCGGGACAAGTTGGGAAGCTCGATTGCTGTGCTTTACAATGTAGTAGATTGACAGGCTGGTTCCTGAGGTCTGATTGTTTTTCTTTCGTTGGCTGATCCTTCTGCTTCACACAAAGGTAAGTAAGTAAGCACTACTGATTGCCAGGGACTTGAGGTACATACCTGTATTAGTGCCGGCACAACCTTTGAGATTTGAACCAGATCTGTGATGCGCAAAGAAGGACAATAAGAGAAACGTTCACGGCCAAGGTATATTGTCTCTGTCGTTGGTTTTGACTCAATGCTGTGCCGCAGAACCGCAAATTCGTGTCATGACCAACAGCAAGGATATTATTGCAATATATTTGCAGACCACCAATAAGCATCACCAATAAGCATCACTTTCAAGGAAGCACAATTGACAAGTGTGGTTGACTTGTTGATATTTCTTTTCATTTCTCTCACAGATCAAGGTCTAGTTTTATACTAGTCGGGAGTGAGTGTTATACAAGTCCAGCTCGGACACGATTAAAAAACAACATGGCAGACTTGTGCCCGTCATGATGAACTCACTCATCACCAAGACTCGCAAACATGGTAATATTCTACTGACCAAGCACTTGATCCTTACAGGTATGCTTTGTGTAGTCAGTAACCGTTGCTCTTGACCCACGAGGCAACGTCGTCGCCATCACGCTTGACCCAAGCAATCTTACTCCTGATCGCGTCCTTGCTCTGGGCTAGGGGCTGAGCAAACAGCTTTGTGTCAATGTCCTTGAAGAAGGCCTCCACTTGGTCGAGCTGCTCCTGCTTGGTAAAGCTGCTCGTGCAGATGGTGACCATGCTGCCCAAAATGTTGGCATTGCCACTAAGACGCTTGGAGATCTCGGGCCACTTCTCCGTCATCCACTTGAACAGAGCCTCGATACCCTCGGCATGGCTGCGAAGGCCGCTAGCCGGCAGGTAAATATCTTGGCTCTTGACTTCAGACGACAGAATCAAGTCCAGGGTGCGCTGGATGAGTTCGGGCTCCTTGGCGCGACCGAGCACGCGAAGGGCCGTGTTGCGCTCGTCACTGTTGTTCGAGCTGCGGAAGATGTTCAGGATAGCTTCGTACTCTTCCTTTCCTCCATACTTGAGGGCCATGCCAAAGACGCTTCCTCGGATGTTGGGGTGGATGGCAGATTTGTCACCGGCGGCGTACTTGGCGAACATGTCCTTTGCAGCTGCAATGATCTGCTTGTCGCCTGCAATACCGGCAGCACCAAAGACCATGGCCTTGAATTGTTGCTCAACGTGGCCGTCCTTGTCACTAAAGATCCATCCTTGCTTGTGGGCTCGCTCGCTAACAAGGTCCCTAACGAAAGCCTCCAGGCCATCCTTAACCGACTTGTCCTCAAAGACCCAAGCGGACTGTACAGTCGAGTTGCGAGCAATGATCTCGCTCCACACAACAAAGGAGTCCTCAGTGTCGAAGCCCTTGAGCAAGTTCAACACACCAGAGGTCTTTTGGTAACCCGACACCGCCAAGGCACCAGCGTCAGCGATCATACCAGCACGATCCTCCACGCTCAAAAGACCCTCTTTGGCAGATTGGCCAAGCTTCTCAAGGCGCTCTGGGGTATACGAGGTTCGGTAGATGCTAGTATGATTAGCATTGAGCTTGAAGAAATCCAAGTCCTTGACCTCAAAGTTGCCTTCCCGCTCAGAAAGCGTCAGACCCTCATCGACGCCGTCCTTGGTTCGTAGGCCTAGGAATACAGGGTACAGGACCTTGTCCTCTTCCGGCTTGACATCTCCCGTTCTAAGGAAGCGGTTCTGCTTGACGTGAATCGACTTGTCGTTGTTCTCCGTGACCTGAACGACAGGGTATCCAACGTTCTTGGTCCAGATTGACATAATATCTTTCACAGGCTTGCCACTAGCGTCCTCGAGAGCAGCCCAAAGATCCTCGGTCTGGGTGTTGCCATAGGCGTGCTTCTTGATATACCGTCTCACACCCTCCAAGAAAGTTTCCTCCCCTAGGTAAGTCGAGATCATGCGAAGGACACACGATCCCTTGGAGTACGAGATGGCGTCAAAGATTTGGTCGACTTCGCTGGCACGCTTGACCGGGACTTCGATGGGATGACTGCTGCGAAGCGAGTCAAGTCCAAGGGCGCTCTGAAGATTGTCCGTGACATAGTTCTCCCAGACCTTCCATTCCGGGTAGAAGTAGTTGCAGCTCAGCCAGCTCATCAGAGTTGCGAAACCCTCGTTGAGCCAGAGACCCTCCCACCAATCCATGGTCACCAGGTTTCCGAACCATTGGTGAGCCAACTCGTGCTGCACAACCTCGGCAACACGCTCCTTCATGGCGGCACCACTTGTCTTCTCGTCATAGAGAAGATCAACAACACGATAAGTGATGAGACCCCAGTTCTCCATGGCGCCAGCCGCAAAATCAGGGATGGCAACCATGTCCATCTTGGGCAGAGGGAAGTCGGCACCAAAGATCTTCTCGTAGTACTCGAGGGTACGGGCTGCGAGGTCAAGGGAGAATCGACCATGCTCAATGTCAGAGCTGGGAGGCGCATACACTCGAATTGGGACCCGGAACTTCTTCGTCTCAATATAGTTCAGCTCACCGATGATAAAAGCTACGAGGTAAGTGGACATGAGAGGGGTCGGGTTGAACTTGACAGCCTTCTTGGTTGCACCTGTAAATTCGGAGGCGATCTCGGATTCGGAGGCAACATCCATGTTGCTCAGGCATGTCAGGTGCTTGTCTGCAATGAGGGTGACGGTAAAGTTTGCCTTGTGGAGAGGCTCGTCAAAGCAGGGGAAAGCTCTTCGGCAGTCATTGGCCTCCATCTGTGTAGTAGCGAGAATGCCCTCGGTGCCATCGGGCTTCTTGTAAGTCGAGCGGTAGAAACCAGCCATCTGATCGTTCAATTGGCCAGTGTACTTGACCTCGAGGGTAATCTTGCCGCCGGCAGGTATGACATCCTTCAAATCGATCTTGGATACCTGCTTCGACTCGTCGTATGTGATGGCAGATGAAGAACTGAGGCGAGTGACTTGTTAATACCAAACCCACGCGCAACTAGACACACCCTGCCTATAACAACTTACGTGACCAGCTTGTCTCCCTCCTTGACATGAGCGCTGTGGATGTCAATCTCGAGCGTGTGTAACGAGATGGACTTGGTCTCTTCCTTGACGTCGAAATCAACCAGGACGGTTCCTTTGAAGACGAACTTGTCGAAATCTGGTTCCAACGTGACATCATAGTGCTTGGGGATCACATTGGTCGGCAGCAACTCGCGGCCCTGGGTTGGGTCCGGGTTGGCGCCGCCAGTGTGCTCAATTTCGCCGCCGGCAAGTCTGCACATGCTGTTCTGTCTGCGGTAGGAGCAGTGTCTGACGGGGGGTGTTCTGAGAGAGCTGGACCGGGAGTGCTTGGTACTGGAGAGTTCTGGTCGAAGCAGAACAGAGGATGATGTATTATGGAAAGGTGTGGTGGTGGTGCTGCTGAGGGGGCGTGGAGTCCAACTGCATAAGCTCTCGAGTTAGCCTACTGGTTTTTGGTTTTGGTAGTTCAAGTGGTCAAGGTGGCAAGGCTGGATGGAGGAGGTGGGTGGGTATTGAAGTAGTAGGTGGAGATGCCTGTTGTGTGTTTTTTTTTTTTTTACTTGCCGTGGTGCAGGTGAGGATGAACTTGTTTGGTAGTTCCTGAGACACCTTGTAGCAGCTATAGAAAGAACAGCAAGCGGGTATCGCTTTGTAGTATGGGGTAAGGAAGAGGTTGTTGCTAGGGAGATTCTAGAAATAGACTCCAGCCGGGTGAGTTGACGAAGCGTCATGTTATAGAACAAGAAGGGCAAGGAAGGCCGGGGGGTCCTCAGAGATATTGGCCCTGCACCACTATACGAATAACAAACAAATAATAATAATACAATAAAAGTACTTTGTACAGAGGTGTCAAAAGAAGGAAGGAGGGGCTAGTCAAAATCCCGCTCCATGCACAATATCCTACAGTTGCATACAAGAGGATGGGCAATGTCCGTCTTGTCTCAATGGATCATGAAAGCCAAGCAAAAGAGTGATGATCCTTCTTGGAACTCGCGGCAAAAAAGGCCCCAAAAAGATGCAAGGGTGTTAGAGCAGGCTGATGAGCTGAGCAGTAGTTTTGACGTGGAAGAAGGAGAAGAGAAAGAAGGAGAAAAAAAAATTCAATACGCTGCGCTGTCCCCCAATCATGAGCTGCATATGCGTGCGCCTTAATCCCTACCCGGCAAAGGAGCCGCTCCCCGAATAATGGCACCAGAAGACCCTGACCATCCTGACCATGCAATATGGCTAATGCTAGCTAATGCCAATTCGGGCACCCTTTAGGCCCGCAAACGAGTGATCTAAAGCACGATAGGCTCATTTTATCGCGGGGTTCATTTCGCTATAGCAGCTCGATCGCACACCTACCCCTCCTTCCACCTTCAGCAGCCAGCGCGTTGGTCCATTACGGGCGGTACTTACAGCAAGGAAGTTGGTGACCCAGCTCGCAAGTCGGGGGCGCCTTGGTATTGAGGTGCCATTTTGCCCATCGTTGCCCCGACCCGTAACGTGTGACAGAAAAATCATACTCTATCCATAGATGTATTCGAGTCTCTGCTGCAAATTTCCGGAGCCCCATTTGCTACGGAGAGAACGATAGAAACGGGTACCTATGATACGATATAGCTAAGGCGATATTGAGCTTTTTGAAGCTGGACCTTTGCGGCCCGGGTAACATGTACGTTTTACAGGGTCAGCGCGCCGACTCGGGTAAAAATGACTAACCTAGGTTAGAAAGCTAGGTAGGTAGCCACTACTAATGTACACTACAGAGTATGTATGTAGGTCGGGTATGGGAGCGCACGAGAAACCAGCAGACCATGTGGCCATTATGCTCGTGGGGCGCTCGATACTACGAAAGGTTACACTTCTGCTATATACATAATACCTAGACGCAAGATATCGGAAACTTGAATATCAGCCACCAGTAAATATGCAACGTATCTTGAAGGATGAGCACGAATCACTTTTTCTGTATATTGCCCAATTAGATCTTGCTGCAAAAGTTCCGTGCCGTTTGGGCAGCGAATGCGACTCTCACCTTATGCCGGGGGCATCACTACTTTTACTCGCGTTAGTCCCATGAATAACGACGTGGCACTGCTCGAGTGCAAAATTATTCGTACATGAGCTTAACCCCAGCTCGGTAGTAGAAACCCTGGCGAACGGGGGTGGAAAGAATGAACTTGTCAGGACCTCATCATTAATTAATCTACTTTCTCGTCTTGCGAGCATGCTTCACTAGGTTCTCTATCACACCTTCGAATGCTTCCCTATCTCCAATCTTTTCATCTGTCCTCTTTTGCCAATACTCCAGCAATTCCTTGGCTAGACCCTCCATTTCCTCCAGGCGTTTGACGTGTCCCTTGAGTTCCTCGTCAGTCATGCCACCGAGTGCCTCGTCAGTTGTGGTACAAAGCTGTTTTGCCGCCACGAGATCAAGAGCTGGTTCCGGACCTGGGCCCTTTCTTTTCTTTGACGAAGACCGGGGCTTCTCTTTGCCTTGAGAGTCGAGTGACACGGTTGAATCGTTTGCCCCTGTCTTTCGTAGTCGTGAAACTGAGCGGGACTCGGACGAGGTTCGCAGCGAACCATTGGATGTCACACGGTGAAGCGAAGGAAGAACAAGCTTTTTCTGCTTGGACGCTGGCAATATCTCATCCAAGTCAACGGGTACGCCCAAGGATACTAGAAATAATCGACGTATGCGTGATCGGATCCAGTCCGGGGGTTGCAGTGGCGGGGGTGCTGCGAGTTGTGACCACAAAGAAGCGCTTCGTGGATTAAAGAATATGGGGTTCTCCTTGGGAGGTGAAGGTAGTACAGGTAGATCCGCTAGATCAGGGGGGAAAATTGCGTCCAGATAAGGCTCTGTAGCAGACAATATATCTTCAGAGTCGAGACCGTCCAGGTCTAATATGGGCTGTGGAACAATATGATTAGTCTTGACGGACTTTGAAGCAAAGTATACGGTGATACATACAAACGAAGGTGTAGCGACCGGAGGCGGAGCAGCTACCGGTGGAGGTGCTGTCGTCTCTGCCTCGGCCTCTTGAAATCCATCGCCAAAGTCTTCAAAATCTGCATCCTCATCGCCCTCTTCAAAATCGTCAAAGTCATCACCGAACCCATCGTCATCTGGTTCATCGGCATCATCATCATCGTTACCCCCTGGCTCGTCTGCGTCAACCATTGATCTTGTGGCTGACGATTTCCTCCGGTGTTTAGTTGGCGACTTGAGAGCAGGAGACTCAGGCGCTTCATCTACGAGGACAGGGTCAATCGATGGGGGTGGCTCAAGAGGACTTGGCTGCCGTACCGGTTGCTTCTCCAGTAGTTTCTAGGTCGGCGGGTAGAGTATTGGCCTCGCCCGTACCGTCTGCCTTTCTCACATAGTCTGGAGCGGCATCTGCTTTGTGTAGATCCTCGTGGAAATGATGTGTCTTTGCGCCCTCCTCGTCGGGCGCCTCGTCGACTACAGTCTTTGGGATGGGTTGGCCTCCAGGTGCGGTCGAGTCATTGGCCGGTTGAGACTCTGAAGAGGTTTCCTCGTCAGGAATGACGGCGATCTCGTCGGGAACGGCATCGCCACTGCGCTTCTCGTAGGCTTCTGTGCCCGGCACTTCACCGTACGATGGTTCGTCGTCCACCTTTTCCACCCTGGTCTTGGGCACGGGCGAAGTGGCTACGGCGGCGGCGTCTTCAGGAGCAGACTGGGCGTCAGAAAAGTGGTCGTCAGAGTCAGAGGCTATGAAAGTAGTGGTAAGCAATCTGGCAAACGCAAAGTCAACGAGGAGATGATGGTTAGCAGGCACGTACTGAGCTCATGAGCACCGGGGTCTTTGATGCCTTCCCGCTCGGGAGCCTCGAGGCTCGCAGATCTCCGCCCCGAATCAGACATGTCGCCGAGTCGAAGAAAGTGAGTTTTCGTGCAAGTATGCGTGAGGGAGGAGTGACGACAATCGAATGGGCTGAACCAAGTTGGGGATCGGCTGTTGAGCTACTACGTACTAGTAGCCGCTCAGTGCGCGCTGTTATGAAGGAGCGCCGTAGCCAGTATACCCCTGTTGGAAAATAAGGTAGGTACTTTGTAGTCACAGGTATACTGTAATCAGGAATGGAGGCTATCAGGGTTGAAGAAAAGAAAAGTGCACAGCTTCCAGTGTTATGTGCAAATTCAGGCGCTTTGATGTCGAGCAGGTAGATATTTCTTCGATGTTCCCTGTCTGACCATGCAAAATTCAAGTTCATTCATGCATCGAGAGTCCAGGCCATGATCTTGGAAAAAGGTCAGAGTGCAAGTGCAGGCAAAAGAGCGGGTGGACGGTCCAGACTCCTTAGCTATCATAGCGACTAGCCTCCTTTGGTGGGGGGAGCCGTACTCTGTACAACTGTGCAGCTGGCAGTTGTGCCAGTGGATGGTTACGGTCCTCTCTGTGCGAGCTATGATTGATCGAGACTGTGAGCTGTCCCATTCAGCCATTTGACCTCAGCCTTGCCAGAAGTGGGGTCACTGAGCTTGGAGTTTTCGAGAGCTGTGCGAGGCTGAAATGGAAAATAGTCCGTGCAATCCAACACCCCTGGCGATTTGGTTGACCCCCCAGCGCGTCTTTCTAGCGTGCTAAAACAACTTTAGCTGTGCCTGTGCTTGCTTTTTCTTTTGGGAGCTCCAGCATCGTCGTCTGGCGCCAAAAAAACAAGACGTACAAGCAGAATAGCCATTGCTCCCAAGGCCGTCGCCGGTTTGCACCTTTGTCATATCTGCCCGACCCTCGTTGAATTACATTTTTTGAGCGACGTGAGGATGAGAACGGAGTGAGACCTGGCGACAACGACGACGACGACCGCAACCTAACAAAACTTGTGCATACTTGCGGCGCCCACTTTGATATCGATCCCCCATTCCAGAGCGACGAGCAAGTAGGACATCATGTCTTTCACCTTTGGCACGCCGCCGGCCAGTAGCTCTGCTGGTCAGGCCAATAGTACCACGACTTCGACAGCACCTGCTTCCGGAGGTCTTTTCGGTTCATCGTCGACTCCCACAGCTGCTCCTACCACTACTAGTCTGTTCGGCCAAGCCACAGGTACCCCGACCTTCTCCTTTGGCAACGCAAACAAGACTTCTACGACACCTGCAACTGGTGGAGGTGGTTTATTTGGAAACACAGCGTCAAAGCCCGCTGAGCAGAAACCACTCTTTGGCGGCATGACTCCAGCTGCCCCTGCTTCAAACACACCTGCCACAGCAGCACCCGCAGCAAACAGCGGTGGCGGTTTGTTTGGTGGTGGAAGTGGCACTCAGCCTGCCTCAGCCGGTGGTTTGTTTGGAGGCGCAAGCACACAACCTGCCTCCACTGGTGGCATGTTTGGAAGCAAGCCTGCGGCTGGTGCTGCTTCGACCACTCCAGCAGCTGGAGCCGCATCAACAACCACAAACGCAGGTGGACTGTTTGGCGGCAAGGCACCAGAGACCGCTACCTCCAGCTCACAACCCGGTGGTCTTTTTGGTTCTGCTGCTTCCAAGCCGGGTACGACTACTTCACTATTTGGAGGAGCCAATGCATCTACACCCGCTGCACCATCTACAACAACAGCCACCTCTTCTGCACCCTCCTTGTTCGGTGCCGCCAATCCCTCTAGCACTGCTCCAGCCGCAACGCCTGCAAAGCCTATGTTTGGCGCATTAAACTCTACAACTCCGGCCGGAGCCCCTCCAATGGATGCTCAAAAGAAGGACGAGGCAAAGCCTGGTGGTGCTGCTGGCTTGTTTGGAGGTCTAGCACCCAAGGCCACAGCCACCTCGGGCTCCCTGTTTGGTGCAAAGCCAGCTACAACAGAATCTTCCACTCCAGCAGCATCGGCGGCTCCGACCTCTTTATTTGCCCAGCCAGCAGCTTCTTCGGCAGATGCTGCAAAGACTGCCACTACCACTACTGCCGCAGCCACCCCAAGCTTATTTGGCAACGCTGCCAGCGGAAGCTCTTCGACTCCTACCACTGGTGCTCCTGCAGGTGGGCTCTTTGGTAACAAGACTGCAACGGCACCGGCCACATCAGAAGCAGCAAAGCCTGCTGCTAGCCTCTTTGGTGCTGCACCATCCGCGAACGCTGCCGCACCTGCAGCAACTACAGCTACAGAGAAACCCTCAATGTTTGGCGCCGCCAAGCCTGCCACCGCCCCAGCTACCACAGCGTCCTCTTCCACGCCAATTGCAGCAACAGCTACGGCTACTGCGACTGGCGCCGCGACACCCGCTGCCAGCACTCTTGGAGGCGTCAAGCCTGCGACGACTGCTTCTGCCTTGGGCGCTTCAACTGCCGGGCCTACATCACAGTTGGCACGCCTAAAGAACAAGACCATGGATGAGATCATTACCCGCTGGGCTACGGATCTTTCCAAGTATCAGAAGGAGTTCAAAGAGCAAGCTGCTCAGGTGGCAGCTTGGGACCGACTGCTTGTGGAAAACGGAGCCAAGATTCAGGAGCTCTACCTAAACACATTCGAAGCTGAGAAGGCTTCCAGAGACGTCGAGCGTGTCCTTGCAGGCCTTGAGAGCCAGCAAGATGAACTCGAGCTCCACCTCGACAACTATGAGCGTGAAGTCGATCAGTTATTCTCTCGAGACATCGGTCATCCTGACTCCTTGACTGGCCCCGACCAGGAACGTGAGAAGACTTACAAGCTCGCAGAGAAACTCACAGACCGCCTAGACGAGATGGGCAGAGATCTGTCCAAGATGATCAAGGAAATCAATGATATCTCGGGCTCTGTCAGCAAGAGTAACAAGCCCGATGATCCTGTAAGCTACATGCTCGCCACATTGCCATTGTATTGCAATCTGCTAACTCAATCTCTAGCTGACCCAGATCGTGCGTGTCCTCAACAGCCACTTGACACAGCTCCAGTGGATCGACACAAATGCCGCGGCTCTGCAGGCCAAGGTCAATGCAGCTCAAAAGGCCGGAGCAGGAATGGGCAGTCAGTATGGTGGCTCGGAGCAAGATGCTGCCGAGAGCTTCTATCGCTCTTACATGGGCGGTAGAAGATAGGCGATAGGCGAGAAGGAGGTGTTTTGATAATGAAAGGATCGGCAGACAGATGCCGGTCCGGATAGACGTTCTGCCATGGATAGTAGTTAGGTCAGGTCATGAGGTATTTCGGCTTGGGTGTACATGTTGTACTATTGATTGCACATTCAGAAAGGACACTATTCTCTCCGGTGGCGAAAAGGCGAAAAGGAGTAATAGACACAATGCTTGTACGGGAGTGTTATTTCGGTCTCGTTCATACTGGTAGCTCGCCAGTATACCAAGAATACATTGTCCTGTGATGTTCTATGCTGAGAGACTTTTGAGCAAACCATTCGGGAGTCAAGGCACAACCTGATAAACTAAACTGTGAGCAATCAAGTCAACAAGGTTACAAGTGACCAGTCAAGTGGTCAAATTCAAGATATCCATGTAAAAGAGGCAGCTCTATTCAAATCCTTGCTGTGGCTTACAACTATAGATCTCACTCACAATACGGATTTAAAGAATTATTGACAAGTCCGTATTTCATGTGGTGTCATTCGAAGTCTGAAATAGAAGTACTAAATCCATCGAGCAGAGTATAGTAACATATGTGTACACTAGAACCAGCTAATTCTTGGAAACCTGCTGGTTCTCAAACCTCGTGCTGTCGGTTTCAAATTCGCTTGTGCTACATTATCTTTACGATCGAATTCCAGAACGTTTTGCTTGGAGTTGCGGGTAATTTTTAGTTGTGCTCGCCTCCCTGCTCCTTTGTCAACTCGTCGCTGTGCAGAAGTAGATTAGTATTGCGCATTCTTTAGGAAGGGGAGTCTGTCACGTTTTGGGTTCTAGAGGATTAAGACTCACATGTGATCGCTCAGAGTCTTGAGGTGCTGCTGCTGCTCGGCGAGCTTCTTCTTGAGCTCAAGCAGCTTCTCCTTCTCGCGTTGCCTGATGGCGTAGTCCTCGTTGGCCTTCTCGCGTCTCTGGAAAGCGTCACTATATCGCAGGGTCCAATTGTCAGCAAGAGACTTTTTTTCTTTTCAACAGAGTGAACAAACGAGAGCCCCCCACTCCTAAGGATAGAGGTGAGGTTGATGGGTAATGATGGTTGGCCGTGTTTGGTTGTAAAAAGGACATTGTAGAGAATGCTACTTACCCTTGGCCACCAACCTTGGGCGGCGAGCCAGTGTCACCAGCAGCCATGACGCGGGAAGAGACGGAGAATGCCCGGCGAGATGAGGCAGCAGCGACGCTGCGGAGGGGGGCCTTTGCGAGAGCTTGACGATACATGGTGGATGGTTTTTGGAGAGCTGTAAACAGAAAGTCCGGATGCGCGTTAGTTAATTGTCTTATTGAGGGTGCGAGTGTAAGAAGCTTGATGTATATATATGTCTCGCTCCGATCACGCGGGGTCTTGACGGATTAGGAACAGAGGATAGAGGTCGACTCACCGTGGGCGTGTTCTTCAATGGGCAGATTGTTGCAACTGGAGGATGAAAAGTTGGTTGATTTGACGAGGAAGCATCGAGAGCTTTGTCGTTGTTTCAGTCGCCCGCCCATGGGAGCTTCGGCGGATGACGGAGCTAGAGCTGAGCGGAAAGTGGGGCTACCCAGCAATCGACGTCAGGCCATACTAACGAGCTAACAAGGTACGAAGCAAGCATTATTACGCGAGCACCAGCACCAGCACAGCCGGCTCAGGCCGGTCTGGCAACGTTCCTAGCTGACAGCGTTCATCTAAAGAAAACCACGCGAAAAATGTGACAGCTACTAATGTGAAAATGTCATGTGATGAACGACTTGATACCTATCAATCATTGCATGTTGTAGAACTCGTGTTGCAATTGTCTAGATGGCATCAGAAACGATCATGTACATACACACAAGGCAGCAAAAGCGATCGTCACGCCAACTCGATGATGCGGGGAGCACTATTAGGGGATCCATACGCTTGTTAAGTACGGCTAATAATGTGGCTTTGACTTGACCCAGACACGGGGAATTGTAAACAATTGCTGTGTTGTGCATCGGATAGAGCAACGGATAATTCTCACATCTGAAACAATGTTCATAGTGGCTATATTCACGCGCCAAAGCCAACGCTTGAATCCTCAGAAGTTGACGCCTTTTAAACCGTTGGTGTTCTGTTGTCGACTTAGAGTTTCCAGCGAGGCACGAACACCATGAGGCAAACGATGCTGCGCGGTAATTTTAGAGGCACCCGGTTGAGATGTGAGACCCCTATGCACGACATATATCTACGATCGTGTACTAGCCATCGAAGGGTTCAAGAAAAAAAACCCTACGGGTGAGGCTGTGGTAGGGCGGGTGTCGTGATTGTTGGTTGTGCATTGCGTCTTGGCGGGTGCAACTTACTCCTATGCGTAGCAGGTCCGAGTTTCTATCCACTTAATAACGCTGGCGATGACGTCGTCCTAGCACCTTGGGGCATCAGCTTCGTTCCCCTCCTACGAGGACGACGATGAGCATCACGCGAGACATGGGCAATTGGCAAGTTTGGGGGCACATATGCTGTGCAATTCAGTGGTATAGTCTTGCAGACAGCTGACGTATGTATTGGCTGTTCGTCCGAGTACATAATGAGTTGGATGGGCTTAATAGGCGGGCGTTCGTCCAAGTCTGGCACTGTTGAAATCCCCTCTTTTTTCGCAGATCCGCGGTCCCTGCAACTATCCCCAAATTGGCTCGTGCGCTTACCAAAGGGTTTCCACGGTTTGATTCGTGATTGAGATGATATTGTTTGATTGGCCAGCAATGCCGCATCAGGGCAATATTTGCATGCCTGAGACCGCATCAATGCCATGGGCAATTACCAGTGAGTGAGTGTCGGGCGCGATCAATGCCAAACCAAGCATTTCTGTCATGCATTTGCAAACAGATGTGGTACGCACTTGCTCTGAGCAGCCAGAAAGAAAGAAAGAAACAAGGCCACTGTTTTATTCCACAGGTCTGCGATGGCTTCGTCCCGCTCATGAGTATTGGCCTGATGTGCTTGGCAGATATAGGTCAAAATGAGTCTACAGTATGGATTGTTGCGTTTGAGAAAAGGTCTTCAATGTCTATGAGCAAGGTTAGTAGCAGCTGAGGTCATTATGAAGGGAGACCAGCACGGTGTTCGTTTGGCCAAATGAGAAGCAGAGTGGAACGATGGTCTATCAAAAAGGGGGAAGCAATTTATACTGTACACTACTACACAGACGATACCGTATTTAGTCTGTGTGACTGATGTTGTATTGCGAACATAGGGGAGGAAACAAAGTGAACATGTGCAAAATCAAAGAAAGAAGAAAGCAAACAGCGGAGCGATGTCTCTGACGAGAAAATAAGAGTATGATCGTGGCATCTTGTAGTGTTGTTGCCATGCCACGAGCAATGAGAATGGTGGCAGTGTTTCGTATTGTGTGCTAGGCATGCATGACGGCATACCTAGCAACGTGCGTGCACATTGCTTCGGTTCCTCTTCTTGCGAGGCTTATGTATCACTTTCATCTCAACCAGCCGTTTGCAGCTCAGTCATAAACACAGCAAAGTCACAGCATGTAGAAAGGCCGAATGATATCTTGACAAGATAATATATAGTACCAAAGCAGGTTAGAAGTATTATAGGTTTAAGAAAGACAGAAAGAAAAGCAGCGAAACAAGAGAGGATTAAGGAAATGAGTGGCAGAGACCTGAACAACCACTTCAAGCGGGCACCCACTCAAGTATTCAGGCTGCCTACTCACTACTGGGGCCAAAAACGAGGGCCCCCTCCCCCTCGATCGCCCAGTCAGTGGCCGACTGCTGCCCGCGCGCCTCTAGCTCGACCTTCTGCCTTGCACCACTCCAAGCCAACCAAACCAGTGCCAGTCCAGCAGCCCAGTCAGTCAGTGCAGTGATTGATTGAGTGACTGATTCCACCGACCGACCGACCGACCGCCCGCTTCTTCGACTTCCCCCAATTTCGACACAAAACACTCCCAGGCCCAAATTCCCTGGCTTTCCCAAACAACCAAAACCCAAACCCGAGATCTCCTACCCTTTTTTTTCCGCGCTTCACATTTCTTGTGCATCCAACTTCTGCACAGAGTTCAACTTCTTCCTCCCAATCCAACAACACAAAAAAGGTACGTTGACTCTACAATCTCAGCACTTGACCTCTCTCCCGCCCCGGCCCTTGACCTGTCTACCTACCAACATCACCTACACCTATCCATCGCCTTGCCTCACCCCTCCCGTCCCAACAATCCATCTCCCTGTGCTTGCATCCTGGGAAAACCTGAGGAGCGTGTCGTCATCGTCACCCATTGGCATCTCTGCTGCCTCTTTGCTTCGCCCCTCACGACGACGACAACGCCGAGGGACAGTCACCGTCTTGCGATCCTCGATTCTCCGATACTCTGCATAACAGCGCTGCGACTATCTGGCCAGCGCCGTCCTTACTCCGATTCACGCGTTCATCGACTCTAGCGGTAGGCGCAAACCCCACCAGAGGCGATGCGGGGGATGCTTCAGTCGCAACCGTTCTCCGGGCGGCCTCGCCCATGACTACACTCATAGTGTCTTGCCGTCAATACAAGCCTGAGGAAATACATCTTGTCAATTCTTAGAGTGCCAGCTGTCGCAAAGTCACACTTTGATCGACACCCAGCCCATGACTATCTCCATCCCTGCATTCACTCTCATTATTCTCCACCACTTCCTTGTCTCTACTTTCCAACCTTAACACGCTTCCTCTGCCAAAGCCAACAATCTTGGAACCAGAGAGTCGCCAAATTCATTGCTAATAATCATATTTTTGCGCAGTTCTTTTCACAGAAACCAGAAACACACATCAGTCACCATGGGTCACGAGGATGCTGTCTATCTCGCCAAGCTCGCCGAGCAGGCTGAGCGCTACGAGGGTATGTCATGTTGAGGATTTACTCAAGTCCAAGAACACAAGTTTCGTGCGATCTCCTAACACACAGCATGCAGAGATGGTCGAGAACATGAAGATCGTCGCCTCCGAGGACCGTGACCTGACCGTTGAGGAGCGCAACCTTCTCTCTGTCGCCTACAAGAACGTCATTGGTGCCCGCCGTGCCTCTTGGAGAATCGTTACCTCCATTGAGCAGAAGGAGGAGAGCAAGGGTAACTCGTCGCAGGTTGGCCTGATCAAGGAGTACCGCCAGAAGATCGAGGCTGAGCTCGCCCGTATCTGCGACGACATCCTTGAGGTCCTCGACCAGCACCTCATTCCCTCCGCCAAGTCTGGCGAGTCCAAGGTCTTCTACCACAAGATGAAGGGTGACTACCACCGATACCTTGCCGAGTTCGCCATTGGCGACCGCCGCAAGGAGTCTGCCGACAAGTCTCTCGAGGCCTACAAGGCTGCTACTGAGGTTGCCCAGACTGAGCTTCCTCCCACTCACCCCATCCGTCTGGGTCTCGCCCTCAACTTCTCCGTTTTCTACTATGAGATCCTGAACGCACCCGACCAGGCTTGCCACCTCGCCAAGCAGGCCTTCGATGATGCTATTGCTGGTAAGTCACGATGTCTGGAATTGCGTGTTTATGAGAATTTTGGTACTGATTCGCCACCTACAGAGCTTGACACTTTGAGCGAGGAGAGCTACAAGGACTCGACTCTGATCATGCAGCTGCTGCGCGACAACCTGGTAAGTCATCATAACCCGCGTTTGTGTCTAATGCTCTACTAACGAATCATGACAGACTCTCTGGACTTCATCTGAGGCTGAGGCCCCCGCTGAGTCGGGTGCTGCCGCCGCACAAGAACCTGAGAAGGCTGCCGAGGCACCGGCCGAGGAGACCAAGGCTGCGGAGTAAATGTATTGACGTTACGATATCTGGACGAAATGGCCATTGTTGGTGTGGACCATGGATGGGATCTGGTGTCTATGGAGTGCGGCTTTTGAACCTCTTCAGTTGAGAATTCTGCATGCTTTTTCACTCGGCAAATACACAAGACTTTTTGGGGGGATAAATTATGTCCCCTCTTTCCTTTAGGGATGAGCGGATGAGCAACAGGGAAAGCTTTTGGGGGTCTTTCGTACCGTGCCTGGCTCTTAGACTCTGATGTGAACCCGTCTGGACAAAATAAACCGTTGTTTCTGACTTAATATGCGTCTCGCTAGAGTTTGGTATCGATGTCTTGAAATTGACACCAGGATCACTATATGGCGATTTACATACTCTCCCACATGAAAGCCTGAAATGAATGGACAGTTGTATAAAAATTTCGATTGCATATCATACACAGATGTGATGCGCCAAATCCAATCATGCCAAATGCAGCAAAAGCGCCCCAAATCAAGATACTGATAACGCCCACCCAGGCTTGGTCGGACTCAAATCTAAGACAAAGTACGCAAAAAATTCACTTTCGTCCTGCGCTGGCACTAGCACTGGCACCTCCTCCAATAGAAATGCCAAAGTTGAACTTCCAGCTCCAGCCGCCGCTCTTGCCGCTCGAACTGCCGCTCGTAGTGTGCCGCAGCTCCTCTCCCTGACTCCCGCTCCGCGACTTGACATCCTTGCCGGCACCACCTTGTTGCCGCTCCTCGTCATCCTCGTCGTCTTCAGCCTCGTCAAACAAGACGCGCAGCCAGAGCGAGCACCCAGTACACTGGACCATGAGCTCGCCGTCCTCGCCCACCTCGTCCAGATCCAGCTCGCGGAAGCAGTAGCCGCGGTCGGTGCCGCACCGGCCGCACGTGTGGTGGTACACTTGCCTCTTGCCGTCCCACTTGACGTCGTCGAGATCCACCGTCTCGACGCCCGAGGACGAGTGCGGGCGGGCCTGTTGCTGCTGCGCCGGCTGCTGCTGCGAGTGCTTAAAGTTAAAGGTCTGCTGGTAGGTGTAGTCTTGCTTTTGGCGAGACGATGAAGAAAAGTTGGCGCCGCCGCCTCCCCCTGTTGTCGAGGTCCGCGACTCCGTCTGCAGTGAGCGGACGTACTCGCGGCGCTGCCGCGTGTCGCTGAGGACGGTAAAGGCCTCGGTGATTTGGTCCACGGTGAATTGCTCATCTCCGTTCTTTTTCTTGGTCTCGGCCGGATCCGCTGGCGAGTCCTGGGCCTTGGCTTGCTGGTTCTTGTCTGGATGGTGCTTGAGCAGGGCGCGCCGGTACGCCTGTTTCACAGTCTTGGCCTGGGTGGAGGAGTCCTGGCCGTCGAGTGAGTTTGGGGTCAGGGAGAGTACCTCGAAGTGGGAGGGCTCCTGTGAAGACGATGATGGTGCCATGGTGGGTAGAGTTTTTGTGTTATATAATTGTGATTGGTACCTATGAGGAGATGGGGTGATGTTGGAATGCCATGGGCTCTCTTTGAATTCTACTATAGGATTCCTATGGTAGTGGTACTCTTCCTGGTAAAAATTATGGATTTTATGACTGGGAACTTTCTTGGGTGGGGTTTCTCTTTTGAACTGCCAGGCAATATGCTTATTCTTGTATCATACCACAAAACATGGGGCGATGATCTCTTGTCTTGGACAGAGGAACCTCGGGATGAGTGTAAGTGGGCGTTGATGTAAGTCGAAGCACTTCAAGGTCCGAAAAACCTGATTTGATGTTCGGGGCGCAACTTTGCTAGGGTATGGGGCCGTTTCTTGCTGGGTGGTCCGTGCGTATGAACCTGCAGCATGATAACTAGCAGACAATGGTTGAATAATAATAGAATGAATCACAATGCTTTTCGTAGAGCCTTCTTTTTTTGGGCAAGATTCGCCAGTATCTGTTTCGTTAGCTTTGAAAGTGAAGAATACCATCCATCCATTTCAATAAATTGAAACGCTTGGGTTCGGCTACAGGCAAAGGAGAATTCGGGGGACTCTTCGAAAATGTGTTTGTGATTCTTTGATTCATATTGATACAGTCTTGTACATATGTCGATGGCATTGTCATTACCATCTTGCTTGCCTTTACCGGGGGAACTTGGACCATTTTTGTGTACCCGTCTGTAAAGAGTTAGCATTCGAAATACAAGAAGATAATGGGGTTCAGTCCAACATACTTTCCGCCATTCCCTGACCAATCTCGGCATACCCAAGACAGCCGTACGTCTCTTCTCCATCCTACGATATCGTTAGCACAGCATTCTCAAGCAGCTCTGTCTGTATCAAAGCCAGTAAGGCTGAAGACAGAGAGATTCGGAAAGGGACATACTTTGTGGCCAACATTCTCTCGTGCAAGTGACCCTTGACCTTTTGTCCCACACCGGTACCCTTGACCCTGAGACCCTCCTCGACCCTCTTCCGTATCCGCTCCTCGGTGCCCTTGTTGGTGAAGGGTAGCAGCTCTTCGACGCCGGCCTCGCGCGCCAGCTTTACCAGCTCCGCCTGTCTCCGCAGAGAGTACTCGGGCTCCTGCCACTTGCCCGTGGCTGGGTGCTTATGGGGGAGGAACGGGTTCGGGATGGAGCCGCTGTTGATGGCCTCATTGTTCGTCCTTGTTGAGGCCGGCAAGATCTGTGTGGGAGGATACTTGGCCAGGAAGCGCTGGAGGCGAGGGTGCAACGCCTTGGCGAGCTCGATGTAGCGGTTTGTCGCCGCTGCCGCCATTGTCTCTTCTGTTTGCCAGTGACAGTCTGCTGGGGCAAATATGCCGATTCTCCCTTTTGAGATGCAGAAGACGGTGTGAGCGTTGTGGCGGGGGGTTGTAGTATGTCTGAGCCTTTCCTGGCCGATTCGAGATTTCAAAAGTCGAATTGCTCACCCAAAATCCAGGAGCTGCAAGACGTGAATTTTTGGCAACCGGCGCGCCTTGGGCCTAGCGGCTTTGCCCCCCACACTGACTTGGCTTTTCCCCGATTGGGTGTCCCGCAACACAGCTCTAGGTACCTAGTGGATACCGCCCGTCCTCACCCCAAATCCCTGTCGCGCGAAGAAACAGCTTCAACGCCGTGCCTATTTTCTTTCATCTTCGATTGCAGACAGCCGCTTACAACCAGAGAGACCGTCTTTCTTTTAAGCCTTCTCTGTTATAAAGTCAGGGAACAACAAAACGGTTTTCTCGCGCAAATCAAACCATCAACATCTTACAACGAGCTGCGGATATCAAGGAACGGCGCGCGCAACAATCACATCATGGGTATTACGCCTCGTGTGCCGACCACGAACGGTCAAATCAACGGTGCACCAAAGACGGCCAAAAAGACACCGGTAGATATCGAAGAATTGCTCGCAAGGAAGAAGGCCGCAGCCGAGGCAGCATCGAAACCAAAGTTTATCCCCAAGGCAGAAAGAGAGAGATTAGCAGCTGAGAAGGCAAAGAAGGAGGAGGAGGAAAAGCAAAAGCAAAAGCAAAAAGAGGCTGCCTCGCGCAACGATAGCTGGAGCAACGGAACTAGCACCCAAACCAACGGCAGAAGCCAGAATGATAGCCGACAGGACCGACGGGCTGGGGACCGGTACTACAGAGATGGCCCGGCAGTTCCTACTGGGCCAAAAGCTATGCGCCAGAACCAAAGTCAGAACCACCACCACGACGACAGACGAAAGGGCGGCAACAAGGATAAAGATGGCAAGAAGCGCCCTGCACCAGAGGAGGCCGAGGCAGTCTTGATCAGGGAGCGTTATATGGGACCAGAGACCAACGTTTCGACATTCTCTGCATTGAAGAAGCGGAAACGAACCACGGAAAAGAAGTTCAATTTCGAATGGGATGCGTCAGAGGATACAAGCCAGGACCACAACCCGATATATTCTGATCGGGTGGCGCCGACCTTCTTTGGCAGGGGAAGACTGGGCGGCTTCGGAGATGACATGACTGAAGAAAACACAAGACGATATGCACAGTCGCTGATCGAACGCGATCCGGAGAATGGTGCCGCGCGAGCTCAGGAGATGCTCGAAATGATGCAGAGAGCAAAGGAGCGGGCCAACCGCAATGCTCTCGGAAAGCACTGGTCCGAGAAGAAACTGGAGGAGATGAAGGAGCGGGACTGGCGCATCTTCAAAGAGGACTTTGGTATTGCTACCAAGGGCGGCTACATTCCCAACCCCATGCGGAGTTGGCAGGAGTCTGGGCTTCCTCGTCTACTTTTGGATATCATTGCACAAGTCGGCTACGACGAACCCTCCCCCATTCAGCGAGCCGCCATTCCTATCGCGCTGCAGGCGCGTGACCTGATTGGTGTTGCCGTGACTGGTTCCGGAAAAACCGCTGCTTTCTTGCTGCCGCTTTTGGTGTATATCTCTGAACTGCCTCCTCTGACAGAGATCAACAAGAATGATGGTCCATATGCACTTATTTTGGCACCAACTCGAGAACTGGTTCAGCAGATTGAGACGGAAGCGAGGAAATTCTCGACGCCGCTGGGTTTTACAGTTGTGAGTCTGGTAGGTGGTCACGCTCTCGAGGAACAAGCCTTCGCCCTTCGGAATGGTGCTGAAATCATTGTTGCCACTCCTGGTCGTCTCGTGGATTGCATCGAGAGACGACTCTTGGTGTTGTCGCAATGTTGCTACGTCATCATGGATGAAGCCGATCGAATGATTGACATGGGTTTCGAGGAACCTGTAAACAAGATTCTCGATGCTCTTCCTGTGACAAACGAGAAGCCGGATACAGATGAGGCTGAAAACGCTCAGCTAATGTCACGGCATCTTGGTGGAAAGGATCGTTACAGGCAGACCATGATGTACACGGCAACGATGCCTCCGATAGTGGAAAGAATTGCCAAGAAGTACTTGCGTCGCCCAGCTACCGTGGCCATTGGTAACGCAGGTGAGGCGGTTGATACTGTAGAGCAACGTGTTGAATTTGTTTCAGGAGAAGATCGCCGCAAGAAGCGTCTGCGGGAGATACTTCTCGATGGCGGTTTCAAAGCGCCCATCATCGTTTTCGTCAACATCAAGCGAAACTGTGATGCTATCGCCAAAGAAATCAGCAGGATGGGTCTCAGCGTGGCTACGCTACACGGTTCCAAGACTCAGGATCAACGTGAGCAGGCTTTGAACTCGGTCCGCGCAGGAAACACGGAAGTCTTGGTCGCCACCGATCTTGCTGGTCGTGGTATTGATGTGCCCGACGTCAGTCTGGTCGTCAACTTCAACATGGCCACTTCAATCGAGGCCTATACTCACAGAATCGGTCGTACCGGTCGTGCCGGCAAGAGTGGTGTTGCCATCACCTTCCTAGGCAGCGAGGACGCAGATGTCATGTATGATCTAAAGCAGATGCTCAGCAAGAGTAGTATCAGTCGCGTCCCCGAAGAGCTTCGGAGACACGAAGCCGCCCAGCAGAAGCCTAGCCGAGTTCGCAAGACGGTTAATGAGAATTCTGGTCCGACAGGGTTCGATAACAAGAGTAGTGGGTGGAACTAGATGGAATGAATAGCTGATATACCCTACGTGCTGAAGATAACGACAATAAATGTTTCAAATTGTAATTTACTCCCGAGATATGCATTAAATCAGACATGGCGTCACTTGGCCGGTCGTCCTTTGTAGACCACCTGGTCGTCATCGTGCTCAACATCATTGTCCTCTCGTCGGCCCCGATAGAGCACAAAGTCCTCATACTCACCCTCTGCACCAAGCTCAATAATCATGTCGTAGAAGCCGTTTGGAGTCCACGCGCGTGCTGGCAGCATGGTGATGATGGTGATTGTTCGTTTTCTTCCCACTGACAGTCCATCATTAACCTTGGCGATGAGGCCCTCCACAGCCTACTTGGGGTTGAAGAAGTCAGTGTTTATGCGCCGGGGAAGGCTTCTCACGGTAGGTCTGCTGCCATATAAGTTCACTTGACTTACCTGAAGATACGGATTGACTCCAAAAAGCCGATCCCAGCCATCCGCACCCGGCATCGTCTGAATCTTATTGGCACCGATAGCCGTACCGCGGCCCAGCTGTGCCTCGTACTCATGCCAAATGGAGCATCGAAACCTGTCGTCCTTTAAGCCGCGAAAGCCAATATAGCGAAGCGTGGATAAGTCGCCGCCTGCAGCGGCGTAGTTGGCTGCCATCATTTCCCACAGTGGCATGAGCGGTACCGGCTCTTCGGGGATGGCGGGGAGGGATGATGTCGCGATTTCTGGTTTGGCGGTTTGAATGGATGGCTTGGGCCGTGACGTCTTGCTTCTAGAGGCCTTAGCGTTATGGTCCTTGGACCGGATCTCCTTGGAACGAGACGACTTGGTGTGGGACTTTTGGGTTCGACTCGACTTGGTGCGAGACGACTTGGTCTGTCCGGACTTGGTGCTGGTGGCCTCCGTAGCAATAGCGGCTGTGGCGGTCACGGCGACGGACTCGATAGTCATGGTGGGCTCATCAAAGTGCACGACATCCTTGCTCGCGGCATCTATCAAGGAGTCTGATGTAATGACATAGATGCCCTTCTTGACACAGACGTCGCAAGAGTGGACGTGTCTATCACGCCAGATGGAGCAGGTCATCCATCCCGGGTCCTCATCCCCATCATGGCCTTGAACAAACCCCAAGGCCTCTCGAAAGGAGCCTCTGAATACGTCCTGGTGGTCCAGGGCAGAAGGGTAGGCCCATCGCGTATACGAGTACGTTTCAATCTTATCATGGCGAGGCATTATGTTGACAGCAGTATGAGCCGGGGAATCTGGTCTCGACAATCCGGCGCGACAGTCGTCGTCGGATTGCTGCCGGCTCCGTGGCGTCAAGCTACAGTTGTACAACCCCCCTTCATCATCCTTTTCCGTCTTTTCCAACACCAAAATTATGTCTGCTTGACAGAATGCCCCTCTTCGCTTTCGGAGACTGTCATGCATCGTTATAGACTCTAGAGGCAGCAGTATTTTTGGCATTTGACTCACCGGGTAGGGACATTCACTCCAGAACTCGTTTGAACAAGCCAGGCGTTGGACTTCGTACCCTCTCCTGGATCAATGTTATCACAAGAACTACTCATTACCGAGCTCATCTCAGTCATTATCCTGAGTCGTAGGTATACGCCAGTTGCAAATTAAATTTGTGCCACTTCTGGGAATAAAGGATGACACCTTCAAGAGTCTATTGACCCAGGCACGGTCGAGTTGGAGGAGAAGTTCTGTCCGATGAGGTTACGGGAGTTCAGTTGACAGTAGAAGCTGCACGACAAGTTGGTAGAGAGAAACATAAACTATATCAAGCCAAACTGCCCCGTGAAGGAAGTAATTCGCACCTTCTTGCGAGGTCTGATGCGTTGGATTGGGTTGCGGTTGTTTGCTCGTGTCTTGTGCGACTTGGTGACACTCGCGAAGTACACAATAAGATTGTGAATTACGAAGGTTCCTAATGGGACCTTGCATACAAGTGTTTATATTTGACACAATTTGGTGTGTTTAAGTAGGAAACACGACGTACAAAGTTGACGAGACCACCTTGCGGGTGTGCATCGATTGACATGATCCAGCATGTATAACCATGGCCTATGAACACGAAATCGTCGAGAATCATGGAACCTCGAGGATCAACCTGGAAACACAATAAGTCTTCATGTGTAGGCACCGATTTCGACCCCAGATCCAAATTTCAGTGGAGATTGAGTAGCTGAGAGCACACGGCAAGTTGCAAGAATATTGCTCCGAGAGTCAGGGAATATTATGTCTTTAGGAGAAATCCCATTAGTGAGAAAGAAACATCTAGGATAGAAAACAATCAATCTTTACCAATCTTGAACATCATTTAGAACTCCAAGCTGAATAAGGACATGACAAGGCGCGTACTTTACTCAGTAATCCATAGAAGATTCCCGTAAAAATCTGCTTAGAAAAGTAATCCCATTCATGCCCTCCGCAACTCACTGGTGATGATGACCCAAATACTTGTTCTCGGTTGGCTTGTGGAGCGATAGGAAGTAAAAGGCATTTGCAGATCTGCAATCTATTCCAGGAAGACTAAAATGGCGCGAACCAAAGGCCAAGGAATACATGGCAGAAGCTATTGCTGTTAGGTTGGGAATAGTAAATATTCTATGCGCATCGCCTTCAATGGTAAGATTTAGAGGAGAGATGGGATTGTCGACCGTCTTCTCTCGGCTTCAAGAGCAAACGCCTCATCATCCACACCAGAAGCGGCCGTGAATACACGCAACGGGCATAGCCATGACAGCTATGGTATTGGTTCGGTCCCAGATGATCGTCAAAAGCACCTCTGGGGCGCGCGATCCGGTGCTTTAACAGTCCGATGCTACCGGGCCCTGCCGGTACCGTCGTTTTACTTTGGTACAGCCAAAAATATGAACTTCTAGAAGAAATGACAAGGGTTCCAGAATTCACTCGTCGACGGGGCCGTGGTCAGTGTGCCCATTCATCTGGGTTCCAACATCATGTCTGATTCCCATGTGACATAAATAAAGATGCCTACTCGTTTGTGCACGAAACACTGGCTGAATTGGCTGTTACGATTGATGAGAGTCTATCTGCGTACTACAAGACAGACACACACACATAGCCCGACACTTTTGCAGTATGAAAAGCTTATCGAGGGAAGTATCAAGACCAAAAGGTTAAAATAGGTGAACCCTTGCAGCCTCGATTTTAATAATTCCAATATGCATATACTTACTCCCGCAGCGGTTCCTGCAAGGGGGAGGGAGGGATGCTATGGATCAGGAACTCAGGGTGTCGATCGCGGAGAGAGGCCCCCGCTTTTTTGCAGCCTTCCAACCCCTGTGGCAGCGGTAGCCAAACTCCTGGAACCCCTGCTGCTGGGCCCTGCTGGGCTCCAGACGGGTTGGCGATGAAACACCAGTCGAGATCCATAATGCTGAACGGGCCAACAATGCCGTCTGCGCGTGCATCTGCTCGAGATGCATGAGACTCCAGATCAGTCGAAACCACTCTTTCATACTGATGCAGGAATAACAGCATCGTGAGAACCAAGGTCGACATGGTCGACATGATACAAGATAAGATGGAAAGACAGAGCACATGTCCTCGTCAAAACGTCGCGTGATGCGCACATGGTAGTATGTAGGTAGCGTCTTCCATGGTGCCGGGCCAGGAACTCGGGGACTGATGAATGAATTGATGCATGCTACCGAGTCTAGCCTTTGGAAACGAGAAGACGATCACGAGCCGGTTCACCCTCAACCCGTCAAAGCTCACCCTAGCCATACCTATTAACCGTTAATGGGTGAATTCTGGATCCATCTGCCAGTAACTCTAATATAGTTGGGATTGGGAGGTATGTGCACAGATGACTTTGGAACCGAGCACATTGAGACAGACGGTGACGGGCGATCAGATGTATAGAGATGATGAGAGGAGGAGAATGCTATGACATTCAGCTATACTATTTGTCTTTACCTGATCATCGCTCCCTCGATTGATCCCAAGTGATGTATTCTATTTTTCCAATTTCATCGTATCGATATGTTATGAAGAGGTCGGTCCATCATCCATGTATGCAAAACATACCATTTTACCCACAGCATCCCACCGCCCACTTGAATCCATCCACGCGGAAAAAGAGAATTCAAGAGGGTAAAAAAAAAAAAAAAAAAAAGCCAAGCATTTTGGGCTCGAAAGAGGCGGCCTTTAAACGCGACCCCATCGGCTCAACGGTCCTCGAGAACCAGTCACTAACGCCCAATGCACGAGCTTGACAACAACGAGCGCATCGATTTTGTTTTTGTTTTATTTGGGCGTACGATTCGTTCGTTGGTCAAAGTTTGGAAGGTCGAGAACAAGACGTTATCCCCCAATCGTCGGCTCCGGAATCCATTTACTGGATCTGCTGGACCAATTGGACTGGCGCGACCCTGAAAGGCCGTTAGCAAGATTACAGGACATGGGCAGCAAATGAACTGCAGACTGGGTGTGCTCATTTCCCATTTCGCCAACGCAACAGACACATTATTATCATTATTGTCATTACCGTTCGGTAGGTAGGTATTTTATGATTAGAGAGAAAAAGATCGGGGCCCCCGTTTCTTTTCCATCAGGAACGATAACATCATCCTCAATCCCGGCCGTTCCTGGTTCTTGGTTCTCTCTTGTTTTATTTTATCTTTTTTTTTTTCTCTTTCTCTCTCTATTTTCCATTCGCCAACCACATACTTTGCTTACTCTCGGGACCTCTCGGGTTGATTTCTTTCTTTTCTTTTCCTGTCTTCTCTTCAATCTTTTATAGTCGTGTATTCTCTCTTAGAGCGATTATACTGCCTGGCAAGCAACATCATATACTTGCTTCCGCACCCTCTGGAGACTTCGATTCTACGGCATTTCAAACCTGCTAATCAATAGCAAACCCACTTGCGCCCATCTCAGAGAGAACCCCCGCGACAATCTGACACAAGCCTACGCTTAAACAGGCCACCCCCCGAGCATTGAATTCATATTCCTTGCATGAAGAAAAAAGGCGCTGTTGTAATAGCCTTCTCTCTTTGAGGAGGAGTCCGGATTGATACATACCCCTCCAAGCCAAGTGCGCCCAATTGCCTTGATCAGTTGACTCTTTGACACCCCCCGACCGTCCGCCGCAATGTGGGACCGCTTCCGTCCTCTTAAGGATGGACTCTCTGCCTCGCAGTCGGATCGCAAGAACAAGTTGAACGTTCAACAAGAGTGGCAGACTCCCCGCGCCCCTTCGCCGTACGGCTACTCCATCAAGATCCAAGGCGGACCTGCGCCCCCGCGGCCCCCAAGGGACTTTGAGCATTCATCGCCTCTGTAAGTGACCATTAATGTCGTCTTTTGTCTCTCCTTTCGCCTTGCATCTTGTTGGTACCCTTGTTTGCCTGGGATTCTCGAAACAATGTGACATGAACGCACGAGCGACGCACCGACAGATGGACCGGCCCCAATGCCAATGAATGGCCATCCAGGATCTCGACCAACAATGGCATGGAAACAAACATGATGGCTCCGCGCGACTACTTCAATACCTACCCTGGTGTGGATTGCCTATCTCAAGAGGTCTCAAGAAAAGAAAAGCCAAGTACGGCAGGGCTACCTCGAGTATACACGAGACCACTTTCTTTGACGGTGTTACCTGAAAGCTGGTTTCTTAGCGACGACTTTTCCATATCAGCAATCAGACCCCAACATCAACAAGTGCGACAACAAAGAGCCAAGATTCGGTGACATCGCTCATCGCCATTGTCTTGATCAACATTGAACCGCCCCGCGCCTATCCCAGTCTATTTATGGACACAAACTACTTTCGAGCAACGTCAACCCTTCGGGAGCTTCAGCCACTCTGGAACCAAGACCAAGCGCAACGGAATCCTGCAGAGTCAGCCTGCAGATAAATGCCACTGGTGCAGCGATCAGCAAGCTTAAACTTTGTCTACCCACCCAAAGCCCGCGGCCACCATCCATACAGACAAACCTTAAAGTGCGACATAGGACGAAACTCGTGATACTATTTATTGCATTGACTTTGGAATCCTCCCAAGGCTACTTCTGCTTTTTCTCCTTGTTTGACTTTATGTGTCGCGGCTCCAGGAGGTTTCAACATGCTGACATCACGCTATGGGAACAGGCAGACGTCAGCGCCTGCAGTGCAAGCAGTTCGACAGAACCCTCCGCCTAGGACAGGTCTGGAACCCTATCGTAATTCAGAGTACGGCCGGCCTGTTTCTTCAATCTATTCTCAGCCATCACCGGCCGCGGCTACCTTTGCCGCCGAGCAACTGAGAGGCGACGTCTACAGCGCTCCGCACGAGATCTCGCCACCGAGCTCGCCCGACGACGTAGCTCCGAGGAATGGGTAAGTGCTACTTTCTTATCCGTGGTGAAGAGCGAGCAGGAAGCTATGAGTGGGCTGTGAATGGCAGTCGGTCCTACGATTCGAGGGCCGCGGAAGCACCAATGGACGGGTCATGATTAGGGTGCTTAGGAGATATGGCCGGACATACTCAGCTTCACCAACACTCCTCTATCGGTCATCCGCTTCCATATATGTCACTTTTTTGGGGGGAGGGCAAACAAAGGTTCATAATTGGTTTCTTGGAGGCCTCTGCATATTTGAAGAGATGCATTTTAAGGACGACAAGAACACAACAGAGTCTCCTAGACTGCTTGCTCAGAGACTCACCACAATTGTGCATCCGCCAATCATCAAGGTCACGGAGCTAACCAAACATCTTCGCAATAGGACTCACTCATACGGTGGAGGCGACGTATCACCCATCGAGGACACAGAAAACCGTCTTTACATCATGAACAACCCACCAGCAGAGCCGTCGGCAAATCAAAGCCGCAGCAATATTCCACAGATGCGCCGGGAGCGTCGCAAGAATTCTGTCGGTGCCATGTTTCAATCAAGGGAGATGAACTCTCCCGAACGACAGAAGCAGTACCGGCCTCATGGGAAGGATGTTCGTTGGGACCCACGAACTGGAGAACCCACTGTCGGCGAAAAGGGTCGCCCGTCCCAAATCGACCCTCACAACTACGTGCAAAGGCTCGCCACTGCCAACGCGCCAACGGGTGCACCACAACGGACTGGTCAACAGCCCGTCAACCCATTCGGTGTGCGACTGAAGCCTGCCCAGCAACGAACAAGGCCTGGCCTGCCGGCTGAACAGACGCCGCGATCTAATCCAAAAGCTGAAGCCGCCCCGCGACCCGAATGGCGCGGTGGTAGCGGCCGGACCGCAACGGTCGACCCTGTTGCTGATGATCGCAGTGTCGCGCCTCTGCATATTCCTAGAAGGAGCAGCAAGCGAACCCCTCGCGATCCTGGTGTGCTGTCCCCTGTCAGTCCTGGTGGTTCTGAAACGACATCTCCCCCGCCCACGCGTACGGCACCAGAGAGATTGGACGACAACAGATCAAAGGCAATGAATGTCCGTATCACCGCTCCATCGTCGCAACAAGAAAAGTCTCGGGTCGACGCTTCATCGTACCCTAGTCCTCCTCTATCAGATGACCAGTCAGCCCCAGCCAAAGTATCTCAAGCACCTCGTTCCCAACAGCAGGCATCTACGTCTACCCAGCCGCAACAAAAGCAGACTCTACTGCAAGCGAATGAAAAAGCCATTCGAAGAAAGCCCGCCGGAGGCTCGAGTCATAACCCACACTTGTCGGTGTCTTCCTCCATCTATTCGCAGGTGGACGGTCATCCACCAGCACCGCCGCCAGTGGACGACCGGTTTCAACTTCCTTCTCGCTCGACTGGGAATACTAGTACGACCCCGGCGAGCACGGTAAATCCGCAATCATCACCGGTTGGTGCGCCGCCTCTGTCAACTCCAACACGCCAAGCATCGGAATCACCAAAACCTATTCCAGGCGACTCGGTTCTAGATCGCAAACGTCCTGTTGTCAAAGGTTACGAAGAATCCGTCCGCAGCCTGCCTTCTCCTGAACCCATCAAAATCAACATGGGCTCCCCGTACTACACGACGGCTCCTGAACCGAAGCCTACAGGAGCACGTCCCCTACCATTTAGTAACAACAGCGCTCTATCAGTGAACACGATAGCGTCCGGCGACAAAGACCTTCCCATGGTACCTCCGGAGCTATCAGCGCGTGATCGTGTGACGTTTCTCAACGCTCAGGTCGAGGCTCTCGGCAACCGACGAATAAATATCAACCACGCCATCAAGCAAATGACGGAGCTGATGCCGACAGACAATGTCTTGGCATCCGATGCCGTGATCCGCAAGCGTGAGCAAGAAAAGCGCAAAGTGGAGACACTGAGAGCAGAGCTCGCCGATGTCCAACGAGAGGAGTATGAGCTGGGACTGAAGCTACACCGAGCCTACAAGCGCTTGGATCGTGATGCCGAGTATGAACCAACGACATTGTGGGTCAGGCGCGTTACTGGTTGAGCAAAATTCTCGCGTACTTTTGCATTTGCTATGAGCATTTTGGTTGGCTCGAATGCTACGAAGCTGGGAGTGCTTGGTAACTTGGTCACTTGTTTTTATACTATTAAATTTCCTTTCCGACGGGGTCGGATCAGGGTACATCATCGAGACAGACAGAAGGGTTTGATGATTCCAAAGGCCAGAGGTCTCTGAAGAAGTTTTTGTTTATTGGTAATGTTTGGGCTGGATTCCTACATACCCAACCTTGTATCTATTTCTCGGTCAATGGGAGAGGAGAAGAATGACTTTGATATCCGCCTGAGAGCATGGAGTTGGCGGCCTTTGTTTTGAAACCCTCGAGGGTTTGTATACCATATTTCTTGGAGATACAGGGTCAACTTTGTCCATGAAAAGAAAAGAAGAAAGAGAAAATACAAGAAATTTACCATACTGCCTGCTCCCGAGCTCCAATGCGATGCTTGTATTGTGATTAATACCCGACTATGAGAATGCTGTTCAACCGACCTCTTTAGCCTGAGTGATTATGGCATCACTAATAAGGAAGATGAAAGTGGCTAATATGGATCAAGTCTTGCAATTGTATCCGACAAGTTGCATCCTGGTAAACTTGAATAGAATGGTATTTCTGACACGATACTTGAAGAAACCAATGCCGTGTCTCAGTTCAGCATCTTGCCATATCCGCAAACTACTTGATAAATACTTTATTCGGCATTAAAAAGAGAACTCCGCATTGAGGAAAAGGTCTCGGTGATATGAAAGTCTTGTTCTTTCACAAGAACGATGATAAAATGCTGGGAGCAAGTCTCTTTGTATACTTATTTCATACTGCAAGGACGGGACAGAGAGATCGGCAAGATGCGGCGGGTTGTCATACTGGACCCAGTGCATATATGATGCCACTGTCTCACGCAGATTTGGGTGGTTTATCGCGTAGTGAAGGATGAACTCATTGCTAACACAAGTATATCATGTTGATTAGAGCCAGCACTTGTTCCATAGATGATATGTAAATCCACCTCCAAGGCCCCTCTTAATGCTGGCACCGGCCCAAACTTTGACCACATTTCGCACAGATTCCAGGGCTGATAGCCAAGAACAACAGCACGCTTTCTTGTATTGCGCATTGAAACTTGGAAGTCATGGCAGTCATGGCTGCTTTGGAGGCCGCGTACAAAGCTTCAACTTCGATATCTAATTCATTGATGAATGCAGTGCTCGCCATCCCAGTGGACACGTTGATGACCTTTTTGGCTTTTCCCTCGAGCATAAAAGGGAATCAAATAATCAGGACGTCCCCCACAGGCTAATCCGGGCCTGTAGATAAAACCAGTCCGCATCCGGGGATCACTTTAAGCTTTGCGTCTTTTCATCAATACAACCATAATGTAAATTATGGCGCAATTGTCAGCGCTCATTCCAAAACGCTAGACACGGAAGTAACCTTGGATAAGGTAAAAAGTGGATAAATAAAAAGATAATAAATGAAGATTCAATATAATGAGTGACCGCGGGGTATTTAAATAAATGGCCTAAGGTACAGGGTATTGGCAGCTTTCGATTAAAAGCCTTAAAGCGGCATAATAATGCATTTAACTTTTTAGCTGCTAAATAACGGTAAAATCGCTGTCACATGATTTTTACTTTATAAATAATGCAAGTTTTATCAAAGCACGGACCTCCTTCCTGGTTTTTTTTTTAAATAACGCTACGCTAAATTAATTCGATATAAAAAGCGTGCTGCGCCCCTTTAATTGTTAATACATCCATTAATAACGGTTTCCTTTTATCCCAAGCTTTTTTTTATCAAAGAGGTGTAAGTATCACGCGAGAACGCGACGCCTTTTTACAAGTGCCTGTCATCCATTTAACGCGCCTGTTTGAGGTTATATGATAGATGCTCACCAGCACTTTCCTTTGGGAAGAGGATTTTGGATTGCAGCTGCCAAATCTCTCGAGGATCAAAAAGAGTTCCTGCCAGGTTTATTATGACTGAACAGTTATACTGGTAGTGGATGAATGAACTGCCAAGCTGCCGTCTGAGCCCGACTAAGCTGGAATCGGACATATAACAACATTGAATCCAAGCCTGGCATTGGACCATTTTCTTGCAGAACAGGCGAATGTCTATGGATAAAAAAATATGGCTGCCGCTGCACCACCACCGTCGTCACGTATAGATACGCCATCACCGGCCGTCATCTCACCACATATCAATGGTGTTGTTCTCGAGGGCCCAGCTGCTAGAGCCAATGCAACAGCAAACGGTGGCCACGGAGGCGCCTCTCCTGCAGCCATGCAACCCCCGCGCCCGCCGCCTCTGCCGCACACGCAGCCGGCGCTGATGAGACCCGGCATGGTATCCCCGGCCAACACGATGTCGACGCCCGCATCCCATACGTTTCCCGAATCGCCGCAACAGCAGGGCCCCTCGCTTTCACCCGCGTTTCGGGACCGGACACCCTCCACGCACAATGGAAAGATTGCCATTGTCGAGCCACCGTCCCAGGCCAATTCTCATCGTAGCAGTGGTGGCGGCGAGGGAGGCGGCGCATCCTCAGGATTTCCTTCTCCGACCCGTGAACCTCAGCGGGTCAATCCCAAGTTCCACGAGGACCTATCCAGACTCACACATGCCATCCAACAGTCTGTTCCTGAAGCTGTTCGTCGAGTGACTCGAGAGAATTGGGAGAAAACGCTCCTTGGCACTGATTTCCATCAAGCGTTCGTGGTGAGTTCTTTCTCATCTTGTTATTTCCGGTTTTTGAGCCCATTCAATCCCTCCAACAAGTCAAATTCGCATACCTTTGACCTTCTACGTATACTCACCAAGCGAATCACGTTCTGGCACAACTCGACTCTTTTCTACAAATTTCACTTCTCAAACAAAATTGGTTTGTCCATGGCGTGTCATCCACAATAACAGCAAATAGCAACAGCAACGCGTTATTGCCATTGGGACGAAATACCACCTTCATTTCTTATACATTTACTGTGCCTTCCTACTTTCTCTCCTTCATATTGCGGTTCAGTTCGTAAATATCTCCTGTGATTTCTTGCACCTGCCTCATCTCAATCAGTACATTTGAAACTTTCATGCTGACAATAGTTGTAGATGAACGCCACGATCCATCAGGCCAGCGGCGCTGCCGCAAAACGAGCCATTAAAGACTTTGGTGGCAAGATGGTGGCCTCTGCGAAGCACGAAATTATAGAGCACTTCACTGTCAAGGATCTAGACGAAGTTGCCGATGCCATCTTGGCCAAAGTAAGCGATGGCTTTCTTGACAAAGCACTGGAGAAGAGGCTCGCTACAATCGACGCGCGTTCTCTCATCAATGCGCTGGCACGAGCGGAGCGACTGGGCTACGAAAATAACGATTCCATGGACGAAACAGGAGGTGGCACTCCGCCGTCGGCAGGACCAATTCCGCCGGCTGGTGCTGGCTACCTCCCTCGAGCACAGGGCCAAGTCCCGAATCAACAGGCTCAACCACAGCCGAACTTAACCCATCTTGGCCCTGCGAACCCTCTTGCAGCACATCCAGTAAACCAGACCCATGCTCCTGATCTCCAATGCCACCTGTGTTGGCGGAAATTCAAAGCCGTCTCGGCTTATGATTATGTAAGTACAACATGTCAATCACTGAACGGTACGAGACACATGGCTTATATGAACCGCAGCATGTCAAGAAAAAGATTTGCACAAAAGAACCTCCCTCATCGTCAACAGGTTTCGAATTCTCATGCGAGCATTGTGGTGCTGGCTTTATAACAAATGTCGGCCAGCAATATGTGAGTGTCACAACAAAATCTCCTCAGCTAGCTCTAACAGATAAAAAGCATCATGCAAACAAAGTCTGCGGCGATCATGGAATGGCTGCTGCGACGCCAAAGCCAAGCCCTCACGTGGTAACATACAACAGTAACAACAAAAATATCCCGGCAGTTACCCCCGTGCCGGTGCCCATGCCTCAGCTCAACTCATCACAGCCAGTTCCTACAAGGCCTAATTTCTCACAACCAGGACCGCCGCCAACCCACCATCAACAACATGCATTGTCCACGCCAATATCTCAAGGACAGAAACGCACTTATACACCTCAGAGCCAAGGCACGCCAGGACCGCCGTCATCAACTGTCGAGCTTCATCTCGGCGACCCGTACGCGCATTTGACACCTCAAGATCGTGCAAACTTGGAAGAGGAGCTTCGCCAAGCGGAAGAGCTCCATGCTCCCCGTTTCAAGGAGGCTGAAGCTATCGAAGATCCAGTTGTGCGTGCGGCAAAGCTTGACAGCGTCAAAAATGTCTTCAGCACCAGGCAGAGTCTCATCAGAAAGAGATACGGCGTCCGCCTACGCGTACGCCGTTCGAAAGCAGTGCTTGAGGCAGAGAAATCCCGAATGGCAGCATTAGCTGACACGCCTAGTGCTAAGCGTCAGCGTACCGATTTCGTGCATGCAGGTACTCCGTTATCGAATGGTACTGGGCAAGCTATGAGCTTGACTCCTCCTGCCTCCATATTACCGCCTCTTCAACCGCCTGCATTACAGCCTCCAAGGGCAGCCACTGAGCCAACATCCAAGGTCAACATACCAGAGACCAACAACAATACTTTGGGAGTTGACAGCTCCGAATCCATAGCAGCAACAGCAGACTCGAAGCCAGCAGCAATATTGCCTCCCACTCGTAGTCTATCATCAATGAAACGGAGTGGCTACCGTATTAGCACGCACACATCACGCCACTCAACGTCTGCTACGTGTACTCCGGACCCGATGGAATTGGAGACTCGTCCAAATGCAGCCAGCACTGACTTGGGAAAGAGTGTATCACATTCACCAATGCCCCAACGTGGTAAATCGGCAGCTGAGCCTGTCCTTCTCGACGATGACTCGAGCTCAACAGATACCGACTCGGAGTCGGATTCTGATGAAGATATTCCCGCCCAGATTACCTCGGGCCCACGAGCCGTGGATGGTTCCAAAGCAGGTTGAGTAATATGAAATGCGCTGGTTTGTTACTGCATGTGATCTTCATACAAGGAACACAATTTGGCACTTGGCAGGAGCATCTATGAAAGAAAAGAATCAATAATTTCAATCTTCCCGCCCCAGAGGCTTTCCCCGACATTAGGAACGAAGAGTCCCATCGGCCGACCCGGCTTTACCTAGCCATGCTGAGTGTCACAGATTTGCATGTGATGGACGTCAAGGAATGGACAGTGGCACCACCGCCCACGAGGAAGTGCGCCGCGGTATGTGCTACCAGACAATGGGCAATATGGCGCCTCTGGGTGAAGGACATCATGATACCACATCGCGTTTTGTTTCTACATTATTTGTGTTTGTTGTGGGGAGGGATTGCCAAATTGCACTGGACATCACTACTCGATGGGTAGTCTGGGAGTATGTCATGGTTTGTAGTACCTGCTCAAGTTCTGCTCAGTAGTTGAAACGCGTATGTAAATTGTCACAAACAATATAAGTCATGCCAGTCCACCTTCATGCGACATGTATCTTGTGCTGGTGGTCAGAATCTATATCAAGCAACTAACAATAATCAGTTAACATAAAAAATGGACTTGTCAAACGAGATCAACATCAGAGTACAAGAATAGGATTCCGCCAGTGCTCTCTGTCTATTATACCGATCATGTGAAAGCAATGCGTCCCGTATGATTAGCAAACAGCCCAGACTGGGGCGCCTTTGGAGGGGTCGAAAATGAATTTCTTATCTTTCATAGTGGGGCACCGATAACAGCTGAGGCGGGATGTGCATTTAGCGGACTGGATCTTTGGCGGGGTACCAGTCCGCCTAACTTGATCCTGCAGTCATATGCACTTAGACGAGCCGCTAGCGTCCACAAACCTCGCAAATCCGAATAAACCCTAAGATGCCATTCTGGGTCGGCGGAGGTGCAGAGTCGGTCGAGTCAACTAGTAGTAGCAGATAGACGACTGGAGAACCGGTTGACCCCTTCTACCGCGAGAAGCAGCAGCAGCGACAGCGAGAGAAAGCCGAATCTTCTCGCTCAATACACCCACGAGATCCCATTCGAGGACGTCGCGTTTTTCTTTCGGCCAGCGTAGAAACCCCCCAACGACCGCTGCCTGCGCTATTCGGAAAGAAATAATTCAAGACACGCTCCGCCGCCACGATGGACGCCAACTTCCAGCCCCAGCTTGTCTTCGTGGACGGCTCGTTCAACGAGCTGGCCCAGGAGATGGCTGACTATGTCAACGTCGGTGCCGAGGTCAAACCCCTCATCGAGAAGGACCAGCAGGATGAGGTCCTCAAGAAGATCATCATCGCTTCTACTGCCCTCAACTCCGTCCCCGAGCGCGAGTTCAGCGCCGCCTACAACCTGCTCGTCTACCTCGTCCTGCAGTCCAAGAACCCCAACATGTTCTTGTCGAGAGTCTGCGACAACCTGTCCAAGCCCATCACCACCTCGCCTCAGAACGGCCCCGGTCTGGCTCTTGGTGCTCTGACCAACATCTTCAACATGACCAAGCCCGACGACCAGACCCGGTACCACGTCTTCCTGGCCATTGTCAAGTTCACCATCAACAACGGCACGTTTGAGCAGCTCAAGAAGTACCTGCCCAAGCTCGAAAGCTGGGTGCAGCAGTGGGATATCGATGAGGAGGACGAGCGAAAGCTTTACGAGCTGATCTCCCAGGCTGCCTCGCAAGCTGGTGACGACAAGTGAGTTTTAAATTCTTGATTCTATACTGTCTATGGGACTTCCGTCTCTCCCGACTTTTGTCGCTAACCACAATGTAGGACTTCCTACGAGTACATTCTCAAGGCTGTCCGCACCTTTGACGATGAGGACAACAAGACCGAGGAGGCTCAGAAGCTCACCCTCCGCGCCGTCAAGTCCGCTCTCCTTTCTTCCACACATTTCGATTTCTCCGATCTCCTGGCCATCTCCGCCGTGTCTGCTCTCCAGGAGTCGCAACCCACCTGGTACGACCTGCTCATGATCTTTGCCGAGAAGGACTTGGAGGACTACAAGCAGTTTGACGAGGAGCACGCTGGTTTCCTCGAGAAGGAGAACCTCGACGCAGACAAGTTGAACCGCAAGATGCGCCTGCTGACTTTTGCCTCGCTTGCCGCCGCCGAGTCCAAGAGCCGTGAGATCCCCTACGCCAAGATCTCCGAGGCTCTGTCGATTCCCGAAGAGGATATTGAGCTGTGGACCATTGACGTGATCCGCGCTGGTCTGGTTGAGGGCAAGCTGTCCCAGCGCCAAAAGGTCTTCCTGGTTCACCGTGCTTGGTACCGTGTCTTTGGCGAGAAGCAGTGGCGCGAGCTTAGCGACCGCGTCGACGGCTGGGCCTCGACTCTCAAGGACGTTGCCCAGGCTCTCCGACGCGAGCAGGCCAACGTTGAGGCCGCCCGAAAGCGCGAGCAGGAGGAGATTGAGAGGAAGCTGGCCGGTACCGGTCTCGAGGACAACAAGCCCCAGCGGGGCGGACGCAGAGGAAACGCAGGCGACAACCGACCGCCGCCCAAGCCCCGGACGGATGACGACGACTAAATTGCTTTCTTTCTGCAATGCTAACTTTCGGCTTCCCACGCTTCTCAGCTTTTGATATTTACAAAAATTTCGCGAAGGGCCTGGCACGGAAGGGAGAGAGCGAGAGTTCACACTGGGTCTTTCAGAGGCGTAATGGATGGTGAACGAGAAAAAAATACGTGATATGAAATTGCATGGCATGGCATGGCGATCATCATGATGCAAACATTCTGTATTGTCCCGAGCAACATGATTATTTCCAAAGAGGGGATGAAGCGCGAAAGAGGAGTAAGAAAGGGGGTGGGAGAATGTCGAGAGTGAGAAAACAAGGCACGCCAGCCCCCCTGACTCTAACCACCAGTTCAGAGTTGAACCTCGATCGGCGAGAGGCCCTCGGAAAGAAGGGTCTCGGAAATCCATCCGTATTAAAAAGAAACGGGGGGCCCTCGGGGAAAGCCGTTTGGAAGAGAGAGATAGAGACAAACAAAATGCATGCCATAAATTCACCCCAAAACAGAATACTGCGTCTTATCATCTTGAACTTGTCGTGATTTGAGATTTCGAGTGAATATGGTAAATCACTGAAAGGAATGGAACTTCTGCTGGGTGGAAAATATACAGATGTATTCTATACAGCCAAGTCAAAGACAAGGGGCATGAAAGGCACGCATTTCTACTGCAGCCGTGCTGCCTCTATCCTGTTGTGTTTTTCTTTTCTCTATTACCAAGTTCCACGCTGATAATCCTCCCAACCATGGTAGCCCATTCGGGAAAGCCTGGATTCCTCCCGCCAAGGCTCTTCATACACTGTGTAATATGGACCAGATCGAGGATAGTAGTCTACTATATCCTCCCCATCTAGAGCGTTTGATCTGTAGGCTTGACGGTGCTCTGGCAGATCACCAATGGCCTCTACTACTTCTATGCGTTTGATATTTTCGTGAAAGGGGCGATCTTTGGGGCTATGAGTTCGAAACATTCGTCGTACGTGGCGCTTCATCTAGAAGTTCTTGCCAAGCTGAGCCTCAACCTGCTTCTGAGTGTCCTTGTGAACGACCTCGGGGTCACGCTCGGCATTGATCTTGACCACCTTGTTCTGGGTCTGGTAGTAGTCAACGACGGGCATGCTGGTCTCGACAAAGGTGCGGAAGCGCTTGCGGATGCTCTCGGCATTGTCGTCGCTGCGGCCGCTGGTTTGGCCGCGGATGAGCAGACGCTTCTCCATCTCATTTTCGGAGCAGTCGTAAAAGAGCACCATCTTGGCCGGGCAGACAGACTCCTCAAACTTGTGAGCCTGGTCGAGCTTGCGCGGGAAGCCGTCGATGAGGAACTTGCCCTTGCGGCCCTTGATGTCGCCCTTGCCGCTCTTGTCCAGGTCCGCGACCATGGCGTTCTCGAGCAGCTGCACCGTCACCTCCATGGGCACAATCAGGCCGTTCTTGATGTAGTCCTTGATCAGGTCACCAAACTGGGAGCCGGGACGCTCCTGCTCGGCGCGCAGCAGGTCGCCGGCCGACAGGTGGGTGAAGCCGTAATCCTTGACGAGGTTGGCGCACTGGGTGCCCTTGCCGGCACCGGGGCCGCCGAGCACAAAGACGACGGTCACATCATCGCCGGAGAGGGTAGGGGTCGACTTGCTGGGAGCCGGGAGCTGAGCGTTCTTCTCGGAGGCAGGCATTTCTAATCGACAAGAAATATTGTATTAGCCGCTAGTGGAACATCAAACGTGCAATAGTGGTTTGGATTAGGAATGATCAAGTAAACGCGGACGGGCAGTTTGAAGCAAGGTAATAATGTTACAGAGTCGTGGTGGGAGGTATGCAATCTTGGAACTGGGCGGCTAGAAGTGGTCACAGGAAGGGGTTTTGGCGTGGTCGCGCATGAGACGACCTCCTGATCACAATTTCCTTGGAAAGCAAAGGCTACTACGGCGCCTAGAGGGCAAGTGCGTGCTCACTTGAGCTCCTCCTTTTAACCCGGGGGTTGCTCAAGGAGTCTAGTGATGTAATTGCTCATCCCCCCTGGTCCTCCGAGCTTGATATAGGGGAAGTCTCAAAGGCTGAAAACATACCGGCTCTCCTGTTTACAATCATGGCGTAACCTCCAGTTCCGAGGGCAATAATGACAACAAAGGGCCAGAACTTGATGCTGTTGTTGGAGCCCTTGGGGGGTTCTGTGCTGTAGGCCCTCCGAGCTGCGGTAGTAGCGATCTTTGTAGGGGTTCGTGGTGCTGCTGTCGTGGCTCTGCTAAGGGCGGAAGAAGCGAAGGACGCGCGGGCTTGGACTCGGCCAGCGATGGAAGAAGAGGAACAGACGGAAGAGAATGAGGCTCTGCTGGCTTGCCGCCAGAGGAGGCGTTGCATAGAGGCGGCCATTGTTGCTAGTATAGAAAAAAGAATAAGGAAATGGGTCAAAGGAGCGACTGGATTGGGTAGGTTGACTCTGGTTGTTGATGTGTCTCAAGCCTGGATTTCTCTTGGCCGGATCGTTCTATAAAGGGGAGAGCTTCGAGATGCGACTGAATAACGAACGTGGATCAGGAGAGAGCTGCAATAGGTATGGACGCGCTAGACTGGGCTCAAACTGGACTGAACAGCTCAACTCCAGTGGTCGGTACTCGCCAGTGGAGCCCCGGGGGGTTCCCACCGAGCTTCGACCTACAGGTCTAGAACATGCAGTTGGCTGTCTTTCCCTGCACCTGGCAGACGGGTGGATCTGAACCTCTGTGTATTCCCGTGTAAGTCGTGACGCAGATGGGCCGCGTATAATGGCCCTTCTCGAAGCAATCTAGGTGTGAGTGATGTCTCGGCTGTTTGTATGATACATTGTTCTGCCTTATCAATATCCAGTGTATGAAACCCGAGGTACCTCGCGGGACGGAAGCGATTCTTCAGCGGATTCCATGTCTTACTGCATTGCATAGCATTTAGGATCAGATGAACTACAGCATTATGAGACGAGCAAAAATGCATTCAATGACTGGAGGGAGTCTTATTTTTTCCCCTTCGATAGTTATTGTCGATGTCTTTACCGACATAATCGCAAGTTGAGCAAAAATAGTAATATCAGGTCATTTTCACTAACCATGCTGAATGAAAGCCAGGAAAGATGTTCTCAAATGTTTTCGAATTGTACAAGTAATTACATTTATATAAGAAGGAAAATTTGCTGTTCGTAGCCAGCGAGTGACTCTGCAAATTTGCGATTGTCAGAAAAAAGTAAAATCGTGCAAGTTTCGCAATCCACAGGTGGTATAAAGGTATTTGGTGCGCTGCGATCCCATAAAACGCCTCCTCTCGTTGTTGTTTGTGTGCAGAACAGCCAGTCTGTCGCTGTATAAACGCACACATCATTTCCATAACCATGGTCCATCATCCAAGCCAGCTGAACAAAGGAAAAGGCCTGGAGTTTTTCTTTCTTTCTTTTTCATCCTAGTTGGTCCTTAAAACTTCAAATTCGACGCCTCCAAACTACCGGAAGGTGAACTGACTAGCCGGTGGGCTTTTGACTGCTGCGTCCGCATATGCGCCAGGAATAGGCACGGCGGCGTATTGCACCTCGCCAGGAGCGACTGGGGCGTGCTGGCTGGAGGTGAAGTTTGGTTCCGGTGCATTGGGCGAGTCTGGTGTTGTCAGATAGCCTTGCTTGGGGGTAGCACCGCGAGCCTTCTTGGGAGGTGCTTGAAGGCTGAAGGGCTTGGCTGGAGAACTCGGCGAAGCGCTTGCAAACGTGGACTGCGGCTCGACAACAGGCCCAGCAGGAGTGAAAGTTGGCGCCTCCGAAATGTCATCGAGTGACTTGTAGGCTGACGGAGGGAAGCGCGGCGACATGGCATACTGAGAGAAGGCAGGCGACTTGGGGCCGAAGCCCGGAGTGTTGGGGGCAGACTGGCTGCGCAGTTGAGCCAAGTACAGATCTGAACGGGCGCGATCCCGCATATCCATGGACTTTGTCAGGCGGCGTTTGGTGTAGTAGCGGTAGAAAACGACGCTGTAGAGCGTGATGCTAATAACTTCAATGACGATTTCAATGATGATGCAGATGAGAGCCCAGTTCTATGTAATCAGTCAGCATCTGCAGTAGCACGTTTGATTTATGGATCATAATCGACTTACCTGGAGTCTGCAGACGAGAGCGTAGTCGACCTTGTCTTGGAACAATTCGGAACGGTGATTCTGGACGCAAGCCCATCCCCACATGTCCTGGTTGTTGCTGTTGCTCTTGCTGTACTGCAGGACACCGGCGGCTACCACCCACATGACCATGCTGAAGATGAACCAGCCAACGGCAAACAGCGTGTAATAGACACCAACCTTCTCGGCTCTGTGGTGGCCGCCTCGACAGTAACCGACAAAGACCAAGACACAAATAGCGAGAGATACACAAGAGGCAGCCAGCACGACCTTTTGCGGCCATGAATTCGTGTTCGAAGCCCAAGCAGGCAATCCATTTTGTGCTGGCAATGCCTTGGTAGCGTTGAAGATGGCAAAAGAGGATGACAGCATTGATAAGACAATCAGACTGCAGCTGAAGTTGACACCGCGAAGGGCGAACTTGGCCAACCTCACTCTGGTCTTGATTTTCTATAAGCAGCCAGTGTTAGTGTGATCCAATAAGTTGTGTGTATTTTACAGAGACGTACCAGGTCGTTGGCTTGCTCCTTGTCTGTATCCTTTTCGCGCTTCTCGAGAATCTCCTCTTCTCTGAATGTTGGGCTGAGAGGGTTCTCGATTTTCCTTGCTGGTGTGCCAGGTACCCTCATGGCACTCTTGAGTGGTGATGCTGGTGTCATGGGAACATTGACTGATTCCCTTCCGGATGCTCCATTGCCAATGTATCCAAAACCGACATCTGCTGGCTGAGCCTGTGCAATCTCTGATCTCTCCGAAAACGGGTTCCTTCCATCGATGGGAGAATGTACTGCAGTTGCCTCGGCGAACCTCGGTGTCCTCGGCGGCTTGAGCGAAGATGTGGTTGAGGAAGATCCGTTCGAGGATGATCGTGTAGGAGTCAAATCAAGAGCGGCTGGCCGCCTCCTGTCGTCGGAAGGACCCATTGTGGCGTTACTGAAAAGAGAGGGAACCGAGCGATCTATACGTTGTGGATTGCGAGAGTAACTATATAGGCTTCACGGATGGGGAGCTCATGTAAGAGAACTGTTACCCAAGGAAAGCAACGAAGCAATTTGAGAACAATTTTTTTTTCTTGGTTTGAAATGAGGCCAGCTACCGGAGAAAAGAGAAATTCTTCAGGTCGGGGCCAGATGGGAGAGATGTCGATTATGAATAGGCGCCTGGGTTAGGACATTCACATTCTCATTCGATCGTTGAGGGCAGCGGCTGCATGGGGCCGTTAGTGGAGGTGGGTATGCAAGAGGCAATAGGGTTCCTCACCAGAGACCGGGGTGTATTGAAATTTCACTGGTCAGTCCTCTGATAGGGCGGTTGAGTAGAGCTGCAATCCCTCAATGGGCAGATCTGAAGAGAAAAATAGACGCCCAGGCCCTGATGGAAGTGGCACCAGGTCGTCGACCAGGTCTCAAGAGCCGAGTACCGAGTCTCTAGCTTTGTGAGATTGATATTTTTTCTTGCTCAGCTCAAACCGGAACTTGACAGTCTGAGTTTCACGCATGAGAAAGGAATACAGACCTCTGCTCGAGTGCGAGGGAGCGGAGGGAAGGGAAGGGAGGGGAAAAACACGTTCATGAGTTCTAGGTGTAATATCAAGAGGCACCGTAAATGTATTTGAGGAGAGGGGGTCGGTGGTGGACACGGTACGCGAATAGCATCGTATACATGTATGCTCGTGAACAGTACAATATAACAGATAGTATATACGGCTTTCTCCCTTACATTGACCTACCTAGCTGTTGTAGTGCATCTATCAGACCAAGGTACAGTCGATCGCCAACTGTGGCATTGCCTCCCTGGTCGGTCGTTGCAGCCAACAACCAGGCCAAATGCAGGCGAGCCCATGGACCACCATTGCTGGCTGCTGACGCCTTTTTGGGTGCGCAATTGGGGAGATGCGAAATTTACACAGGCTTTTGACAGGCGAGGATGAAAAGAGGTCACAATGAGAACAAAATGGGAACCAGGGACCAGTCCGAGCAAGGTTGAGTGGAGAGGGGGGCGGGCACCGTGATCTGGTTGGACATGAGGAACCAGCCGCCGCAACCATGTCCGGCGCTTTCATCTACCCCCCGGTCGCTGATCTCGGAGCGTGATAGGCAGAGAAGTGTTGTGCCGCCTGCAAGCGCATGAACAACTGTCCAATCACGGCGTCAAGATGCGTGATGCCCAGCGATCATATTGCATGGGGGTCCGGGAGTGGGCGGTAAAAATGCCATGGTACCAAGTGCAATGTACCCAATCGCGACCAAGTTTCGTTACATTTGTCGTCCAGCCTGTCTCCTTGCATGTCGTCTTGTCCTGGAATGCACAGTACATAGTACGCCCTTGAGGCCCGAAAGCACAGCGCATACATGAGCAATGAGGATGCAATGTCTGTGTTGGGCCACCTGTGCAGACAGGAGATTTGATTGCTCATGTCGGCTTCTAATTCAAAAAGGCCGTGGCAACCCAACATTGGTGTTGCAATTCTGCTTTTCAGAAAGCGCCCGGGAATTGCAGGTCGAATATCTTGGGCGGAAGGGCCAAGACTGTAGGTTCATTGCCATTTGTTACAAGGCAAACAAATGTCAATGTCTGCCCGGTCGCCGCTCTAGTCGAGTCCCAAGTCATAATGTCGTGGTGCATCTGCCGTCAGCAAAAAAAGTGTAACCCAACACTTCTTTGCAACGAGATGGCTGAATTGGTGGACGAGCTCCGTAGCTCCATTACCACTGCCACTGTAGTAGTGTATGTCAAGTCGGGTCTGGGGGTTGACCATCAGATCAGCAGTTGACAAGTAGGCAAAGTGAGCTCGAGAGGTAGGACAATGGAGGCGCAATTGATTGAATACCTGTTTCTGTTGTAGTCCCATAAATGGTTTCCAAGAGGTTGAGCAACAAGCCAATGTCGAGTTGTACTTGATGTTCATGTACGCACAAATGTGTCAACCACACCCCCAAATCTCACCAAGCGCAGGCCTGTTGCGCGCGTTCAGTGGCTAGGTAGATCGCTAGGTTACCAAGGTCGCCCGACACCTACGATTGTCGTCGAGTGCCATCCATCTGCAAAGGCCTTTTCAGTCTCAACCGACGACCAATACCTATGATGGTGCCGTGAAAATGCTTCCCATTAGTCTGCCAGACCGAGAGATTTCTTACTGGTGTTGCGCTGCACAACCCAAGAGAGTTATTTTTAACCCACTTACACAATAGAAGCCACCCTGTAACCCGATGGTCGTGCCAATGAGAGCATTTCTCTCCGGCCAAAATGCAACACATTTAACCCAGTAAATCGGTTGCCCATCTTCGAGAAGGGGTGTGCAGACACGGCTAATATCTTGAATTTCTGGGGCTCTTGGAGCGTTTGGTATCTCACAAGGAGACGATGGTGTCGACAAATCTGACATTCTGCCTCTTCACCGGCGTCGGCTGGGTATTCTTAGCCATAGCCGACAACACAAGACGAGCGAGCAGCCTTACCACTTACTTCATGATATATATTTTTGGCAACAAACCAAACTTTAGCGAGGTAGACAGATACTGTACGAGGAGAAGAGACACATTTTGCCGACATTATGGCCAACGGATCGTTAGCAAGACGTGGTATAAGATACAAGGAGTACGTGCCGAGGGCTGTGTCCTGCTTCGAAACCTAAACACGCTGCAGATTATTTCTAAGACTCCGCCGGTCCTATAAATCAGGAATCTGAGATGACTTGGAATGAGTATACGCGTACTTATACAATCTGCCATTTGATCATGAGACGTTTCGCTCGTCTAGGAATTTTGGCGTTTTATTTGAGGCTGTCGTTAATTTTTACCCCACTAATGTCTGTGATGATGTGATTTTTGATTACTTGAAAGTCGCATACACATGGAATCTACATGTATAGCAATGAATAGAGTTGTATAATATTGTAAAATCCCAAACTCTGATGATGCAGTTTCTGCAAGAGATCATCTTGTACATAACCTGCATGCCCACGTGGTGATCTAGCTTTTGAAAGTGTACGTTGTGATTCCATATGAATCGCCTTTGCATTGTTATCAACAATGATTCCAACACTACATGTATCAATCAACTTGTAATTGATGCATTGCAAGACTCGTAAATTGAGCATGATGCCTTTATATACGAACTATCACGACACGGGGCACAACATGGTAGTATAGTGTCTCCTGCCCCAGCTTCCAGCCAGGCCATTATTTCTTGGTGGGGTTCTTGCCCCGCGTAAAGTCTCTATCTTATCAAAGCCGCCAGCTGAACACCTAGCAGCTTGGAGCCGTCATCCCACTCTGACAGCTGTGCCGAAAGAGTCATAGTTGTGACAAGCACCACGCCACAATTTCGAAAATACCTGAAGCAGCAGAGGCAGGACAGGCAATTCGTCATTTCCACGGCTACTCATTCAATACCAGAACCCCCATCGCCAACCCCCGGCACGCGGATCCCACGAGCAACCCACGAGATATTTTTTTCCGTCGACCTTCTCGAGATCGAACCCTTCCATCCGTCAGCGCAACCCCCCCGCGAAAGGAACCGCCACCATGTCCGCCGACAAGTTTGGCAACGATATCCCCGACTCCGAGTCCGAGTCGGGCGACTCTGTCGACGAGCAGCAGATTGACGATGGCGCCGAGGACATCCAGGAGAAGCCCGTCAAGTCTGCGATGAAGAAGAACACCATCATCGCTGCCCCCGATGCTACGCGCCCCGAGCTCCCCCCTCAGACAGATCCCAAGGATCTCGACGTCAAGAGCTTAACTCCTCTCACACCCGAAATTATCGCCAGACAAGCAACCATCAACATTGGTACCATTGGTCACGTCGCTCACGGAAAGAGTACCGTTGTCAAGGCCATCTCCGGTGTCCAGACTGTTCGTTTCAAGAACGAGCTGATCCGTAACATTACCATCAAGCTTGGTTATGCCAACGCCAAGATCTACAAGTGTGATAACCCCGAGTGCCCGCGTCCTACCTGCTACCGGAGTTACAAGAGTGACAAGGAGGTCGACCCTGCCTGTGAGCGCGATGGATGCAGCGGTACTTACAGACTCTTGCGCCACGTCTCGTTCGTTGACTGCCCCGGTCACGATATTCTCATGAGCACCATGTTGTCAGGTGCCGCCGTCATGGACGCCGCCCTGCTCCTGATTGCTGGAAACGAAACCGTCCCCCAGCCCCAGACTTCCGAGCACTTGGCTGCCATTGAGATTATGAAGCTCGACAAGATCATCATTCTTCAGAACAAGGTCGATTTGATGCGCGAGGAGGCCGCCCAGCAGCACTACCAGTCCATTCTGAAGTTTGTCAGAGGTACACCGGCTGCCAAGTCGCCCATCATCCCCATCTCTGCCCAGCTCAAGTTCAACATTGACGCCATCAACGAGGCCATTGTCAACACGATCCCTGTGCCTCCCAGAGACTTTACCCAGGACCCTCACATGATGGTCATTCGATCCTTTGATGTTAACAAGCCTGGTGCCGAGATTGAGGAGCTTAAGGGTGGTGTCGCTGGTGGCAGTATTCTTCACGGTGTGCTCAAGCTCGGCGATGAGATTGAGATCAGACCCGGTATTGTGACCCGTGACGAGAAGGGCAACCTCCAGTGCAAGCCCATCTCTAGCAGAATTGTGTCTCTGAACTCGGAACTCAACGAGCTCAAGTACGCTGTTCCTGGTGGTCTCATTGGTGTTGGTACCCGAATTGATCCTACACTCTGCAGAGCCGATCGTCTGGTTGGTTTCGTCCTTGGTCTCAAGGGCCGTCTGCCCGCCATCTACAGCGAGATTGAGGTCAACTTCTACCTGCTCAAGAGACTTTTGGGTGTCCGAACCGCCGACGGCAAGCAGGCCAAGGTTGCCAAGCTGGCAAAGAACGAGGTTCTCATGGTCAACATTGGTTCGACGTCGACTGGTGCCAAGGTTTCCGCTATCAAGCAAGACGCTGCCAAGCTGACTCTGACCTCTCCTGCCTGCACAAACTTGGGCGAGAAGATTGCTCTTTCGCGCCGTATCGAGAAGCACTGGCGTCTCATTGGTTGGGCTACTATCAACGCGTAAGTTACAGTACACCCGTGTCTTGTCATTGAACTGTACACTAATCAGATTATAGCGGTGTAACACTAGAGCCTACGGCAGTATAAGGTTAATGTGAAACGACGATAATTACGATGCACGATCTTTGCGCCAGGAATTGATCACAATGCGCTGCGTCCGCGTATTCCCAAACATATATCATCATTGCGAGGGACATGCACGTATTCGATGGCATATACAGGCTGAAGGTGTCTGCTCACGCTGTCCAATCGGATCAGTAATTGGATCATCATGAGCTACCGAATTGGGATCGGTCGAGTTGTAGAGCGTTCGACCCCAACGTCCTGGCTTAAACGAAAGATTGAAGGGGATATGAAAAGTCATTAAGATATTCATGTTCAAAGGGTAGTTGCATTGCATGGTGTCCTGGAGCTGAGGCAGAAAAAATAGAGCGAATGATCCCACAGAATGTTATGCATCATCATGTGATTAACGCCTCTACTTGGCTTGTTCATCACAAAGAGGGGAGAGTTCAAAGATTTGTCCCGGCTGAAATAACAGCTGTTCAAAGAGTGTTATCGGCGTGGATTGAGACCATGACTATGTTCTTGTACCACCCAGCCGCTGCGATGTTTAATTATACTGAAGCCATCATCTCTTAACTTGGGCTGCTTAGCCTCATATTGTGTTGAACTGTGAGTGGCCATGCTACCTTGCGCTGTACGTTGTGCTCACATCATAAACTTTTTTTTTTTTGGACGTTGTCACCTTGAACTTGCTTCGACTTCCTCGCCGGATAAGTCGCTCCACTTGTAATATTGAACGTTCGAGACTTTTCCTTTAGACACACGCAAGAATTCGGTGCAAATAGTGAACGAAGGTCAGAATACAATAAATGATGTGTTGTCCGTCGTTCCAAAAAGAAAGAAAGGAAAAAAAAAAAGGTAAGGTCATTCTTGCAGCCAAACCAATTTGAATGTAACGTGTTTATGGCAGCTACACGAGCGATGATGCAACAAAAGTGACAACTATTCTCTGGCAACCCTGTTCGAATTGCATGAGCAGACATCTCTAAAGATGAATCATGAAAGGAAAGGAATGTCGAAAGCCGTGCATATTTGTGATGGTTGGTAATTTTATACAGTAATCACCACCTTTCCTGGGCATAAGCCCCCTTTGTATCGAGAAAGACGTGCGTTCATGTGTGTATATAATATTCATAAAGAAAATGTTACTCATGGGTCATCTTGTGATCACCACATTCACAAGACAGCCAATTCCCCTGCCAACTAACAAGCAACTTCATCCGGGTGGCATTAAAGCCCGCCAGTTCACCATACCATTGTCCAACCCTTCGAAGCGCTCGAACCCTACTTTTTCCAATATTCTCTGACTGGCCTCGTTGGTAGACGTGGTCCAGGCACAGAGGCGTTCCGTCACAACGGTTAGCCCGTCTGCATTCCCTCCTCCCTCTGCCACTGCCGCGGTCCGCTGATCATCGATGTCGCCAGCTCTCTCCTTGCCAAGTTGCGAGGTCGAGCCTGATACTCCCCAACTTGTTTTTATGCCATCGTGACTATTAATGCCAAAGGAAGCCGGCGATTTCAGAACGGAGCACTCATCAACCTCGATCCGCCTGCAGCTACGTGGCAGCGCCCACCAGAAGCGCACAAAGCCCGTGACGAATTCCGTGGCATACCCGCGGCGCCAGTGCTCCCGCTTGAACTTGTACCCGAGTTCGGGCCACCCGGAATCAGTGCCAGCAAACATGTGGACGCCTCCATCGCCGATAAGCTCCCCTTCGGCATCTTTTCCCTCCTCCCCGTCCTCATCATCCACCTTGCTGCCCTCTGACAATATGGGCCGCTGCTGCCGCAGAAAGATGCCAAAGTAAACATGGGAATCGCGATACGGCGGGCCCAGCCTCTTGAGCTTGGCCTCGGTCTGCGCCAGGGACGCGTCCGGGCGGCCCGAGTGGCTCGACGTCATGGCCTCGGGCTGGCTCCGGACGGCGTGGAGGGCGGCTAGGTCGGAGGCCCGCAGCGGGCGGACGCGGAGTCGTTCCGTCTCAAACGTTGCCTTGCCCCCTCGCCGTACCGCTGACAACAAGGCGTCGTCGTCGACCTGGGGTAGGGTCGTGGATACGAGGACCGTCTTCTTGTCTTGGTTCTTTTGTGACATTGCCATTGTATGAGTCTTGTCTCTGTTCTGTGCCTGCTGCTGCTGCTGGGAGGAAGACCACGTGTTACATTATTCCCTCGTTCGGCAAATTCGCAAGGTCGAAGAATTTGAGCTCTCGAGGGTTGGGAATGGGACGGGGGATGTTTCTTGGTAGTTTTGCAAAGTAACAGGTGCAGCAAGGAAAAGAATATCAATAGTTCTTCCCTCCTTGGAAGGATCATCAAGCAGCCATATGACTCATGAGGTTGCTTTCAAGAAATGCTGTGTTGGCGGCCGCCATCTAGGCCTGGCCTATGGAGATTTTGAGCTGGTAATAAACTGTCCCTCTTCTCTCCCTCTCTCTTTTTTTTCTCTGCCCAACGGCATCCTTTACATACATGTAAACGTATCTTGCTGCCCCATCAGGCAACTCCCCGAGAAAGATGTAAAATCAAATGCGCTAGAGGCCCCTGGCCGTGGTATCATTTTGCTGCAAAACGCCGAGCCGAAAAAAAATAATAATCGTCAACCGAAAAGAGGGGAGGTCGAAGCCCAGACAATAAAGGAGAAAATCGCAAAATCAACAAGCCCCAACGCCTCGTTCATGTGCAACTGCATTCTTCTTTACAGAAGCATCCTCCCCAATCAAGAGCCGTTTCTACCAGCCCAACGAGCCCGGCACGATTTCGTTCCCCTCCCTCATCCCTTTCCATCATAACAGTCGTTTCCTTTTTTTTCCTTCTCATGAATGATTGAGAGTGAACTTGACATCTCCACTCGTCGCTCCTCCACTGCACGTGCCCGACATGCTGCCAGTCGGACAAATGGACCTGGCCGCGCGCACGCACTGCTCCCAGCGGTCCTTGGAGATGTTGATGGCGGCGCCCGGGTGGGCCGGGGTGAGGCTGAACTTTGCCGAGCCAGAGTGCCCGATGGTCGTCGGGGGCGAGCCCTGACACCTTGTCACGGAGCCCGCAATGCCGCCGCAGATGGACAGCTGGGCCACGTTTTGGTCGTGAAAGACGATTCTCCTATAAGCAATCCCGAGGATCAATATTTGGTTCTAATTGGCAGCACTTGCAAAAGACACAAGACTTATACATGTCAAAAGAAACCGTGTGCAGGGTGGACTTACTGTCCCGAATCACCGCATGATACATCATAGACGGCCGAGGGGTTCAATGGCATCGAGGACCGCATCTTGAGAACCTCGAAATGCTCTTGCTCCACAGAGTAATGTGGCCATACAGGCTGTGCTGCAGCAAGAGTTGCCATGATGAACAGACATACTGTTCGTACAAGTCCGGCGGAAACCATGGCTGGATATCGGTGCCTATTGATGCAAGGGGAAACGATATCGAGGTAGGATAGAGCAGGCCCCCTGGCAGTGATATAATGTCCAAAACGCAGATCTCAAGAAGCTGCGTCTAAAAGAGTGAATATAACAGCACAAGACGTCGAGGTTCTTTCTAATCTTGAGGGCAAGAGTGTCGACAGATGGATAAGTGACCAAGGAATACCGTCAAGCCCAAAGTGCCCGTCAAGGGAAAGAAGAAAAAGGAAGGAATGTAGAGAGAAGGAATGATATCACGACCGAGAGAGATCGAGAAGAAGCGGAATGACCAGTTCCGTTCAAGTATACCAGCAACCAGGTGGAGAAGAAAAGAATGAAGTACACCCAATGGTGGGAAGCGAAGATCCAGATCTGCACCGGGAGAAAGAAAGACGAACGGGGAAGACAAGTTTGTTAAATGCCCTTTTTTGCAAAGACGCTCCGAACCGAGTTGACCGGCGGGGAGGGGAGAGATCTACGTGGGGGATGAGATGGGATAGGGATGGGTCATGATATTCCCCTGTCAAGGATCCATATGCGGACGGACAGACGGGGGTCCCAGTTGGATAACGAGTAACAAAAATCCAGGGCGCAAAGAAGAAGAGGGGGAAAAAAAAACATGATCAATCCAAACAGTCTTTCTGGGTAGGCAACCCCCAAGGCTGAAGCTCCCCGGTGTGAGCTCGAGACGCCTTCCCTGCTCGTAACATGCTTAATTTATCCTACTACAACGGTGTCGAGATAAGCTCAAAGTGAGACTCTAGTGTATATAAAGTCACTTCTGAAAACATCTCGTCATTACTCTTTCGGATAGTGACGTATTTAAAAAATTGACAACCAAGAATATCAGCCAGAAAGAATAACTGTTCTATTGTATCCGTTGTTGATCATGTTTGAACCCGGCAATCGGGTTGATCCAGACTCACACGATGAGATGAAGTTGTTAAAAAAAAAAGAAAAAGTATAGTTGAGGGCCATGTTCCGCAACCGGGTGACCAATGAGTTGATACATCCGAAGGGCACCGAAAGAAAACCCGGAATGGCATCCTCCCTTTTGGGGCTTGTCGACCGTGGTCTGCGACAAGCCCATAAACTTGGTCAAAGCAAAATGGGATGAACCTCAAGGGAGAGAGAGAGAGAGAGAGAAAGAAAAAAAAGAGCTCTTGGAGAGCATGAGGGGCGGTCATGAATCTGAAACAACCCTAAGTTGGAATATAACACAGGGATCTTTTCGATATACTAGTTTAGGTAGTAAGTAGTAGTTCAATTCCATTCTAGCGTTGGCGAAACGGGACAGTGGCTGATGATACTGTGGAGACGGATGAGCACGGGGACTTTGTGACTTTTTTTTGTATAATAGCTCACGGGAATTAGGAACCGGAGGAAGAATAACAAGAAGAAAACAATATATCAATCAACTTTTATCATTTGGGGCTGCGTCTGTCCGTGCTGGGAAAGCAGCACATTGATTGAAAACTTGCGCGCATGTGCGTCCCCAATGTCCGTGCAAACAATCTTGGAAATGTTTCGTTCGGAAATTGGCAGTTTGTATAATTCCCACAATTCTTGTTCGGATCACTGCCCAACTACTAGTTAGTGGCCAGGTATTCACGGTATCACAGTCGTCGTGGCCTCATGTGCGGAGGCGGGGCCTGGGTTTGTAAGTACATACTAAAATCTTCCTTGCCGTACATCACCAACGATCTGCCGCGGAAAATCACCTCCCGCCCCCATGCTCTTTTTCGCCAAGGTTGCCTGTGGGTTAGGTGGGAATGCAACCTCTGTGGTGTTTCAGGATGGGGGCATTATGAAATCAGACGAGGGGAGGGGTTGAAAGCTTCCCATGAGTCCCCATCTGCAGCCTGGCTCGGCGCATTGCTATGAAATTATTCCCTCCTTCCGGAGCTATACATCCCACTTCCCATCTATGGTATGAGGCTCATCGTCTTATCTCTAGACGACGGGCTGGGCACTCTAGGCAATAGTGCACGTCGCATATAGTCTGAAAGGTGATATTACATGCCTGTCCAGTTAATGCCTCGACATTTACAAAGTGATGAGATTTTCTCAAACTAGTTGCCTTGCCGCTTTTCATGTCATTCGAAGCCGAAGCTGGAGATTTCTTTTCCTTGAATCAGTCCGGGAGGAGCATGTTTTGAAAATACCTGTTGGATGAACATCAACAAGATGTATCCGCAGTTTCAATTCCTGCCCAAGGCTTGTATTTTTACAAGAAAGACGAGTTTGTCTTTGCACCAGTCTATCATTACTATACATATATAGGATGCTCTCCTGCTAGTCACCAGACTCATCAAGTCGGGTGTTGCGTCGTAGTTTGGGTATCACAATACATATTTCCCTACGTGCTTTGCCAAGATATATCCCTACCCGTTTTTCTCAGCAAGTTGCCTTGCGACTGCCACAGACGCCGCAAACTCCGTTATCGCCTGCATTGCGATATTGACTTCCCTGACAGGACACACTCGTGCATGCCCAGGCCTTGGGATCTTTTCTCATGTCTAGCACGTGTGAGCACACGCTGCACGTTAGACTGATGGGTCCATTCTCTGTCGAGCACATTGGGCATCTGACAGACTCGACTGATGATTCATTGTTTGTAACTTCGGTGGTTGCAGTGAGAGCAGGCCCCTCCTTTGGTGTCTGAAGTCTCAATATGGACTGGCTGATGCTTCTGGCTGTCTTCTCGGTGCCGTCTTTCTTATTGACAGGATCTTGTTTTGACGATGCGGCTTGGAGCTCTCTGCCACCGGGTTTCGTGGGCTTTTCCAAAGATGGCAAGTCTTGCAAGGAAAGGTCGGTTTCATTCTCCTGCTTGATCGCCGTTCGTTGACGCGACGGATTGGACTGCGCCACAATCATTGATGACTGTAGCTCTCGCAGTTCGTTTTGAGCGTCACCATCTTCAGGGTTTTCGTCCTCGCAGACCTTGATCAAAGCCTGTCCGTTGTTATCCAGGAGCTTCTTCCCGTTGATATCAAGCGCATCAGGCTCGTCAAAGTCGCCCTCGCTTGCCACGTCAAAATCATCGTCGCTGTCCGTCTCGTCCTCGGCCTTGACTTGCTGTTTGGTTTCTTCCTCCTCAGCCTTCTTCTGCTGATCAAAACGTGCGAGGGCGGCTGCAGCCCTTAGGTCCCGCCCTCTCTTGCTCTTGGCAACTCTAGGCTTTCCTTGAGTTTTCTTACCTCCTTCTAACTCAGATTTGACGACCTCGTCTTCACCTAGAGCCACGCCATTTGCACCAAACTTCTTTAGGATCCTGCGCTCTTTTCGCTGTTGATAGCTGAGCTGGTCCTTGGCTTTTCGCTTGGGTCTTCTAGACCGATACGTTCCGCCGCATGTATGCTCAGGCAAGACTTCGTCGGCCAAAACAGTATTGAATTCGAACTGTCCCGTGCTCAAGAGGTGGCCTGGTCCCCAGAGGCCCTCGCCCGTGTATTTATTGGTCCAGAGATGTCGCATCTGCTCTGCGTACTTGTTCCGTACAGCCCAAAATGCTCTCGAATGATTCATCTGCTTACAATGTGCGAGCCTAGTATGGTCTTTGTGTCAGTATGGTGATTACTAAAAGATTCCCATTGGGGTTATATGCCATCGTACTCATGCATCATGACCATTTGCACATAATTGAAAGGCAGCCATCGCCCTGTCGATGGGCTTTTGAGCACGAGTTGGATGACCTCTCCAGCGTTGAAGTTGCGGCCAACAAACTCCCTATTTGGCTCAAATTCTTCCAGTGACATGACTGAAATGTGATGCTCTCTCATGACAGGGACTGATGCAATGTCGGGTCAGTAAATGGGAAACACGTGAGCACAAACAAACCGGGTCGATCGCAAACTCACCACATTGTGCTGCAATACGTTCCAGGAAATCCTGGGCTACAGCTTCGTCGGGGCCTCTGAGAGGCTTGATGAAGTTGATGTGCGGGTTTGGTTGCAGCTTTCTGGCATTGAGCCGCTGGATACCCAAGGGCATCTTGAACCGTTAACGGCGGCGTTGTACTCTGACAGAAGCGGAACGTTGAGTGAAGAAGCGACGAGTGTAGTTGTTTGAGATTCAAAGAGGATAGAAAGAAGCTTGATCGACAAGTAGAAAAGGTAGACAGGTCGGCGCGTGGACGCGCGCAATGGCGATGAACAAAGTTTGATGTTCAAAGACGAGCTGGGTGTTTGAATGGGTGCTACTGTTTTGGTGGCATTCAGTGGTGACCCCACTATGAAGAATAGTAGTAGCTGTAGTAGGTAGACTTCTAAAGGTTTGCCACCAACCGCCGTTTGTCATTCAAACTAACGACTTGCACAAGTACGTGCACACACAAAGAGATCACCTATGCAGTGGACAGACGATGCTCGATTCAATTTTCATACTTGACATAGGTACCTAAGATAAGGTGAATGTATTTCGAGAGCACGTAGGAGGAGCAAGACAAGATATCAGCGTCTCCTTCCAGCACCACCACCCGTCTCTGCCTTGTCGGCCAGGGAAACCACCTCGCCAATGCCGGCGGCTTCTTGTTCGTCTTCCAAGGCCGTAATCTCCTCTCTGCAGTCCCACCATTTCTCTTCACTCATTTCAAATGCCTTGGTCTTGATCTCCTTGATGGTCAGAGTTTCAGGCTGGATGTTCTTCCACCTCAGGCTCGTCATCAAGATTTCTTGCCACTCATTCGATGTTCGTGTGAAGAACTCGCGACGCGATTCAAAGGGTCTCGGGTGAGGCAGGCCATCGTCAACCGATGTAGCCGCTGTATCAGCCTCGCTCTCCTCTTCGGTCGCAGCGGTACTGGCAGTATCTGCATTCGATGCTTCATCCACCTTCTTCTTCCTCGCGCTAGGCGAGCGGATCTGCTCTTCAACTGGCACGGGTTCTCCATCTTCCTCTTCGTCGTCTTCTTCGTCGTCATCTTCATATTCGTCCTCGTCCTCATCGTCTTCATCATCGGAGCCGATCCAGTTCTCGACCTCTCGGTTGAAGACTTCCTTGCATCCGTCCAGCTTGTCCAGATTGACCGCGTACAAATCATCGAAAGTGAACTCACGGTCATCTTTTTCGAATGTGCCTCCATATATCCAGAGCATATCATCCTGTACTGCTAGCTGCGCGTTGAATCGGGGGTGTGGGAATTCCAAAGAGACCGGCATCTCCCTCACCGGATTTTCGGGCTCTTCTGGTTCTTCGTTCTTGAGACCAATATCCATGTCATCAGCGTCTTCGAGAGACACTCCAGCTTGCAGAGCTGCTAATTGCTTTAGAAGTTCCTCTTCGTTTGCCTGGGCTCTGCCCCTTCTGCCAACCCTCTGCTCCACCTGCTTCTTCTGATTCCTGGGCTTGCGGAGGGCAAGCGGGAAGAAGCGGTTGCGCTCTACATTCCAAGCAAACAACTGGTTGAAGAATTCACTCTCCATATCCTCCTCACTCTGGTCCACGTCGTGAACACCGCCAAACAAGATGCCACGGCCCTTATGGTAGGCCATTGTAGCTCCCACTCTGGCAGGAGTAGGAATGTTGGCTGGCTTCTTGCGGCGCTCCCACCGGACTGTGGGAGGCGCGTTTGCCGGCGCATCGGCAGGAGGCTGTGTGATGCGCAGGAAGAAACAGTCCTGATGAACCATGGGCTTGAGCACGTTTCGCTGACCTTGCGATGCTCCCTTGGCCGACTTGTTTGCCGATACAGTCGCCTTCACCTTGGAGTAGCCACCGTAGAGGACAGCGCCATTTTCATGGGGTAGAAAAGTGAAAGAGGATCTGGCATCGGGCTTCAGCTGTGCTGGTGGTAGCACCGGACTGTGCCACACAAAGTTTTGGGTATCATAAAGCCAGAGATCACTCAGGTACTTGGTCTGGTTTGAGGTGTCTTGGAATCCTATCATACAACATCAGCACCAAAAACGCTTTGAACACTCCCAGGTCGTCTAGCCTTACCGCCAAAGAGAATAATGTAATTCTTGTAGTATGTCATGCGGTGTCCCGACCTTGCTGGGGGCGTCTTGCCCTTGGCTTCTATGCGAGTCCATTCACGACTGTGCGGTTCGAGCCGCCAAAAGTCATTGTAATGGTAGAAAGTCCCCTGCTTGGGACTACTGAACTCACCACCAAAAAGGAAGACCGAGTTGCTCTGGTTGCCTCCTCTGCACCAAGCATGGCCGGATCGAGGCAGAGGGGCATTAGGGGAGGTGACGGTGTGCCACTCGTCCCGATCAGTGTAGTAGATGCTCAGATCATTATAGAAAGTAGCAATGGCGCCGTTGTAGTTCTCACCGCCAAACAGGAGCAGCTGATTGGCATTTGAAGGAGAAGCCATAAAGGTGGAAGAGGATCGAGGCTTGGGTGGCACCTCGGCCACGACTTCCGTGACCTTGAGAAACTGTTCTTGTTGTTTCTTGTACTCTTCGAGAATGTTATCCAAATCAACATCTTCGACATCGCTGCCTTCATCCTTGGCAGCCTTGGCCTTGGACTTCTTCTCGCCCTTTTTTTCTTGCTTCTGCTTCTTTTCAGCCTTTTTGGCCTTTTTGGCTTCTGCCGCGGCTCCCTTCTTCTTGTCCTTTGCCATGTCGTCCAATTCACTCAAGGGTAAAATGGATTAATAACCAAACAGGCAGTGGCTCAAAGATTCGGCCTGCAGACCTTCAAGTAGGGGAGGCAACCCAGCTGGAGAAAGTATTGCGGATATGACTCCAATGTTTTCCTGGCTCAAGCCGTCTTACTCAACCCTAAAGAGTAAGGTAAATACCGACTGAGCTAGATTAGATATGCAGTCCAGGGTGTCAATGAGAAAAAGACACTGCAAGACATTGGACAGCCACTAATACCCAACCGAAAAAAACTGGCGATAGATTTTTGAGTTTTTGGTTACCCCTCCCCCGCACTAGGACGCGTGCACATCAATCAGGTCGTGCGGTCAAGTCAGGTCAGGTCCAATGGGCAAGGCATGTACCTGGGTAGGTACCATCATGGTGGGCACAACTTATACCAGGTACGAATACGTAACTCAGAGCTCCTTGGTCGGTCCTCTTGCTCCTCTTTTCTCTCCCGCAATGTGAAAATTTCCCTTTGCGTGCTGCCGAATCTTGCTTGCAAATCTCGATTCTTATATGAGATATTTTTTTTCTTCTTCCTTTGTCATACAAATCATGGGGCCGCAGTGACATTCTTGCTTGAGGCCTCCACAAGTCTCGGGAACTCGATCGCTAGTCCAATTTTTTATCTGATCTAAATTTTTTTTATCTGATCCGAAATGACCCCGAACCGTGTCGACCCCCATCGACTTATTACATACGTCCCCCTCACATCCACCTTCGCCCGGCGGTGACGAGGTTTTGCGAAGACGTTGGGTCAACGCTGTTGGTTGTTGGTCGTATTTTGCACATGCCAGACGGACCAACGACCACATACGCCCCGATTGTTCCTCGTAGCAGAAATTACTATATTACTATTACACACTAGAAAATCTGTCATGACCTCCAGGTTTCCTCCGACCCTTCAATCTCCTCCTCCAATGCTGCCCTCCTGCTAGCGCCCGATATTGTTCAAACGGTGAACTCCAGTCGGCAACCCCCCTTCCAAGGCAAGCTCTGGACCGACCTCCGAGCTTCGCTGCGTAACCGCCGAGACCCAAGTTTGTACATAAAGCGCTCGCAGTCTGCGCCCTCGTCGCCTTTGCAACGAGTGCAATCAGACCGTCTCAGCCCATACGTCCCAACCAGTCTCTTCCTCCACCATGGCGGCCCAAGTGTTCGGGACCTCTACGAGTGTTCTTCCAACTATCGCCATGCCGACTAAAGAAAAGTCCCAGGCGAAAGAGTCTGTGGAGGACATACTCTATGGATCGGTATGTTTTCTTCACCTGCCTCGCGGGAATCAACAAAGACTGGGTTCTAACAGACGCAGGTTGCCGGCATCATGGGCAAGTATATTGAATATCCATTCGACACGGTCAAAGTCAGGCTTCAGTCGCAACCCGACCACCTCCCATTACGTTATACCGGCCCACTCGACTGCTTTAAGCAATCAATCAAACAAGATGGAGTCCTGGGTCTATACCGCGGAATAAGCGCACCTCTGGTGGGCGCGGCGCTCGAAAACAGCAGTCTGTTCTTTTTTGAACGACTGGGTCGGGAGACCATATACAAGACAGGATATTGCCCTCGGGACCAGGACCTACCTCTGCCAGCCCTATGGTTCACCGGAGCCTTTTCAGGCGCCTTTACATCGTTTGTCTTGACTCCGGTCGAGCTTGTCAAGTGCAAGATTCAGGTACCCGCGACGGTCAGCACGGATGGCATGATACTCAAGCCGCCAACCGTGGCATCTGTGATCAAGGACGTCTTTAAGCACGAGGGTCTTGCCGGCTTCTGGCACGGTCAGATGGGAACATTTCTTCGAGAGTCTGGAGGTTGCGGTGCATGGTTCGGCTTCAAGGAGACCACCTCAAAACTCTTTCGTACTTGGAATGAGCGCAGTCTTACCTCGCAAGCCGAGAAGGATGCATTGCGAGCAGAGCCTCTGCCGCTATGGCAACAAGCCGTTGCCGGCGCGACAGCAGGCATGTCTTACAATTTCCTATTCTTCCCTGCAGACACAATCAAGTCGCGAATGCAGACCAGCGCCGTAGGTGGTACTGCTGTGAAGAAGACATTTATGGAGGAAGGGAAAGCATTGTGGAAACAGCACGGGTTACGTGGCATGTATCGAGGATGTGGAATCACCGTCCTGCGATCCGCACCCAGCTCGGCGTTCATCTTCATGATATATGATGGTCTCAAAGGGTATCTACCCTTATGAATGTTTCAATGATCTTCTATAGATGGGTTAGAAAACTGGACTGCTTGAAGAGCAAGCAGAGGAGTTATTGGCGTATATGTTTTTTCGATTATACCAAGGATATACAAGGGCATTGATATAGACAGTCAGTTTGTTCTGGGCACAGCAACCCAAATAAAAACACTCCATCAAACAAATCCAATGCGGCTCAGCTGTTGCTTGTTTATCGTGATACGAGCTATGTGTGAAATGCATTAATTCAAAACGCTATGTCTTTGGTTTGGGTATCACATTCCCTATGAAACATTTTATAATTCTCCTCTCCAATTTACAACGAACAATCGGCCTACTCTTGCTTATTTGTTCTTTCCCTTGAGCAGATCCTCATCCGTGATCCTCCAGTTGTTGACAATGCCGACACCAGCATTGAGGTAGGTCGCAAAGCCCAGCCAGGCGAGGTAGGGAACGTAGAGCCAGCCGGCCGTCTCGTCGAGGGAGAAGAAGAGGCGGGCCAGGTAGACATTGATACCGACGAGGGCGGCAATGTCGGCGAGAGCGACGGCGGGCTTGCGGATGCCGAAAAAGAGCGGCATCCACGCCAGGTTCAGGCCCAGCTGCACCGAGTACAAGGTGGCGGCGTGCTTGGCCGTCTGTACGCCCGCCACGCTCGAGGTCAAGGGGTTCAGGCCCGCGGTGACGGCGCGGTGGGCGGCGTAGCCCATGAGGCCGTAGAGGAGCGTCCATACGGGGCCAAAGACTTGGGGCGGGGGCCGCAGAGGAGGTTGCTTCATGAGACGGTAGGTATCTTGGGTTTTGGAGGCTAGAAAAAAACAAGAAAGATGCCCCGTGTTAGTCTGAGCCCACTTGTATCTTTGCGCAATAGGGAAAATGCCATTAGAGACGCAAATCGTTGTTACTTACGTCTCGTGCTGAAGCCCACGCCGGTGCCCAGCGCAATGGGCAGTAGGATGGAGGCGGCGGCATTCTCGAATACCTCGCGGGGTATCGTGAGATAGGGGATATAAGTCGTCATGTTGAGTAGGAATGGGCTATGAGTGACAAATTGTCCTTCTTCTATAGGTTCTGTTGGGGGGTCGAGGAAAAGCGAGAGTGGGCAGTAGCGCGGGTGTTGATGATATATACAGTCTATTTACTTATATAGATGTCATGACGTAACCGTGGTCAGATTGGGGGGCAGTTTTGCTGCTGTTCCTGAGACACGGACAAAAAACACACATTACTGCTGCGATGCGCTGCACTGCATGTGATCCTAGCTCCCCGGAATCAACTTTTGAGTGGGGTCGGTCGGCACTTTGTGTTACGAAACCCTCTCGGACTTCGGGTCCTTTGCAACTGCGCGCCGGTGGAAAGTGCTTACCGTTGATTGATTCAATGCAAGAGGCTCAGGGGATGTGAATCGAATATTGAATCTCAGTGGGACTGTCAAGCTCGAGTATAAAGGGGAAAGTATTGTGCTAGTTTTGTAGCAATTGGGCTCTTTCTCCGTCGTTGAGTGCTTGACGGGTTATACCAATCGAGATGGAACTCTGGCAATTAAGCTGTGAACCAAAGAATAGTTAAGATTTGCTCCTTAGATTCAAACCTATCAACAGACCCGTCTGCCTAAAAGTATTCATAATTAGCAGAGGAAGTATGCTTCGTTGTTATATGCTCAAAAATATGAACTGATTAACTTTCAAACGATCCGATTACCTATACTGTCAAGCAAGTGGCACATGATACTATGCCAGCCACAGTATCCATTTGCAGAATCGTCTCCAAACTGTCAAACCCCGGGAAATCAGTGACGATACTCACGGAGCATGGTTATCTATAATCGTCGTGATACTGGTGGGATGTCTGTTCGTACCCACTTTATTGCGACTTTCAAGATATGTGCTCTTCCGGATACTCATATCAGCATCTGTTGATCCCCTCGAGTAGTTAACGTTAGATCAAACAGAGTGTGCCGGATCCATCACGAAGAGTACATCACAACGGGCATGCTTCATGCTTCCATGCTCATCCGAGGAGTGAATGATGTACTTGTACATACAATTGCTTATACACTTATATACATATATATATATATATATATACATATGAAGTTTTCGTTGCTGTCTTACTGATATCTGGATAAAATCGTTTTGAGTAAATCATTTTGTGAGCAACCAACTATTGTGTTTGAATAAGTAGGATATTTGATGTTATCTTTCCAATGACTTGGGTATCAACTGCTCAACATGATTGCAATCTTGATCTTAGCCTCGGCTGAGGAATACTACGATTGAAAGAGAGTGGCCGATCGCTTCTTGCTGTGCCTTTGACGACTGAACACTTCATGTTTATCAGGTAAGGGTATGCAGTGTAAGTGAGACGGTAGCAAGTCTGCCAAGCAAGCTGTTTCATGAACATTACATGCAAGAGATAGCGAGGGCTCGTGTAAGAATCCCCATGAACTTTAGTGTTTGTAAAGCGACCTCGGCTTCAGTGCTGAACATGCTACGTAGATATCCTAGAGTTGCTTTGTCTAAAGCTGGCCAAAATATACTGCTGACACTCTCGCAAAGGCATCGTCAGCATTGCAGATGATGATCCAATACTTTCCAAAGTATTCTCTTCATCGCAATGATATGATATCGGAATACCTCGGTAGGTATGGAAATGTGTAATACGAGGGGGCTTCTCCGCATGCCCGAAGCTCGTCGCAATTGCTCTTACACATTCCGTACCCAACAATATAATGCACAGTACATTGGGGGAACCCTATCACTATCGGCGCCGGCATAAAGGATGCAATGAGGCCATGGCAAATGATGGATTTCTGAAAGTGGCGAGATGAAACAACTGTAGATGGCCAAATCAGCAAGAGGACCCGAGTACGTATCATGCATCTACGTAATCCGGACAATATATCGCAACCCTTTCGGTTTCGTGCTCGGCTATATGTATACTCAGGGCACAGTAATAACGCAAGTTAGGTTGAACCCTGCAGGTTCTAGGCCACCGATAGAACGTGCTAAAAGGGTACCTATGCAGTGCTAACGGGGATAGCTCGGCTCCTGCTCCAGGCACTCAGGAGCACTGGGCGCTGACAGTTGCCGCTAAAGGCAAGATTAGCGGGATCAGCTCCCGCTCGCTATCACCAACAGAGCCCCGCGGTTTCCGTAAAGTGGTGTAGTGCATTTCGTAAGAGCCAACCTTGGAACCTACAGTGCCAAATGTAGGCTACAGGAAAGGTTGTTGCTCAAGCAGATCGCAGACAGCGCTGAGCCAAATCCAGGGCTTGGGTTTGTTCCAAAACTTCCCTGGCGCCGTTCCTGATCTTCTCTACCCACTACCCTTTTCTAAAATAATACATACCCTACATACACTTTTCTTCTCCATAGCTCATCGACACTACTTACAGATCCCCCTCCCCAGATTCCCCCCAGGCCCGACTGGGATCGGATCGGATTGTTTGATTGACTGATCGACCGACCCTGCTTGACCTGATCGGCTCCTCCGGATCCCTGCCCGTGATTAGCAGAGGAAAGAGGAAACAAGGCGCCAAAGAAGAGAGAGAGAGAGAGAGAGACAAGAGTGAAAGAAACAGAGAAGAAAGGAGCAGACAACTCTGATCTCGAGGCGCAGATACGGCGATAATGGACGGCCGCTGCTGCATACACTTACACCTGGTCCCGCAGTGAAGCGCGTGAGATGAGAGAATCGAGCAAGAGAGAAGAAAGATATGGACCCTACGTCGACTCAGTTCCAATCGCCGCCCGGCCTGCTGGTTCATGGACTGCCAAGCGGCCCTGCGCCGAACCCTCAGCCGGACCACCAGAACCCCCATCTTGCCCTTCACCACAATATCTCCGTCTCCGGCCCTCCGCCGCATCACTTCTCCCTGCCGACCCTGCCGTCCCATGGCGAAATAAGCCTCGGCGTGCTCGACGCCGCCAACCCTTCCGTCTTTCACCAGCACGCCCACCCGCATTCGCATACTCATTCCCTGCCCGAGCTTCCCCATCTCCCGCCCAACCCAACCGTCCCAATCCTTCGTCCAACGCCTCATCCGCATTCGCTGGAAGCGCCGCCCTCGGTCACTGCTAATCCACCCCCTCCGCCGCCGCCGCCGCATTCGGCCCCTCCAAGTCATGGCCCCCCCGGGAATCGGCCGCCGTCGTTTGGTATTACCCCGCCGGCACCTCTGCCGCCGACGATTACCCAGCTTCAACAGGATGACGAGTTCAATAGCTCAGCTTCGAGCGGGACGCCGCTTGTAGTCGAGCCGGCAGAAAGCAGGCCACATGGCCAGTTGGTGAATAAGATAGTCGTCGATCCGCCAGATCTAGAAGCCTGGCGTAACAAGTTCTTCAACGTCGATGAAATGATACTCTTGACCAACGACGAGTTCGAAACCTACTTTCCCCATATCGATAATGTATACTCGCATCGCTCCACGCAAAAGTACAAGCGTAAACCGTTCGTGTCGCACTACTGGGATTGCCGTATGAAGGGCCGGCCTCCGGGCACGCCCAAATCCAACGATCCACTCAAGAAGAAACGGAAGCGGAGTGCACGGGAGAGAGACTTGTGCGACGTCAAGATCAAAATTACGGAATACTTTCCTGGCGCTACTCTGCAGCTTGACGATGGCGTCGGCTCATACTCCACTCCTCAGCAGTTCTTTGATTCCAACGGCATGCCAATCCAGCCGGGGGCGAATGGGGAGAAGTTTTGGACAATTCAGCGTGTAAACGGCAATGGAGGGAATGGAAAGGGAGATGGTGTTGCTGGTCCTCATAAACACACCCTGGAGAAAAGTGACGAGATCAAAAAGTCCACGGTACAGAGGTACATCAATGCGCAGAAGAAGGAGTCCAAGAAGACCGTAAAACCCGCCCAGAAAAGGGCTTCGGGAGCTGCTTTGGTCACAGCACGGAAACATGCCAAAGACCATGAGCTGAAGCTCTATGCCGCATGCTTTTGGTACGATTCTTCGACTTGATCCAAAATGATCAGAGACAAACTGACTCGACTTTGCAGTCCGTTTTCCCAGCGAGTATGGATCGCTTTGGAAGTAAAGCAGATGCAATACCAATACTGTGAAACCGATCCGTACAAGCGGACTACACAGCTTCTCGAGGCCAATCCCCGCGGCACAGTCCCTGCCATCCGAGAAGGTGATTGGGCGTGCGGGGAGAGCTCCATCATCCTTGAATATGTTTGTCGACGCCATCCAAGCAACAGATCCAAGCTGAGAAAGCTGACCCATATGTACAGCTGGAGGATCATGATAAGAGGGTTCCTCTGTTCCCTACGGACCCACGACTCAAAGCTAACTGTAGATTATGGATTGATCATGTAAGCACTGATGTTAGACAAGGGTAAAATATGCATACTCACCACAGCAGATCAACTCTACAATTGTGTTATCTTATCTTGCACTGCTGAAAGCAACAGATCCGTCACAGCAGAGTGAACATCAAACTCGATTATCAAACGAGATCTTGGAGCTTGTACAGGCTGCTGACGAGAGAGGTCCCTACTTTCTAGGTGCAGACCTGTGCCTTGTTGACATTCACTTTGCGCCATTCGTTCTGCGGCTTTCTCGAATTCTTGCTGACCTTCGCGGCTGGCGTCAACCAGCTGCTAATACGCGCTGGGAACAATGGGTTCAAGCCATTGAGAGCAACTCGCACATACAAGCCACCACTAGCAACAATGATCTGTATCTTGAAACAGCTGATCTCTCAGTGACTGGTCAACAGCACAGTCATCTTTTGTAGAGATGTACATCATTTCTGCCTTCTTTTTTCCTTCGCTTCACCAGGCAACAAAGATGACAACGCCGCTGTTCGGCGTGCGTATATATATATACAGCAAAGAGATGAACATGATTGAAATGCTTGCTCATGTGGATAGAATGGATTTTTGTACACAATTAGCGGATATAGAGATGGAGAAACGAAAAGAAGGGTTTTGAGGTGGCAGGAAAACGGAATCTCGAATGATGAACCGGACTTTCCGAAAATTGGTATCAGCGAGGTGGCTGTCATGGTCTGAGCGGATATCCTTTGACCATAGATCACAGGTATATCGCCTTGGTACTATCCATCAGTCATGGGTTACCAGTTACAAACGGGTGGAAAATGGCGTTTTGGCTTTGCTTTATAACTCGAATATAGACGGCGACTGGAAAGGCTTTGGTAGGTTGGTAGGTTGGTAGGTAGGCTTGTAGGCTTTGTGTGTTATTCTCGGATAAATTGAGCTCCAAGAAAAACAAATCAAGATTTACTCTTTAAACCCAGCGGAATTGAAGAATCGAATTATGGAATGATTCAAGAACTACAAGGGAAATGTTGCTGTGCATCTGCATAAACGTGGGCATCGTTCAGTGTCGTACTATTTTCACGTGGTAGATTGTTTTGATATGTATACGATGGGTGCCAAAAATGTCGAATCATGTAGACGCGTTCATGAACTTCATGGCGAACCATGAACATATCCTACAACACACTGGTGGGTAGTGGATTTGGGACACAAGCTCAATATAGATAGACATGGAACACGGACTTTAGTCTCGGCAACATGAAGAATACTTTTCACTGTAATCCATCCACGATGACAAGGAACAGTTGATGGAGAATCTCTAGTCCGTTGATTTGCAATCGAAACGCCGGTTTGTGAGGAGAAGCTGGGGGTGAGAAATTAACCGGCAAAAACAAAACCAAGAAGAAAAGCCAAAGAAACCGAGACAAAGACCCTCCCCTCCTTTCTGTAGTGTAGTGCGAAAAAGAAACAAACGCCGGTCCATGTGCAAGATTTCATCCTCTACCATTCTCTCTGCCTTTTTCTTCCATTCTCTGTGAACCCTCGTTCATTCATTTGTTTAGTAACTGATTGCGGGGGCCAAGCTCAAGGCCCTGGGCAATGTAAAGTCCTTCATGGGCCTAGGGGTAGTTGCCATTGTCCAATCTAGCCTGCCACGACTTTCCCAATGGGCCTTTTTGGGATACTTGTCGAGGGCATAGTATTCCTGCACGTGATCAGGAGCTGGTCCTAGCCAGCATGATGAGCATCGCCCGCTATAACAACATCATTATCGCGGTCCAGGTTCACATTTCCGGCCCCTTCGTGGAGCAGCGCGGCAGCCTCTTCGTCCTCCTCGTCATCGTCGTCCTCGTCCAGGTCATCAAGGTCCTCGCCATTCTCGCCCTTGAAACCGCTCTCGACCTCCATCTTGCGCAGGCGGCGCAGCATGTCGGTGCGGCGGGCGTTTTGCCAGCGAATCAGGGCGGCAGGGGCGTGGACGCGGAAGCCGTAGACGCGAGGGATGTAGCGCTCGGCGCTCTTGGGCGGCACCAGGGCCGGGTAGACCTGGAACATGATGTTGTGGAACGAGGTGCCAAAATAGGCACCGTCAATGGTGGCGTGCCGCGACGACTTGGGGTTGTAAATGTCCTCGCACCGCGCGCAGTACAGCTTGGCCGGCTTCTGGTTGGGCACGTCCGTCTGGCCCATGGGGAGCAGCGGATGCGAGTGACAAAAGACGCGCGGGCACTTTCCAAAGTCGGCCTTTTTATACTTGTCGAGCTGTATTAGGAGGAAAAACAAAAGAGTCAGCCGGTGCTTTTACTGCAAGGATATCATGTCCTTACCATCTTTGCCAGCCCTCTCGTGGTGACGATGTATCTTGCATGAATCAAGCCGTACAGGTGCCTAGCCGACTTCTCGATTGTCTCCCTCATATCATCGTCGCAGTCGAGATCGAATACATCGGTGATGAGGTCGAGCGCATACTGATAGTACTGCACCTCGGTGTTCAAGCCGGTCAGATTGAAGCGGTCAGTGAGGTAATCCTCGTCAATCTCGCAAAAGTACTCGTTGCCGCGCGAGGATATGAACTAGAGCCTGGGGTTAGCACAAGATGTTCGTTTCCCCGGATGGCCGCTGTGGGCTCTCGGGGATGGACGAGGACAGGGACAAACGAACCCAATCGCGCCAGTAGCTCGTGTAGTCGCTATCCGACTCTGAGGCGAAATCGTCCATCATGATGGCGGCCGGAATGAAGGGTCTGGTCACCGAGGCGTCAAGGCGCGGCGACCGTTCCGAATGGGAGGATTGTTAGAGAGAAGGCAAGAAGAAAGACAACCTTAGGTCGGGGAGGAGGAGATTGGAGGGGGAGGGGGGAAGCGCCTGGGAGGGAAATCTAGAAGTTCTAGACGCCCGTCATCACGCGCAAATGCCTTGCCAGTAAATGACGGAGCGAAAAATTAGGATTTTCCGCTGGCGATGTTTTCAGGAAGTGCTGGATATGTATGTACAGTATTGGGATTTTGTTTGGTTAAACTGCTGCTAGAAATGTATGGATATCGCAATTATGTACAATGGTGGGGGTTTTACCGTCGTCGATGGAGGGACACAAAGAGAGGACGCACGGAGTTGCCGCCATCAATCAATCAATCAACCAATTCACCTGTTGGTGGGGTTCCGTTCAGTTCAGTTGTCGAGGTCTGGGCTGGGCCGGGCTAATAAACTTGACTTCAGTGGGCTGTGGTAGGTGGTACAGCAGCGTCTTGTAGTCGGTGCTGCCTCTGAGGTGGAGAAGGCAGCAGAGCTGGTCCATGTCATGCATACATCAATGTACTAGGTTAGGTGCCTTGAACCATTTGAATACCGCTCTATCGAGGTAATGGTGGTGACTTACATAGTCACTGGCATGTTGAAATAAAACGTGAATTCCACAACTCATGACTTGTGTGAGATTATGTATCTGAGCATCAACTTTGCATTTTGATACACAATGTTTTGCATCTTGCTTAAGTAAATATACAATAGATTAGGAACTTTGGCCGTCTATCACTTCTTTATACCGGCCAATATATTCAATTTCGTGTAATACAGCCTTTTTCGACAGGAGACACAAATCCACATCATCATCTCCTTCTCTATGCAGGACTCGCGGTTCCAAAACTGCTTCCATCGCTCAAGGACTGTGTTTCTGATCCACTGTCAGAGTTACGTCCCCCATTCATTCGTCGTGATGGTACTTCTAGTCTCGCCATCAGCCCTGGCAGCTCGTCTTTTCCCTGCTCCACCCGAAGGTTAACCAACTGCATTGCCTCTCGCAAGGTCTCACCGCTCTCATCCATAGCAGCCAAGAATCGTGCCAGCTCTTTGCACAAGTCCCAGTCTTCCTCGTGAATGGCACGAGAGAACAAACGCACAGACTGTTCTGATGCTGTGGCTAGTTCTTCAAACGTGTGCAATATGAGCAGATACCCACCAGCTGTCTTCAACGAGCCTCGTTGCAGCGATTCTTCAAAGAGCTCTCCCGGTGGAGGGAGATATGCAAAGAGCGTCCGCCATGACCTGACTTCCGTCTTTCGTGTACACTGAACCACGATATCCAAATACTGTTTGAAGGATGACAACAGTGACAGCACTCGGGGAAGAAGTGCTGCTTCAGGTGTGGGCGCCGAGTCAACCTCTTCATCGAGGACATGGTGCAACAGAATCTCGAGGCCGTGAGCAAAATATTCCAGGTCCTGATAGCTCTGCGCCAATTTGAGCGCCGCGAGCGAATTGTTCACGGTCAAATAAAATCGTAGAACTTCTGGGAAGAAGAGGTGCGTCTGTATGGAGGTCAGTAAATCTCTTACTTCACACGCGTGGGCGTCGCCGCTACTTACCCTGATGGAAAAGCGGAAGAAGGAGAAGTTAATATCTCTCCGCTGAACGAGATCTGGCTCAACACCCAACACAATGGCCTTGCTCAGCAATATAGAAAGGGGATAGAAATCGAGAGGCGTGACCACGGTCGGGGGCAACTCCTTTGTCGAATCCGTCGCTGCGTGCAGGACATCCTGAATATCTGGCCATGCTTTAAGGTCGTGGCCTTCAAACAACCACAACGAGTTTCTCATTGATGTGTCTTCTGTCTCTGGAGAGCCGTGGCCGCTAGATGAGTTCAGCATATACACAGATGACTGGTCTCTCATGCTGATATAGAACTCAACATTCTGGGAAATGACCCGCATGTCGTATTTCAGGTGACCGTCGCTGTTCCGAGAGGGCTGGAGTAGAACAAGTTTTCCATCGACCAGAAACAAAACAGATGCTACAGCGACATCCTGGGAGGGGTCACCATCCAACAGCTGGTTCTCTGGCAAGATCCAGCTCAACCCTCTGACTCTTGCTGGTGATCTCACTATACCATGAAATGCGATCTGGCCAACCTGAATGGGGCGTATAGTATTGCCCACGGGTGCAAAGACGAAGTGGTATAGGAGATTCTCGTATGTGTAGACGAGAAGCGAATCATCCCCAGAAGGTGTAATCAATACTATTGGAGCGGGGAGCTGCTGCGTGAATATCGCAGTACCGGTGTCGAGTGCTGATTCCCTCGAATATAATCTGAGCTCATATGACCTATTGGCTTCGACGGCAGCGACCAGGATATGTTGATACCAGCACATACCGCCTCGCACTGAGAATTCGTTCTCGGCATCGTCATTTGCGAACGTTTTCCAGCGGCCACTGTTGATGCTGTAGTGCGCAAGCCCACGTCTCCCAGCCACTGCTACATATCTACCATCAGAAGATATCACAGTGCACCTGATGGGCCATTGGTTGAGGAGATAGTTTGACGGAATTCTCGCAGTATGCCACAAGAATGGTTCTGCGGAGATACTGGTCAGGTCTGGGAGATCATATCCACGATACACCATGACACTGGACGAAGTCTGAAGAACGGTTCGAAACAAGTTTGGAGGGCTGTAACACCCAGTCACGGCACTGCGGGCCATCTCCAGCAGCCACAGAGATTCACTCTGGTGTCCAATGAGGAGCAACTCACAGGCCCCTCCAATCCACGAAGCCTCAGCAACACCGGATAGCCAATCCTCCTTGTTTGTCTCGGTGATGGCGGGAATAGCTGCAAAACTTGTGCTCAATGATTTACCAAACACGCTCCAAGTAGCCCACCCATTTTCGTAGCCGGCAAAAAGACAATAGCCATCAGGAGAATACGTGATGGTGGTTATGGAGCCAGAAGTCTGCCTGGAAACGGGAATCTTATGAATATGGGAGGCAGGAATATTGCCAGCATAATCTCGCACGGAATAGACGTGTACACTTCCATCCGCACAGCCAACAGCAATCAGCGAGAATCGCGCATTGATAACTGCTTTAATAGCGTGAGAATGCTCATCCTGCGGCGTGTGGAAGCAGTGCCCTTTGAAAAGTCGTTTGGGGCCCGTCTCGTCATCCTGGGAAGGACCCTGGGTCGCAGAAGTTCGTTGTATCGCATAGGCCTTTCCATCATTGGTTATCCATGTTGAGAGGTTCATCGGCCGGTCGTGGGTCATTTCTGTGATGATGACCTTCTTTTCTAACCAGCCCATGCGGTTGACCAGTTCGGTGCTTGTTTGACTACCACTGCTGTCCGGTGTCCAGCGGATACACTGAACAGCTGCCGGTTTTCTGGTGGCAACTACCAGCTCATCGTCCAGCGCAACGACATGTTCGATACCTGCGTCAACTTTGATCACCCTCCGAAAACGAACACTGATATCTCGAACGCCAGAGCCTTCGCCCGGGCCAAGGAAGATCTGATCTGGGGAGGAATTTCCAGGACCTCCAAAGTGACTTTGCCGCCGCCTTTGAATGTTCATATGGTCCGAGAAACGGGGCTTGTATACACGCGACTCGGCGTCGGTAGCCAAAGAATAAGTGATGAGGTAGCCCGAACTGGTCTGGACAACGAATATGGCGGAGTCGGGCCGTAGTAGAAGAGCCACATTGGTTCCATAGGACCTTAGCGATGCTTTGGAGCGTACGACCACAGCGAGAGCAACGGTTGGCTAGCAGTGTGACCAGATTAGATACTTTTCACAGTTTCTCGATACCAGCATCACGGAGCCTGGAGTCAACACACCTTTGTTTGCCATACCGTCATGGAGGACGCGGTAACTGTCGCGAACATGTGTCCATTCCGCGAGACCTTCAAGGATATTATGGGCTCTCCAGAAGGCAGAGTAGGCCTCTCGAGATTTTCTTGGGAGCTTTGCGCATTTGCGTGAAGAGGAAATTCATGGTCGACTGCATTGACTCCAGGGGTCCTTGGAGAGAAGAGGCCCGGTGTAGTAGGGGTCAGGAGGGCAGGTGTGGCTTCGCTGGAGCTGTCTTCTGCTGGCTTGTAAAGAGCCGAGTCCTGGCTCAGCAGCGAAGCATTGTCTCCAGCAGCGGAATTGCTCGGTTCGGTGCCATCATGGGAGAGCACAACCTTTGGACGAGATGAAGCTTGGCTGGTGGTTGCGTATATCCGGGGGGTCGCAACTGGCCAATACATGGCTGCTTGAAGCCAGAAGCAGCCTCATTCGCGTCACCGCATACCAGCGATGAATGCGATTTGCTCTCGGGCCGTTGAAACAGCCAATGGCGCAATTCAGTTGAGCATGCAATGGATGCAAGTTGACAGTTGTTGTTGTCGTTGACAAGAAGCGGGAAGTCTGTCGGCTTAGAGAGGTGGATTGTAAGTAGGTAGGTACAGCACGTATGCAATTCCACCGCCAGTCAGCAGCCAGTCGAGGGGTGGGCGCGCAAGCAGGTCCCTTGATCCCCTGCAGCTTCGGGCCACGGGATGGTCCACAGCTGCCCCAAGCTCCCTCATTAGCCCAAGGTTCCGTGCGAGCTCCCGGCACCGTGGATCGCAGGTCGCGGATTTGGACATGGGCATCTAAGGCAAGTGTCCCAAATCCAATAAGACTTGTGGACTTCAACCCAGCAGTTATATAGATTGGACGGTTGGAGAAGGGATTCCAATTGGCACTTTGGTAGTAAACAAGAAAAATCATATACGCTAAGTTCGTAATAGTCTAACAGAGTAGCTTTTAACTCTTGATGTGACTGAATGCATACGTAGGTAATGTACCTCAAGGCGCTTTTACCTGAGAGTTGAAATGGAGATCCAGATAGGCAGGCTGGTCACTCGAACCAATTGATAGTTAATGATCTAATTGGGACAGGCGAAAAATACGTGCCTTCCACATGGCGCGTCGCAAGTACTTGCCTTTGTTCAATTCCTTCTCTACCGTTATTGCCTGCCGTAGGTAGTTTGTGATATCTTGTGCTTGTGAGGTCACCAATCACCGCCTACATCAGGAGTTGGCATTGAACAAGCAAGCACCATTGCAAAAGCTGCAGCGGCAAATTCTTTTTTGTTTTTGTTTTTTCATCCGAGGTCTTCTCTCGGAAGAACAGATTCTACTGCTACACACGCCAATTGCGCCTGCCGACCAGCACATCTGTCGACATGTCACGGCCGGCCAGGGTGACTTATGTCCACCCTGACAAGTTCAAGGCTGTCTTTCCAACTCTGAAACCCACAGTATACAACGATCCTAACACGGCTCGAACTCCAGGAAAGTAAGTCGACCAATCCAATGTGGTATGGAAACGTGCGGGCAGAGCCAAGGCATACTTTGGTCGCTCAGGAACATGAGATGAAGAGCATCTCTCGACCAATCGCCTGCTGAAGTACTTGAGAGTATATCGCTGATACAGGCCAGTCTGAGAACGATAGCATGGAATCCACTAGGGACATGGGTCGCAACAGGGTGTACAGACAAAACCCTTCGCGTATGTAAGTTGTCCAGATCCCGGTGCATTGCCTCCGTGTCACTCCCCATTCCCTGGACGACATGGCTGAAGTTCAATCACAGGGAATGTGGACAAGCCCAACGTCCGCCAGTCGACTGAACTCAAAGGTCATACCGCCGCCATTGAGAAGGTTGGATTCAACCCAGTCAAGGAGTTAGAACTATGCTCGGTGAGCAGTGACGGAACTGTCAAGTTCTGGGATGTCAGAACACGTAATATCATTAATGAGGTTAAGGGCCTTGGAGAGGCGTTCACTCTTGCCTGGGCTCCCGACGGCGAAAGTCTGGTAGTTGGCAACAAGGTATGAAGCTCTAAGCCACTCTATAAAGCTGCTTCAATACTGATGTTTGGCTGCTCAGGCGGATATGTTGTTTGTCCTATCGCCAACTCAGAGCACACCATTGGCATCTCATCAGCAAAGTGTCCAGACCAACAATATCAGTTTTTGCTGGAGCGGAAAACGGATATATGCCACCACTTCAGATGGTTATACTAGGATCTTGCAATATCCAAGCCTTGAGCCAGCCTTTCTCTACGACTACAAGGAGCCAAAAGATGCAGAGATGAAACTTCGCGGCCACACATCTGCTTGCACTACTGTGGAAATACATCCCATGAACAGATTTCTTGCCACTGGCGGTAACGATTCGCTCATCTCTTTATGGGATACGGAAGAATGGAACTGCCAGAGGACCATCACGAAGATGGTTGGACCCATCAAGAGCATTAGTAAGCCGGATTCATGAGTATCCTGTGTTCTTGTAGGCTCACTATTGATCCCAGGCTTTTCATTTGATGGGCATTGTATTGTAGGTGGCAGCGACGAAGGTATGTCCTCCCAACAATGCGCTTGAGGAATACAAACTAACGGGAAACGCATAGGCAATGCTATGGAATTCACCAATTGCGAAACGGGAGAGCATCTGTTCACATACAAGACAGCGTCTCCGTGTTCCCTAGTGGCTTGGGCACCCAATCGATATGCGCTTGCATACTGCGAGCTCGGGACCCTTCGGATCATCAGCGCTGGGTCGAAGTAGAAGGAAGACCCCTTCACACAGGAAGATGACTAGATGTCAGAGGACAACGAGATAAAGTAGCAGTATGGCCCAGGAAATAGCGGTGCGGCTACGTGATGCAGCGTCTACGAACAATATATCGGCGCGAGCACCAAGATCAGAATGAGGCAGCCCATTGCACCCATCACAGCGAAAGTTTTACATAGCCCAGGCGAGTCGCCCTCAAGCCTACAGGACGGATAGGCCTTGTTGGAAAAAGGTACTGTGGTATGGATAAGCGTGACTTATGTTTGTGCAAAGTCAATCAAGATTGAGTAGTGAGGCTGAAAAAGCTAGATACCAGACAGATCTGGTAAACATTGGTCTGACCATTATACTGAGTTTTCGAATATAAGTGGCCTGGTGCACTTCATATCCATACACGAGGATGGCACAACTATAGTATGACGTCATTGGACTGGGTGATGAGTCTATGCTTCTAGTTGAATAAGGTGGCAGCCAGTCCAGTCATTCTCCGAAGCATAAATGGTGCAAAAGAAGAGACTGTATCCGAAGAGACACTGAGTATCCACCTGCCCCATAGTCTTGTTCATGTTGTAATCTCGTGCATGTCGCATGGGCATCGGTTGCGAACACGCGACCGAGATTTCTACTCCGGACATTGCCGATGCAAAGCATAAAGTGATAGAGTTCCGATCCAGCCACAACTGTTGCTGCACAGCCCAGGGACTGAATATCTGGCAATTCGATTTCTAGATGCCTTAAAGTGTGAAGAGCAGCCTGGGCAAGTCTACACGACGATAAATGTGTGCATAGAAGGACGTGCCTGGAGACGGACTGAAGTTTATGAACATGTGGTGTGCAGTATACAGCTGAGGCAGCGGTTGCGAGGCTAGTTGCATTTGGTGATCCTAGGCAATAGTAGGTTGCTTCACTTATTCGAGGCGAACTGTATGACCCGACGACCTACCCTGCAAGAAGTATTTCCATTGCATTTTGGAACACTGATCGTGGCTTCAGGACAGGCCACAGACGGGGCAGCGACTCTGATTACCTTTATGTACTCTCGAGTGCAACGTGCTCATCATGCAACTGTCAACGTGGAATACGTCGCACGAGGGACGCCCTCCCGGTTTTTATGGTTTGCCTCTCTCTGCACGACCCGACTTGGAGCGTCTTTGAGCATGTGTACCAATGTGCACTCTGTACACCATAATCAAGAAAGATCTTTTTTGCTTCTCTAGTCCTAGACGGTGCAGGCTGTGGCTCGTCTGGCTTGGTGCCCAGCTTGTATGGGTGGACCGTCCGTCACCTGGCCTGGTCTTCTCATTTCTCACACAGCCTCCTGCAAGAGGAATACGGCACATATTGCAGCGGTTAAGCCGGCCAAAGCCTAGCCCAGCTTGGGCAGACCTGGCAGACCAGAAGGAGACCTCCCAACCTGCCTTTGATGGAACTGAGCCACACAGAGAGTCTTTGGCGCCAGATCTTTATTAGTGCCCAGCCCTTGTCTTACAAATGCTCATGCGGCATATGTCTGTAGGTGCCCTTGGTTTTTTGCCCTCCCGTGTAGAGAATCAATCGTGCCCTGTTTCGCCGGCCGCTTCCCGTGTCCTTTCGCACGATTCATAAAATATATATCCTTGTGTTTTTCTCCCTCTCATAAATCCTACGAAAAAGAGCTGAGATCACTTTCTGGGACTTTCTCTATATACTGAGAGCGAGTCCAAACCCTTGAGCGTTCCTTGTGTTGCGACGACGCATCCAAGTCACAACGCATAAAAAAAGGTACGGGATACAAGCAGCAGTCGGGCGCTACAAGGACCCGATTGACATACGTCACACCCCTCCTCGGCTCTCCCCACTGTCAGGCGCTGGTCTCATCTAGTCAGTCATCGGCAGCCTGGAAATTTCCTTGGATCATCGCCTCCCAACCCCAGACCGAAAGCCCAAAAAGGCCCAAGAAGGTCCCCCAACCCCGCTGCACCCGCGACCACTGAACAAGACCCAGACCAACATTGTAATTCAGCGGGTACGACCCCTCTTCGTCAACTCTATCATTGCTACCTGTTATATGAAGCCACCTACTCCAATTTGCGCATTTCCTGACGTTATACTAGAAACGCTTGACTACAGTATAGTCGAACTCTAACCAAATCCCCCAAAAGCCCGTGACAATGTCGCGTTACGATGCTTACGACCCTCCTGTTCGCGAGACTCGATACTATCGCGAGGAGCGTCGAGCCCCCGAGCCTCGCTATGAGGAATATAGTAGCAGGACTCAGCTAGTGCCCCGCCCAACACGGGAGGACAGCGATCTCTCTGTCGAAGAGGTTCGCCGCGACTTCCCTCCTCCTGGCTACGCTGGAAGCCGCGATGTGCGACGTGCTCGTTCTGCTGAGCCAGGTTACTACGAAGAAAACTACTACCATGGTCGTGGTGATGGTCGTTCCGTGAGAGACGATCCCCGCGATCAGCGCAGCCGGAAGGCTGGCAGTGTCTACTACGAGGAAGAAGAGCGGACCCGCAAGCGAGTCCTCAACCAACAAGAAAAGATCATCGCTGCTGTCGTGGGTGGAGTGCTCGCCGCTGGAGCCAAGGAGGTCTGGGATCGCCGCGAGGCCGGACGCGAATACAGCGGTGATGTCCACCGCAATCTGGCGGCTTCCGCCGCCCTCGCCGCTGGAGGCGCCTTTGCCGGATACCAAGGAGCTGATTTATACAACAAGCATGCCGGCAAAGAGGACAAGAAGTCGACTTATATCATGCACAAGGGTCGCGATGGACGTGTCGCCGAGTACTATTCTGACGATGAAGACGACCCTCGCAACAAGAAGAGCAACAAGTCCTTCCTGGAGAGTGCACTATCTGCCGCCGGACTGGGTGGCGCCATCAAGGCCTTGACGGGTCACGATGATCGCCGATCTGAGGGAACCCGGAGCCGCCGCGGCAGCCCGGACTCCACCCGGTCCCACCGAAATGACACCGCAAACAGAATGCAGAAAGCGGCCAAGGCCTCTCTCGTGGCTGGTGCTGCCGAGGCCTTCCGTGTTTCCAGAGAGCCCGGTGGCTGGCAAGGTGAGAAGATGAAGCGCATCATCACCGCTGCTGCTGGTGCAGCCACAATCGATGCTGCTCACAATCCCGACCACGACAGCAAACGTCACCTTGTCGAGTCTGTCATTGGTGGTTTGGTTGGCAATCGCGTCCTGAACGGCTCTAGAAGAGACATTGAGGAGGATAAAAGAACCGGTAGAAGCCGCTCCAGGTCCCGGGCCCGATCCGATGGTGGAGGTGGCGGTACCGGCTTGGCGGCACTCGCAACTGCTGGTCTGGGAGCCCTGGGCGCCAAGAAGCTCCTGGACAAGGGAAGAGATGATTCACGAAGCCGAAGCCGTAGCCGCCGTGGCAGTCGCGACTCATACTATGACCGCGATGGTTCCCCACGTCGGCAGCGCAGCCGGAGCCGAAGTGTTGTGGATTCGGCTCGTCGCAGCTTGGCCAAGATCGGCCTTGGAAATGGACCGGATGATCGTGACGACTATGAAGGGTCCCGCGCCTCGCGCCGCCGCCGTGGCTTTAGCCCAGACGACAGATATGACGACGAATACGAGTCTCGAGGTGCTTACATGAGAGGTGGTCGTGGCGATGAAAATGATGACAGGTCGTCACGTGGAGCTCGACGACGAAGCCGTTCAACCGGTCGTCGTTCGTCCTCTGTTTCCAGCAGCGACCTGGGAGATTCGGATGAGGACGAGAAGCGAGCCAAGAAGATGAAAGGTAAGCAACTGATCACTGCGGGTCTCGCAACCGTCGCAACCATACACGCTGCACATAATGTCTATTCGAGCATGGAGAAGCGCAACGCAAGGCACAAGGCAGTCAAGCAAGGTCGTCTAGATCCGATGGAAGCCAAGAAACTCAAGTCCAAGGCCCTCTTGCAGGATGCTGCATCAATTGGCATTGCTGCCATGGGCATCAAGGGTGCGATTTCCGAGATGAAGGAGGCGCGTGAGATCACACACGAGTGCAAGGAATGGGAGCAAGAGAAGGCAAAGCGACACCAGAAGCGAATCGAACGTCTCCAGCGGGGAAACAGTGACTACTATGGCAGAAGTCGTTCTGACAACTGGTCTTCCTCCGCTCCGACACGGTCGAATCGCTACTACGAAGATGGGCCCCGTTATGCTGACGGAAACCCTTATTCGGCGGCTCTTCCGGCACCTCCCATTGGTGGATACGATAGAAGATGAGGAGGTGGTAGTCAACGCCGCCAGCATGTGTGGCACATCCCCTACATGGGACCTTCCTCCAAAACTTCCCCATCTGTCTACCTTTATTGTACACCTGGTGGATATCTTGTTCTCTTTCGTTACGACTTTACGACATTATGTGTAATGATGGGTTGAGAAAACAAGATCAAGCTCCAAAGAGAAGAAGCCTTGGAAAGAGATGGTTGGATCTGCTTGGGAACGATTTATGAAAGCTTGCCTGCGCTGCCTTCCTCGACCTTGCCGTAATATGATAGAAAGCACAAGAGCTGGGAATTCTTTCTTGCCCATTGATTTCTGTTTATTTCTTTTTTCCCTTTTCCTATTGTTCTTCCCTTTTACAGCAAGAAGAATTTTACAAGATTTTTTTCTCATTATAACAGAACATTACACTGATACGCATAATTTTGTGACAGACCGGCGGCGACGACGCCACGATTACTAAGTTGATTGTGCCTCAAGCATTTGGGGAGCATGATTAGTTTATGTGGGGCCCGGCAGATGATTCACCTGCCAATTCCGAGACACAATCCATGACCTTGACGGCATGGATGAATTGTCTCTCCGGATGTTGTGCATGGGGGAGATCTGACCGTGAAACAAAGTGTCGTGGACGAATTGAAAGACGAGATTCTTTCCGATTCGGATCGCAAGGACGGGACGGGATGCAACTGGATAGGGAAAAGTGGGACGCTATGCCACACCACCCAAACTTCTTGAAGCGGCAAGTCTTTCTTTTCTTTTTGGGTTCTGATCATCACTGGACCGGACCCAAAGGAGCGGGCGAATTTCGTTGGTTGCTGTGGAGATTCAGCTGCGTGAGCAGGGATTTTCCACACCTTGTTGCCTTGGACCTGATTTGATTTCACTATCTTGGTTCGAGACATTTCCCATTTCTTCGGGTATGGCTTATACTCTGTAGTCGTCATTTCCACCATGCATTTCGAGGGTCTCCCACTAGTTGGGGCATTGGTGTCCGGGGTCTCCTGGGGACATGGCAGGAACTCGGGCTTCAAGATTTACGATTTAATGGTTCACGTCTATTCTGGATGCCATGTATGAGGACGAAAGGGGTCGCAGTGGTCTCGGAGAATCGAGAAATGGGACGCAATATGGACTGGTTTTTGGGTGTGCACAAATCGATATATACTCCCCGATTGCTTTGGCGGAGACTACATGGATACGATGTAACGACATATGTACTTCCTGTCTTCTCTTGGAATTGACTTACACACGTTTTTTTTGCTGCTGCCTCTCTTGTATCTCAGTAAACTCCAAAAGGTATCACAACGTACCTAGCTATCTTGCGTGGCTCATTTCTAGCATGTCCATCCAATGACCCTCAAGGTCTCTAATTCATCTTTTCTTGGTTAGTCGGCTTGCTCGAAACTCCCTTTCCACATGACGGACAAAGGCATCTCGAAGAAGTGCCGAGATGCAACCATATATAGTTGTCGGTATTGAGAGGGAGTGCTTGAAGCCCAAAAATTTAAGCAGTTGAGATCCAGGGCCAAGACTCCGAAAGAACTTCCAAAGTCTCAAAAACTCTCGGCACGCATTCATGTTATTCCAAGGCAGCAGCGTTGATGTGGCGTATACAGCAACAGGAGCTAAAATGGCGAGATTCTAGGACGCCACCGGTGATTCTCACTCGGAATGACCAGATCGTACAACCAGGAAAAATCCAAGAGGTGTATGGAGAAGGTGAATACAAGTAAAGGAGGAATAATTTGGGAGCAAGCTGTATCGAAAATAAGAGCTACACGGTATTTAAAGGGAAGCCTGGGTTTGAGGGGCTGGCAGCGGGGGGTTCAATGATGTCATACTACATACTTACTTTCGCTTTTTCGGAGTCTCTACTTTGTGTAAGTCAATGAACTCAATGAAAAAAAAATCCTGCTTAAATGCTTAGTAATTACAGTCGAGACATGGTTTGCAATAAGTGGTAGCTACCAGGGTAGAAATCGCACTGTTGAGTACCATGGGCAACAGTGAGGCCATTGTTGCCCAAGAAGTTGTTTTGTTTTTACTAAGCATGGTGAGATATACAGATTATATACGGGCAGGCAGGAATGGTGACTGGAGCCTCATGAACTTGATGTATCTGCATACTTGTTGACTATTCTGTTGCCCAGGGGTTCCTTGGGGGACTTAGATGGGCCGCCCCGGACCTTGGCAAAAAAGCTTGTTGTTACATTACTTCATTCCCAAGTAGTTTGCAGACCCAGCTTGATAAATTCGGCATATCTTTTATTGCTACAATACAATTCAGGTCCGCTTCAGATACCATGCATGCAGATGGCCACTTCAACTGGCAGCACCACCTTGTTGTTTCCATGCTTGTGCCATTGCCAGCATGTTGGACAAGTCCTGTTTCTGCTCGTCGTCGGCCGGGAACACATAGTCGATGTACTCCTCAAAGGTATCATCTTCCAGTCTGCGTCTGCGTCTAGTCCGCCTCGGCATCTGCTTTTGCACCTTTTCAATATCGTCTGCGGATCCATAGGTGCGCTCGAATGAGAGCCAAGAGTTCAATAACGACACCCTCTCCTCCTTCAGGTCTTGGTCCTTCATGCGCTTGTGCGCACGTAGGAACACCTTTCTGGCGCGATCCTTTGCCTCCTCGCTTTTCGTTGTTTCCTCGGTCTCTCCGTCGGCGCCACCACCTTCGTTTGCATCTGGAATGTTGAGCTCGAAATGCGCGAAGCTGATCCAGACCTTGACGTGATCCGTCTTGTCAAGGAGTCGCTCGTAAAGTTCACGAGTCTTCTCATATTCTCCTTCACCCTCCTCAAAGTCAATGTATGCTTTCCAGAGGAGTTCCGGCATATCCAATGTATCCTGAGCGATAGCTAGCTCGTATATGGCTCTTGCGCGTTCGAGGTCGTCCAAGCTCTGCTCAAGCTCTGCAAACTTGATCCATGTTTGACAGTTTGTTGGGTTCCACTCAATGTGCTTCTCGTACAGAGTGCGGCATCGTACAAACTCGTACAATTTCATCTCGAGCTCCACATAGCCTCGGAACAGCTTGTCCTTGGGGCACATGCCGATAGCTTGTCCTAGTGTCTTTCGTGCAGTAGTCAACTGTCCCTGGCGGATCTCGAACTGCGCCTTTAGCAACCAGACCTTGGCAAATGTGAACTTCTTGTGGGGGATCAAATCAAGACACAGCTTGTATATTTGCCTTGCCCGGTCGACGTCGTTGGCTTCCATTTCTTCCCACAGCGCATAAAACACCCATAGGTAGATGTAACGGCGCCAGTGTCGCTTCTCCTGGGTTGGCGGGATTTGGGCAACCGCTCTTTCATAAACGTCCCTCACCCGGTCCACGTCTCCTGATGTCTCCTCAAGACGCGCGTAGTCGAACCATATATCATAGTTCTTGGGGTTCTGTGTGATCTGGTCTTCATATAGCCTTCTGCGTTTTGACAGAACCACGTCCTCCACGCCTTCCTTATCGCCATATTGCTTCTCAAACGTCGTGTAAGCCTTGTGGAGGTTCATAGACTTGGACCGGGGGAGACGGTCCAGCGCATGCTTGTAAATAGCTCTAGCGCGCTCGTACTCCTTCAGCTTGGCCTCGAAGCGGGCCCAGGCAATCAAAAGCTTCTCGTCTGTGAACTCGTCCCCGAGCGCTTCGATGGCGGACGCGTACACCTCTCTTACCAGGTCACTGGTCCCAAACTCTTCTTCAAACTTGGCCCATTTGATCCAGTTGCGTGGCTCCGGATGGACAATCGTAAATCGCTGAAAGATGTCGCGTGCTCTCTGAAACTCACCATAGCGCTTCTCGAGCTTGATGTATGCACTCCAGGCAGCCTCATCTGGTTCCCACTCCATCCAGCGTTCAAACACCTGCCTCGTGCCGGGTATGTTGCCCAACATCTCCTCCATGTAGACATATTTGTACCAAAGCTTGTCGACCCTTGGCAGGATGGAAACAGCACGATCCAGAAGGTTGCGGGCGTGGGCAATGTTTCGATTCTTCATTTCGGCTTCGACATATCGAACCCAGAGAATGGTAGATGTCGCATCGACATCCAAAGCACGTTCGAATATGGAACGCGCTCTCCTGTACTCTTTTTGCTCAAGTTCCCATTGCGCATATCGCATCCAGTTGTTCATGTTAATTCGATTCCGCCGCACATAGTCCTCAAACTCCTTCCGCTTACGACCCTGGAACTCATGGAGCTCCTCCAAGTCGGCAAAACGCTGGGTAGGTGCTTTCAGAGTCGTCTCTTGCCTGTCCTGAGCCTCGCGTAGCAACTGTTCGGCGGAAATCTGGATAGGCGCGGCAGCCTTGTTCTTGACCCTTGGCGGGCCGCGTGACGACTCCATGGTGACTGACCGGTTGCTAATCAATCAATTAATGCTTCGAGGGGGAGGAGGAAATGAGAATCAAAGATTGATATGAAGCTGATGGATTATCAGAAGTGAATGCACGTTGCATGAAGCAGACGCGGCCGAGATGCGCGCTGTCAATAGGTAGAAGTGCAGTAAAAGTTAAAGTAGATTTAGTGCTGGTGCTGTGGCTGCTGGGAGCTTTGGCAAAATGTTGCCAAAGCAAGACATGGCCAATGAGAGATGCGAAAAACTGAAATAAATGGGTACCTGAAGCCATTACATAAGCAAAGTAGCCTAGCCACTTCCCTGTCGCCAGTCGCGACCGCGGCCTCGGTCATCAATTTTCCTTCCTCAATTCCACGTACCATTCAAACCGACATCCAACAAAGGGGCGACGCCACAACTCGCCAAATTCGTCGCAGGAGCCCGCGAAACATCACCGCGCAGCTGCTGGCGGGACCGATCGATCTTAGTGGCAGAAGCCTGTTGGGTTGGAGAGAAGACGTCGAGGCTTTGAGCAAGCAGTGAGCTCTGCAAAAGTGAGTCAGTCGCATCTGATACCGATTGCCATTCCTCAAGTCTCATCGACCAGTGGAGCAAAATGTCGACCCTTGCGGACGAGCTCCTTCAGGACTTCGAGGACTCGGGGTCCGAACAGGGCGACGAGCAGAACGACATTGGCCTTGAAGGGGATTCCACGCATGCCCAGACAAACGGCGACAGCAAGCATGATGACGATGATGATGAGATGGTTTTAGACGGCGATGAGGAGCCGCCCGAGGAGGACGAAGAGATGGGAGGATTGAGTGGTGTTGCGATCGACCCTATGGATGACGAGGACGAAGCCAAAGCCAAGGTTGAGAAGATGCAACTGGGCAGTGTTAAGGATATCCGGAGAGTCACCACAGTTATGGACCGGCTGGAACCTCTACTAAAGGTATGTTTTTGTTTTCATCATAATCGCAAACCTCGCATTACTTGTTTTCTACTGCAAGTTTTCATTCTCGCATAGCTGTAGTTCTGACCGAAGCACATAGGACATCGCTCATTACCAGTCACAACCATTCAATGCCTCGACCATTAATATTGGAAATATCGAGGATAATCCCGAGTACAAGATCCTGACAGCGTCGAATACGCTTTCAACCCAACTCGATGGCGAAATCATGAAGGTCCACAAGTTCATTCGCGACCACTATTCCGCACGCTTTCCCGAGCTCGAGACCCTGATCCAAAACCCTATCGAGTACGCAAAGGTCGTTGCCATTCTGGGCAATGGACCCATGGATGCTGGCAATATCCGAGCCCTTCAAGACAGTTCGGATAATGTGATAGGACAGTCACTCAAGACAGTACTTGAGAAAGCCTCACTAATGACTGTAACCCTGGAAGCCACAAGGTCACAAGGTCAGCCCATCAGTCCTGAAGAGCTGGATCGTGTCGTCAAGGCTTGTCAAATGATAGTGTCTATGGACAAGGCCAAGAAGACGCTCACGGAATATGTGCAGTCTCGAATGAACGTTTTTGCCCCTAACCTCACAGCCATCATTGGATCTCTCACAGCAGCCCAGCTCATCAACACGGCTGGCGGCCTTACGACTTTGTCGAGAACGCCATCCTGCAACTTGGCGGCGTGGGGAAGTAAAAAGCAGGCTAATGCAGCTTTTGCAACAAACGTGCAGAACAGGCAGCAAGGCTACTTGTATCATTCACCGATTATCCGTGGTATTCCCAACGATCTGAAAAAGAAGGCCATGAAGGCCGTCGCAGCTAAAGTGGTATTGGCCGCCCGCGCAGACACTGGTCATACATATCCTGATGGTGCCTACGGTGAAGAACTGCGAGGTCAATGCCTAGAACGGCTTGACAAGATGACGGCCCCTCCGCCCAACAAAGGCCAGCGAGCTCTGCCGGCGCCGGACGACAAACCATCACGGAAGCGCGGAGGTAGGCTGGCCCGTAATGCCAAGGCAGCAGTTGCTATGACGGAGTTGAGGAAGGCCCAGAACCGCATGGTCTTCGGCAAGGAGGAGAAGGAGACAGACTACGGTGTGGGTGATGGTACAGTAGGCATGGGCATGATCGGCCAGGCTCAAGAAGGCCGCATTCGTGCCACTCAGATTGACAACAAGACCCGCGCAAAACTGAGCCAAAAGAATAAGGGTTGGGGCGCAATCGATCCAATTGGTGGTTCAGCTTCATCACTGCGAACTGCTCCGCAGTCCAACATAGACCTTCGGGGAAGAGGGATCCGGACCTCTGGCGTGGGCACGACTATCGGAGGAGGCGCTGCAGGCACTGCATCTTCACTGGCCTTTACCCCTGTTCAGGGCATAGAGCTAGTTGACCCCAAAGTTCAAGCTGAGCTCAAGCGAAAGCGCGCAGCTGAAGACGATCGGTACTTCAAGAGTGGCGCCTTCACCCAAGTTGGCGGCAGCAATGGCCAACCTCCCAGCAAGAAAGTGGATGTGGGGGCAGGCAAGATGCTGCCTCCCCCTCTGCCTGGCAAGAGGTAAATCTTGTAGCGTGCGCACCTATCATTGACATGGCCGAAGGTTTTGATAAGCAGGGTGGCCAGAGCAGTCTGAAAAGTAAGGGTCCAGGTGGCGTCTAGGAATGATGTTAACGGCGGCATGGTGATGATCTCAGACCAGCCACCATCTTCACACAAGCATTGCACAGGCGTTAGGGAATAAATGTCTCGCCATTGTTATTAGCACTAGACATTGGTACTGATGAATGAACTTAGTCTTTTGGGGCGGCCCCAACGAAACTCTATGGTTACTTCCAAGTACTTGAAAGGCGAGCTTTTGAGAATGGATGGAAGTTGAAGGCGAACTGTTAGCTCTGGAATTTGTGTCAATAGCAACAACAGTGAACCCCGTCAGAAGCTTCCCAGTTTGTATTGGCCTTTTACAGAAGGCCAAAACCTGAGAACAAGTTCAACATTGATAGGGAAGCTCATGGTTCATATTCTTGGGACCTTGTGCGTCTGCTGCATGGAGCGAAATATAAGCTTGTCCTCGGAGATTATCCAAGATTCATACCTGCTACATTACGTTCGTGATATTTGTGCCGATGTACATCTAAGTTATGCACGTGACCAATCGACGTACATGAAAATGGGGAAACGGGAGCGTAGGAAATGCTAAGTCACCATCACAAACATTGGGTCGGCCTGCAGACAACACCTTATTAATGAGATGCTTTGAATTTTCATTGCTAGGCTCTAGGCCCTTCTTAGATCAACTGTCTACGAATCTCGACGGCCGCAAGTGCCTTGCATTGGATTCTGCATTTTCCGTACATAACAACATACCTTGATTTCACGTCCTCCTAAGATAATCCTTTTTCTTCCTCCATAGCACGGGTCTACTGGTAACTTTGGATCATTGTTGCCTAACAGAGAAAGTATCGTCCCATATTTCAAGGTAATTCTGCAATTTGCTGGAAAGTCACGATATCCAAGAAGCGAGAAGGCAGAAAGCGAGAAAGTTATACTCCACTCAATCCCTTGCCTCGACTTTTACTCTGCTCGTATATCAAAGATCAAAGCGTGTTTTGCCCTCGCAGCAATCTACCCACTGTGGATTTTAGCAAAGCGTAAATAGCATCTGCCGTGTACCATTTATGATTCAAACCATTTAGTACACGCACCTCTTCTCCATGCAAGGGATGCCAGGGCATGCCAATGCAATGCAAGGGTGTCATGCGTAAATTTGGAGAGCAATACCCTCGAAGAAAGAGGGGTTCGATAGTGCAGAGCCAAACACAGACTGAGAGGGAAGTGGGAAAGCTAAATGAACAAATATACCACGCGTATCTACCCAGGCACACACAAAAGTCCCATGCGAGCCATGGCTCAGGGACATGGGGAAATGCTCCGATAAGGGAGTTCAAGATTAAGAATGCCATGTTTTTCAACACGCTCGCAAAGACTCGGCTCCATATGGCACATAAGCCATGCTAGCCCCAACTGTATTTTTCTTCTTCCCCTCTTTCCATCCTAGGCTATTCACTCACCTATGAATAACAGACAACAGACTTCTTGCGACGGATTTTGCAATGGACACATGGGGCTAGTCGTATATCTGTAAATAATAGCTCTCTTGCTCGTTGGGGTAGCTTTGCCTTCAATGCCGGCGGCATGCCAGAAATGTAGCTTCAGCCTATCACAAGGTCAACCTCAACACTTGAAGCTCGGAACTGAACTGTGAGTAAGTTCCTAGGAAGGAGGAAAACAGGGACAAAAAGTAAGCTTGCATGAACGCGGGCGAGAAATATGGTGTGATGGGTTGGATTATCATAATAATAAGGGGTCCTTCAGATACCCCTCACAGGGAAACCCGCGCCATGTTGTTGTTGTGGTGGTGGTGGCACACAATATCACTATAGCTAGCTAGTTGGTTGTTAGTGGCTAGTTGGAGACGAATTGGGAAGGCATAGCGAGAAATAAGTGTACAGCTCTCCGAAGTTTGGTTCTTTGCCCATGCAGGGCTGAGTGGAAGCGACCCCTCTTCTCTGGTATGCCAATATCTCATGAAAATCGTCCGTCTCATCATACGACTATCAGCAATGCGGCGCTGGTGTTATGTGCCGATAGCATTTTTTCAACTCCCAACGTAAGCTTGATATGGTTAAAAGTAGTAAGCAAGAATAGGAGAAACGCATTAGGAAATGCGGGGAAAGCTGTGTCGCTACATAGAGGATAGAGTTTATGAGGAAAATGATCAAAAGGGCCATCTTGGGTGGTGAAATATCCCCTTCAAGTCTCCCAATGTCTCTTGTAGGTACTGGGGCTTCTAAGGTGCGAGCTTCGTAAGGCAGAATGCGCAGCCAATGATTGAAAGGACTAACTCATGCAGGGCCCTTGGCTACGCCTGCAAGCTAGGGAGAGCGTTGAAGTTTGCGTTTGTTTGTAAGGAGCCAAACCTCAGCAAGACCTATGGTCATTGGTTCATGATATTGAGATTTGGAAAGACAAACACTATGCCGGTCGTTGGCCAAAGTCTTGATAGGAGCATAAAACCCTTTGGGACGGAAAAGAGGATTTCAGAGCCACCTGATTGGCTTGGATACGGATACATTAATGCAGTTTTCGATCTTATTGACCTAGATATATTTAGTCCGAGAATGGTAGCAGGAAAGAGACAAAAGGTTTCAACGCCAGCGCCTCTTCACAATAAGAGCGGCTGGACTTGCACTGCTGCCTCTGTTTAAAGTTTGCAGAGGGGTTCAGTCACTGGGTTGTGGTTGCCGATTGCTTGCCGGAAACAATGACTCGCTGACCAATTTGAGTTCGACTGGTGCTATGGAGGGTCGAGAAAGAGGGGATATCCCATTGGTGTCGGGTTGCATCCGGTTTACCCCCGGGAGCTCGTTCCGGGCTCTCGGGGCTCTCGCGGGCTCAGCGGTAGTCGTGTTGCAAATGTTCATGGCGTAAGTTAACTTCGTGGTGTGCCGATCGTACTAAGACGATATCGGCAAGACTTGAATGCGACGGCCTTAGCTAAGCGACCTCCCCAGCATCTGCCGTTTACATGACTCTTGCGCGCAGCGTTCATGTTCTTACTCATCCCCAAAAACGGGCATCCGGCAATAATAATCATCAAAGTCACGGCGTGCTTGATACGTGTGTCTATTGACGACGGCCTGGCGGGGAGGTTGACTAGCGCACCAGCCTGCATGTCTTTTTTTTTATGCCTCTTATGATCCAGCACGATGCAGGGTCCTAGCGTTCATATTATACATAGCAAACCAATCTGGTTTGATAAGGTTATGGACCAGGATCATAAAATTCGGTTTTGCCAAGAAACAGCAAATCTCGACAACGAACAAGGAGACTGAGTCGGGTTGACCGTCCAGCCAAGCCAGGTCAGCTCAGCGGAGCGGCACTCGGAACTCACGGTGAGAGGTGTGAACGTGAACAGAGAGCCCTCCAGCGGGCACTGCAGAGTTTCAGCTTAGGCACCACTGGCATAGACAGCAAGCTCTCGTATCCATGCACCACGGTATCGTCGATGACTTCTGATCGTTGCCATGCACAGAATGGGGCCATATAAGCAGACACGGCCAATCTCCGACGAAGACTCTGCGCAGTATTGGAGCCTCTGAGGCTCTAGAAGGGTCTGCGACGACTAGTGTCCCTCCGCTATGGAGATGAGTAGATCCTGGAGGAGACGTGATGAGGGAGAAGTGACGTCAGTTGGGATTGAGAAGACGTTGCGCCTCGTTTCCAACGGTCGACCTTGTCAGAGCTATAGGTGCCGGCTCCGGTGAATATGATATGTCAGGAGTACAAACAATAGTATACAATTAGTGCCCTGTACTACGATGGGTAGTGTAGCACGCCGTTTCGACGGTGTGCGTGGACGATTTCAGTGAGTTGTGAATTGAAAGAATATATGCTTCGGTTATCCTTCAATGTGGCTTGTTGGGGAAATGTTGAAGAGCCGCAAAAAATATATATATGTGCGCATCAAACTTTGTTACCGTGAACACTGACTACTAGCTACACAGTAGGAACCATGTATTTGCGCAGGATCTTGTCCGCGGGCGAGATTCATCCAGCAGCAATCCGGGGGATCATTTTTCTGCAAGCAGATTAGTATAGGTCCCGTGGGTGGTGTTGTAGCTCTTTTCAGATCATCTGTCTTTCGAATGTGGAACAGCGGCAGGCAACAAGCCGTGAGCGAGCCAGCTAAAGCCCAGTTGCAGGCTGATTCCTGGAGAAGATTCCATGAATGGAGCAATCCTGGCTGTCGCAATCGAGGGGGCCGAAATGGGGTACATTGGCCGCACGACTTTTTTTTTTTTCTTCCTCTTTTTGGGAACCTGGATCTGCTTGGCGCCAGTGGCCCCTGGGGAGGGAGAGAGTCCTTGTCGTCTTAGGAGTCGTGAGGAAGTGGCCGAGCTAACGACTTTTCGCATGGAAGACAGGGGAAGGACAATTCGAGGAGGGAAAGGGACGGAGAAAAATAAAAGTGGATAGTCTAAACATCGGTGAATCTGTGTATGCGTCTGTCTTCACCATACTTTGCACAAGCCTGAAGAGGGACCTGGAAAAAAAGAATTCAAATGTAAAAATAAAAATAAAAATAAAAATCTGGAAAGTGGTGTACCCTTGGACCCGGAGGGCCCTTACGCTTGACTTTAGTGACGAAGCACGGGGCACTGTGGGCTGGTGGGTGAACCCTGACAATCCGAGGGATCCACAAACCCCTGCGCGGTCATCGCAACACATCGTCGATTGCAGAGTAATCGACGATTCAATATTGTTCTGTATTTCTTTACTTTTTTTCCGCCTCCATACTTCCATCAACTACCACCAGAAACAGCAATCTTGGGCCGCGACCGTCCACCAGCCAGCAGCATCACCACGGAGGCGGAGGTTTTACGCCGTTGTGGTGTCTCCGGACCTCATTAAAAATCCTCAAGTTTTCCTTTACCGACGTTTGGATACATTCTATGTGCAGTCGATCGGGTATTGCATCATAGGCCGATTGCGCGCGCAAACACACGATGCCATGACACTGGGGGCCCAGCAGAGGGTCCTGGTCTGTAACGGTCTAGACTTCACCTAGCACAAGGCTGCACTAACATTTTGTGCCCTTTTCACCCAGTGCCACTCACTCTCCAACCAGTTCAATCCGGCGAAAGGGGGTACTTGGGTACATGCACAAGTGTAGTAGCATGTCAAGTTGGTTGCCGAGGATCCACTGAGGAAGATCTCATGGTGCTTGGTTGATTAATGATACTACATAGTATGTATAAACAACAGAGTTGTGCATATCAATCTGCAGAAGAGCAGACACAACCAAACAAAAGTATATGAAGTCGTTGATTTGGAAAGTTACTGATGATTGAATCGTAGGGCATCTTGTTCGCGCCGATAATCATCAGCAGTCCATCGACGATTTGATTTCAAGCTGTCAATCAACTGCCACATTCCGGAATACATGCGATCGGTACTTTGGGTCCCTTGAATTTCATAGGGGAAAACACATGGCATGTATGAAGCACACGGAGAAAGAGGTACCCTAGCTAGACGTTAGCAACGAGCCAGCCCATCCAGCCCAAGGTGCCACGCGCCAAGCGCTCACCTACCCTTGTCCCATTACGACCCCAGTCGCCCTAAGACCCCAAACTTCGATTGATCACTCATACTTCGATCTAGGTAACAAATCAACCATAATGGTCCGCGACACCTCACACGAGAGCCCTTTCGCAGCTGTATAAGCCCTCTGGCAATGCAGGGTCTTTCTCACTTATTCATGAGGTGGTACCGTGCCGGGGCGGGTCAAGACCATTGTTTTCAAGGAAATGATTATTCCCTTTCATGCCTCGCAACCATGACATCATAGCGCACTCCACGAACAAGCTGCCTCTCTCTACCTTATGGCTGTACCGGCTGAGGTACCTTCCTCAGCATACTCAGGTACCTAGCACCTAGTAGCAAGAGGGCCCCAGCGCTGATCAATCTCTCTGGTCAGCCTACTACCAACACCTACAGGGTACACTGTCCCGTACATGCAAGAATGATTGATCTGTACCAACCCCAAGTACCGTTCAGTGGGGAATTTCGCTCGCTCCCGAATGGTCCGTTTCCCTGGGATAAGAGGTTGCAGTAGTGTGGTTGGGAACAAATGGATAATAGATTCGGAAGAAGAAGAAAAAATTAAAAATAAGATAAAACTGCAAGCATATATCCTCCAGCCTCGAGCAACTGTGCAGCAAGGCGCGCAAAGCAAGCAAGCATTCTCCCGACTTGTTACGGTTTCTGATCTCAAATGCGCAAGGCGAGAAGGAAAAGACAAAGTCTAAATCACCGATTCATACACGTGTCGGGTTGCGCCTTTTTTACCCCTCGTCTTACTTGAAAAGAGAAAAACTAGTGAGACATAGGCAGTTGCGCGGCGGCCAATCAAGCCGTGCCTGGTAAGAACATTGCCTCTTCATCGAGATCGCGATCGAGGTTCATTAGCGAGGATGGAATTGTCAGAATGCCATGCATGCCGCCTCCAAAAGTCCTTCTCATGTACCTTTCCGATAAGTATGTGGCTAGGCAGGGCAGCAGGGCATCTTGGCTGTTCGGGTGAACACTCCTATCTGTCGCTGTCAGTCAGTCAGTCGACTCTCTTTTTTTTTTCATCCCTTGTCAGTCGCCCCCGTTCGTACCCAAGACCCTGGAGCTGGCGGGCAGGAATTCTCTCCTCGCACCAATCGGTTGAGAAATCTCAATATTGGGTCGGTGTTGTGATGAGCACCCCCAAACGCTGCATAATCAAGGAACGAGCCACACTCCTGGGGCACATTGCACCTTGTTGCTTGTCAGTAGAGGACTTGGCCCACCAAGTAAGTGTTTTGATGGATATTGAATCGTGTACAACCGGCGATGCTTCTACCGTTTAGAATGCGCGATTG